ATTACACTACACTACACTACATTCCACTACACTCCACTACACTACACTACATTACACTACACTACATTACACTGAATGACACTGCACCACAGATAGACAGGTAGACAGATAGACAGATAGATAGACAGACAGGTAGACAGCTAGACAGATAGACAGATGAGAGAGAGAGAGAGAGATAGATAGATAGATAGTAGATAGTAGATAGTAGATAGTAGATAGATAGGTAGATAGGTAGATAGGTAGATAGGTAATAAGATGAAAGAGAGAAAGAGAGAGAGATAGATAGATAGATCGATAGATAGATAGATACATAGAAGATAGGCTGGTAGGTAAGTAGATAGTCAGAGAAAGAGAGAGAAAGAGAGGAGACCTCAAGCACCTTTCGGTCCATCAGTGGATTCGCTCTGCCATCCCTGATTCACAGCAGCCAATCTCTCTTATAGGTTTCCTATTTTTGAAACTTCCGCCACCGCCTTGTGCGGTACTACTGGTAGATGGGCTTAAAAACAAACCTATAACCAGAGGGCCCCTTTCGGAGAAGTCAGCTTTTACTTCGGGAGTTTCTCGACAGACTGTCTGAGTCTTGGTTTCAAGGAATGTGTCAGTTGCGGTGTCCCAGGTCCACCCGGGTCCAAAAAATTCTGTTTCCGTGCGCCTGTCATTTTTTCCCAGCGATTCAAGCCACCAGCCATGAACAAATCAAATGGGACGCCGCTGGCAGCCATACGGATGACGGAAGCACCTTCAAAACAATCTTGGTCCAATACTTAGCCAGCAGCAGGGCACCCAGTTACATGGCCCAGAAAAGATCAGTGGACGGAACTTGACAATGGACCAGAAGTCTGCAGTGAGCTTCCAATCCCACTACCATTCTTGTCTCAGTACCAGTTGAACCTGCGCTTGCAGCCAACCGACTGTTATCAGAGAGGAAAAAAGGGAAACACGGCAGTTTTCTCGGTTTGGGCTCACCGACTTTGATATGAGGCAAATTACAGGTGAAAGATGGTGAAACCAACTAATTAAGGCTTTACGGACAGAAAAATATTTGTATGCATTTGTTTGGTTTGCGTGTTTGCTAACTATCATGGAAATGGCCTGGGTTGCAAGTAAACAGGCGCCGAGTGTCTCGAGAGTCCGGTGGTTCAGTGAGAAAACCCCAACGCAAGGAGTTTCATGTTTTTGCTTAATATGGAACCTCCAACAACTCAGGCAACTCCTTAATATGGAACCTCCAGCAACTCAGGCAACTCGTTTGCAGGCAAGTGCAGCACTTGGGGCTCAGTTGGAGTGAGTATTAACCATGTTTACTTTAGTACCTCACAAGTTGGGATAAAGCCTTGATACTTATGGCCATAGAATCCTAGGGTCCTACAATTCTACAATAGGATCTATGGTGGGATTTGTCTCTCCCCTCAACAGGTGATCCTTTAACTGTGAGCGTTTTGATTTGTTTTGATGCATTGAATGCTTCCGTGTTGTGAGCATTATCAATGTAAAGGGGCGCAGGTTGCAGCACAATTTTGGTCGCCGTGAAGACTATGAGACTATGGAATATCAACTTTCAAAATGCGGTCTCATTAGTTGATAGAGTGTAAAATGGTCAACCAAAAACTCTGCACCATCCCCAAACAATGAACATACATGGTTTTTTCACCATCCCCAAGTGACAATCCCTACCCAGGCCTTGGAAGACCTGCCTGCGTGCGGCGAAAAAGATACAGATCCAGGGGTTGACCAGTAGTTTCCCATGACCAATTGCCACCGCAAAACCTACGTGCTTTTTGTGGGTGACACACCAGAAATCGGAGAAAATGAATGAACATGAGGCCTTTCAGGGAACTGCCTGATTACCATTCTCCAACGCACCGCTCAAAGGTTGCCTTTTTGGCAAATTGCTACTGTAAATCATCTTATCCATTCGCTTACCAAATGGGACAAAGCAACGGTCAGATCACCTTGACTCATTTCACAGTAGACAATCCCATCCTAAAGGCCGCCTTACCCCGAAGAGTATCCAAACGTGTCAATCCATCCACCATGGTGATCTTTTTTCGGGGCAAATTGGCCAAGAATTCATTGAACTCCATGGCTTGGCCGCCCGTAGGATTATGAGCGCAAACACGCCGAGAAGCGTTTGCTACGTGCTCGGAATGCAAGGCCGGAAGGGGAAAACATGGGAAAACATCATAGATCTTTTTGACGTTTTTTTGTTTTTATCCCCTTTTAATTTTCCCAGAATCGGTTTAGAATTTTAAGTGATTTTACGAAGTCATTAAGAGAGGTTTTCGAGGGAACCAGACTTGCTGGATTATGGTGATCGATCCAGTGGAAGGGATCAACGGCGCTTTTCGGGTATACGGTACACCCCATTATAGGATGAATCTCAGTTGATCAGATTGTTGGCAATATCTATATCCCAATTTTATCCTAATTGTATCTAAATCTAAATTAGATACCCATTGTATCACACAGAATTCCTAATATGTTCCATTGAATTCTTATCTTATGCATGCCATGGTCATCAAATCTCTATTGCATTCCCATGTTTTCCATAGAATGCTCATGAAAGATCGGATTTTTCCAGCATCCAAAAAGTGGTGATCGTTTCTACGATGACAGGAAGAAGTGGACGCAAACAATGCAGCGTTTTGCCAAAGGTGACCGGAATGCTCAGCAGGAGATTTCAAAGCAGGCAGGGGCCGGCGCTGAACGGCGGCTTGAAGGGCTGGGATGATCTGCCGGTCATGAGAGAAACATGACTTAGATCATGATTTCTCAGATTTTTGAACAATTCTGCTTGGAATCTTCTGAAGTCACTTACTTTGTAGAACCCCCGTTTGGCTTAAGACTGCTTTTGCTGTTTTGGTGCAGGAGGGGGGGGTATTGGTGCACGGCTGGTGCGCGGAAAAGGAAAATAGGGGCAAGGGTGGATCTGGGAAGGGAAAAATAGGTGCGGGAGTGGGTTCTTGCCGATCTATGGATCAGTCGGGATCTCGTCGGGATCCCGTTGGGACCCAGTCGGGCACCAATTTTTGCATTTTTGGGCACTGCTTTTGGCCAGTCGGGATCCAGTCGGGATCCAGTCGGGATCCAGTCGGGCACCAATGTCGGGAGGCAGCCAAACGCATAAAAAATAGCATTTTTGCAGGGTTTTTGCGCGTTTTTGGGTGATTTGGCTGCTTCCCGACAGGTCCAAACGTGGTGCCAAAAATTCGAAAATTGGTGCCCGGATCCCGACTGGATCCCGATTGGATCCCGACTGGAGCCCGACTGCATCCCGACTGCCCAAAAGCGCTGCTCAAAAATGCTAAAATTGGTGCCCGATTGGGTCCCGACTGGGTCCCGACTGGGTCCCGACTGGGTCCCGACTGGATCCCGACTGGGTTTCTTCAAAAAAACACCTATTTCCCTAAATTTGAGCACCTATTTTTGAAATTTTAGCACCTTGCCGTGCACCACCCCCCCCCTCCAGACCCCCCCCCCACCAGTCTTAAGCCAAACACGGGCAACTCAACACTTACTTTGCAATTCTAATGAGGGGAGCGCATGACTCGAACTGCTGCCGCATTTGTCTTCTTTATCTCCTTGCACTTGGAGGTACGACTATCATACCTCATATGTATACATGATTATATATATATAAATATACATATCATGATCAGAAATTTTTATGACTATGATTACATCTTTGTCATTGTTATCATCAATATATCACCAATATATAATCAATAATAAATAACCAATACATCATCAATATATACATCATCAATACATGATCAATATATCAGCAGCATATCATCAATATATCATCAATATATCATCAACATATCATCAATATATCATCAACATATCTCAGCAATATCTCATCAATATCTCATCAATATCTCATCAATATGTCATCAATATATCATCAATATATCATCAATATATCATCAATATACCATCAATATATCATCAATATATATCATCAATATATCATCAATATGTCCTCAATATGTCCTCAACATATCGTCAATATATCATCATCATCATCATCACCACCGTCATCATCACCATCATCATCATCATCATCATCATCAGCATCATCATCATCATCATCATCACCATCACCATCACCATCATCACTTCAAGCAAGGATGAAAATGCAAACTTTGAGACCAGCTCATTTTAGAGGTGCTGGGAAAGATTGGTTGATAGCAACCCCAAAATAGATAGAACGGTGGGAAATGTGGAAGAAGTAAATATTATCTTCAAAATCCTGAGAACGGCTCTTCTATCTCTGTCTGGGAGTTTACTCTGCAGCCTATCTAACATGACAATGTGACAGAAATAAGGCGCAAAAGGCTCATGATGAAGAGCAAGCGCTGCGTCGCGCCATCCAAGGGAAGGCCATTGGCCGTGGGTGCCGTGGGATGAGATGTGGTGTGTCCGCTGAAGTAGCCATTTGAAAGGGGAAAATGATGACACACCATGAACATTTTGGTTTATACCACCTATTTATGGTGAAATTGGGGATGGTTTATTATTGTTTAACCACACTATTTTTTCTTTTGTTCAGACAAAACCACAAACATCCAGGCACTCATATTATATACTCAAATATTACTCAGTGAAAAACCATGGCTATTCTTGGATGTTCGCGCCTTGGATCCCTAGTACTGTCAAGCCTGTGATGCATAAATTGCAGAAGTCCAGGAATGAAGTCTTGCTGATAAACAGGTTAGTCAGCGCTTGCTAAATGGCATGTTCCGTTGCTCCTCCTGTAGTCATCCTCTTTGAATGGTTTCTCTGAGGCAAACCCTCAACCAGTTTTTCGTTGTTTTTTGAAATAACTTTTACTGAATCCAGAGATACAGTAATTCTGCTTCAAGACTCTTGTGCTTTTTGACCCCATAAACTTGGATGATTGATGCCCAAAACATGGGTTTGTCTGAAATTAGGATCCCCCTCAATCCATTGATTAATCATCATTGCACATCATATACATACATATACATATATATATATACACATATAATATGTATTACACATCATATATATGTATATATACATATGTATATATATATATATGTATATATATATATTTGGCAGGGGCACACAGTTGCGTTCACGCAGCGGCCTGTCGCATGCATTCAAGGCTAAGGATCGTCGCCTAGCCGTCGTGGCCGATAAATTGGCCAAATTCAGAGTCCTGCATGCGTCTCACCAGCCGCAGGAATTCATTCGGCGTCGTGGATGGCGCCTCATCACAAGGTTCGCACATACCACGAAAAAACGCCTGAGCTAGTGCTTTGCACATAGCAGGAGGATACTCCTTGAGAGGAGCTGTCAGGAAGCCGCCATCAGCTCCACGACCCACTGATTGGCCATGAGGTAGATCTGGTGTGAGTCGGTGGCCACGAAGGTCATCTTCAAGTCCAGGTAGTCCCACAACCAGCAAGGAAGTCGGTTTAGGACTTGGCGCTCCCAGGAGCCCTTGGGCCATGGTGACCATCCGTGTGTTGGGCAGCAAAAGGATCAGCTGCACAATCGGGAGTCGCCAGATGGAGACCATGAAGTCAATCTCCGGGTCCTTCGGGTGCTCAAGAACGCCCATGCCTGCATAGATGGCGAGGAGGGTCATACACTCCAAGGCAAAGCCAAGTAAAAGGTTGCCCATGATGATCTGTTCCATCTCTCTCAGTCGGAGAGACGGCAGTCCCCATGGCTCGTCCACATGTCGAACAACACGGGGCCCTCCTTTAACTTGGACATGTCGAGCACGACTCCAGGTGTTGCATGGTGGGCCTCCCAAAAAAGCAATAACCCAGCCCTGCGTGATAGCGTGCAGCCATGTGGAACGTGTACCATCACGACCAACATCTCCATAAACGGGGTCGATGATGATGTCCAGGGATGCAACATGGACTGTACATCCAGCGTGCTTCGCCGCCAAAATGTTCAGGTACCATTCCACATCTCCACGTCGACGTCGACCGGAAAATGCATGGAGTAAAATCCGGTGTCGTCCAACAGGCCGATGCGGCCCCATGTTGCCAGTCAGCTTCAAACCTTCTTCCACCAGATGCTGTGTGCGTGCTTCCCAAAATTGTACGTTGTCTCCCTTCTTGCCAGGGGAGGTCTCCTTGGCATCAGTAAGGAAGGTCCATGTATAGGGTTCCGCAAGCTCCTGAAGTGTCTGTTGTAACTCAGTGAGGGAGAGGGCAACGTCGCCCAAGTGCTCCTCAGTGAGATCTCCACGGAGTTGCTCCAAGGTACGTCTGCATCTTGTCCACGAGATTGGTCGCGAAGTCACTACCTCGCAGATGGCCTCCTTGGCAACTGCGATGGTGTCACTGTTGAGAATGGCTTCATAGCAGGCTTCATAGATTTCGAGGTCAAAGTCGAGGAAATCTTGCAGAGCGCCTGTAGGCTGGTGTGGTCCCTGTGCTGCTTGCAAAAAGGGAAGGGCCCCATCATTGGCTGCAAGAAGCTGGTCATCAGTCTTGGAGCCCTGGCCTGCCGCCGGTGCGCATCTGGTTCCGCGTGCAACTAGCGTACGACGGCATGCATGTGCATGACGAAGATGTGCCAGTACACGAGAGTACGAGTGGTAATTGCGCAGACAGCATGGACAGCTCGTACCATCAAACAAACTGCGTGCTTCTGCGCAAATGCCATGTCGTTTGAAAAGATGCGCACCTTCACCTGCTCGACTCAGGAATCTCTGTTCGCACTGCATGCAGCCAAAATGCCCCAGTGCAACTGAGGGGACCTGTTGCAGAAGAGTGGAGTCCACTGCACCAATATTCTCAAGGTAAAGGAAAATTCTCCGATGAAAATTGGCCACGATGTGCTCCTTCTTACGCTGTTGAGAAGCATGGCGAATTCCTCGATTGATGAGTTTCTTCCAATATCCTGGATAGTGTAAGATGATCTCCTCCCAAGCAGCAAAGTGTTCTCCACCATGTCCCAAGGATGTGCTGTTCTCCAGTTGGGCCCACAGCCATTCGAGGTCAGTGCGCAACAAGGCAAGCCAGCTGGCATCTTGATTGATGAGTCCCCAGCAAATACTGGCGCCTGCCTGATACAATGTGCCCAAGTATCTCAACCTGGCTCGTCGAAGGAGTTCCGCAGGTTGTGGCAGGCCTGTGGCCTGTAAAATATCCTCATCGCTGCGGTGGGCATTGTGTGCTCCATCAAATAGTCGACGATAAAGCCGCATAACACCCGCATGAAACTGGCCCCGGCTGCGATAACAAGAGAATGTCCATGTCTCCAAGCCATAAGCGAGTTTGCTCAATACGAGGGTCTGGAACAGCTCGATGCGCTTCCACCAAGTCAAATGAGGATTTTTGTACAACAATCGTTTGTGCTGTGTGAGGGCGCCATGTGCGATGCTCAGACGCCTGGCGATCTCACTTTTTGTGACGTCTCTGTGGTGAATAACACCGCCTAAATGGGTATAGCGGCTCACGAAAGAAAGCATATGAAGACCAGTTTCACACATGACAGGAAAGGTTGCCCCTGTTGACTGGCTGAGGAATCGGCGCCGATATGCTCGAGATCCACTTCCACAAAAACTGGGCATGATTTCTGTCTTGCCCTTGAGGAGGTTGGGTTCCATGCGGTGACTTCTACAGAGATCGATGAGCATGCCCGCAACGACGCCCATTCTTTGGGTCAGGGCTTCATTGTCTCCTGCGGATAGGCACACGCAAAGGTCATCCATCCAGGTCGGGCCTAAGAAGGCCTGTTGAGGACCTGTGTTCTGATCAAGCTGATCCGGTCCTCGGTGGTGCCAAAGTGGGCCATGTTCTTGAGGAAAGTGATCCAAAATGCCCAAGGCCGCGAGCTCCTTCTCCAGTTGACGTAGGAGCTTACTCCATAGAAAGCCGAAAACGACGTCGGCGAACCCGTCGCCGGGCCTGGAGCCAAGCTCCGTGTGTACCACATCTTCTTGGTCATCAACGACAAACCACGTATCGTGGTGGATGGCCTTCAAGAGATTCTGCACATGTGCAGGGGCGCCTGCAAGCTCCAGCGCAGATGGACTGCGCAGATGAGTGTAGAGCTCATCCAGGTCGGAAGGCTGTAGGCCAAGCCGTGCAATCATGTGTTCAATACATTGATCGCTAAGGCGTCCACCAACCGCCAGTGGTCGAATGACGCGATAAAACGCTTCGGTGAGGTCAAGGAATATCATTGCTGAAGGTCTCCTCGACTCACGTTGTAAGCGAAGGTACGCCCGTGACATGTGTAGAGCTCCCCCGACTGGCATCTTTTGTCTGCCGCCAACTTGTTGTCCTTGTTGATAGTTGGCATAAAGTTGATAATGATGCTGTCGCAAAGCCCGATGCAGTGTCTTCCCAACGTGGCTTGAGATCAGTAATGATCTATGGGAGGAGCAGTCACGAGGATCTCCTTTGTTTTTGTAAACATGGACCAATCGCCCACCTTTGTGGGTCACTGCTTCTTGGCCGTGGATGCAGGCTTTCATCATCATGGCATATGTGAGTCTGGCCATATCCCTCGGGAAGTAATGACATAATTCAGAAGGAACTCCATCAAGGCCCGTCGCTTTGCCCAAGGAGACTCTCCGATATGCCTGCTCGAGCTCCACCAAAGAGGGAATATCATGCAAGGTCATGGCCATATCGGGTCTCTGCTGGAATTGTATGAGCCCTTCTCTCCATTTTGTCCATTGGTCATCCAAGCTGATTTGCTGCCCTCCTTCCATTTGGCCAAAAAATGAGATCCATTGATCTCTAGCCTCCTCTCGGGTCTCGCAAATTTCTCCATCTGGTTTGCGGACCATTGGCAAGGTACGAGCATGCACCTTCTTGAGGTTGGTTGGCCCAATGAATGATTTGAGGCGATGCAGAATCTCACCAGTGGCAGCATTGGCGTCAAGAGTGTCCAGGACTTGGTCCAAATGTCGGTCTTTCAGAGCGCAGACATTGGCGAAGGCGTTTCCCAAGTTGATAGAACCGAACATAAAGGCGAATTGAGCTGCAATACCAAGTGGTCTGAAAATGCCAGTCAGCAAGCATGACATTCTCCTCAATAGGTGCCCCACTTTTCCATGCCATCAAAATCTTCCGCAGAAGGTGCAGTCTGTGTTGCTTGCTAGAGTCCTTGAGTCTTGAACGGAGCTCCAGCTTGGCTGATCTGATGGCCCAAGTCTCTTCCGAGATGTAGGGCTTTTTGGGTTTGCCTTTGGCAGGCTTGCATGTCCGTGCAAGACTTCCAAGGACTTCTTGGCTGAAGTTGATCACATGCGTCTGAATGTCGCACGACCATGGTAGTGGCTGAACTTGATCTAGAAGGCCATTTGTCTGGGGCTGGCCGATCTTGGCCCGGTCGAAGCGAGGCTGTGCCGATCTATCCTTAGGATTTTTTGCATTATGAAAAATGTCATCCCAGGAAAGCTGTACACCAACTCCAAAATGATCGAGTCTCAACCACACAGGAGAAAGTGCATGCTGTGCAAAAATGAACTGGCAGTGCAATGTAATCGATGCGTTGTCCTTGTCCTCCGTTGGGGGCGAACCATGTGGCCTGGTCTCCCTGGTGGCAGCTGCTCGTGGAGGGCAAGGCAAGATCATGTGCGTAAAGAAATTCACGGAAAGGAGCAGTGTTGGCATTGTCCACGTCATCCAACTCCATGATATGTGGTGGGGCACTAGGCCCTGTACGCGCATTGGCATCAAGAAATGCAAATACTGGCATGCCTCTCCTGAAGCGTCTGACTAAGACTATGGTCTCAGTCCACCAGTGAAATCTTTCATCGTCAGGACGTCCAGTATGTGGTCCATGGCCAACAAAAAGAAGGCACTTCCAGCTTGGATGGGAGACTCTTGCCAAAAGTCTTCTTGGATCTGCGTGCACGACTTGGAAGTTGTCTGTGTCAAAATGGATCACTTGTGGAGGAGCATCAGTAGTGCGAATGAAGGGCTGGTTCAGGTTGATCCAAAGCTCAACACCAAGCTGCCCATTGTCTGCTCCACTTGCAAATCTGATGAGATTGTCGACGCACGTTTTGCCAGCTTCGCTTCTTGCTTCTTGGATCCCCACAAAATTGAACTTGAGGTCCATCACTTGGCGGCGCAGATTGTGAAGTTTGCCACTCACTCCATCGGGTCCCTTGTAAAGTGACATAACATTCACAGTCAGGAGACTGACATGAAATCGTCCAAGGCCTGTGATTGGATCATGCTGTTGTGCAATAGAAGGTCTGCATGAAGGGGGCAAGTCCGGCGGAGAGACTTCAAAACCTTCAACACACAATTCAGGTAGTCCTGACCGCTTGTCAAGAAGCATCCAAAAATACGGCAGAAAGGACTGAAGCTTGCGTAGATCAACATCTTGTCGAGCAAGTTTCTGGTCATGTTTTGCTTGATGCTTTGCGAGGAAGTCCACCATGTCGTTCCACGGTTCGTTCATGTGACTTCGAACCGGGTCAACTTGCAAGCCATCTCTCAGTCCAGATTGCAAGGCTTGAAAGGTGGAACGCAAAGCAACATAAGCAGCAGTGGTATGATTGGTGCCAGATTGTCCCATTGCCTTTTGGGCGGTGGAAAGGGAGTCAGGCCTGAAGGTGGTTGGCAGGGTGCTATTGCAAGCTAAACGCCAAAGTCCTGCCCAGAACATACCCTCTCGCTCTGCATGCTCTGATCCCAAATGAGACGTACCCAAATGGTGTGTTGTGTCTGCACGGTAAACGACGTTGTGGGCTTGCCAGCCGATGAAATAAAGGACTCCTTCTTCATCTGAACGTGCATATCGTTCTCCGAGGACAAGAAAGGCCCATGCATCAGTGGTGGCATGTTCTTCCGCCCATAATGGGGGTCGCCTGCAGAGTTGTCCTTGGGAACTGCCATCAGTATAGACAATAAGCCGGTCCAGTTTCTCCCAATCCGGATCTGTTGGCATGCTAGCGAGAGCAGTGCGTGTAGTTTCCGGAAGCTCAAGGTGAGAGAACCATGGACATAGAAGGTCAGTTGCCGAGTGGAAGAAGTCCTGAATCATTTCAATGTCGATCTCTAAGACCATAGACGGCGTCCGACATTGAAGTTGTTGGAGATCAATCATGGGGCCCACAGTCGTAATGGCCTGTGCAGGTGGCCAAGAATTGGCACGCTTGATCTTATGCTGGTTGGCCATGTTCTCCAGAGTTGGGCTATTGTTGTGGTAGAGAATGCGAGTCAAGTTAGATCTGAGACGTTGTACGTCGAGTATGACTGCTCTCGTGTAGCCGATGCGGTGGAGCAACTGCATGTGGTCCAGCTCTTGCAATGGGCGCTTCTCCGTGTGGAGGAAAGCTGACTCCGTGTCTGTGTCTTGCGGATTCACATATATGTAGTGAAATTGGTCATCGGGCGGATTCCAATTAATTGGAACGCAGAAGAACTTCCCAGTGCAGCCCATTTGATAGGCGTGCGTAGGGAGATGTAGGTCCGCAAGAGCTTGTTCAACATCGTGTTCCATGGCCCCATCAGTAAGAAAAAGCTCCTTGGGTCGCTCAGGAGAGGATGTTTCCCAGATGATCTTGTATGGCACAAAATGCAGGGCTGGTTCTGGTCGCTCTATGAGCTCCTCAAGATAAATTGTGTGAGTCAGTTGCGGCCCATGGGTATGAGCCACCTGCCCATGTGTTAGGCGCTCGTCAACTGCTCGTTTTCGGCTTGCTTGAATCTGAAGCATGGCCATGCCCGCTGCCACAGGAGGTCTCATGCTAAAAAGCAAAACAAGGCCATATCCATCTCTTCCCTGCAAAGGAGTGCCGAGTGTTAATCGTATTGAACCGTACCAAGCCTGGCATTGATCAGTCGCACCTGCCATCAAACATTGGCTGGTGCGTCCAAGGCTGTGGATCAGCTGCTCCAGGGAGATGTGTTCATGCGTAGTCATCGCGATCTGCTGAGTGGTACCAACTTGCGGAATGGTATGGTCATAGATCGCCAGGAGACTAGTGCAGAGTGTGTCAGCAGGTCGTTGCACGAGAATGATGTGGGCCACAACTTCAGCTTCCATATGCGGAGGTGCTGGACTGACAATTGCAAAATGGCAAGGTTCATGGGCAATAAGGGTGTCTTGCCATGCCTGTTGAATTTGCTGTTCCCACGTGTAGTAGGCCTCCGTGAGACGAACTGAGCGTGGACGATTGCAAATTCTTCGTTCAGGATCTTGTTGGTCCACATACCATGTGATCACAATCCCAGTGCGCTCTTCACCTTCCCACGAAAACGTACGGTCACGCCAAAGAGCATAAAGGTCCTGTATAGTCTCATGCATGGTCGTAATTGCAGGGATGATGGGTGACCATACTGGCGCGTTGACATTGAAATGAAAAGGGGCACACCCTTGATCTGCATTTGGTCTTGGCGAGGTCGTCGTGGTTGTGCTTACGCTGATGGCGTTCTGCATGAAATTGACCTGGTCCTCGTTGATATCAAACATCTCCTGTTGGAATGGAGTGTCAGTGAAGATGTCAAAGTGGGTACCAGGTAGGATGGGCCAGACTTCATCCGCTTCCATGGTATGAAATCCGACTGCTACTCGACACCGGAGTCTGCCGAGGCGACACAACAGATGCAGCTCGGATTGTTGCAGAACACCATCTCTCGAGAATCTTCTGCTAACAAGTTCGGCTGATCTGTCTTGTAGTCGGTGATGAGAAGTCCAATAAACGCTGATCAATGTGGCTCTTTCCTCTGTGGCAACATCTTGTGTGAGAATCAGATGTCCTCCACCCGGCTCACCAATCGTAGAGGGTTGAGCAATGATCAGCTCTGCTGGGCTTCTCGGGTTAACTCTGTCTCTCCACTTGCTGCACAAGTGGGCGATCCAACGATGGAAATCATTTCCCAAAGCCACACGTCTGGACGTGGAACAGCGGGCAAAGCCTCGGCCGCTGAGGAACCATGTCTCGAAATGCATCACCGGCTCATTTTGTAGCCCCCTCAAATGTAGTGTCGGTTGATTCCAGATTTCACGTAGAGGTGCCCAGCGATCATGGAGATGTCCATCAAAACGTGGTCTTTCTGGGCCAAGATTATCTGTTCCAAGATTTGAGACAGAGCATCTGTGAAAGCTGGGGGGCCCTTGTTCATGCTGTGGACCCAAGTGGTGAGTATTAACATCCAATTGCAAGAGCCCCATGTCATCTTCTGGTTCAGCGCCCAGGGTGACGATGCCAAATTCAACTACACCATCGAATACCTCTTGTGCATTGGCATCCATCTGGGCATCATCGATAGTGGCTAGCATGAGGTCATGTGTGGCATTCAGATCAGGTGGCAAAGGGTTTTCACCTGTGTCACATAGAGGTCTGTCTGGGAATGCCGGTACTGCCAATCGAATATAATCACCATGCGTGATTCGCAGTTGTTCTTCATGAGGAAGTTCAGATGGCACACGCGTGTTGTCGATCCAAAGCCAACATCGTGGTGGATCTTCACTGCAGTGACCTTCGTATCCAAGAAGTCGAATGAGTGAACTTCTTGTGATTCTGTGTGGAATCCATCTGGCACGTCGGTCAATGAGGCTTGCCGGACCAAAGCGGTCTTGCTTGTACTCGACATCCACCAAGGTGAGCCGTAGGATTGCAGCCGCAGGTAAATCATGCCTTTGACGTAAGAGAAGTCCAACTTGATCGTTGCTGGCAAGATCGTCTGGTCCATGTGCTATCGTCTGGTCCGTTGCTGGCAAGATCGTCTGTCCAATCAACTTGAGAGGGATCAATGCGAAGATGGCGCGCAACTTGATGGTAGAGTTCACGCCCATCATGCCAAGGAACTTCAAGGTCAACTTCCTGCCTGTCAAGTGTAAAAACTCTGACTGCCTGCCAGTAAGGGTCGCTGGTCAAGGAGGAAGTCCCAGTTCCGCTATCAGAGGTGAGAATGTCATCACCTGGGGCTTCAGTGCCACGGCCTCCTGTGTTGAAACTGGCTGTGTGCGATCGGGCCATCAGGTTCAAGGCATCCTCATCCTCCTCAAAGAAACGCGGCAGATCTGTTGCTTGAAGTCGGATCCTTTCAACAAGATAATTTTCCCATTCCCTCGGTGGCATGGGTGGTGGCACATCCAGTAAAAGTCCCAGTCCGTCATGTATGCGTAATGGGCGATGAAGTGGATATTCAATGCGACCCACACATACTCGACAAACTCCGTATCCTCGATCACTCCTGTCGTTGCAGAGTTCGAGTACACCTCCGTGGAGAAGAGTTGATCGGAGCCGAGCCGATCAATCGTTGTCGGAAAGGAATGGGCAATCTGGATCGTTTGGAATGTTGGTACATCAGGAATCCATGCTGTGGTCAAACAAGCTGCACGAGTCTCGTCTGGATGTTGAATGACCAAGATAGTTCCTACCGTATCGCGTTGAACAGTGACAGGAGGTTCAGGAACCACAAAGATCACCTCATAGTCTCTGTTGGGGTCAAATTGATCAGCCCAAACTAAGGGAACTTCCCTGTGCCAATTCCTGAAATTTCCATTGAACCTAACAGGACGGCCATGTTCTTGTCGTTGGGCTGTCAAGTGGCTGATGTAATAGGAATTGAGGTAACAGACTGGACCTTCTTCATCTGTTTCAGGAACTCCTTCTTCGAGAAGCCGCTGCCAGACATGATGTATCCAGGCTGGGAACTCCGCAGAGAGCGGTGGTCGATTAGGAGGTCTGTCTCTTCGAATTTCATGTTGGCCTGGTCCAGAAGACTCAGACGTTTCAGCTGGTGCATGGCCAACAGGTTTGCCTGATGCAAGCAAATTGCAAGGTGACAAGGATGAGATGGATGTCATTGCAAAATCGTCAGCAATTGCATGCGTCACCCATGTCGTCGCTTGCTTGTCAAAATCCACATCGAAGGCTGTGGAGCGTAAAGCTTCTGCCAGGAGCTGGGCCTTGTTCTGTGCTTCCCACACGCTACAGAAATCAGCTTCATCCATGACAGAATGGTGATGCGGAAAAGGTTGTATCGCATACACCTTGGTGGAAAAAATTTCTTCAAGACAGAAATTGCAGTATCTCTGCTCATCAATCTCGCTGCCCTGTGCTGCAAGCGTGACTGTAGGCCAAAAGGAAACTTTGCAAAACCTGTCATGCCGCTGCCCCTTGTCCCTCCTACTGGATGTAGAACACCCCAGATAGGCCTCAACACTGGACGCATGGGGATTTGGGGCTAAGCGGAATCCCGTTGCTTCTTGTCTGCCGGCTCCACAACCTCTACTTCTTCTACATCTGCAGAAGCCTCTCGGGGTCGCGAGCGTTCTCTCTTTTTGATTCTTTCTTCGATGGTGGTGCGTACTTGCCGTACAATGCCTGTGAGATCCTCCTTGATCTGCACGAGTTGCGATTCTGATTCTTCCTGCTCTTCGACAGACATGGATGCGTCCAGACCCTCTTTGGCATTCTCGATGTCATGTCTTTCCAAGCCGTCCTGTTCCATAGTGCGTTGATGTGCTTCGTGCAAAGCACTTCTGGTGGACTGCAACTTCTGAAGGGCCTCCTTGCGTCTCGCGGCAAACTTGTTCTCGCCATCCTCGAATGACTCGACATGGCTCATCCACATCTGTGAGGCCTTGTCTAAATAGTTTGCCCATTGATTGCGATAGGCCTCCCATTGTTCGTCGATCTCGTTCAACTTTTTCCTCATAGTATTGAGCTGAGAGACCAACTGGCTGTGGGTTTTGGCATCTACCTTTCTCACAGTGCTCTCTGTTGCTTGTACCACCTTCTTGTCTTCCGGCAGGTTGGTCTTGTTTTTGATCTCCTTGTACAGGTGTCGCAAGGAGTGTAGCTCTGTCTCGTCCTTGCCAAAGTTCGGCTTGGCAAAGGGCTGCGTGGATGGAACTGAAGTCATACCCATCGCCGTAGGAGGTGTCGTAGTGGAGGGAAGTGCCTGCGACTCCATATTGGCTGGCAAAGATGGCGGCAAAAGCCATTGAGTGGATGGAGCAAACTGCTCCACCCCTCCTCCTTTGCCCTTGCCCTTGTGGTAGTCGGCATGGTCTTGATCTCCTGTATACTTCTTCCTCGACTTGGGCCGGTTCTGACGCTGTCTGGGACTCTGTGTCCTTTTCCTGGGTGACTTGTTTCCATCTTGCGGCCATGGATAGTATCCTTCCCATGAGGCTTGTTGCCAACCTCCTGTGTAATCTTCTCCATGACCGTGTCGATGTTGTTGATGCACATACGTATTGTCGTGGCATTGTCCCCAAAATCTCCAGCATCCGCCGCACTGCGCTGACTTTCCTTTGACCAAGCGCATACAATAGCGGCATCTCCATGGGTCGACCTTGGTCTCCATTGCTTCCTTGATGCGGGCAATGAGCTTTGGGTCCCTGGAGTGATGATTTTCAAAGTCCGGAGGATATTCTGGAGCTGTGCCACACTCAAACGTAGAAAACCTCGTCGGTAAAGGTGCCAATTCAGGCGGGCTTGCGCCCTCTGTCGTCTGAATCTCCTTCTCGAGGCTGGCGTAATTCTGGATGATGTTCACGTAGAAAAACACCAGAAAAATCCTTGTAAACATTGACATGTAAATAAGATCCAAGCAATACGAGAGATCAGTGTGTTCGCCCCTGCCAGCAGAGATCGATCCCGAAAGATGGAAAATAAATACAGTTGCTTTGACCCGGTTTATGGCAGTGCACCGGGTGAACCAGACGTACCCAAAGTCCTCAATGATGTGGTAGAAGAACTCGGGGAACAGGTAGAGCTGAAGCGATGGCGATACGGACCAGCACAGGATCCGCAGAGCGCAAGAGCGCGACAGCAGCAAGGCCCCAGCAGCTGGACAATCGATGCAAAGAGCCCGCGGGTCGGTCGTCACGAAGACCCGCTAAGGTCCAGGGCAATGCAGCGGGCGTGGGGAGCTGAAAGCCCAAACCTTTATATATATATATAATGTATTACACATCATATACTAAACATATTATGCATGCATATATATATATATATGGAATATATTGTACACATATTATACATATCACAGTGGCCACATTTCGGGGATATATTCCATTCTGCCGCTGGTCGCCCAGGAGGCACGGGACTCCGATTCGGAAGCTGTGGACCTTAGTGATGAGGCCTGGGATGGTGGTCCATCTGAGATTTCAATGGGATTTTAACAAGATATAGTGGTATGTTAATTGGTCTTCAATGGGATTTGATGAAACTTTTAGCCGGATTTTAATGGGATCTTAATAGGATTCAATGGTACTCTAATGTTATTCAATGGGATTCAATAGGATTTAATTGGATGTTAGCGGGATTTAATGGGACTTTTGGCCGGGTTTTAATGGGATTTAATTGGATTTTAGCGAGATTTAATTAGGCATTTAGCCGGATTTTAATAGGATTTAATGGGTTTTTAGCGGGGTTCAATGTGATTTTAATGGTATTTAATTGAATTTAGTGGGATTTTAGCCGGATTTAATGGGTTTTAATCGGATTCAATGGGAATTTAATGGGATTTTTAGAGGGATGTAATGGGATTTTAGAGGGATTTAACTGGATTTTAGTAGGACTTAATGGGATTTAATGGGGTTTCAATGGGATTTTAAGAAGATTTAATTGTATTTCAATGGGTTTTAATTGGATTTTATCAGGATTAATGGGATCATAATTGGATTTAATGGGATCTTTAGTGGGGCTTAATCTGATTTTAACGGGATTTAATGGTATCTAATGGGATTTTACTGGGACTTTAATGGGATATAATGAGATTTTTAGCGGGATTTAATCGGAATTTCATGTGGGTTTATTTGGATTTTGTGAGTCTTAATGGGGATTGACTCGGGATTTAATGAGATTTAACAATCAACCATGAGGATTCCGATCGATTCACCTGGGAATTAAACATGGCCTGGAAAATTGCCGATTTAGTTTGATGATTTCCCCATTTAAATGATGTTTTAATGACCATGGCGTTTGGGGACCAGCCAGCCATATTTGATTGCCGAAGGGTAAATTTCATTCTGATTTGTGGTGCTTAAACAACCCGGCGGACCGGGAACCGTGCTCGTAAAAACAATTTTTTTCTAAAACATCGCATTTTCGCCATCGCGTTTCGTGTAGGTTTTCGACTCATTTCATTGGAGCATCTTGACAAGCTTTTTCTTTCTTTCTTTTCAGAGCAGGAAGAAGCACAAGAAACTTTAACATTCCCCCCCCACCCCACTCATTCATGACCTCCGAACACACGCACTAGCAACCCATATGTGTCAACCTTCCAGCACTGCGGACCATTTCGACAATGTATAAACAGATGCAACACTACCAGACATCTGTGCAGCGTAGCAACATGTAGCGGAAGAAGTACAAGGAACTTTAACATGCCCCCCCCCAACCCCACCCCTTCATGACCTCCGAACACACGCACTAGCAACCCATGTGTCAACCCAGCACTGCGGACCATTTCGACTATGTATACAAAGATGCAACACTACCAGACATCTGTGCAGCGTAGCAACATGTAGCGGAAGAAGCACAAGGAACTTTAACATGCCCACCCCACCCCACTCCTTCATGACCTCCGAACACACGCTGGCAAAAACGTGCTTTTTACGAACACGGTTTTCGGTCCGCTGGCCTAAACAAGGGGAATCTTCCCCAATTCCAAAGCAGGTGCGGTGCTGTTTATGGGTATTTGCATGCGTCAACGCCAAATTGGCCCAAATTGGGCTGATGAACATCTGAATACAGACTATTCCGTTCATTTCTGGGAAGTGAGCACTCGGGCACCAGGGCTTTGACGAGACAATATGGAATGGTTATTGTCAGGGTTGCGGGTCCGAGTTCAAACGCAGACTCTTTTCTGGCCTTGTTCAAAGGGCACAGCCCGCCCCTAGCAGACCGTACAAGGGATTCTTCTGGTCTTTTATACAGCACCTAATGTGTTTGATCCCAAGGAGGGGGGGTTTTGTTGGGCGAGTTCCAGACTTACCAAAGCTTAACAATAGGTACTCGTACAGTCTACACTGGTTCGAGTCCCAGGGACACTGACACCCTTCCTGGTTGGAACCAATGATGATAGGAAAGATGGGGAAAAACTGACGAAACATACCCTCCAGTATCGAACATGGTTTGCTGGAAAATCTCTCATTTAGTTCGATGATTTCCCCATTTAAATGATCATTTGATTACGTAGTTCGGAGATTTCCCAGCTAGCCATGTTGCAAACTTCGCGCAGGAGGATGAGGCTCAAACTGCCACTCAGAGCACCGTCAAGAAGGCCGTGTGGGACAATGGCCAGTTGACCCCTGCTTGTTGCTGAACATGTTAAATAACCCGCCAAGAAAGCAAGGCTGAGTCTGTAATCTATTCAGTTTTTGTAGGGATGCAGGCAGCAGTTTGCTTTCCTGTGCAAAAACATTTTTTGCTGAGCAAAACAAACGTTCGCAACCCAGCAAAAGGTGTGTGGAACCCAAGCTTATGTTTCGCATGTGGCACAGATGCCCCGCAGAAAGGAAACACACCTTTGCGGAGCCAACTAAGGTTTTCCGCCAGAAAGGAATGCTTTCGAGCTGTAGTCAGCAATCAAACCTTTTTCTGCGACGTTTCAATAACAAATCAAATCTCAAAACAAACTTCAAACTCACTAGTTCCAAAACGACGTTCTTTTTTGTAGTTTGGTTGTTTGTTTTCTTGGAAACGACTGTTTGGGCATGCGTGTTCCAAAGTTTGTTTCTTGACCAGAAACAACCTACTCGAACAAACCTTCGTTTTGCATTGGAAGACAAACCTTGCCGCTACAAAGGTTCCTTGTTTCTTTTTTGCCGGTAGAAACCTGGCTGCAAAATGATTGTTTCCACAGACCAAAACCATGGTTTCAATGCATTGTTTTCTTACCAGCAAACTCACTTTTTTTCAGCGAGGCTGATGTCGTGTCGCTGAACTCATCATTCCTCCCGGCTTGGACACCTTTGTTTCTCAAACTCGAAACTCTAGTTTTGAAACTTTGGTTTCCCGATTGTTCCCCAACCTGTCCTGCAAACATTTGTTTTCCCTTCCGGAAACAAACCTTTTTCAGCCGAAACAACCTTTGTTTTGGCAGCCAGGAACTAGCGTTTCACCCTCAAAAATGTGTGTTTTTCCTGCAGAAACACACCGTTTTCATCAGCGTTAGGTTTGTTTCTTCCTCCGCCTGGAACACCCAGACCTACCCGCTGAGAGGGGTATACGTATGATAGATGTTACACTGCTACACCAACAGGTCAGCATGCCTACCTACATATGTATTATACATAAATTATACATATATCTATATGTATACATATATATATATATGTACATACATACATATATATCACATACATATGTACGTTTGCACGCACAGATGCATACATACGTCCCTATCTATCTGCCTACCTGCCTAGCTGCAATATGGCCTCCTTCTAGTTACCATCAAAAAGCAAAGGAGGTGCTGCTCACAGTAATTGTGCTTGCTCCCTGGGACTCTTTGCACAATATGCACTGCATTTGCTGAACAGGGCTTTACAGCATGCATTGAAATTGCATGTTCACAGATGGAAAGCCGCTTGGTTGTGCAGTCATCGGGGTTCCCAAGATGGCTGCTTAAAACCCGAAGCATGATGTGGGTTTATCATGGTTTATCTGCAATAGGGTACAGCAAAATATAATGCCTGACCCAGCATTTCTCAATGAAAGCTGCCATGTTGGGTACATTTTTCATCCTGAGGCAAAACGTCTTACAGTGCAGGAGATTCGGTCTGGAACCTGAGTCATACAGCCTGATTCAATGGTAGATGTTTTGATAGAAGAGGAAGTCATCCCTATTTATTGGTGGTTTCTTGAAATGGGGGATCCCCAAGTCACCATAGGTTTCAATACTAAAATGGGTCCAGCACCACCATTTTAAGAAACATCCATTTTAGGAGTCAGGTTGCACAGAACATGTGTAACCACTAGCTGTTTGTGTCTGGAAATTGTTGACCAAAGAAATTGCGGCAAGGACCAGATTTCAGGAGTGGATAGTTTTGCGCAAAGCCGAAGAGTGTATGTCGTTATTCAGCAGAAATAGCCAATCATGAAATATACCCATTATCGATTGGACAAGAGTGAGAGAAAAGCACCAGCACTGTGCGGTCACATCCACTATGTCATCACTATGTTGCATTCACTTGCACCATTTGTTTAGGAACCGGGTTTGCCTAGCAACTGCACCAACACTTGCTGGCACTGAGCTTTTCAGCTTTTCATTTGGTGTCGTACTGTACCTTCATGGTCACCTGGCCTACGTGCTTGACACTTTCGGCCGGTGGTTTGGAATCAGCCAACACCAGACTCGCAGAAATGGCTTGTCCAAAAATGCTTGGTAATTTTAGAGAAACTAATGATAAACGATAGGATATCATGGGATGTATCCCGGCCCCGAATTTCCTCAACTCCAATTTGCTAAGGGACCTGGACGCACAGGGAGAACTCCCTTCCAGCGGTTTGCTGGGAATGAAGTTCATGCAAGAGGCAGGCTACGCCAGGAGGGTTGTGAGTTGGACTTTCCTGGTCCTGGTGCCACTTTGGTGCCTCTGGAAGGCCATAAAGCAAAAACGAGAGGATGCGAAGAAGGAAGCTCTGGATGTGCTAAAGGAGTGAACTGATCTGTGCCCCAGGGTATTTGTTCCAGATTCCAGTGGTTTTCCGGGGTTTCGAAGGTTTGTTGGAGACGTTTTAAGATGCAGTTCCATTGGCTATGGAAGATGTACGCTTATCACTAAGCAAGAATAAGGGATTCCCATGCTGCTTGTTCTGTTACACTTGGTCTCCAGCATTTTGGAGCGCACGACAGACGTGACAGACATGACAGACATGGTTTCCTCAGAGCCTGAGTACTTGTGCAATATGAAGACTCTCGTATTGGTACATTTTACTGATATGGAAAGAATTGGAAAGACAAGAAAGACGGGCAACTGCATCACATCGCGCTTCCAGTGCCTTTCTGTTCAAGTCTTTGGCCGAGGGCCAGAGATGAAATTGAGTGGTTTTCGCAGAATCGAAGCGCCAATACAAAGCGAAACTTGTTTCACTTAAGCCTCTAACAAACAAAGGGCTAATATTTGTCCAGCTGATTTGTCCAGCTGATCCTTGGCTGTCGATCATTCCGGTATTTCATGGACCCACACATTGGCACACAAACAAATCATCCCTGGAAGTGCGCATATGGTATGGGTCAAAATAAAGATACCTCGAACATTGGGATTGAACATGACTTGCTTGGCATTTTGGGTCTCAAAGCTCGACTCATACTTGAGCCATGGGCAGAACTTGGGTTCATAGCGTACCCATAGGAAGGGGGATGGTTATGCTGCCCTGAATACATGAGCATAGGGCTTTATACTCCCAACACAAGATATCCTAATCTTTATGGTTGGATGACCAGCCCCCTTCAAGGTTTGGTGCTTCGAACTTAGAACATTGCATTTATCAGACATCCCCCAAAAATCACATCATGGTCCATGTCCCTGCAGTTTCTTGCGCTCCTTCTGGTTCTGCAAGCTGCTGGCGGTCACGTGGGGCTGTCACTGGCGGTTTCCCCATGTGCGCGGCTCCTGCAACAGCAGCTTAGTTGCAGCAGAATGTCCAGAAACGGAAAAACAGCTGTGTGAACACAACACATTGATAGTTTCTGTAGTGATTTCAAGCATTTGCAAGCATGTGTAAATCTTGCTTACTTTCCACTCCTATTTGAGAAGATGAATCACTAATTGACCACCATTTATTTTTGGAATTTGTAGTTCAACCATTCACGGCAGGGTGGGAGACGACCTCCATTCCTTGCTGGTGGGTCTGTTACACAGCCTTTCATCTTCAAATTTGCGTCTCCGCGATCTGCACTATGACTTGATCCACCTCAACACCTATCAGCTGGCACAGGAGTGGGAACCCAGAATGGGTGAGGCTGGGATTCCAAGACATGTTTACAACTTAGAAATCCGTGGTCTTTATGAACAATGGCAACATAGACCCAACCTAATTACGCCAACAACCAGCCATCATTTCTGGATAGAAAAAAAAAGACCAGTTGCATTTGGTTTACCCTCTGGTAATTTAACATAGCTATTGAAAATGGCCATTGATAGTGGATTTTCCCATTAAACATGGTGATTTTCCATAGTTATGTTAGTTTACCAGAGGGTACCTCCTAATTTTCAGGTGGATACCTTGCCGGGTCCACAGGAGTTCCAAGTTCTCACCGAGTCCTCTCAGCATCTTCTTGGCTGCGGCTGCGGGTCATGTCGCCCCGGGCTGACTTTGGAGGAGGCCCATTTGAAGGTTCAGCGACGAAACGCCCAGCTGTCGCAGAGGCGGGGCTGTCTGAAAATGGTGGATGTATCAGATGTATCCCACTGGGCATGGCAGTTTCAATATGGGAAAATCGATGGTTCGACTCCATAGGCGCTTGGTGTTTTTGCAAAATTTCAGTCACAAATGATCCAGGTTGAAGAAGTTGTGGCAGCTGATTCAGCCGGAGACAGAACTTCACCTGACCTTTGCTTTTGAAGAAGTGGATTTTCGTCTCAGAGCGACGGCAGATGAGTCCAGCCAGGTGTGGGTGACTGTGGTACACCCAAGATAGCCACAACAAAGCGTAGCCCATGTGCCCAATTTGATCATTTGGGTTGTATTCAAGGCCATACCCCTAAAATGGGGTTTAGTATTCAGCTTACCCAATTTTTCCCATATCTGGTTCTTCAGTTTTACAGGGCTTAGTCAAATTTTGTTTAATGGCACTTATTCAAAACCATTATACGATTATCACCCTATTGATATTGTTGCTAGTATCATTCCTACAACAATGATGATGATTACTACGTATTATTATTGTCTTAATGATGATGATAGTGACAATGATTTCGACGAGGATTATTATTGTTATTACTCTTCGTCTTCTTCTTTTTCTTGTTCAGTTAAGTTATATATATATAGGAGCCCATATGTGTATATATATATACACATACACATATATATATATACATATGTACATATATGTATATATATACAACATATAGAGGAGCCCATATATATATATATATATATATATAAAAGTAACGCAACAAATAACGCCCAAAACAGACGCCAAACCATATATACATATGTATACACACATACATACATATATGTATATATGTATATATACATAGCTATATATATTTACATATATATATGTACATATATATACATACATATACGTATATGTATATATATATTTATGTATATATATATACACATACATATACATATACATATACATATGCATATATGTATTTGTATATGTATATGTATATGTATATGTATATGTATATGTATTTTTTATATGTATATGTATATGTATATGTATATGTGTGTGTATATATATGTGTTATATATATATATATGTGTATCAGCCCATATATATGTATGTATATATATATATACACATACATATATATATATGCTTACCCCCCCCAGAACCCCCCCGCATGTTGAGCAAGCAATTGTTTTACCAGCTCTTGGTCTCTGCATAGCACAAGTGATGTGTTTGCAGAAAGCAATGCTAGTGACCTAAACCGTATATTGATTTGCTTGCCACGAAGAAAACATCACCAAAAAACCATCTAAACTTAGCACCCCTACATCTGATTGCCATGAATACGAGTAGATATATACATACTGTATACTGTATATATCTATATACATACATGCATGAATGCACATATACATTAATACATAAATACATTAATACATAAATACATTGATACATTAATGCATAAATACATTAATACATTAATACATTATACTGTTATTACACCTTACATTCAATATTTGTAATGAATACATACGTATATATTCTGAATGTATATATATATATATATGCTCAACCCCCCCTGATCTACCCCAATGATCCCCAATGATCCCCAATGAAGGTTTTACCTTATTTTTCCCCATGCCCACCTGTGATATAACTTTAGGATACCTTTAATATCCCTGTGATATAACTTTTTAATGCCATCTTGTACATCTATACTATACCTGTAATACACAATTTAATATACCTTTAGTATATCATTTGATATACCTAGAATCTACCTTTGATATACCATTCACTTGACCTTGAAAATAACTTTAGTATGCCTTGACGATACCTTCAATACAGATACCTTTAATATACCAGCTAATTTACCGGTTAATATACCTTTAGTATACCATTTAACAAAACATGAGAATACCTTGAATATATTTTTAATGTACCTTTAACATACCTTTAACATACCTTTTATATAGCTTTTAATATATCTTTAATATCTTTTCATACTCCTCTTGAAATACAGTTGATAGACCATGTCATATACCTGGAGTGTATCATTTAATATACCATGTATATACATGTTTTTTTCGATATCCCTTCAACATACCATGTTATTGACCATGAAAACATGTCTTTATTATTAATATACCTTCCATATACCTTTGAAACGCAATATAATTTGACAATACCATTTAATATACCTTTAATATACATGTCTTAATACTTTAATATATTTGTAACATACCTTTAGCATATTGCATACATACAACCATGACCTGTGTCTTTCAAAAAATACTACATACACCCAAGGGCTCTACTTCATAGTAGTGTTTCTTTGTATTATTGCATGCTTTTCAATTGAATGCTTGCACCAACACTTTCTTTTCTCAATACCATCATGATTTAACATATATACTCAAAGGATTCCATTCTGAAATCATGCTGTCCTCCTTGCATAGATTCCTTCACCTCTTTGAAACTGTAAGTCTCTTTTAAAATAACCTTATATTCCGTTCAAAGAAGTGCTGCAACTCCTTTAGATAAGGGGACTGTAGAAAATGATGCCGCTTTATGCAAGGAATGTAATCTTTGAAAAATATCGCTGCGCAAGGCATACATTGGAGAATTTTGCTTTGAAAAAACTTCAAAGTCCATGCTGAAACTTATTTGCTTCTTCTATTTTCAGGCAGTAGCTGTGTGGAATTTACACTACAACTCTTTTTTAAATATACTTTATACTGTTTTCAATGAATACTGCATCGACTAAGAAAGCTTTCTTATTCAAGTAATTATGTGCTCTTTGAAAGGGACCTCACACGTTTGTTGGCATTTTCCAAGGAATACTGCACCCATGAAAGAGTCTTACAAAGTATGCTAGTTTAAAGCAATGTTCCATTTTCTCATACTTTTTTGAATCGAAGAATGCAAAGAGTGATGCTGTGCTACTACATGTGCTTAAGAATACAACACCCATCAAAAGAGTGCTGCGTCCATTCAAAGACTTTCTTTCAAGGCAAAACTTGTTCAAAGTACTACTACATATCGCTTTGAAAGAAATAATACAATCTTTAAAAACATGCTCCACCATTTTACGCAATATGTCCGACACTCTTTCAAAAGAGTACTGCATCCATTTAAGGACTTTCTTTACAGATAAGACTCTTTCAAAGTACTACTACTGCATCTATTGATGCATTCTACTACACAGAAACAGTACATTCTTTTACAACATGCCCTGGCCTCAACTATTTTATCTATTTTACGCAATGTGTCCGGTACTCTTTGAATCAAATACTGCATCCAATGAAGGACTTTCTTTACAGGTAAGATTCTTTCAAAGTCCTGCAGCATCTATTAAAGCATTCTGTTACAAAGCAATGCTACATATTCTCAAAGAAATACCCCACCATTCCCCCCAAAGTATCCAAAAGTGTTAGTTTCCAGGTACTTATATACTTTATTTGAATATGTCAAACCTAGACAGGAATGTGTATGTACGAATCCAAGGTTCTAAGATTCCAAGATTTGCACAGAAGTTGCTAGAGATAGAGCAGGAAAGCGTTGCAACAGCTAATTTTCAAGTGCATAAACATCACAGCAGCTCCTATTCCAAGCTTAGTCTCACATAGTGTGCAAGCTCTTGAGTGAGAAACTTTGGTCAAAGTTTGACTTCCCAGGACCGATAAGCGAAGCAAGCATCAGGACACAGATAGAAATCATGTGAATGAATAGACAGACCAAAACAAAAATAAAGAACTCGAGCAAAACCAAAAAAACAAAATTTTTGAGAGAATGTTTTGTTTTGACTCAAAAGATTGTTTTTTTTTGGTTTTCCCTATTTTTTTCCGTTTTGATATATATATATATATGTATGTTTAAATGGATATGATCAATAAATGGATATGATCAATCAAGATATAAACAACACCTCAAGTTTTTTATTTTCAATGCAGAAAACCAAGCCTAAAATGTTGAAAAACAAAAAACAATGAGTTTTTTTTTGAGATATTGGTTGATAGTATGTATGCAAAAAACAACAAAACTCGTTTTTTGTTTTTTTTGTTTTTTGGCTTTTGAAACCAAAAAAAACAAAAACACCTAGGGAAAACAAAAAAACAATCTTTTGAGTCAAAACCAAACATTCTCCTCAAAGTTTTGTTTTTTGTTTTTTGTTTTGGTTTCCCAGGCACCCCAAGACTTCTGGCTTTGTGTTTTTGTTTTTCCAAGGTTTTTGCGGTTTTGGTGATTCTAGATATCTATATATTATATAAGATTTCAGAAGCATTAATGTTACTTAAGTAAATGTATGTAAGTAACCCTAAAAATCTGAACATAAAAAAAATGTGTTTTATACCAGTACAAACAACATGTGGGGGGTTCTGGGAAAGGGACCATATATATATATACATATATATGTATATATATATATGTATGTATATATATATGTATATATATATATATGTATATATATATATAAACATATTCTGAGTGTTATTCTCATCGTTCTTCGTGTTCTCTCGGAAGACGCCCGCGCGAAGATGCCAGGTCCTGTTCTTGCTGAAGGCTTCTGACTTGCTACATGGCCATTTGGAGCAGCTGAAGAAGACCTTGGAGGTGCCATGGACTTCGTAGCTTTTTTGTTTGAAGTCCAAAAGAGTTAGGAACACCCCACAAAAGTGGGGAAAATATTGGAAAACTTGCAAAATCCCATCTTATTTCTTCAGAACCGTTGTTTATTTGTTTTTTTGTGCGATTTTTGATTCTTTGGACCAATTGGTGCTGAAGGTGTGTCACCCAAAATTCACCGAAATGAGATCGTTTACGTCCTGCATAATTTTGTTGTTTTTTTGAGGGTTACCCACTTTAGTAGTGCTTGTGCACATTTTGAATGTGAGGGAGGGGTTTAGAATCTGGAAGTCATTGATTCATCTCCAAATGGGAGCGCAACTGGCAGCTTTTCGGGTTTCTGAGAAGCTATTTGAAGTATATTTGCAGCACATTTCGACACAAAACCAATACCTACGGATTTACCGTAGATCCAAACCGAGTGAACTTCTACTATATCTTGTCGCTTTCGCTGTCGATTCGCCCAAAAAATATAAAGCACAGTGGGTCATTATTTGAATGCCTACGTTCTGTTGATTCATTATTCTCCCATATTTTTTGATCCCAGCGCCTTGCAGTCTCTGGATACCGAGATCCTTTTCGATTTGTCGCCCATTTGTCCCTCACGTGGGACGGTGTAAACCACATCCCAGGGTCTTCCAGGTCGCGGGGAAACCACCATGGATCCATCGTATCGAATCCACCTTGCACGACGACTGCTTGGATTGAGACACATAGGTAGTCGCATAGTCAGGTGATGTCAGGTGGTTCACCATCGTCTAGCAGTCATTGACAGTGGTTGTTTGATCTTGGCAGGTGATCCTGCAGCAAGCGCCTAGCTTGCTGAGAAAGCCAGGCGCCTTCCTATCGCTGCAGAAGTTGTCTCCCCTTGGAAGAGCACAACTGATGCTGAAGAGCATACTGGTGGAGTCTGTTCTTGTTTTGGTGATGTTCAATCTGTTCAATGTCAGAAATCGCAGCCGGAAAATGTGGCTTTGCAATCCTCGTCCAGTCATGGGTCGCCTCCGGTGATCCCAGCCAGGAGCGACAGAACGCTCCAAGTTGCTGGAGCTTTTGGAGAATCCACCTCTTCATCTCATTGGCACCCCATCTGGCCGGATGAAACTTCTGCGGAGCCATGTGCTCTGCAACGCGGAGGCCTCCCGGTTCGCGGAAGATTTGGGGTTGTCAACAGCTAGGGGGGGTAGTTTCGTGCCCGTTTCTTCCTTAGGAAGCATCGTTGGAGATGCCGGGATTGTAGATTCACATGTTAAAAAACATGTCACATAAACATGTCAAAACACAGCCGGAATTGCAGATTCACGGTGAGTTATTTTGGGTAAGCTGTTTCTCCCCGGTTTTTTTTGCAGGAGCCCCCTGACTCAGCTTGGACGCCCTGGACGCCCTGGATGGATGCCTCCAGTGCGACGTGGCATGGGATGAGTTCGTTGAGTTGGTTACAGCGCCTGAAACGACCCAGCAAACGAGTTTGCTCAGCCAGGGGCTTAATGGAAAGTATGGGTGTCTCCAAGGATGTCTGTGGGTCAAAATGGGGGTAACATGTTGTAAATTCTTATTTTCCATTTATTTCATAGCTGATAGATAGGTATAGTTATATCTACCAATCATAGGTTATTTCATGATTTTCATACTATAGATAGGTTATTTCATGATTTTCATAATCGTCTAGTCCGTTGTCATGGGTCACGATGGCCTGGCCCATCATCTGAAGACGCTTTCAGGTCCTGCCATTTGGCATGCCAGGCGCCAATCAGCGGATGTTTTTGGGTATGATATGATCTGATATGTATATTCACTATTTACTGAAAGTGAAATGATTCCCAGCAAACCCTCCAGTGATCCAATTCTAGCAATGTCTAGCATTGAAACTGAGACAGTAGGTCGGTAGGCCTTGGAGTTTTTTAGATTTCACAATGCTCCAGGCATCCCGCCCTGTGCAAATGCACACGGCAGGGGATCTCAGGTCCCTGTTTGGCACAACCGAAGATCAAACCGAATGGATTTGTGCAGGCCTCCAAGGAGGTTTGGATGGTGCCTTCCCAGCCCTTGAGGTATTCTCTACAATCCAACGAGTTGCTTGATGGAACAAGGTGCCTGGGATGTTTTCAGGAACAGTCTGAGATCGTGCGTACCTCCTGAAATCGATTAAAAAAAACTTCGCCGCTGAAAAATGACGAGTTTTTTTCAGCATTTTTTGGAATGACCAGATTGTCCCAAAAATGTAAGCTGCATTGTCCAGCTGTCCACAACATTCCATAGCAGTCTGGAGGCTGGAGTGCTGTATCCCTTCTGGTGGAGGCGGTTTTTGGGGCAGCGGTGTAGAAACTTCAGACGTCGGATTTAAGCGGCATTTTTGTTGGGATTTGACTGATGCAAAAAAAGGGTTGAAGCTTAATACGTGAATAGGAAATCCTATTCACCAACCAGTACAGTAGAAAGGGAGGACAGAGGGTTTTGAACACTGATCAGATGATGTTCCAGACCTTTCATTCACTGTTTTCCGGCCGTCAGACTTTGGGCTGAGGAGAGCAGCAGTAGAAACAAGGATGTCCAGTTCAAAGAACCATGGATGTCGGAGCACGAGGATATTCATCACATTGTAGCATACTTGTATCTCTATGCATGAATAGATTTCATACAAACATGTATTAGCCATCCCACGACTGAGAATCCATGGCTTGGTCACTAGGCTTGGTCAGAGTACATCAATGGGCCATTGCAGAGTACAACCATTCATTTTGATCATGGGATATCACGGGTATTTCTGGAACTATCAGTAACTATCACTTGATACAGTCATGCCATTGTTTGAGTACGGGGATCCAGCCGCAGCCGCGGTGATTTTCAACCTGCGCACCTTGAGTAGCGCGCCCCCGCGTTGCGCCGGGACCGCCAAAAGGCGGTTTTTTCCCAGCAGCGGCGCCGGCACCAGCCATGTACGCGACCCTGACCGGCCGACCGTCAGTGCAGCTACATGTAAGGCTGGAAGGGTCGGGGATGCCGCGCTTGGGAAACTAAGGCAGAAGGGCCAACTGGCAGTTGATTGTGGCCAAGTGGGTATGGCCCTGAAGCTGTAGATTTTGGATATATATGATTTTGACCCGTACTTACAGTCCTACATCTGGCTTGTCCCTGTACAGTGCAAGTGAGCCACAAGACTCGGCTTGTTGAGCAACTTTTCCTTTTTTGATATGTTTGCTGGTTTCATGTCCTTTGGTTGCTCGAAGCGATCATCTCTTGAGGTCCAGCCTCCAGTAAGACATAGTAAGACATAGTAACCCCAATTTTTCTTGGAAAATCGCCTGATTTTGGATGATTTTGGCTGCTTTTTTTTTGGGGGGGAGGTTGGTGAAACCTCCATTTCCTTACCAGCCTTACCAGGTGCTCCACTCCGGCGCCTCGATGCTCCCGCGACTCGGTGCTTCGCAGAGCTAGGGCTGACTTCTCCAAAAAGGACGGGCCCGGGACGGTTCACCAAACAAGGTGGACAGTTGGTACAAAATCAATCCTGACATCCTGAAAATCTGTTGGACATGTTTTTTTTTTTACATTTTTTTTAACGATTTTGTGTTCTGGGGACTAATTTAGCGAATACCCCCCAAGGGATACAACAGTTTAGTATCGGATCGGCCACTCTCATTTGGGATTATTTGATATGAGGGGGATGAACGAACCATTTTTTCAAATATCCTAAATAGGATTGAACATAATTGGGGATCATGAACGAATCAATTTTTGTCGAGAACTAGTATTTGGTTCTTGGAGGATCATCCTACTTCGACCAATTCTTAAACCACCTGAGTAAGTCCTCTAAGTGGGCTGATCTCATATGTAGAGGTGCTGTGGTCCTGTGGCTACTAGATCACAAAGTGGGGAGCTCCTCTAAGTTTGGAAACAAACATGGGGAGATGTAGCAGTGGCTTTGTCCACGAATACACGGTTTGCGACATCATTTTTTTTTGATTATTGTGCGAGATAGCCAGCAATATGACAGATCATATTATGGGGTCCACCCATTCTATGGTCATTCAACGCTTGGGAAATCGAGGTTGCCAGATGGTGGATTTGACATCACAGGAGATGCTGAAGTTTGCCATTCCAGCCCTGGGTATTTCAATTGCAGCACCCTTCATGACGTGCCCTGGCGATGTGTCCCAAGTTGGAATCCAATGGAATCCAAGGATTGCCAGTATGGGGCTGGATATGGATGGTTTGACCCAGTTTCAAGACATGCCCATGCGGGTGATCCCATGTGTTGGTTCTAGGCAGACTTGCACAGAAATATGACCATTTGGACAAGAATCAACATCGACACGACTGGAACTCTTAGGAACATTGACAATGCTTTCATCGGCCGCCTAAGTGGCACGAAAGCACTTGCAGCAATGAGCCCTGGCAGTGTGTGACTTCGTCCAAAGTTACAGTGTGGGACTTGATGCGGAGCCACTCGAAAACCATCAAGATGGGTTCTGCAGAAGTTCAACAGGACATGTTGAAATGTTGTCTCTCACCAAAGGTCCAGAAGTCCATTCACCCTAAATTCTGGTGAGTCCAAGTGAAATAGGGATTGCTGTATTGAGGCTCAGATTTTTGTGCCATGCGTCATCTTGTTGGTCCCACCAAAAAGTGGTGTTTTACTGACCCATTTGGCATTCCAGTCTGACCCAGTCTGAGCCATTTGCCGTATTACAGTCAGACCCCATGGGAGCAGCTGCAGGTTGTCAGATTATATTTTATATCTATTCATTTTCTTGCCGCGAGCCACTACTGGCTTGGACGCTTGGCCAAAACACATCGTGAGTGAAGTCCGACAGGGGAGTAAGCCCGCAACAAATGTTGGTTATGGCAGAGAATGATCCTCAGGCTCCGAAGGTCAGCCAGCCAGATCACTCAAACCATGTATTGAATGCATCTTCCAAGAGACCCAAATATATCCAAATCTGTCAGAAGATCATCTTGCCAAGCACCTATGAATTTGGATCTTCCATGTTCAATTTCTGAAAGCTGCAAGCACATGACCTGATATCCCCTCATCTTTGTTGCTTGTGCCGCTTCTGCTGGATTTTTGATTGGTTCACGGCTCTGTCAGTTTCCTCCCCCAAATTTGAGTGGGTTGAACATTCACATAAATGTAGATAGATACAGTGGATATACGGAACATCCACCATATGTATATATATATATATTATATATACGTATATAGATAGGTCATGTTCATTGTTCATGGACAGTTTTTTTGATTGAACATATTGTGGGCCTATCATGGGATTATCATGGGACATGAGTCAAATCATGAGATTTAGCCTGCAATTTCAGGGCTTTCACAGGGTTTCACCCAGCGATTGCACCATGGCCCCAGGTGGCTCGCGCACTCCCTTCCGGCCGCCAAAGGGCGGCGAGATGCTTGGGCACCGCGCTGAGTACCTCCTTGGTCTTGGGCTTCGGCCTCACGCTGTTGTGCCCTGGCAACGTTGAAGACGTTGAAGGGACGATGAATGGTGAAGTTGGATGAGCGAAACCATGAACACTAGGTGATATAACTATGATATACCCGTCAACAGGGACTAAACTCCATTTTTTTTGGATTTTACTGAAGTTGATTTGTTATTTTCCCGATGGGAAATCCACTGCTTGGAGAATCTCTTGAGAAGCAAATCCAAAGAGATGGGAGATGTATGGCGAGATGGGTCTGGTAATGTCAAGCATGTGTTTTTCTTCACCTGGGGATATGTATATATATATATATAATATATATATAATATATATATGATATAATATAATATATATATAATATACATTATATGTCACCAACATTTAAATGATTTGGAGTTTTGTTTGAATGGGGATTTTGTGGGGGGGATATAATGGGAGGATAATGGTGCGACGCTATGATGTGGATCGGGTATAGCCATGGTGACCACCGTGATCTTCATAGAAAATCTGGATGGTGGTTTGGGAAGTTGTAAACAGCTATCTTTATCGGTAGATATACTGTAATGGGATATGTACTATATAAACAATGTTTATATGTTTTTTGTATAAAATGGTGATTTCAGAGATGATTGAGCAGCAAATTCGGGGATACCCTACTTGAAGACAACGCCGACAAAGCCAGAGCATGGATGGATATATGGAGAGATGTCCAAAAATCCAATTTACACAATGGGGGTTGTAATATATAGTGTACTATAGAATGGGAGTTAACATGGATTTGAGGAGCGTTTTTTGAAGGATGAGGGGAGTAAAATGTAAAATGTAAAAAGAACTTTGTGAGGATGGAATCGGGATAACCGATGACACAAGCAAGATGATATAGGCACCTGTCCAAAAATGGGCGGGGATGGGTCTCCAATTTGTGGCTTTTGTTCATGGGAAAAATATGGAACCATGAGATTTAAATCCATGGGATGGACGCTGATGCTGTCAATTCCATCTTCAGTCAAAGGTATATCAGGAGCTGACCAGATATAGATGGGTCAAAGTATGTCAAAGTCATTAGATCCATAATTTATGTATATTTATGTATAGATGATTTTCATGGATTTCCCCTCAAGACCTTCATTTATAGGGGATTTCCCATTGCCACGTTTGATTACCAGAGTGTATGTCTGTGTTCACGAGTTTATTACCAAAGTGTATTACCCATGTTATGCCATGAGTTTGTGAGCCCAGCAAGTGTGGATTTTTCTTGCAAACGATCGGAGTTTGTCCAGAAATCCGTTTTTTTTTTTCCACGAAAGATGGGGGAGAAATATGGGTATCGCAAATGTCATTGGCTTTTGTGAAAATACAGCCGTGGCTCCTGTGGATCAACCAGCCGTGGGTGATGCTGGGTTCACGGGAGCCGCCGGGGTGAAACCCATGTTGATTTTGCTTCAAAGCAAAGTCCCCCCAAACAACAAAACAATCCTGCACTTGTAGAAGATATGGTTCACTCCAGCCAGGTTGTATACACTGTTGGTAATTTGCCTTGGTTGCGACCAAGTGCCCCTTTTTGTGCGGGATCGCCGCTGCCAAGGTATCTTTTTGCTACACCCCTTCTCTTGAACCTCTTGGATGTGGCGCCAGAGCTCAGGTTTGTGTCGAAAACACCAATGGCAACAGGTCACCCATGTTTTGTTGTAACGTGCCTTGGTAAACCTCACATGTTTTGTTGATGGAGTCCTCATTTTGGTGGGCTCCAGTCTCAGTTTCTTTGATTACACGGCCACCTCTTCCATGCTTTATGAGTAGGCCTGGTGCTGGCACCTATGTGCGCATCCGTGGTCTGGTGGCATGGGCTGCCCTGATGCAATCTGTGGCGTTGAGTGGGCTCTTGGCAGCCAAAGATAGTGTCACACCTCTGAAGGCTGGGCAGTTGAGAAACAGGCGACAAAAACCATGGGTTTTCCTGCTGTTTCGGCAGGTATGTGAGGGTGGCACATATCGGAGTTTTCAACTTGGAACGATTATAAATCATATATGTGTGTTTTTTAGAAGGGTTATGTTCCCTTCATATCTACAGATGGACTATGGCTACAATGTGTTTCCATGTTTAGGATGGCATTATTCCACAGTTCACGATGAGATTTTCCGCGATTTCTCAGGATCAACCCCCAAGATCATGTATTTCACAACTCCCACTATCTACTGTAACAAATAAGATAACTAGTCATGATCCAACTACTATCCATACCTGTTATCCACAACTATGTAGTTATGTTCTAATCATTATTCACAACTATTCTCCATTTATACTTATTATAGTTATTATCTACCCCCGTCCCAGTGATTTTCTGGATTCTTCACCCCAATCAACTACTAACTAGCAAACTAACTCATTTACCCCAAACTAATCCCATTTTTCTACTCCGGGGTGCGTCCAAGGCTTTGTAAGTAGGGTTTTAAAGGTAGATATATCTGCAGTTAACATCAGCTAACTGGGTTTGTAAACCAACAACATATCTCAGGGGTACCACCTTGCAGTTATATGATTATATATGTGTGTGTATATATATATTATATAAATAAGCTGATAGACAAACACACACACACACACACATACATTATATGTATATATGTATATGGGTATAACGTGTTTCACACCCCCACCCAGTGTTTTCAAGTATTCTATATGTGCACGTTTCAGAGATGTTGTGCACGTGTCAGAGATGTTGTGCACGTTTCCCAGAAGTTGTGCATGTTTCACAGAAGTTGTGCACGTGTCACAGCAGTTGTGCACGTTTCACAAGCCCCCTAATAACGTTCGTGTTCAACTGTATACACACTGAGCGCATTCTAATCGGCAAAAGCATTGGGGCGACCGAACACGTTCTCCCGATGTATATACATCTATATGTATGTATAATTATATATTGTATATGTATATTTCGTGTTCACGCCCCCCTCCCCCCGCCCCCATATGGTATGGGCGGTTACCGCTCCGCCCCCCCACACCCCCACCTACCCCCGACCTCACCACATCCACAGGGGGGGAGGGATACGTAGACATATGCGTATACACATACATATACATACTGTATACATTTGCACATACATACACACACACACTACATACGTATACACACGTTACAAATATGTATATATATATAACTTTCATATACACATAGGGACCATCACCATCTCGGGGGGGGACCACCAAACGCTGGGCCATATATAGATATATAGACATGTATAAAGTATAAAGGTCCTATATCTTCTCCAGTTCTAGATGGGATTTCAAGACATGTTCTCCCATCAGGTGGTCCTCTTTGCGGCCTTTCTGAACCTCGTGGGCGATTTCTTCCTCTGCTGTTGGCCCTTCCAGCTGGGAATCTTCGGTGCGGCAGCTGCCACGGCGGTGTCGACGCTGATGGGCTTTCAGATGATGTGGCAGGCCCTGAAGAGGACGCCGCTGCTGGAAAAAATCTGAGAGATTGAGTAGATTCAGATGGTCGAAAGTTCTCGTTCTCGATATTTTTCGAATGTTAGATCTATATGTATATTTATAGCTTTGTATCTATAGCAATATCTATATTTATACTAGTATGTCTATACAGCGCATAAACACTCGCATTTGGAGGGTTCTACAACTGCAAGGGTGTACAAAGCTCTTCCGGAGCTGCCCGACATAGTGCAGTTAGCTAATAGGACCAAGGGGCCGGCCTAGAAAACAGGTCGACCTCAAGAATCGTTTCAGCAGCTTCCTTTGAACTGCTGCTACCATCTTCGATCATGAGCTCTGGGCATCCCCAACAGCCATCTCTGCAGCTGTTTCAGTCATTTTGCCAGGAATCACTTGATGCCACCGAAGTTGTGCATCCCCAGCCGGAAAGATCTCGCCCCACTGCTGGAGTATGCCAAGCCCTTGTCCGTGGTGATCCTGTTCCGGCTCCTTGGCACTTTGGATCTTCTGGTGGAGAAACCTGGTCCAAACAGGGTAGTTGGGGCTTTCCTGTGGAGATTTCCTCTATTTTTGGAAGATCAACATGTTTTTTTGTGCTTTGAGAAACATGAGAAACAACTACTGTACCGTACGTGGATCTTGTGGCTGGTCTGCGTACGTTAAGAAATGGACATGGCATCAACGCACAGGCTGTAATGTCACAGGTTCATGAGCTTGACGCTGATGGCGAAGACTGCGGGGACCATGGGCACTGCTGTCACGGCGGCGTATCAGGTGCCCACGATTGGGTCGATTGGGTTCTGTATGGCAGCATCAGGTTTGACAGCAACTGAGAAGTGAACTTCTGGCTTTATCCATGGTTCACTCAGGTACCAAGAATACAGCTATGTACAGCTACTGTCATACCAGGCCCTGTTTTCGGATTCCTAAAAACAGACGTTTTAGGTACCTGTTCAGCCTACATCATTTTTTGTTTTGACCTTCCATGTGTTAGGTACTGGTACCTCCAATTTACAGGAAGGGCCCCAAATATAAGTTGGTCTATAACCCCATCTATATAACCATAGATACAATTATCCACCATAAAACAATCTGCAAATCACCTGGTTAAATGCGCAACTTTTGGTTCGCTGAATCCCAAGTTGGTTCATGTCAAAAATGTCCCAAACTTCCCTATCTGAAATTTCACTTCAGCTCCCAACAAAATCTGCCAGGTTTTGGCCAATGTTATCGTGCTCTTTGGCCTCTTCGGGGAACCACTGTCCCAGACCGCCCAGACCATGCTGCCGGGGTTGCTTGATCGACCTTCACCCAAGGCCACTCATCCCAGTCTTGTACGAACAAGGTGTATCAGACTATATGGATGTTTCCTGAAATGGGGGTACCCCTAAATCATCCATTTTAATAGGATTTTTCATTACAAACCATCCATTTTGGGGTACCCCCATTTATGGAAACCCCCATATGGGTTGGTACAGAAGCTGTCTGGTAGTCTGTGATTTATCACCATCTTGTGCTAGCATGATCCCACTGCGCAGGCGAGGAAACTGGTCAAGAACCTTTCGGCAACTTGGCCAGAGAACGACCCCATGGAGTTCATGGCAACCGGTAGGGTTGGCTTTGCCATCGTTGAAAAAACACGTTTCCCATACTTCATTCTGACTCCGACCTATTGTATGTATATATATATATACATATGGCATACTACTTCGCAGATTTCCACCACCATACTTTATTCTACATCATTCAATCATTCTCATCTTATGACGACAGTATGTGGGAATACACATTTCATCACATTTCACTACCTAGTTATGAGCAAATCTTACATCTTTTTCAGTTCAGTGCATAGTCCCTTCCCCGAATATTGAATACCTCCCAGAAACCATGGTGAAACGTAGGAGATAAAACACATCTTTGGAACCATACCATGGAGGTGTTTCATATGGGGGATGTTAGGCTTCATCAATACCCCCTTCACCCCCATTACACCCTCCATTAAATCCCATCAAATCCTATTCAAATCCCATTAAAATCCCAGTAAATCCCATCAAATCCTATTCAAATCCCATTAGAATCCCATTAATTAAATCCCATTAGAATCCCATTAAATCCTATTAGAATCCCATTCAATTCCCATTAGAATCCCATTAAATCCCATTAGAATCCCATTCAATTCCTATTAGAATCCCATTAGAATCCCATTTAGAATCCCACAGCTGGGATGGGAATACCAGGTCGTGGCCATCGGCATCAGCGCCTCGGTGGGGCTCTTCTCGGCGCTGGTCTTGAAAGCTTCGGCCCATCTCTTCACCACGGATGCGGAGGCGGCTGCTCATTTCCTCTGGAAAACGATACCCTCTGGTAATTTAACATAGCGAACTGGAAAGATCCACCATTTTTCATGGGAAAATCCACTATAAATGGCCATTTTCAATAGCTTTTTGTAGGTTTACCAGAGGCTAGTCAGCTTAGCTGACTAGTTCGTCATGATATGTCATGATCTTAAGAGCAACCCATGGGATTTATTGGTGATTGATCCTAGGGATCCCTAGAGATTTTATATACAGAAAGATGTGGAAACACCATGGTGAAAGCCGGAAAAATGCTGGGTAAACACTACATCGAAGTGTTAGTTTACAGAAGGGTAAAGGACGGTTAACTTATAGTTTCTCATGAGGAAACGAGGGGTATATAAATGATGGTTATGTAATGATGACTAATAATGACCAATGATGGTTGGTAATGGTTCAGGATGGTTAGCAATGGTTATATAGTGGTGGTCAACTATAGTTATTCATGATTAACGATGGGACATGTCAACCAAATATCATAATGTTAGTGATGAATGATGGTTAATGCATATAATTAGCATGATGTTTATTGATGGTCAGCAACAGTTCATGATGTTGAATCATTGTTAGTCATGATTCATGATCAATGAAGTTTGATGATGGATAGTAATGTCAACCCCGGAGTAATAAGCCTTGCTTGATTAATGACCAAGTAGTGATCAGATGCTTCTAGAGTGGTAACCTCCCAATTTAACACCTCGGGCGTTTATCATAGTTTATCAATCCGGGGTTGATATTAATGATCCGTGATGGGTAATTATGGATAGTGATGATTATATAATGATATCTAATTATTGTTAGTGATGATTCATGATGGGTAATTCTTGTTGGTAATGCTGGATGATACAATCAACTCTGCTTGAGTAGTTGGGGGGTGCCCGGGGGTGCCGCAAACAGTGATCGTCTGCAGACTATGTCAGACTATGTTTGTTGAGTACCGGCATCTTTCTCCACGGCATTTGCTGCAAGTGTCAAGTACAAAAAGGTCCATCTGCCAATATCACAGTGTCTGAAAATGGGGTATACCGATATACACCCAAATGGCCACTTTAACAGATACAAATAAGATTATATCATATTATATCACCAGTGGATTTGGAGGCACACTATTTTCAGACTGCTACCCAGTTGCTTGATTTCTTCATGCATTTTTTGGGTCCCGCTTGGCTACAATGCCAAGCTCGTTTCACAGGTTGAATCCTCCAAGTCCAATGGTGTGTCATCATTTTCCACACTCAAATTGCTCTGTTTTTTCGGGTAGCTCCCATTTGAGACAGAATCAACATATCACATTGTCAGTAATGCGTATCCCCATTATATATATAAATATATATATATATATCATACCCGTTATGTTGGACAGATCCCCAGGATTTTTGTCTGAACATTTTGCTGAGGTGCAAGGCATTTTGCGCGGGACCACTATGGTGCCCTTCAGCCGAGAAAGGGAACGTAACAGGTGGTGTGAAGGATCCGATGATTGTGACAAGCAAGTGATGACACTTTAACTAAAACGACTGTGACAATGATGATAATGACGGCACAAATGATAGCGATGATAGTGATGATAATTAGGATAATGATGATTATTGTTATTACTATTATGACGATGATACTGATGGTGATGATGAACATGATAATGATAGACATCACATGTCACATGTTGAGTATGATTGATGATATGGCATATACACAAGATAAATGATCGATGAACACTATAAACTGCGATGAGATTGACAATGAACATGGTGAAGACACTTGCAACAGTAAATACCATGAAAGGTCCAACCTTTGTTGCCGTGGGTTTGCTAGAGTCCAGATCGGGGATGAGGACTGACCCCAGACTGTTCATTTTGCTTCTTTTTCCGGATCCAAACCTTGAACCACACCATTTTCAGAGTGTGCTATGTCCCCCAAACAACGGCAATTTGTTGATGTATTCCACCCTGCTGGGATTCGACCCACACCGGACATTTTGAGCTGGCGGGGCAGGTACCGGTGACCGTAGCGTCATTGATTTTGTCACAAGTATGTGATGGTGCGATGCTAGCTGCCAGGGAGTCGGCAGCTCAGAGGACTAAGAACAACGCTAACAACGCTGTGGGAAGGCCATGTGGACCGTGGCGGAGCTGAGGTTTCCCCTAGTCATCAAGATCACCGTAGGTGCGACCACCCTCCAGGCCTGGGAGGAAGATTCGATGTTTGATGGGAAAATGCGCCATTTCCAAGAAACCACAACAGTTAGCCTTTGACTCCAAGATTCTGCAAGTAGGTCAGTGATGGTCAAGGGGTCAATTTTGCAAAGCTAAGATCTGAGATCGTCAGACGAGGCCTTGTTGCTCATTGCAGCAACCCGTTTCAACTGGAGTTTGGAGGTCGTTTTTCTTTCCCTAGTGACTCGACAGCAAGGCGGACCCGCAGGTGTTGGTAGAGGAACCCCATGTGGAACTAGGAATCTCTCGTTATCCCATAGTGTCCCTGGCAAACCATTGAAATTGGATGAAATCGGTGAATTTTCAACCTCAAGGTTGCTTTCTCCAGGCAATTTCATGTAATCTCATGCAACATCGGTGCTTTCTGAGCCTAGAATGCAAAGGGTGAAGCTGCAAGAGGTTGGCTCCTGTGGCTCCTGTATGGTAATCCTCCAATGAACAGCCGTCCCAGCTGTGTTGAGCTTCACTCATCCACGGCCAACCCACCTGCTGAGTCGATTCGCTACTGGCTATTTCTCTTCATGGTCTCCTGGCGCTGCCTTGTTGGACGGGGAGCCCTAGGACAAGCCCTGCACGTGAATCGACGTCTTGAGAGGAGCCGTTGATCGCCGCGTGCAAAACTGTGGCGTCACGACGAGGGGTGAGGGGCTGCTTGGGAGAGGAGTGGTTCTAGAAAGATCATGATTGGTTGCCATGAATATGGGGGTTTCCTGAAATGGGAATATCCCAATAGCTGGATGGTTTACAATGGACAATCCTACTAATTAAAATGGATGATTCGGGGGTACTACCATATCCCTAAAACAACAATAAACCATCCCCCAAATCACCATAAATATAGGTGGTATAAACCATTCCCAAATGGGTAGTTTATGGTAGTTTATTATATTTTTTCCCCCCATATCCCCATTTGTTTGGCAGCAGAATTCTTCATTTCTGTCACTCGCCTCCAACCTGACAGGGTAACGTGGTGATGGAGGTCAGCGAGCAGTTGCATGTGGCATGGCAAACAGATGGCGAACTGGTAGACCCAGGATGCACACTACATGCACGTATGGTTACGTATCTGAATACGTGAGTGTATACATTCACATAGGACATGTATGGACATGTATACATATTGCTGTAATACATATCTTATGATATCTTACACACACGATAATTTTTGATTTGTACTATATATAATATATACACACATTGACATAACTAGCGGGGCACTCACACAGGCACACATTTATGCGTACAGAGCCATACATCAAAGTATGGATATAGGGCTGGTAATACGGCCTTCAATAAACTTCGTCCACATCTCCAAGGTTCCAGGTCATTCCATTCAGCGATCCATCAGCTGGCCCATGGAGGACCGATGGACGTTTCCTAAGTCATGGGGGTACCCCAAATCATCCAAGTCATGACCATTTTAGCATTGAAACCCATGGTTTTGGGGTCACCTTTAGATGAAGCCATAGCTGAAGATCCATAGATTGTTTAGATTGTTACTAACACTTATATTTAGGTCCAAAAAAAAGCCAAGCCCCGTGGATGAACTTGGCAGGTCTGTTATTTTTGGGTCGTTTTTCGGTCTGATCATCCTCTTCATCCGCAAGTTCCGTCCCCTGGTCACGACATGTTGCCAGGACGCTGCGGATTTGCTGTTCATTCATCCCATGGTGTGGAGACCGAGGTGTCAACCAGGCAGCTGTGGTGAGTCAACAATCCAATTGCGTTGAAAAACAAAGAGAAAAACCAATGTATTCTTACAGTCTTAAAGCCCTAATATGAACCACCCCCCAATTAATTAAATGGTCCCAATGATGTGTAATTTCACTAAAAAATCATGGTTTCTAGGGGTGGTGTTTAATATTAGGGGGACGGGATGATTCTTAAACCCCAAAGCCATAGAAATCCAGCGGATTTTTCTCATCTGGAAATTTCAGGCTGGAAGTTGCACTCTCCTGGACAAGGTCGTGCGCCAGAGCCTTTGACTTGTTGAAGCACTGCTTCGGCATCAACTTACTGGTGCTTAGCAGGGAATGAGGGAATGATCCATAATCACTAGTAATAATCATCCCATTCCCCCATTCCCATCCATTCCCTACTAAGCACCAGTAAGTCAACTTTGAGACACCCTTGTGTTTTGAACCGTTGCCACAGGCGATAAAAATACCTCGATCCATACCGAAACAAAGGTGATCCAGATCGATCCATCGGTATGGATCACTGCATAAGGATCCACTCCCGTTTTTTGAGCCACAGCCAAATAGGAATTTATGCATTACACACATAGACGTTTGCCAAGGTACAAACCACAGCACAACACAGAACTTTCCCGATGACGTGCCGACTCCAGGTGAAAGTTCACAGCTTCCCAAGTTGCCCGGAGCCAAGAACTGTGGTGCTTCAGAACCATTGACCTCTTAAAAACTAAGATGGCACTGGAAAACCTAGCATTTGTGGATGATATTTCCATATTTTTTCAAAGATGGATGATATTTGGAGTCGATCAACATCACCTCCAAAGAGTTTTGAGAGCGATAGACTCTAAGGGTCTATGTGGGAATCAACCCTTTATTGCCGCCTCCTATACGTGCAGCGCCCGACTTCATTCATCATTGGTTTGGATGCTCAGCTGGTGGAAGGGCATTTTGGCCACTCTGCTGTGGTTATACGGATGCTTTTCTAGGAATGTGCATTAAACTATTCTGAATTATGTTTATGAATTTGCATGCACATGTATATTTCAAACATATTCTTGAATGAAGGTTCATTTCATCAGACTTCTGTTGATTTGTTCATAGGTCGGGTGGACATGGAACCAATTTGCTGGTTGACTAGCAAAAAGCAGGGGATGCACTGGTTTTACCGAGGAAGAACCACCAGCAGCTGAGTCTTGGCACCCAGATTGGCTCAGGATTTTGGTCAATGTCTGGAAGTAAACCAGCCAGGTTGCAGTATTACGATCTTGAGCCATACATCTTGCCTGTCAATTGAGATTCAGCACGATCTGAGGTCAACAGGTGCTCGCATCACAATCTGAGGACCAGATGGGTCCATGCTTTGCTTTTGAACATCATTTTCATTTTCCATCCTTGGATAAACAAGGATATACATTGGGAGATTGACAATGATGGCAACATTTGTAGCGGATAATATATATATATATATATACATGTATATGTATATACATATATATATATACACGTTATATATATATATATACATACATTATATATATACACATTATATATATATATATACACATTATATATACACATATATAAATATTTGTGTTTAACTGCTTTTTGGGAGGTGGGATGAGCCCACCACCAATCTTTCAGTGCCTACGGCAAAACTGATCTTCCTTTCAGCCGATTCGTCAAGAGGAGCCTGAAGCTTGGGCGGTTCGCTCCATGAGCAGTCATTTCTTGGCACAGTGTTCGTTGAGCCAGGCGGGGGGAGGAGAGTTGCTCGGAATGAAGGCATTCACCATCTATTTCTGCGGGGATATAATGAGGATATTTCGATAAGAACTATCATGAACTCTCAATCTCTGGAGAATTTCTGCCGACACTGCCACATGACCTGGAATGACGGTGAACGTAGGGGTAAGTATCCCCAGTGCTGGCCAAACGGCTCGTGGACTTATTCCATCCAGATGAACATCCCCAGATGGTACTCCAATGGGAGATGTTTTATACCACACATTTCTGGTTGAAGCTGGTCTATTGTTGGGTTGAGCATAGCAAGAGAGATAGAGTGTTGTATGAGGGTGGAGATGCGAAAGTCCAGGTATTTTGGAGTGTTCCTGTGAACAATTGCACGTTCTTCTGAATAAAACGACAAAAAAGGGAGATGCAGATTATCCAGCCTCTCCACATTCCAGCCACATTTTTTGGTGGTGTCTTTCGGAAGATTTTCGCTCTCCAGTCAGCCATTCGAGGGTCGATTTTGAATGTGAAACCGGCATGGGTGAACAGGGAAACTGGTGATTGGACATCAAATTTGGAGGTACCCTACTTGGTAGCTCACCCCAATCAATAAGTGGCTTATAACAACTTAGGACCCCAGTTATGACTGGACGAAGCCTACTTACCTTACTTACAACTGGGCTTGTAGGGGTTGTAAACCACCTAAGTGGGGTGAGCCAACAAGTACACCAGTGCTATTTCGTGGATTTTCGTCCAGGCAGCTGCGATGCTCCGAAAGGACTATGTCTTGCTGCAGGTGGACTCTTGCCACGATTTGTCATGATTTATCATGACTTATCAATACTTATCACCATTTTCCCCGGTATCGTGATATAATAGGTTTAACCATCAACACATGAGGACTTACTATGGATTTTGTAATGGTTTAATTTCCTTAAATGGGAATGTCATCCCCATTTTCAGACACGACATGGCCCCACCACCGTCGCTATAAGGAACATCTCTTTGCCGTCTTTGCCCAGAAGAGCATCAAGGAGCTACAATTGCAGGACGCTGGTGCAGCGGGCTTGTGCGGGCATGCTCCAGTGATGTGTGAAGCATAGACCTTGATGGCTGAATAGTGAAATAGCATACAGTAGCTGCATGAAAAAGCAAATATTTTTTCCAAGAAGTTGGAACCTTAGAAGCCCCAAAAATGGTCTGTTTCAGTGGTAAAAGCCACTGGTTGGTTACGCCACGACTTCTAATTTTCACGCTTGTGCCCATAGGACTCGATGGGCGGCGTGGCCGAGTTTGAGGTTGGTCACCTCATAGAGATGAGTCGAGACATTTTGGCTGGGTAAAATGGAGACATGTTGGACACGTTGTATGAATCACTGGGTAAATCAATGCACATGACTCAAATTTCATATATGTATATATATATATTATATATATACAGCAGGACTCTCCTAACCCCGAACTTTGTATTCTTTAACCCCGAAGTAGATGTTTCTTAACCCCGAATAGAACTGTTTCTTAACCACGGACTATCTCTTCGCCACGAAGTTCGACTTCGCTTTCACAGTGGCTTCTTCTCTATGGAGACTTTTCCTCTTTACTCCTCTTTACGGGGGTTCTTGGAGATAATTTTTCCTCATATCTCAGATAGAATTTTTGATAGAATGTCAGAAAGAATGTGAGTTAGCGTGGCAAATAGAATGTCAGGTAGAATGCTTGAATGTTAGAAATAGTGCGAGGAAGCAAGCCGCCAGATAGAATGCAAGATACATTGCAAGATATTGCAAGTGCAAGAATGTCAGATAGAATGTCGTCAGGTAGATTGTCAGCTAGAATGGCAGAAATAGCGCCAGGAAGAATGTAAGATTTTTGAAGAAGGCCGGATAGACTGCCAGACAGAATGTTCAATAGAAGGTCAGATAGAATGCGGAATGTCAGATAGAATGCGAGCAAGAATGTCAGAAATAATATGCCAGGAAGACAGTCCGATGGAATGCCAGATGGGATATCACATAAAATGGTAGTTAGAATGTCGGAATATATGTCCAAAAGAATGCCACGTGGAACGCGAGAAAGCATTTAGATAGATTGCCAGGGTTACACGTCAGAATTTATGTGAAAGTGCGTGTCTTGAAATGCGAGGGTGGGGACACAAAAGCCAAACCTTTGCAGAGTTCACCTCACTTTTCCGGGCCAGGAATCGCTGGGCCCTCAAAGTGACTGAACAAGACAGGTGAAATTTTCCAAGCGTGTGAAGGTTTGCCGATGTTTTCAAAGCTTTAATTAGTGCTCAAGCCCCTTGCAATCTTGCAAACCAAGTTGAACCCCATCACACTTAGAACAAAAAAGTACTTACAACAGAAACACTTAGAACAGAAGCGCTACACTCAGAACACTACCACCAGTAGCTTTGGAAAGTTAGGAATTCATGGTGTTGGTGATGGTGATTGCTGAATCTTATTTACTTCACTTCGCTACGCTTGCGTATGTATACGTACGTGCGGACATTATATGCTCTTGTAAAAGGCCATAACCCGCGATGCACTAAAGGTTTGAAACCCTTTTGTGACCACTCTAAAACCATTGCAAACACCATGTGCGGTGGAGGGAAAGACACACCCGCTTGTCTTTAAACCTTTCCGAAGCCATTTTGGCCATGTCGCTTTCGGGCGGCGGAACACAGCGGGGATGGTGCAACTCCCCGGAAGTTGAGGCTCTCAGTGTCAGTTCTGGCAAGCGTGATGATTCTGAGTCTTTAAACAGCCAAGCAATTCTGGCTCGCAAATTCGGTCTGTAGGAATTTATGCTCGTGCCAGCTTCCTTATCCCACATGTCATGGACCATTGAGATCATGTAGAACTTTCGCAAAATTGTCGGATTAATGGGTTTATTGACCTCTTACATGAGAATTTCGCGCCAGAATTGAATTGCTAGGAAGTGCTGCGCAGGCTGTGCGGGTCCACACAGTCGCAGACTCTCCGCAGGCTGATTACTTCCGAGAAGCTTCCTCACCACATTTGTCGTCGACCACTTCGATTGTGCTGTATCTGCAAGGTTGTCACGTCAATGTAGGGTGGCTGATGTGTTCCACGGATCTTAAGAGCAAGTAGGTCCAAGAGCTCACTGAATCTCCACAGGCTGCTCAGTCAACCGATGCTGAAATTTGTTTTGGGTAAGCTCCGGTGCCGCGCTTGTTGTGGACCATGTCGATCCTGTGCCGTTTCTGCTAGAATGTCACGCTTATCACATAATTTACGTTTTGCACGAGGGTCACGCACAAGCAATTCCCATCGTATTGCTAGAGCCGCCCTTCCGGTGTTGAGCAGGTAGGGCGAATCCAAGTGGTCTCTGACTCTGACTCCCCAAAGGCTGCGCTGCAAGCTTCATGTCTTTTTTTGTGGGCAAGTTGGGCCGCACCACCTCATTACGGTTGCTATTGTGCAACCAAACGTTTGTTCCTAGTCGGGCCCATTGAAGATCCAGGCCTGTCATTTGGCCTTTCCCTTTGTATGTGTTGATTTTTTGTTTTCAGAAGTGGCAGGTTTAGCTTTCTTTGTAATTCGTGTCGCAAGTGTTGTGTCTTAGCTTTTCATTGTTGTTAGAGCTGCCGTGTTTCGGTGCTTCGTAGGCCGGACCCGTGGATGCTGGCTCTGTCTCTTCGATGGCTGCGACAGAAGAGGCAGGCAAACTCTTCATGGGGCAAGCTTTGCCTTTGCCGACTAGTTTGGTCAAGCCATACTGCTTCAGAAACTGGCAGGTGGAGCAGTGCTTGGTTGCTCCAAACTCCGAGGACAGATTCCTTATCGATTCCTTATGACCAGCTCAATCACCAAGAATCAGGACTCAAATGGCAGTCATGTGAGTGTTATGCAAAAGGTCCTTCTCTTGAGCGTTCATGTGGACGTTCATGTGGATGATACGCCTAACAATTCCGCAAATGTGCGAGAGTGTTTTTTATTGTTCTTGGATGAAGGAATTTAGATCAACCGTCATGTCTTAGCTTTTGGATAAGAGGCGCTTTTGGCCAAGCTATGGTTCTTCTTGCTATAGTTTGGTTGGCGCATTCTGGCCACAGGATTGCGCCGCAGGACCACTCTCCTCTATCCCGGTGCCAGCAGACGGGAGGCAGGTCCTGCAACATGATCGGATGATACCCTCTTCAAGTTTCGTTGGCATCTTCTATTTTTCACATTGGGATTCATCTGGTTTTATCGTACTTCATCCTGGCCTGTGTTTGATGCTCCATGATATAGAGTTCTAAATACGCGCGACCGCTCATGGTGATATTTGGTGACACTTTTCATGGGTTGACAGCCACAGATCGAGCTGTTTGGATTCTTTGATTTCTCAAATCTTGGAAAAATATTGGAACGTGAGTTGGATTCTGTGATATCGTTTTAGATTGGATGGTGATCCCATCCCTTCTCAGACATGAAGCCATCCTCTGGCAGGTGTTTCTGGTCAAGTCTTTTCGTCAGTATGCAGCAGTCCACGGATTGGAAAGGAACGTCCCAGGCCTGCCCAACCGAAGCCACGGTATTTGGTTAGATTCTCTAGCTCTGTGCTTGCGCTCGCAGGAGACACTGTCCGTCCGGGACTGGGCATTGGGCTTCGGGCTGAGCTCGGAAGCTCAAGAGCGCATACAGAAGGGCAAGCTTGCTGAGCGCAGGGACTTGGCTTCTCGGATGCAAAGACAGGCGTCCCCCAGTAATCACAGATGAGTCAGATGAGCCACACTCAATACTTCTGTGGTGGCGCAGTCAAAGTTCCTGTTACCGGGGGTTATTTTGTTGAAGTGGCAGCATGCAGTGGACAGCACGACAGATCCTTGTTGTTGTATGTGAAATTACATCGGCTGCAGTCTGCTTCAAGCCAAGGTTGAGGCGGCTGAGAAGTTTCAACGGAATCTAGTGTTCTATGCAAGCGAGCGTGGTAAGCCGCTGTACCGAATTCCTCCTGTGAGACAGCCTGAGTGGCAGACGGTGCGTTTGCTCTGCTCTGTCGTCGTCGATGGCGCTGAGAAGGAAGCCGAGCACTTTGAGGCTTTGATGCCAAGAAGGCCCGATCACTGGGGAAAGTAAGCCACTTCTAACTTGAGAGCACTGCCACAGCAGTTCTGCCAGGTTGGAAGAGACGTTCAACGCTGTGGCATAAATGGACGATGAGGACTGCACGGGTTTTGACTATCTTTATTTCCAAAAAAGAATGTATGAACATTCTGATCCAAAGGCTTTTGGGAGCATCTCACCTGACATCTTGTCTCCGCATTAGTTTCTGTCTGAGTTTGCGAATATCATTTTACCGGAGAGAAATAGCTGGTGGTATTCTTCGCGTAAGTTTCACTAGAGTAAAGCAATAAATATGGACGTGTATTTGAGCAGCCGAGTGCTGTGCTAGTGCTGCTGCCATTCCTCCTCCTCCTCCTCCTCCAGAGCCTAGCGATACTTACCACTACTCCTCCTCCTACTCCTATTGCCTGCACAAGCACCATATGAACTTTGCACCTCTTTGTGTGTGTGCATTCTGCATGGCATTAGATTCTGAATTGCATTCGTTGTGCACAAGTTGTGAGGAGGGCAATTCCAAGAGACCGATGTCTGGCGAGGACTGAGCAAGTGCTCTCGTATTCGTACATATTTGTATTGATCTTTGGGGATGATGCGTTGCCAATGCATTCCCCAACTGCACTCCTATGCCCATGACTCCAAAGCATACAAGGGCCCATTAAGGATTTTGAGGATTCATTTGGCAATGTTGACGGACAAACGCCCAATACAGCAGCAAACGGAGGAGCAGAAAGATGCTGGTGCAGTTGACAGCCCCAGGGCCGATGGTCCAGAGGCAGGTGGCCCAACTTCAAAATGTAGATCTCTTGCCAAAAGATTCCAAAGGGATTGGCAGTACAGGCTCAGTCTCCTGTAGAAGAGTCCCCGTAAAGTCCCGGTAAAGAGGAAAAGTCTCCATAAAGAAGAGTCCGAGTACAGAGGAAAAGTCTCCATAGAGAAGAGTCCCCGTAAAGAGGAAAAGTCTCCATAGAGAAGAGTCCCCGTAAAGCCGCTGTAAAGAGGAAAAGTCTCCATAGAGAAGAGTCCCCATAGAGTCCCCGTAAATTCCCCGTAGAGAGGAAAAGTCTCTACATAGAGAAGAGGCCCCGTAAAGTCCCCGCGCGTGAAGTCGCCGTAAAGATGAAAAGTCTCCGTAGAGAAGAATAGAAAAGTCTCCCTGGAAAAGAGTCCCCGGAAAGTCACCGTAAAGAGGAAAAGTCCCCATAGAGAAGAGTCCCGGTAAAGCCCCCGTAAAGAGGAAAAAGTCTCCATGAGAAGAGTCCCCGTAAAGCTTCCATAAAGAGGAAAAGTCTCCATGAAGAGTTCCTGCAAAGCACACGTAAAGAGGAAAAGTCTCCATGGAGAAGACTCCCCGTAAGGAGGAAAAGTCTCCATAGAGAAGAGTCCCCGTAAAGAGGAAAAGTCTCCATAAAGAGTAAAGAGGCAAAGTCTCCATAGAGAAGAGTCCCGTAAAGTCCCCGAAAGAGGAAAAACCTCCATAGAGAAGAGTCCCCGTAGAGTCCCCGTAGAGTCCCCGTAAAGACGAAAAGTCTCTGCATGGAGAAGAGGCCCCGTAAAGAGGAAACGTCTCCATAGAGAAGAGTCCCCGTAAAGAGGAACAGTCTCTATAAAGAGTAAAGAGGAAAAGTCTCCATAGAGAAGAGTCCCCGTAAAGTCCCCGTAAAGAGGAAAAGTCTCCAATCTCCACAGAGAAGAATCCCCGTAAAGAGGAAAAGTCTCCATAGAGAAGAGTCAATACAATGCTAAATGCAATAGACAGAGACTTGGCCGGAGAGTGAATGGCACATTACATTCACCTTTTAAAATAATTTCAAATGTATATTGTATCGTATTTCGTGGTTAAAAAAAAATTGCTTCGGAGTTAAACTGACCACAATTCGTAGCTAAGAAAAAAAAACTTCGGGGTTAAGTTCCTGAATCTGCTTCGGGGTTAAGAGCGTGTCTCTGTATATATATATATACATACAGTATATAAACATACAAATATACACCTATTTTTGAGAAAAATAGGAAATACAAAGCATAACTAAGACACATTTTTGGTCAGAATTGTTGCGAAGTGAAGATACCCAGCCGCCATGCCGGAGGCGTGGCGTCGAAGTTGGTTTTGCTCTCCTCTTTCACCGGTGCTTCTATCTCTGGAACAGGATGGAGAATGTGGCTGGGAACTGCGACAGGACATATCTTTACTGAGATGAATTGTGATGATTTTAGATTTTAGATCCTTCAACTTGATTCATTTTGGTTCTTGATATTTCCATATATTTCCCATATATTTCCCATGATTGATCCAATTTCTAGGGCTTGCACCTCCCAGCATCGGACGACCAGTTGGCTGGCACGGACGACCAGTGGCTCTCAATTGGAGCAATGACCCAGGAGGCGGCGCACATTCTTTTTGCAGCGCTGGTGATGTTTGTCCAGGAAAAGCGATTTTAATGGGATTTTATGGTGTTTTAATGGGATTTTATGGTGATTTAAAGGGATATTAATGGGATATACCCTCTGGTAATTTAACATAGCTATTGAACATGGCTATTTTTAGTGGGTTTTCCCAGCTAGAAAATGGTGGATCTTTCCATAATTACAGTATGTTAATTTACCAGAGGGTATATATATAGATGCACAAATATACACATATACCATACATGTATACATATGTATATACATACAATTATACATTTAATATCATTTAATAATCTTATATATAATAATAATAATAATAACAATAATAACAATAATAACAAGAACAACAATAATAATAATAATAGTAATAAAACAATAATAATTAATAATAAGTAATAAATCATACTACTAATAATAATTAGATAAATGTGATTCTTTGAGATGACAATGAACCTTCGAATCAACAGCGGCTTCATTGCGGTGTCCAGGATGCGCAGCAAGCTGCGGTGTCTCTCGGCTGCGACTTCCTCGAACGACAAGAACTTCTACCAGACCAGGCGCGATCAGGGGATGTTGATGTGGCTTTGCCCATTTTGTCAGGGAAAGAAACCACAAACTATGGTGAAAAGATGTGAAAAGAGGATATTTCATCGGGATGGGATTGGGATTTTGGATGCAATGGGATATCAGCAAGATGAAACGAAACTTCTTTTCTCCAGTCGCCAAGCCGGCTCTCTGCGCCTTGACCCGAGCAGTACCGCGAGCTTTGGGCCCCGGGCCTGAACACTATGCCAGATAGAATGCATGAATGCCAGATAAAGGGTAAGATGGAGTCAACATATGTCTCAGATAAATGTCCGAACTTACTATATGTCAGAAAGAGTCTCGATTATGTTTCAGACATGAAACCTCAGATAGAATTCCAGATAATATGACAGTATGTCCGCATATATGCCACACAGACTGCCAGATAAGATGTCAAATAGAATGTCAATATCATATGCCAGAACATACCGGTAGGTTAGATAGGATGTCAGAACATATGTCAGACAGAATGCCAGAACATTTGTCAGACAGAATGTCAGAATTTATGTCAGAAAATATTCTAGTAGAATGCCAAATAAATCTTAAATTGCCAGATAAAATGCCAGATCGATGAGATAGAATGCTAGAAAAAGTGCGATCGAATGTCAGATAGAATGCCAGGTAAACTGTCAGATAGGATGTCAGAAAATGGGATAACATGCTGGAATATATGTCAGATAGAATGTCAGTTGGTGTGGATCTCCCTAAGAAAGGGGCTGTAAGTAGTTTTAATCTTCGAAACTAAGCTGAGGTGAGAGGGTATCTTGCCACTTTGCCCAGGTGCATATGAAGTGTGAGGTTTCCAGGCGCTGCTGGGGATTGATGGCCTCCAAGTTTTTTTTGATGAACCTTGCTGGGGTGTTCACCTGGATGGCATATGCAGCCTTGGAAAGCAAATCAATTCTTTATCATCCCTAAGTTGCAACTTGTCCTCCGATTCAAAGCATTTTTATGAATGTAGTTTCCCAACAGAGCCACAAAAAGTGCAGGCACTTGCCTCAGAGGGTGAGGGCCTCAGAGACAGATGAGCAATCGATTCAATCGATGGCTCTGGGGCCGGGCCCAGGACGTGCCACCATGGCAACAACGCCTGCGAGTCCAGTGGTCCTTGAAACAGCTGATGTGTCCAGGTGGGAACCAGCGGATCTTCCTCGTTGTTTTCCCTTCAGACGTAGGGAGTGGTAGAAGTGGCACATTGTACCATTACATATTTATGTACTACTGTGGTCATTGCTCACCATTTTTTTTTTACTTCTGTTTTCAGTTACTGTAGTAAAACTCTCAAACACCACCAAAAATACAAAAAACAATTGTTGCTTTTCAGGCAATATTCAGCGAACGCTGGGGTGAAATTTCAATGGGATACGGATAAGCCAGTTTCCAGTCACATTACCCCTAGAGATCAAGCTGCTGTTCCAGTTTTTCCCGTTGCTCTCCACTCATTTTTCTTTCCTGGACTGAACATGATTCAACCAGCGAAATGGGGATCAACAGAATTCAACAGATCAACATTTTCCAGTGCGAAATGGGCTTCAATCTTCATCCGCAGCCAGGTGTTGCTTTGCAACTGGCCCAAGAAGGCAGGTATCGGACGGTGAGACGGCGTCATATCGTCCCATTGCATCACACTGACGGAGTACTCGTCGTCGCTATGATCTCACCATTTTCTCCAACTTGGGGATTTTCTATCATTTTCCTGCTTTTTCACGGGAAAAACAGGACATTTCTCACAGCATCTTCCCTGGTTAGGTCACGGTCACTGCCCTGTGCATGGTGGCAATACAGAATGCGAATGCTTCGCGCCAGGAAGCCCGCGAATTTTGTTGGGTGATGTAGGTCGGATTTTGAGATCAATGAGCTTGACGCCCCGAGAGCCCATGCTTTGTCATCATTTCTCCGTAAACATGTTCGTTAACATTGGGGTTTACCATGGTTTACCACATTCTTGGACAAAAGCCATCGATATCCATCATAAGTCTATGGCATTGTTGGTGATGTACATCCATATACATCCAGTTGTTTTAATCCCCTTCCCGCTGAGGCCCTGGCGCGGATTGCATTGCAACATCCTGGACGCCACAGTGGCTGGTCATGGATGATTCAACGGGGCTACCCATTTCGTGTTTGTTTAGCCACCTGAAAACGCAATATTTTGGGGGGATGAAAAACCATGGCTTTTTATTTTTAGTTCTCTAGCTCTTAGGGGATGGTCATCAACCAATTATGTTGAAATGAGTTCAATTGAAACATATTGAAACTACATGTTTAGGGATTTCCGTTTTATGAGATGGATGACCATACCCCAACATATTTTTTGGCTTCTATAGCCATTGTTCGATACCGTACGGTGACATTCCCTGATCATGCAACAGCATCTATGCAACAAACCATATATGTCAACAGCAATCTGCAAGATGGGCAGCAGTCACAGTTTTTTTTTTTCACATCTTCCTCTGCGTCTTTGCCGTGATTTCCATGTAGAAAAACTCCATTACCATGATTCAGCATAAAGTATGTGTGCAAGTACAATAGAGGACGTCCGTTGTGTAGCATCATGTATGTGTGCAAGTGCAACAGAACGCAAACTTGCAAGCCCCACTCCATCCCACCCCACCCCAAAAAATGCAAACACGCTAGTCCGGTTTTCGGGCTGGAGGCATAAACATATACGATATACATACATCCAAGTATAGAGATGTACATTTGCACATACACGCGCACACACACACATGCAGCATACACAAATATACACATACAATATATACACACACACGATTGTACATACCTATACACACATACGTATATATATATAATACATAGTTTGATTTACACGGAATTTACACATGTATATATTCATATATATATATATTATATTCATCTCTAGAGAGGTATGGACAACGCCATCCGAGTGAAGTGACAGTCCAGACCACGTCCGGACATCACAATCTTTCTTAGTGGAAGAATCCGCATCGATCGGAGATGTGAAGCAAAGACTTAGCAAAGAGTTGCTGATTGACGGTGAAATATTGTTTTAACCTCCCAACACAGATGGGATGACAATGTATCAGACTGTATCAGATGATTTTTGAGTGGTTTTCAGGTGGGGAAAAACCCAACCATCAACCAGGTTGGGTCGAAGCTTTCACGAGATGAAGATTCTTTACGCAGGAAATGATGAAGAAGGTTGTGGGTCAAGCTAGCCCCAATCTCCCCATACACATATATCCATATATCCATATATCCATATATCCGTGTATCCATATATCCATAATTCCATATGTACAAATATGCAAACAGTTACATACACATATACATGTATATACATATATACATAGATACAATAATACATATGGGTAAATCTAGATGCATGCGAATTCCGATTGCCTAGTTGTTGATCTCCATGTTGCCCATGTTGTCCAGCTTCGACTTATTCAGCTTAGGAAGCCGCGCAGGCGCGCAACTATTCGGCCGCGGTGCAGTACATTGTGAATGAGGACGGGAGAAGCGAAACTCATCCCATGGGATATGGAGGGGTCCCCAAAACCATCGGTTTCAATAGTGACATGGTGTAATGACATGGATGATTTGGGGGTATCCCTATTTTTGGAAACTTCTATGTAGCCAGGGATATGTCAAGGGCCTTAAGGGAATATAGTGGGGATATCACGGGAATATCGTCGGGTATTCTGATTACTTTTCGGGGATGGGAACACCGATGAGTATTCCCCTCCGGCGTTCGTGTTAAATGAGGATACATTGATGGATAAACACGATAAACATATATATTAATATATATATAACTACAGTAACAATATTTGGGTAAGTGAGACATGCAAAGGTGATGAATTCCATCTGCCCAATATTACCCTCCATGACTGGCCCAAAATGAATCGATCCAATACGTTACGGGGTTATTTACCCTCCCGCAAACCTCGAGGTATGTCAGGTTTCCCAGCCATCCATGTTTGATCCCATCATATTTCCAGCGAAAACTCCCATTCAATCGCATTAAATCCCTAGTTGTTGATGTTAAACCTCCATTTCCCATGGATTTTCGGAGGGTGATCTTTTTCACGGGGACCGTTTAATTGCCCAGAAACTGGAGGGTCACCTTGAAAAAAGGTCAGAAAACCGAAGGACGGTTTAACAAACCTGCAATGGGTTTTTCTGGTGGTTAAAAAAATCATCTGGTGATGGTTTTGTTGAGTTATCAACCATCAAGAAATAGGGGATTTCACCATGGATTTTTCATCATCAGTGGGTTTCTAAACCAATGATTATCTGGTGAAATGGGATGATGATCTAAATGATACATTGGTAGATTTAGATCATCATCCCATTTCTGGTGATTTTTCAAAGATCTTGTATTTTCCGAAATGGGATGATGATCTAAATGATCTAAATCGACCAGTGATGGTTTGAAACGTTTGAAACCACCTGGGGTCCCCATCTTCCATTTGGGAAACCAGGACCCGATTCATCTTGCTGAATTGCGACATTCGCTGCTTGGCAGCAAGGGTGTGGAAAACTCATTGGTTTCTCTGGGAAAGGATGATCTACAAATGGTTGGTTATCCATATCATTCCATATCTACTTCAATTACTGGAGCCTCCACATAAACTGATGTGACTGATGCGTTTTTGTGTGTACACAGACATACAGAGAATGCAACATCATTCAACACCATTTCCAATTTGACTAGAAATAGTTTGGCGGATTGACTGCAGGAATTCTTGGTAGCACACGTGATGACTTTCACAGCCAGTAAACATCAGAGGCTGCGAAATTTCTGGCGACGCTTCAACAAGAACTTCGACTACCCAGTGCAGGTTTTCCACGATGGGTCTCCAGCTTGGTGATCTGCCAGCATCCGATGGTCATGAAACAGAGTCACACCATCCACAAAGTGGAACTGCCCCGGTACAACTGTATCAACAGCACATCGATATGGACACGAATCACCATTGATCACCGGAAACCGGGTACAACCCGGGAAAGCCATGGATTTTCCATCTCAGTTTTTTTTGAAACAAAGTGGCATGCTGCAGCTCTCCGCAACATTTTCCAGCCAAGAAGGGATAGCACCGTGGGGCCGACCAGCTGCAAACCGGCCGTTGGGAGCTCAGGTTTTGACAGGTGAGGTGAGGGACATGCGATGGACCTGGGAGTTGAGAAAGGAACATGAGGAATCAAGCTGATTTAATCATGTAAAATGGGGATGAACTGGGTATACAACCAATGACCTTTCTGGTTGGTCTCAAACATTCTGTATTCTCCCCCCACAACCGAAAGATAATTGATCGAATCTGACGCTCTTATTTTTGCGTTGGGTTCAGATATGCTTTAACCATCAAAGCAGATTGGTACATCAAAGGCAGAGAGCGTCTCATTTGACCAATTCAAGGGGGTCAAGACTTGGAACACGTCAGCCGAACATGTTCGCCGGCGGTGGACGCAACAACAAAAATCACTCCCGAAGCATTCCCATCCAGCCTTCCCATCCGTTGAGAATAGCTTGTGATTAATTTTCCATAATGTTCCCATGGTGGTTTCATGATCCATTTTCATGTGGCTTATGTTCCCATGTGATCACCATTCCATGGGATTATTCATGTATTCCCATTATGTGCAGCTTAATGTTGGGAATATTTTCATGTGATCACCATAATTAATGTGATATTCCCATTATGAATGTGATATTCCCATCAATTATTAATTCCATGATATTATTAATATTAATGTTATTATTTCTGTGGATTTTCCATTAAGCCACCCATCAAAACATCATCAAGGGATCACCCTGTTGCTAGCGTCGGAGGTCATCGTCTCCATGGCTGAGGGCGAAGTAGAGCAAGAATATGTCCCTTTCTCAGCACGGCAGGCATGGTGATTCTTTAGAATTGGGGATTATTCATCACCCATATGGCTATGGATCAATAGCTATGAAACTAGCATTTTTAGTGCGTTATTCACATCCATGAATCCCAGCTATTTTGATGTGAACAGAAGGGGTACCAGGTTTTGACACACTGCCATATGGGGATTTGATGTTCATGATATTCAAAGTTATGGACGTTATGGTATCATTTGAAAATCATGAAAAACATCACCCTAACATATGGGGATTTTTGAATGGAGGTGCCAAGAAATATACGGGAAAAGCACATGTGGGATTTTCGTGACTTAAAAAGATTTGGGTTCAATACCTAAGGGACCGGACGGGGAGATAGTGAGTTGGACACTGCTTTCGGAAAGACACAGCAGTGTAACAACGCTTTTTTTCAAGAGGACTTCCAACAACTAGCCTCTGGTAATTCAACACATGGAAAACCTGAGGTCCCTATCACCCCCGACTATGTGAATCTCTTCACCGGGCCGGCCACAGGTGAGGGAAGTTGGACTTTTCTGGGAGAATCTCTTGGAATTTGGCCATCAAAATATAGGGAACGATATGGAAGAAATGGGCAGAGAACATGGAAGTCCAAATCGAACCAACAGCCATTGGATGATAGTCTTGTGAGGCCACTCCCCAAGGCACTCCCTGTGGTCTTGACAGGTTTCCTGTGTACGCTCGATGCAAACGTGTATCAGCTCCAATTCTTGGATTCTTGGTGAATTGTGACCTCACGTCGGGACTGTTAAAGGTGAATGAAAGGGTCGAAAGGTACAATAGGGTTGAGATGGCCTTATCCCAGGTATAAAGGGTGGTTTGGACATGCTATTGAATCAACATGTTTGAAGCGAGACTATGAAGTGATCAACGACTGTTTGATTTTTAGGCTTCTGCCCAAACAGGGCTTTCTTTCAGCAATATGTGGATCAGATCCCGAGGACTTCAAGATCAGATCTTTGGATGAAGGATGCTCGGCTGAAATTCAATGAGTCACCCAAGCTGGGGTTGCAGCGATGTCCAAAGAGTATCAAGAAACGGGGACCTCCAAACTCATTGTCTTCCTCAACAAGATGATCGTCACTGAACCGAAACAAGTAGCCGGAAACATGGGGTGCTAACAAGAACAGGCTGTAGCGCCTTGCATTTATGCACAACTACGTACAACTTTGGGAGCCTGACTGCCTCAAGAGTGTCTACCCTCAAACTGCCTGGTACTGTAATGTACTGTAGTACTGACATCCTCCCTGGGTACCCCAGCCAGTGGCATCGAATTGTTAGGTCTGATATTTTCTGCGGATAAATCCCCCATTCTCCGGGATGTCTTGATTTCGCAAATTGGTTTCAGGGAAATCTACCGGAACAGCCAATCAATTTGGGGTATCATTTCCAAAACGATCGAGGCAATGAGAAGATGTTATTTGACCTGGGCGCTGGCAGCATGCCGTCGCCACCTCCCCCCGACATTGGTGAGGAGCCATGATATCCCCATTGGCAAGTCTGTCTGCCATTCGCAAATCCATTCTTGGTCAAGCAGTTCTTACCGCCTGTTACAACAGACCAGGGATGTCATCCAACACGAATGGGGATTTGTGAAAGGCAACAAAAGGACATAAAAGGACTATGCTGCACCTGATTCCATCAGTAATTTGAGGACCCCAGCACCTTGGGTTAGCGGTTAGTAATCGACACTTGTCATCCCACTGGTGTCGGGAAGCACATCCGGAGCCAGGATGCATGTCGTTTCATTCGCTATCACTTTGGCCCAGAGCTCTTGGAAATCAATACGAAGCTCTGAAAGCAAGGAGTCTGAAAGTTGTCAATGTATCTGCCCAAATTATAGCGACGTCACCCGACGTCACCGTGAAATTAGACCTAACCTGCTGAAGTAAGGTCTTTCATGTCTACCCCAAGTTAAGAATTACAACAACCATCACTGGTCCCACTATCCGACTAGTATATCCCAGCACGCAGTATTGTTCAACACACTCGTATGAAATTAAGGGGCTGCGTATTTACAACACCTCAAATCAAGAATTACAACAATCATCGTTAGTCCCCATAAGTAGTATTCTAAGACTGCATGGTTCGACTCCATCACAAACTAACTGTCCTGCAGCAGCGGGCTGTTGAAAGGCCTTTTACCAGTCTTTTCCTGCGAGGCCGGGAAGTCTCTGCCGGCAAGCCAGGGGGGAATCGAGGCTACCCCGGGGGGAATCGAGCCCATGAATTTCTAACGACGTCGTTTTTGGCATTTTCAGCCCCGAAAATGCCAAAAACGACGTCGTTAGAAATTCCTGGGCTCGATCCCCCCTTCGGTTCTAACGACGTCGTTTTTGGCATTTTCAGGGCTGAAAATGCCAAAAACGACGTCGTTAGAAATTCCTGGGCTTGATTCCCCCCTAAGTAGCCTCGATTCCCCTGACTAGCCGGCAGTTTTCTGCGACTTCCCGGCCTCGCAGGAAGAGACTGGTGAAGAGGCTCCGTTCAACAGCCCGCAGCAGGACAATTTTGTCTCTGACTTGACTTTAGCCAAGCGATGCCACCGATGAGCAAAAAAAGAAGCGCCTGTCAGAGTGCCTGCTTTCATCCTAGTTTCACGACGTCAGCAAATTTTCGCGATTTTCGCGACGTCACCATATTTCAGTTTGAAATAGCGAAATTCGACCTAAAGACCAAGAAATATTATAATTTGACTAGATGTATGATTCATAGGGGTGAGAAGCTGCTAATTCACTTAGGAGATGAAAGGATAGGGGAGGTTCCAAGATGTGTGCCATGGTCAAAACATGGCTGCCCCTTTTCCCATTAAAGGGCATGGTCACCCCCCATTCATCTAGAGGGAATACCCCATGTTCTTGTTGACCATTGCGCACGCGGCTGAGGATAGGAACAACCTTGGAGTTTGTGAACGGTCCCTATGAAGTCCACCAATTCAGGATGGTGGAGCGGCACTACTTCAGGTGACTCGTCTGGGGTGGTTCCTGGCTTCGCGTTTCCTGGTTCTGAAATGTTCTGAACCAGGTGTGAAAAAACCTCCCTGGCTTGGGCAAATTCAGGGGAAAATCCCATGGAAATTTCCATGGGATACCCTATTTCCAGACAAAACCTGTCTATCATTGTACGTTTGAAGGGTGAACACTATAACTCAATTTAGCGTTGTTACCTGGCATGGCAACAGGTGGAAGTGCCACATGAGGAAGATTGGTCTGATAACATCTGATAACCTCGAAAAAAGGCCTTTGCCAGTGTTCGCTTTCTACCACCACAACATCTGGTCTCAACCAGTGAACGTCGGCAGGGACCAGCTGATCACCAGCTATGACTTCACCATGCCTTTTGCTGGGAAGCTCAGTTTCTCAGGGCCCTGCAGGGCTTCTGAATCGGAATACGAAGTCATTCCTCTGGAGGTTTCCTAAATCATTCATTTTTTTTTAGCAGACCATGACTGAAACTTGAAACCACTGGGGACGACTGAGGGTACCAGCATGGCTTAGGACCCCTCCAAAAATGGGACTTTGATCCTCAGGTCATGCCCAACAGCAGGAACACTTGGGAGATGATCTATACGTGTCTTGGCACTTCAAGCTCTTTGCTTTCCTCCCACTGCTAAGAGTAGAATCAGGTAAAATCAAATCGTTATTGTTCGCTGGTTACAGATCAGACAGTAACTGGGTCAATTCACCATTTTCCATGGTTTAAAATCACGTGAAATCTGAAATCAAAATCACCAGATTCTGCCCTTGTTCTTTTGGTCAAATCATCCAATCCCAGGAAACCGCTTCTGTCAGAGGAATGGAAGGAGGCACTGAGGCGCCCAAATGGCTAGCTAATGGATGTTAACATTCCCCCAAATATGGCAATCATAGGTTTTGACCCATCCCCATATCAGGTCTGACAACCCAAGTTGGTCCCAATTGATTTTCCCTTGTCAGGGGACATGTATATTGAGCACAAGAGAAGGGAGCACTGACCAGTCAATGGAACAATTCCCGCTTTGTCCATTTGTACATGTTTTTCCGGTTGGAAAGATGGATAATGAAACATCAACGGGAAACATATAGATTTTTGTGCCATTAGCATTGTTATGTGTTGTTTTGTTTTTGTGGTCTATTCAATGTATATATTGATTAATAACACCAGAAGACGGAATATAAAACTGTTTATTGTTATTTGTTATCAACCATTTCTACAAGGTGGCGCGGTGGCGCCCCATATTTTGCAAAGTTGGTTTACAACTCCAACAACCCAGCTTCACGGTAGATGTATCTATAGTTGCTATTGTTTGTATAAGCCAACTGATAACTGGGGGGCATTAAGTTGATGGATTAGTTTTCACGATAGAAACTATGGTTTATGAACAAGAGTAACTAGTTCGACAACTTGTTAATAATCGGTGGTGAACATTAATCCACTATAGTCTAATAGTCTAATAGTGTTCAATCCACCATGGATTTCAGGTGAAGATCATTAACTTCCTTTACCAAAGAGTTTCCACTTAATTTGGAGATTCATTGGAGATCATTTCACCATTGATTAGCCAAAGGGTTTCCATTCACCACCTCATTTCCTTTTCAATTTCCATTGCAGTCCACCATTTCCAGGAGCGCTCCTTGGGAGGCGCGATCGGACAGCTCCTTGGTAGCCTTGGTAGCGGGATATCATTGGAGATTTGCCCTCCAGTAAGCTAACAGTTTAGGAGTTTAGGATGGGATGGTGATGGCCCATTGAGGTCGATGATTTACTCATTAAGATGGTGATTTTCCAGTTCGCTATGCTAGGTACTGCAAATTCTCTCAAGTGGTGATTTTTGTGGTGTATTTCTAGAGTTTGTGTGTCTGAAAATTGGGACTCCTGAAGTAGCCATTCAATGAGGAAGATCATCAGACAAAGCTTGGGTTCAGATTCATTGAGGTGCTTTTTTTGTGCATGGCGAAAGAAGCAAGTTCCTTTATGAGAACCTGTTAGTTGGTGAAGGTCCAGCCACTAAGGGACCCTTAGCTTCCGGATTTAGAATCCCCCAAGGTTTCTACTTTGTGCAAGACCAGCTGATCATGCACAACCGGGCGGAGTACAACTATTCGCCACTGGGCGAATCGCAAATTGGAGGATGTCGATCCAAGCAATATCGATAGTAACCCCAAAAATTTCTCGATCTTCTTGGGGGTTGATACACTTCATATTGCTTCTTCTGACTACTGCTTCCTGCCAAGGCCCTACTGAATCCTGGAAGGCCGGTGATGGTAAATCCGTTGGTTGGGAGCGGTTCGGGAGCTGGGGGTATTCGCTTCCAAATGGGGAGCTAAGGAGCTATGAATTTTGCCACATGGTCACAGTTCCAACTTGCACTTTTCAATCCTTGCTGTAATCCTTTGAAACCAACCTTAAAGCGACACATGTACCATTTTGACATGTTTTTCCTAGGGATTAGCGTTTTAGGGAGTTCTGTGCTTCAAATCGAAGGCCATTGAAGCCCGTGCGAAGACACACATGTGCCAAGACATATATGAATGAATTATAAATGTTTTCTGTACATTACATATATATATAATCATATATATATATACACACTGTATAATTATGATTTATAATTATATATAACATTTATTATATGTAATTATAATATGTAGTGATATGATTATATACATATGCTTGTATGTACATGATTATGTATATACACACTTAGATATACATGCGATGATCTATCTCCACATCCATGCACTACATACAGGAGCTGACGAGTGGCACGCCTTGATCAACCCTTTGTGGAACTGACCTCCGCGGCTTCCCAAAGATGTCCGATTTTTTCGGATGACCTGCGAATTTCTGGATGACTCAAAGAAACTTTGTTCCTTAGTACACTACTGGAATAGTATATCTCATCACCTGTTAATACAATATGTAGATATAGCTTGTTTTCCCATGCTTTGTGCTGAAATCGGAGGTTGCCATATGCCCAATGCAGGCGATTCCTATGACTCTAGGTCAGACTCGGCAGGATCCCGGAAAGGAGTGAGCAAAAAGATTGCAGCTCAAAACCTGGGTCTCAAAAACCAGGGGTCAACTGACATAGAAATATCATGAAATATCTAATCCCCGGACTTTTGCATTTTTTCTGGTTTTTTGGAATCCCTGTGGATGGTCACTTGTGACATAGAAATGAGGTTGTCAGATGAGACGCGAGCGAGCCTGGTACGTGCTTCGTTGGGATCTCAGGCTAAATCCATTGGCTCATCATTTTCACTCGAAAAGATTAGGCCATTGGGGGTAGTAGCCCCCTTATGATTTTCAGCACTTGTGGGCACCTTGAAAACAGCAGAAGCGGCGTGAGGCCAAACCGGATTTGGTTTCATCATTTGCCGGAGGCCCGAAAAAAGGGATTGGCTCTGAGGGGGGATCCAATTCTGGTGGGGTGATGTGGAAAAGCGGCTCTGTACTTCAGGGGCTTTGTGTTCGGAGATTGTCTGTATGAAACTATGGAACTGATGGAAGTTGACAAGAGACATCAGGTGGACAACAGTGCGAAAACTTTGTTACCTGAGTTTTGAGGACGGAGGTATGATGTACGTTGAACCATCCGGGAGCCTCAATCTGGCTTTTAAAGCCAAAAAACAAGGCTTAAAAGTTTTAAGAATTCGAAGCAGTTTCTTGTGATACATCATCTGAAAACATAGGACACCAATCAACACTTTTGGAACGAGTCGTTGAGAGCGTGTCCTAGGACTTTTTGCCACCGGTGGAGAAGCTCCCACCGGAGCTGGTGGTGGAGGAGTCGTCATCCTGGGCCTTGTGAGAAAACCGGCCCCAGGTGGCCCCAGCAGGTGGCCCCAGGTGGCCCCAAGGCTCTATGGTTTTCCCAAGCTATGGCACTTTGAACGGGGAAGATGATAGTTGGATTTTGGGTTCTATCAACATCGGGGGAACCTTGAACCATTTCTGAGTTTGTTTCTATCACTATTTCGGGCACCCCTTGATACACTGGGGATTTATGAATCCTTCTGATGTAAGAACATATAAGAACCCTCAGACATGCGGGTCAAATCAGCAAAGATGGTGATGCACCAGATGTTTGTCTGGGTGCAACTAACGCAAGTGGGGTCGATAGATCCAATAGGAGTTCAATGGGATTCTGGGGCCCCGACAGCACGGACATCTTACAAACGCTAGTGTGAAGCCTTCGAAACCTTTCCTGGATTTTTGGTTCGTGACGTACCTCATGCAACTACAGCACCAGGACGAAACTCGAACAGTTTCACATCACACCTTCTCAGCCGGCTATCGGGCCTGGGTGCTCAGTGGGACATCAGTGGACTTCACAAGATTTTCGGTGACAGCGCCTCTCGCCGAGCAGGACTGTTGTCACATTTGCAATGGGGCGTGGGGGGTGTAATAACGTTCCAGTCTACATGCTACGTTATAGGATCTTCTCCTGCACTTGCACACACGCACACACACACACACTGGATGCTACTGGTACGTTATAGGATCTTCTCTTGCACTTGTGCGCGCACGCTGGATGCTACGTTATAGGATCTTCTCCTGCACTTGCACACACGCACACACACACACTGGATGCTACTGGTACGTTATAGGATCTTCTCTTGCACTTGTGCGCGCACGCTGGATGCTACGTTATAGGATCTTCTCTTGCCTTGCGCAGAAACACACACTGGATGCTACGCTATATGATCTTCTCTTGCACTTGTGCGCGCACGCTGGATGCTACAGTATAGGATCTTCTCTTGCCTTGCGCAGAAACACACAATGGATGCTACGTTGTAGGATCTTCTCTTGCACTTGCACGCGCACACCCACGCACTGGAGGCTACGATACAGGATCTTCTCTTACATTTGCGCGCGCGCACACACTTGAGGCTACACTTTAGGATCTTCTCTTGCACTTGCACACACATTGGATGCCACTTTATAGGATCTTCTCTTGCACACACAAACACACATTGGATGCTACGTTGTGGGATCTTCTCTTGCACTTGCACACACATTGGATGCTACATGATGCTACTTTATAGGATCTTCTCGTGCACTTGCACACACATTGGATGCTACTTTATAGGATCTTCTCTTGCACTCACACACACATTGGATTGGATCTTCTCTTGCACTTGCACACACATTGGATGCTACATGATGCCACTTTATAGGATCTTCTCTTGCACACACAAACACACATTGGATGCTACGTTGTGGGATCTTCTCTTGCACTTGCACACACATTGGATGCTACATGATGCTACTTTATAGGATCTTCTCGTGCACTTGCACACACATTGGATGCTACTTTATAGGATCTTCTCTTGCACTCACACACACACATTGGATGCTACGTTGTGGGATCTTCTCTTGCACTTGCACACACATTGGATGCTACATGATGCTACTTTATAGGATCTTCTCGTGCACTTGCACACACATTGGATGCTACGTTGTGGGATCTTCTCTTGCACTTGCACACACATTGGATGCTACATGATGCTACTTTATAGGATCTTCTCGTGCACTTGCACACACATTGGGTGCTACGTTGTGGGATCTTCTCTTGCACACACACACATTGGATGCTACACTTCTCTTTTGCACACACATTGGATGCTACATGATGCTACTTTATAGGATGCTACTTGGATGCTACGTTGTGGGATCTTCTCTTGCACTTGCACACACATTGGATGCTACATGATGCTACTTTATAGGATCTTCTCGTGCACTTGCACACACATTGGATGCTACTTTATAGGATCTTCTCTTGCACTCACACACACACATTGGATGCTACGTTGTGGGATCTTCTCTTGCACTTGCACACACATTGGATGCTACATGATGCTACTTTATAGGATCTTCTCGTGCACTTGCACACACATTGGATGCTACTTTATAGGATCTTCTCTTGCACTCACACACACACATTGGATGCTACGTTGTGGGATCTTCTCTTGCACTTGCACACACATTGGATGCTACATGATGCTACTTTATAGGATCTTCTCGTGCACTTGCACACACATTGGATGCTACTTTATAGGATCTTCTCTTGCACACACACACACATTGGATGCTACGTTGTGGGATCTTCTCTTGCACTTGCACACACATTGGATGCTACATGATGCTACTTTATAGGATCTTCTCGTGCACTTGCACACTTGCACACACACATTGGATGCTACTTTATAGGATCTTCTCTTGCACTCACGCACACACACATTGGATGCTACGTTGTGGGATCTTCTCTTGCACTTGCACACACATTGCATGCTACATGATGCTACTTTATAGGATCTTCTCTTGCACTCACACACACATTGGATGCTACGTTGTGGGATCTTCTCTTGCACTTGCACACAAATTGGATGCTACATGATGCTACTTTATAGGATCTTCTCGTGCACTTGCACACACATTGGATGCTACTTTATAGGATCTTCTCGTGCACTTGCACACTTGCACACACATTGGATGCTACGTTGTGGGATCTTCTCTTGCACTTGCACACACATTGGATGCTACGTTGTGGGATCTTCTCGTGCACTTGCACACACATTGGATGCTACTTTATAGGATCTTCTCTTGCACTCACACACACATTGGATGCTACGTTGTGGGATCTTCTCTTGCACTTGCACACACATTGGATGCTACATGATGCTACTTTATAGGGTCTTCTCTTGCACTCACACACACACACATTGGATGCTACGTTGTGGGATCTTCTCTTGCACTTGCACACACATTGCATGCTACATGATGCTACTTTATAGGATCTTCTCTTGCACTCACACACACACACACACACATTGGATGCTACGTTGTGGGATCTTCTCTTGCACTTGCACACACATTGGATGCTACATGATGCTACTTTATAGGGTCTTCTCTTGCACTCACACACACACATTGGATGCTACGTTGTGGGATCTTCTCTTGCACTTGCACACACATTGCATGCTACATGATGCTACTTTATAGGATCTTCTCTTGCACTCACACACACACACATTGGATGCTACGTTGTGGGATCTTCTCTTGCACTTGCACACACATTTGATGCTACATGATGCTACTTTATAGGATCTTCTCGTGCACTTGCACACACATTGGATGCTACTTTATAGGATCTTCTCGTGCACTTGCACACTTGCACACACATTGGATGCTACTTTATAGGATCTTCTCTTGCACTCACACACACACACATTGGATGCTACGTTGTGGGATCTTCTCTTGCACTTGCACACACATTGGATGCTACATGATGCTACTTTATAGGATCTTCTCCTGCAATGGTTGTTCCCACTGGGTCCAGGGGATCACGCGTGGCAGGAACACAGGTGTTTGATAGAACTTGGGACCGCATGAAAACATGCAGCCCACTGGCCCACGAAATCTTTCTTTCAGGAAGTTGAATGTACAGTGCACAACAGCTGCCCACGAAAATCTGTGTGCTACTGTACCAACAACAGAAAGGCGGGCAGCTGGCGCTTCTCATGAGAACCAAACAAATGTGAATTGCAGATTGAGACATGATAAAATTCAAACTTTCAAAACAAATGAAAACGCCGCAGGTCCACAGGCGCCGCAACCATGTTTTCTACCACCCACTTATGGGGATTTTGGGGATTGTTTATGACATTGGGTTTCCGACATTACCAAACGGTTTGTCTGAAAATGGGACACCCCCAAGTCCAATGGATTTTCAGGCCATTTTGGGGGCATACTCTACTTTCAGACACGCAACTTTTTGTGACACAATGCGATTTTGGTGCTATCATGATGTTTCTGTTGGTCCCCTCTCTCTTTCTCTCTCTCTCTATACATATACATGTTATATCATTTTATGATATATAGTATTATATAGTTATATAGTTTTAATTTTTAGCCTACCCACGATAATTTTTCCAATTCACAGTGTCTTTCCTTTCCAGAAATTGTCCACCAAACTTTGCATCCGAGGCCCAGTGCCGCTTTCGAGCAGGGCCTCTCTTTGAGCATCCTGCAGTGGTCCGAGAGCCCAGGGGCCCAGGGTCATGACATGGGAATTCAGTCGTAGTGACACTGTTTGGTGTTGGGACCTCTTTGTTTGCTTGGTTTTTGGATGTTTTTGGTGAAATCAAGGGCAGTTGGGAGGCCACATATTCTCGCAATTGGAACTGGCAGGAGTTTGTGGTTTTGCCACAGAGTCTTTCGGAACCAAGGGAGTTTCTTCGTTGCGACTTTGCCATTCAAGCCTTGACAAATGGTTTGACCTTTAAGCAACGGCTGTCAGTGGCTGTCGTATCGACATTTAGCATGAACAAACCTCATGTTTTGTACTATTTTGGCTGTTAGACGAGCTTCAGTCCAGCAGGTACAAAAAAGGGAGGCGCAAGTGCATCCTAATTTTGATGTTGAAATCTGAATGATTCTGAATGTCCGTTTGGATTTTGTGCAATTCACAGTGAACCTCGGAGGCCTCCCTGGATTACTTGATGTCCTTGGATACAGACAGCCCACGCCCCAGATGCAGTTCCTGGCCAGGAGACACTCCGGTGATCGAGCCTGGCAATAGAAAATCTGCACTTCCGGTTGAAACAGAGACATCTGCAAATGCAAAAACATATTTTCATGGAATTTTCATGGCCAAGTTAGAACAGTTTTTCAAAACGGGATCATTTGGAAGATTTTTTTATTGGAGCCAGGTATGTTGCCTGCTGAGCTGGCGCGGGATCCGTTTTTGGAGATGCATCAGAACAGCTCCAAAGTTCTAGGCGGATGGGTTGAATGGGTAAGCTGAAATTGGATGAGTTTGCGATTTTACCCTCTGGTAATTTAACATAGCTATTGAAAATGACCATTTATAGTGGATTTTCCCATTAAAAATGGTGGTTTTCTATAGTTATGTTAGTTTACCAGAGGGTAATCCCAAGGACAGATACTAGTGTATTTTGGTTGGTGCAATACCATTCCAAAGATGGATGGATCGGTATGCGGAACGCATCTCAACTAATGTTTGCCGGTGGTTTGGAACATTTCATATTTTTCCATATATTGGGAACAATAATCCCATTTGACTAATATTTTTCAGAGGGGTTGAAACCACCAAGCAGTTTGTTAATCCCAATTGTTGGCTGGTCTCAGCAAGGCACCGAAGCTGGGCATGTCTGGGCAACTGTCGGCAGTTTCGGGTCTCCAAAGCTGCTGAACACCAGAGATCTTACAGTACATGGGGATGGGTCAAAACCTGTTGTTACCATATTTCACTGGATTGCTTTAAGGGAAAATCTACAGGAAACCATGGTTTTTACCATCAAATATAGGGCTTTCCTGTAAAATTTCCCATCATCCAATTCTATGACTATTTGGGGGAATAACCATTCATTAACCAGCTATTTTAGGGTACCTAGGGTACCAGGGGTTGACCCATAACCACATGTTTGCTTCTTTCCCCATCCATTGATCCCTTTTTTCCGGAGAAAAACCCTTGAACCACTGGGCAATGGCCTCCCATCACAGGCTATTCGAAGCTGGCAATCAGTTCCAGCGCCTACGTACGAGGGCCACCTGGCAGAAATTGGCAGAAAGGCAGCGCTGTTTCAGAGGCAGTGCTGCAGGACATATCTGCTGGAAACGTTTTTGTTTTTCATTTGTTTAGCATGTTAAATCTGTTTGGAGTTATGGAGGTGAGTACGATTCACGTGGTTCAAGAGTCTTTCTATCTGATCATTTACAACGGAAATGGATTTCACAGAATGTTCAGGAATTGGGCAATATTGCCGCTTTCGGAACACACGACATTATCCTACTGGTCCATCAAATATCATATGATCGCAGGGTTTTCGTCACAGAAATGTACTATCAATATTTTTGTTTAACGTGTTAAAACACTCGTAGTATACATTGGTAAACCATACCCAATACCACTTGGAATCTTCAGGGGATCTTACCATCCAAGCAGTAATCCAAGATGTTCAAGGCTATGGGCTGCCGTCCTGCAGTACTTGGCCTATGAAGGTGCGGACCCCATCTTGACGGGGCTTTTACGAGATGATCAACCTTGGGATTTGGGGGCCTCATTCGACTTCATTGTCATACTATGCAGGGGAAAGCCTCTTTTCAGGCGTTGAATCATTTAGCATTTTATTCAGAGAGGGGGAGAGAGAGAGAGAGAGAGAGAGCACAAGTGCGCACCCTACGTATGCAATCTTATGCACACCATGTACATGCATCGTTGCTACTTTCACCCGTTTTTGTTCACAGGTACTTTGAGGGCCCAGTTAGCACGGTACTAAAATGATCCAAACTTCATGAATAAAAATCATTTTCCCATTCATCTCAGCATATCTCCGCAGCGGTGTTGCTTTAAGGGATCAACCTCACCGAGAGTCGGCAGAAAGCTCCCGGCGAAGCGAAACACTTTCTGCAGAGGCGGAGTGCTGAAACCCATTGATTCCCATAGATTGGTGACTTTTTGATACATGTATTATACTGTAAAACTCTATAACTGTATATTTATATAACCATGAATGACACATCCATTTTTGGTTGCTTATATTATATTCGGGTCTGGTTCAAGAATGTTTCAAGATGATGTGACTGATGAAATCCTTGTGGTTTTAACCTTGCTAGAGTAGCCTTGTCAACATTGGGGCTGCAGGAGGTCTATCACTTGACATTTCAGAATGCTGAATGCTCGTTCATGTAGGTTGAGTCTAAATGCCAGAGGTTTGGGCATTTTTGGGTTTGGTTCATGTTGAGGTTCCTCTTGGCTTATCTTGCCTTTGTGTCTTTTCCTTATGGTGGACAGGTTCTTGCTTGACCAGAGCAAGGACGGGAGGGAAGACTAGGAGATGCGCAGTGCACTTGGGTGAGACGTGATTATAGAACCATAGTTTTAAGGGTTATCTCAGTTATCTCCCAATTCCTATGGGGTTAGAATCCCATGCTAGTCACCCCATCAAGATCACCTCAACTGCCCCAAGTAGTCGATCAGCCCCAGGACACCTTGTTGGTGGCCTACAACTCCTTAGTGGCCGGCGCACCCAGACAATCCACGTATTGCGAATATGGCCATTGAGTCAAAGCCAAAGATCCAGCAAGTTGTTTAGCCATTTCATGTCAGTCCTTTCGAAGCACAGACCTTGATATTCTCGAACCCAAAGCATATAACCCATACAACTAATATATATATATAATATGTATATGTATATGTATTATTATATATATAATATTTACCTTACCATATAAGTACCATATGACTTCACATAATCTGGCCCCAACTCTGACCAACTGAGCCACGCAACGTGGCGTATACACCGTCTGCCCAAACCTTGAGGCGATGACCGACTTTGAAGTCCTGCGCGTGTCATTCTTCAAGCCCGGCTCGGACTATTTCCGCTTCTACCGGTGGGAGTGCAGTGGGAGGGTTTGTTCTTTGAATATATAGCTAAGTACCGTAATATCATGTAAATATCTATACAGTTCAAGGTTAATATAGTTCAAGGGTCCGTCAACCTGTCTCTACAACAGTATATATCTATATATCAGATGCGGTACAGTATATCAAACTGTTGATGCATTGCGAGGGAGGCTGACCATTGCCCGAAATCGACGGAATTCGATGCGGGACTGCAATCTGTTGAATTGCTTCGCCTGTGTCTCATGGCATTTTTTTTCCAGGAATCGAAGGTGCCTCAATCACCTACTGAACCATGTCTTAAATCGTTTTAAACACATTCTCCACCATTCGCAGTGTTTCGCACCTAAAACTAAAACCCTCGACAAACCGTAAAACCCTAAACAACCTCCAAATTTGTCCAACCCCGGAATTCACCCCGAATAAGCATGAATAAACCCTAAACCAACCCAGAATAAACCGCGCAGCTAGCACCAGGTTCATTGATGAATTGGGTGGCTTCTGGCTCTACCGTTGGGGTGTGCGGAGACCTAGTCAGCATGGCAAAGGGCAACACCAAATTCAGTAGAACTACTGGAATAAAGAATGGATTGGACAGGGAAGTCTCATGGAATTATATGGAATAATCATGTCTAGGGATTGTAATCATTGTAATTTCTTGGAAATTTCTGATTTCGGAAGAGTTCGAGAAATGATTTTCCCAGCCATTTCACCTTCGGAATGATCATCCAGGACTGCCGTGCAGCTGACAGTGATTACGCACCGTCATTCGGAACAGCACAATGAAACATACACCAGGACAGATCAGAAACAAACACAGCAAAATTGGTAGATCAACAATACAGAACAGGCAAATCAACAACATGATCTGGAATGATCTAATCTACAAGGTAAGGGGCAAGCGGTTCGTCCAGACCTTCCAGACAACATCTCCCCACTTGATGCTTACCAGAGCCTTTGCCTAGGGGTTGAACAAATGTATAGTTGTCAAATGAATTCAGTGGAGAGATTGGAGCATGTGAAATTGCAACCCAGTATTCAAAGATTGAGGTCTAACGAAGATTTGTCAACCAAAGTTTTGACCAAAGATTTGTCAACCCAGCATGCAGTGACACATGTGATACACATAGCAGATGAGCAGCCTATGGTGACCAATGACTGTCATTTCCACATTCTCACAGACCGCAGTGTTATTGTTTGAGATACAGACGAGGGTAAAATCGCACAAGAAAGAAATGTGTTTGGGGCATCCTATTTCTTTTGCATCCGGGACACGGAGTTTGCCGCTGCAATCCCAGGTCAGATACTCCATTGACACACCCCATTTTCAAACCCTTCAAGATGACAGGAATGGTTCGAGGTCCAAAACATTTTAGACTCAAAAATCCGGCAGAAAGTCTTGGTTTATCGGTCAATTCCCACCGGTTTCCCCGGCGGTTTCCCCGATGAAATAAAGGGGGTAGCCAAGCAAAAGTCTCACCCGCGCCTCTTCAGGATCACGCCATCAGAGGCCTGGGTACCGCAATTGCTCTGTTTCCACATGAGGCCTGGTGGCCTGACATGGCAAGGTATCTTTCGATGGGGAAGCACTTTCCTGAGCCTGCGTGGCGATACAAGAATTGGATGGGAAAACTTAGAGGAACTCCTTTGGTTTGGAGGTTTCTTAAACTAAAATCCTCTAGTCAGAATGCATTTCAATACGAAGTCATGGTCTAATCTTGGATGATTTGGGGGTTCCCCCATGACACCCAATGAGGTCTGTCTGTTTTTTTTGGAATGTGACCATAGGACATACTCTTCAGATCTCTCCAGCAACCAAAACATCAAGTAACTGGCATCCTGCTTGAGGAAAATTGGCAGTTCATGTTGTAAATGTCGTACACACCCACATGTTCATATGTACGCACCCATGCCCAAAAAAATACCTTTGTCCGTCAACAGGATTTTGATCATTTGAGTCTCATATGTTTTGGATTGTTTTGGAGTAATCTTTTATGTATGTATGTATACATACACGCATACATACACGAATATGTATCATACGTACATGTATCTATGTGTTATATATAATTATGCATTCAAATTTCAAATAGATGCGAAGTGATATGAACAGCGAGCGTGGGGCTTTCCACTTCTAGGTCTGGTTACTAGAGGGTGTCCCGCGTTGCAGGTGAAGCAGGCTTCCGACGGGCTGGGAAGCCCCAGCAGTTTGAAGTCAGGAAGTGGTCAGTAAACGGCCAGTGAACATCAATATTATTCGGCCATGGAACATCAAATTAGCATTTGCATTGCAAATCATCTTGCTGGAATTTTATTTGGCCATACAATAGAAATAGTGTTATTTGCCTCTTCAAATATCATTAACATATGGATAAAGACGGGGTATGATCAGTGATTTGCCATGAAATTGGATAACATAAACATCCCGCCGGACCGGAAACCGTTCCCATAAAACGCATGTTTTTTTTTTTTTTTAATGTGATTTTACCACAGTGCCGTGCTGATTTGATGATTGGAAATCCTGGAAAAACTTGGGGCGCGTTTTTTGGCTTTTCAGCGTCATCGCTGCAACGCATGCGTAGCAACATGTCACGTAGTCAGCGATCCCAGAGATCTTAGCAGCGTAGCAACATGTAACGTCGTAAACGATCCCAGAGATCTTAGCAGCATGGCAATATATCATGTACGAAGTACAAGGAACGTTAACATGCCCCCCCACCCCACCCCAACCCACACTAGAGACCTCAGCAGCGTAGCAACATGTCACGTAGTAAACGATCCCAGAGATCTTAGCAGCATGGCAATATATCATGTACGAAGTAAAAGGAACGTTAACATGCACCACCACCCCACCCCACCCCACCCCAACCCACAATCGCGATATTCAAAAACGCGCGTTTTAGGGGAACGGTTTTCGGTCCGCAGGCATAAACATGGATAAACCTATGGTATGATCAGTTATTTGCCATGAAATTGAGGAAGATACAGATGGATTTTTACATGGTAAACATGGATGGGTATGGTCCATTGGTATACTTGACATTACTTGACATCCTGAGATTCCTCCGGAGAGTCGCCCCTCAGGCGGTTGGTAGCTTACGACCTTCAGGTGCCGTATGCACACCAGGCCATTGGAGCTCTCGGGGGGGGGTCTGTGGAAGAATTTCCACCGTGGTCACACTTCGACACTTCGATGGTTTCTACGACTTGGGTGACGAAAAAATCGAATTCTTGGCTGGGCCCAATTTTAGTCATTTGAAGTCTCTGACATGCTTGAGAACCTATGTTTCCCTATAAAAAGATAGGTATCCCTTGGGCCAGGACAGGGGGGATCCCTTGAATCCCTTGGGCCAGGACACCTGCCTCTGCCAAGATCCCAAACTTCGCTGTGCCGACAGGGGCAAGGCCGGGCCGGTTATGGTGGTTGGTGTGTCTGCCTTTCGGCAAAATCTCAGGTTTTTTTCAAGCAATGCCATAAACCAGCCATAAAACCAGCCATATCACTTAAGATGGTTTATAATGGTTTATACTAATATGTTTACCATGTTTATCATTGATATCACTTGATATGGTTGATACTGTCATATGTTTACCATGTGAAAATCACTTGCCATGACCATGGTGGGGATCGTGGATCCATGTGGATGCTGGATGTCCGACCACTGGGAGGCGGCCAGTGGTGAAGCCCTTTGGCCGGAAACGAAGAAGGCCGACATTTTTGGTCGGGTCCAACTCATCTGCTGGGTCTTCCATGGTCTTCCCATAGTTTAGCGCTGTTTGAAGCAGCTACTAAGTAGCCTCTGGTAAACTAACTTAGCTATTCACAATGGCCACTTTTAGTTGATTACCCATAAACATGGTGATTTCCCATAGTTCTGTTAGTTTACCAGAGGTAACCACACCTTGTCAAATCTGGTTGTCCGAAGAATGGATGCTGATGCACAAGCAGAGCGAATTTCCACTCTGTGCCAGGTTTGGGAATGCATCCCCAAGACGTGAAGACCCGACCCAGTTGGCGGTGGATCTCCCTGACCTCGGTGCTGATCGCGTGGCGACATGCTGCGATCCTTGAAGTGGGAATGGCTGAAGAACGCTGATGAGACTCCCCAGCTTTGCGGCGACAAAAGCGAATTCTCCACAGGATCAAGATCAAGGCTGTGAGGCCAGGTGATCACAGGTGATATCGGATGAATCCCTGTGACTCCCCATGACTTGCTGTGACAGCAAAAAGCTTCCTCAGTTTGCTGAAAAGCAGCTGGGTGGCAGCAAATCGCTTAAAACAAAATCAGACATTTGTAGCAGTGAGCAGTGCAGAAAAAATGTGAGGACTGCTGTGGCAAAGCCTCCTACGACGCTGCGTGGTGTTGATCTGCTCAACCTGGCAGATACATGGGGATGGATCACAACCTAATTTTGCAATATTTTGCAGGAATGAACATGCCCCATATTGTTGAAGGGCAAAACTTGGAATGGCGCAAATCATGTTGCTAGTAGCTTGAGATGTGTCCAAACATGAGGTGACACACAGACACACAAAGAAGAACCCTTCTGAGTTTTCCTCCACGTAACAGGACATTTATTGAATCCATTGAGCCAGTCACAGCGACTAGGAGCTCGAAGGGTTGGAGAAGGATGACTACAAAGATGATGACAAAGATTCCGAGAAGGCCCACGACGTGTCATCGAAACTGAATCCCAAAGCTTAGGAGAAATGGCTATGGATCAATACCTATACATACCATTTTTAGGGGGTTATTCACATCCATGAATCCCAGCTATTTTGATGTGAACTACAGGGGTACTATTGGTTTTGACCCATCCCCAAATGGATTATGCCAGGAGATGATGAGTCTCAGCCAACATTCTCAGGCGTTGGAGGCTCCACCAGCTCCGGAAGCGTCAGTGGAGGGCTCAGGTCATGGGTAAAACCACGGTATTTCTATGTATTTTTATGTGATGTATGAGGATTTTATGAGGATTTTCATGGATTTATGTTTTTTTTTTTCCACGGGTTTATGATTGTTGATTCGTTGATTGATTGATGATTGTTGATTAATCTTGATTGATTGAAGATGATTTATGTTGATTACAGTAATTGGGACTGATGACTTGTGATGATTCATGGATGGCTTCAGGCCGAGACGCAGCGCTTCACTCCCGAAGAATTAGAGAAAGCGAGACAGGAGGCAGCATTCCGATTCAGTGAGCCATGAAATACCTCTGTTGATTGGTTAATTGAGCAGGTTATACTGTTATACTAGCTGGTTTATTGGAGATTATTGGAGATGATTATAAATTAAAACATAAATAAACAAATAAATAGATCAATGAATAAATGAATATATTTATATATATATATATAGACACACATTATAAATCCATCATAGGAATATCTAAGCAACCATGATTTTCATCTGATAAGGGGTACTCTTCATGGCTCAATTGACTTTAGAGTTAGCTCCATCCAACTCTCACAGACGTGAAGATTTTGAAACCGTTTGAAGAACTATGCAGGTGGATGCGATGATGGATCAGGATGACAACTTTAACGGCTACAGTGTCGGACTCCCTGGTGTCGACGCCTGTCGAACTTTGGGAGCGCCCACTCGATGCGATTAAAAAGCCCAACTGGGAATTCACCAAGTGAGCGGTTTGTTGCTTTCTTCTGAAAGAGAATGAAAATGGCATGAATGTATGATCCATCTTTGGAGGGTTACGGAAACAATGCTTTTGGCAGATCTCAGAGTGGTATGCTGATGTCTGCCCAGTCGAATTTCATCAAAACGTCTGAAGCAAAACAGCCTGGCAGAGGCAACTGCTTTGAATTTCCTTACAGTTTGTGAATGGTTGAAAACATGGATTGCAACTTCTTGGAATTCCACAATTCGGACATATAATCATATAAACCGCAAACTACGCCAATATGATCTAATATGTATACACTAAACTACAGTTTAACAGGTATACACTAATAATCACTAATACACTTGATATTTTTTATGCGTATTATGTCAAATTTCATGCTGCCTAGGTGGCTGGGCCATTGACGATTCACGGGGTCAAAAGCTCAGATCTGGGGGGTTTTTCCATCGCTGACGACGATGGGACCATATGGGAGCCTCTGTTTCAAGGCGCCTCTGAATTTTGGGGGGTAAAAACAGGTACCATCTGGTTATTTAACATAGCCATGGAAACAGCCCATTTATAGATGGTTTACCTATTAAAAATGGTGATTTTCCATGGCTATGTTAAATAACCAGATGGTAAAAAAACAATAGTCTTCACTTGATTTACAGAGAAAAACAACCAATCCATGGGTTCAATTGATGGTTTGACATATTCTTTTTTGTGTTGATTTTTCAGTGCAAGTCTGGGAGAATGGGAGAATAGCTTATAAGTAGCTGCAAATGAAGGTTTTGGCAGGGCGCCTAAACTATGAAGAGACGGATACATCAAGTATTTTGGGGATTTTCCAGCTAGCCAGCCATGCTTGTCTATTGGATATCTGAATGCTCATCCACATTTTCTGCGAGATGGGTGGGCTGCAGTCACTCTAGGGTGCGATCAACATGACCATTAGTGAATCCGCCACATCCCACGGGGGTATGGGCTTTGACACGGCGATGTTCAGATCAATCGCGTTTTATATGGAGGAATGTTTCGGGAACCAAGGAACCCTGAGGGCCGATTTTTTTTTTTGGGACCATCTGTTCTGTGGAGTTATCCTTTTTCCAGCAAGCGTGGGTGAGATTTGGCTTGCTTCAGCCATAAGCGGTTACGTATCCATGTCCATTTTTTTCGACCTGCAACGTGTGCACGATTTGTTAGGGGATCACCATACCACATATATTTTTGGGTGTGTAAATGATCCCTAAGACCCGAGTAGTGTCAATGCAATGTTGAGTAAAGCAACAAAGATAGAAAAGTGATTCTAGAATGGTATAGATCAGATGATGTTTTCCTCATATTTTCGGAGGTTTCCAAGTTTTCTATATCTTTTTGGGGATTGCTGATTACTCCCTGCACCTCAGGTGGACGATGGTGTGTCTGCAGGAGCTTGGGAGCTGGCCATGGACCCAACACATGGCCATTTTAATAGGGAAAATGATGGAAAAACATATGGTGAATCGGTTAGTCAGCAGAGTTAAAAAAAGGGGTACCTAATGTTCAGACAAACCCACCTGAACGGGGGTATAAGTTTGTGTCAACAACAATTAGTAGATGGATGGAACTGGGATATGTCAACTCAGTCGTAACTGGAAGGAGAATGCCCCAACAAGTACGATTATCTGCCAGCCAATGATGGGGCTATGAATATCTGGAGGTGGTAGGTGCCGGCAGGTGCCTATCAATGAAGTCAATTACAGGACCTTGGAAGATTATAGGGAAGTCTAGGGGCATTTACTCATGTAATTTCTATAAGCGACAGCAGGTGAACGATAGATGTTTGTTTGAAGATCATACGGAAAAGCTGAGTCCACCCCACGACTTCCACCAACATTCTGAAAAACAGACGTGAGCACACATGTTGAAGACACCAAAATTCCACGATGATCCATGAAAGATCCATGTATGTGCTCATGAATTGCCGTGAAAAGATAGGTTCAAACTCTCAATTTCTTGATCATTGGGATGGTTTGAAACGACCAAACAGATCCAAACGTAAAACATATTGAGGTTGAGATCTTCAACCAGATGCAATGCAAACAAGTTCTAATGGATAAATGGATATTGTTGGAATGGTTTGAAATCAATTACCACGAGCGAACGGATATTAGAGATATTCTTCAGAATTGTTAACCCCTATCATACGGGAACGTCTTAAAAATTGCGCGCCAGACATCCATGGTTTATCATCTGCACCTAATTAAATACGCCGTATACCTATTATATCCTATTATATCCCCTTATCCCTTGTCAAATCCCTATTGTTTGATGGTGAATTCCACATTTTTGCTGGATTTCCCAGCCAATAATCTCCTCAAGTCCCTATTCTATCACCATTTTCATTGGTAAAGTCATCATTTTCCAACCATTTTTGTTGCTTAAATCACCATTTCCCTCATGATATCCCCATGATCTCCTGCAGGCCCTCCAGCCCCAGCCGTCCCAGCCAATGCGACCCCGGCTTCCTCGTCGAGGAGGGAAAATGGGGGATTACTGGGGATTTTGCTGGGGATCCGGTGATTACATGGGGATTTACAGGTAGAGATTCAAGGAGATATGAGATAACGGAGGTATTTTATGGGTTATCCTATTTTTTTGATGTGATTTTTGATCTGCCAAATGGGGAAGAGCCTATTTTCAGACCAACCCAACTAGGGAACATGGGGATATCATCGGGATTTAACCAATTGACATGGGATAACATTTATTGATTGATCACTGGCAATTTCATTGGAACAATGCGATTTAACCTATAACAATTGGATTAGGCCGAACACTTTATGAACATCGACTGGAGATAGAATGGGAGATACAACCAGCAGTATGATATTTGCGTATGTCTGAACATGGGGTAGGGCCCCCGGAATTATGGCAATTTACTGTAATAGGAAACCTCATGATCAAACATCAAAATTGGTGTACCCAATTTTCAGACGAACCCATACCCGTGGGATGTTCTTTGGGTAGAGATATTGATGGGAAATCATAAATCAAAAACCAGTATCCCAAAGGGCACAGCAGCAACCAATCAGGAATATCGGAAGTTACGCATGCCTGTGCTTGATCATGGTTAGTCGCTAATGTTTTCTGGGGCTGTTTTTGAGATAGATACACTCCCGGAGAGTAGACTCGATAGTTGAATGGTCTGGAGTTGATTTTTGCAAACGGGAGATGATACTTCGATGGCCATCAAGTCTACCGTTCGTGGGAGAGGCAGGTTTGTAGAGTATGGCTTCAGATTTTCCGGGGCCGTTCCCAGCTTGAGGCCACCCAAGAGGAAGGCGGAGAAGGTTGAGCCAAAGACCAAGGAGAAGGAGGAGGAAAATCCATGGCTCAGCGAGAACCCATGGGTGCCACACCTGCCCAGTCCATGGTCAGTTGCCTGGTAGTTTCAAGGAGTCTCTACTTTCCATCCACAATAAGGGGACAAATGCCAGCTGACAATACAAGGTATATATATATATATAAGGTATTTTGGAGATGGGTTGAAATAACCACTCACCACCTGTCTGGAAGACCACACGCTGCACTGATTGGAAGGAATCTGTCAAGGTCTGGCCGTCGGTGTCGAAGCTGCTATTTGTTTCTTCTCCGCTATTTTCTGTATGCATAAGGTAATCAAAGGCAAACAAATCACAAGCAATCTCCCCAGAGTATCAGTACAACAAACACCTGAGGAAAGGATTGATTGAACCTGAAACTTTGGTCACGTCGCGCCCTGTATACAGAGTGGATGAGATTGATCCCCTTGTAGCCCCTTTTAGCCCCTTTCTGGAAGAATGCCCAAGTTGTTTTCTGATCATGTCCACTTGGTGGTCGAAGCAGCCTCACAACCAAAAAACAGCAATGACCATGACAGATTGTGTCCACATCTGGATCTGGAAATTGCGAATGTGACCAAACCAATTGTCCCTTTCTGAGCTACACCCATGTGAATTCTCTTGCATATACTCAGATGCCATGTCATTGCCAAAGCGCCGAAAGTTACCTTGGGCACGCCATGGGGAAAGTGCAGGTGCCAGACCGAGGGGATGCTTGTCGATGGAAAGCAGAAATCTTACCAAGGAATCTTCTCACCTGCCCTGGAAACCTGATTTTCCTTGTGATTTGTCTTGTCGGATTCCAAGAGTGAGAGATCCCTTTCCAGATATTCGTCCACAACAACTAAAAGTTTATTTTCCACCACCTCGGGACCCTAAGAATCCAAGTGCTGAGTTTGGGATGGTTTTGGCACAGAACAAAAACTATCAACCAGTTTGAGGATTCCTTAAATGTCTTGAAAAAGTCAGCTGGATGACCTGAATGATCTGCCACAGGTGAGTCTGCCCCGCTTCCTGCGCCCTGCAGCCCGCCGGACTCGGCGTCACCCGAAGCCTGTGCTGCGGAGACGGCAGCGTCGTCATCGGGGAGGGCACCGGAGTTAGCCAGGTGTGGCTGGGCAAGGTGGACATGGCGTCAACGATTATACGATTATACTGGGCCAAACTTGGATGGGACTTCGATACTTTAATCTTTTGCTATAAATTGGGGACACAAACTAGCCAGGTATAATAATGGATATACGTATATATATATACGTATATATATATATTATTATATATTATTATATATATATATTATATTATATTATATATATTATATTATATATATTATATATAATATTATATATATAATATTATATATAATATATATATATATAAAATATAATATATATATATATATTATATAATATTATATATATACTATTATATATAATATATATATATATTATAATTATATATATAATATCATTCATCATTCATCATTCATCATTCACGCATGAAAGGGAGTCCGTAGTCCCTTGCTGCAGCTTGCAAGGCTCTCTGTGCTGAAAAATCGACCAGTGGACAAAAGCCTAAAAGCCTTGACAGTCAGGAAGCCATATATATATATATGTTACTGCATGTATATTCTTGAACGGCATCCAAGATTAGCCACATACAATTCTGGATGGCACACTGCTTCCGAAGGACAGCTGCTGAAACCTCAGCACCTGCAGCGTCCGCGAGGAAGGCCGATGAAGGGCCTTCTGCGAGCCGAATGGCTGCGACTGGTCGGACAGCGGCAGATGCTGAGAAGGTTCCGGAAGGAGGGAAAGCTGCTCGGTTGCAAGGAGAGTTGAGATGTGAAAAGATGGGACTTGAGAGGGAGTCCAATGGGCTGAGGAGACAATTTCAAGGCAATTGTTTACACAGCATGTGGGCCTGGGTCCTGGGTCAAGATTAATTATTGACCCCCCGGCATAGATGAATGAGACTTACGATGGATTTCGTGGGTCCATTGGTACCATAATTTTGACCAATCGCCACAAAGGCTGACCCCTTGGAAAGACGAGAACTGGGAAGACTCAATACTTCTCACATTTGATGTTGATAGAAAATGATAGAAACCAAATTGAAGTGGTTGGTTCAAGTACCAGGCAAAACCTCATAAGCCCATCCCAGTATGAAATTCACCTTGGGAATCCTGCTTTCAGCCCCCCTTTGTGCTGCAGATTTCTGAAGGCCTCCCACGGAGCAGATGGCGCAGGTCGTAGTGCAGACGGTGCAGCTGGGAGCCGAGCCGCTGTGGTATGGGAGTTCAGTGTGAAGGATGGCTTCAAGGCTTTCGACAAAGAATGTGGCTGTGGCTGAAACTCCTTTGGTGATGGGTAATCTAGGAATCATTCCCTGCACACCAACCAGAAAAGGGGCTCATTTTACATAATCCCATGCATGGGGTGGTTTATTTGTTGGGTTTGGCTCATGAAAACTTCAATCCGTCAACCACCAGAAATCCAAGGTGAAGAATGATGGAGGGTTCCCTGGGAATCCGTGTGAAAGAAACCTGAAAGTTTTTTTTAGCAACTGGTGGCAGGGCAAGTAAACATGGAGGATGATTCTGCTAAAAGTAAATGGGTAAATGAAATTGATTGGAATTTGCCGGGCTCAAGGGAACAGACGTTTTTTGAAAGCAAAGTAGACTTGAGGTCAATGCAGACACTGACTTGAAATCCCGATCATTTTTTATAGATTTGTGTTCAGCAAAAAACCATTCAAAAAGGGGGGATCTGGATCTGCAAAGTGATCTGCTTAGGCCAAGAGTTGGTGGAAACCCTACATCGAGCTTTTCTGGCTGGTGGTAATCGTGTTGGCCATGTGCCTATGGGGAAGCAGATGCTTGGCACAGAGCTGCCAACGGCAGCTAGTTGTGTTTTTTCGGCCCCACATTGGCGATTTCTTGACCGTGAGCAATTTGCAGAAGATCTCTGCCTTTTCCAAGCTGCAAAACGGAGTTTTTTTTTTTTTTTTTTCGGATTGTTGACCATTGGTGTTTGTCGGGTATTCAGACATTGCAAGTCGCTGCATGAGGACAATCCTGGTAGACTTCATTGAAGCTTGGATCTTGATGGATTCGTGGGGAGCTTCGGAAAACGCCCGCTTTCCTTGAAACTTATGGGAAATTTCATAGGAATTTAGATGGAATTTGTATGTTGATCGAATGTTGAGATGGGTCTGAGCTTGAGAGTCGGAATCTGGACGTTTTCTCGTGAATCTGCTCAGAGAATTAATCCGTGGACCCCTTAAATACCTGCCCGAACCATCTCGAACCCCTGGTTTAGTGTTGGATCTATTCATTTTCATGGTCCATTTTCCAGGAACTAGAATGTTTGGTTGACATGAGAATGCCCACTTAAGTAATCATTGTACAAGCTGGAAAAAATCCTGGGTTGGTATATGGTCTATGATGACTTCAGGTATCTTCAGATTGTTACAATCATTGTTCGCCAGGATATACCAGGATATACCCAGGATACAATCATTGTTGCAGGCCCATTCTTTGTGGATGGCTTCAACCGTCACTTCGCGCCAGGACATGAAGCAACGCTTGGAAGGAGGAGCTCGAGAGCGCAGCGTGCGACGGAGACTCCTTTGAGCAAAAAGATGGTCGACGTGAACGGTCCGTGGCGGTACAAAGGCATAAGAAAAAGGGGAGATGAACATGGGATCCACAATATAAATGGGAAATCTATGAGAATCTATGTCAATGTAATTCAATGTATAGATAATATAATTGATCAGATAGATAGATGGATGGATGGATGGATGGTGGATGGATGGATGGATGGATGGATGGATGGATGGATGGATGGATGGATGTAGATAGATAGATGTAAATAAATGAATATATATAATATATATATATGTATATATGTATATAAATAGATAAATATAAATAGATAAATATAAATAGATACATATAAATAGATAGATATAAATAGATAGATATGGATAGATAGATATAAATAGATACATATAAATAGGTAGATATAAATATAAATATATATATATATATAGAACAATATAACAATGTAGATAGGTAGATATAAATAGATAGACATAAATAGATAAATGTAAATAGATAGATAGATGCCACACAACCAACAATATGATTTTGGGTTTGTCTGAAGATGAGATATACCCAATTCATGGCAGTTTCAGTGTGAAAACATGCTCCCTAATTAATTTGTGTTTTTTGGGATACCCTATTCTTCAGACGAATCCATTTGCCAAAATGATATTTTCACATGTCTTCACCAACACATTGTTGGGGATTTTGGCAGCAAACAAAATGGTTTCGTTACTTTGGTTGATGGTGTTAGGGGCCAGCTACCAGGTTTGAGATTGGTTGCTTTAGCTGCTCAAAGGTTGGCTTGTGCTTACCAGCGCAGGCTACGCAACGGGGATCACATGGTAGACATGTACATGAGGATGGATCAAGTGTCAATGTCCATGATTTTCACATGTGAATACATAGGGCGATGACTGAAGGCAGCTATGTCTCTATTCGGTCTCTATGTCATGCAAAGTATATCTCCTGCCTTTCAACACTGGTCAGTCTATGTCAATCTCTCGTTTCACCAATCCGGGAAGGTAAACACATGTAGAAATAATGTCAGGGCACTGGAATAGGTGTGTAGCTCATGTGCCTCTAGATAAGAAAATTCAAGTGACCAGCAGGCTACTGACTAGCCGTGGTTGTCTTGCATGCGCCCTTGGCTGTGCTGCCTCCTGATGGCCCTGCCCTTTGCACCTGCAGTAACTGGCCCATTGGCTGCGGGAAACTCAGAGCACATCCTCAGTTGGTGCCTTAATCTGTTCCGTTTGGGTTTGTCCAAAAATACAGCACCCCCAAAATCCAGTGCTAGTGAGGATACCTAGAGATTTCCAGGTAGTGACTGGCGCCAACAAGGGGGTGGGCTTCCATGTGGCTCGACAGCTTCAGGACGCAAAAATGTGGGAGGTGTCCATCAGTTACAAAGTTCGATCAAGATTGTGCAAACTTACTGTATACCAAAAAGTCAGTTTGGATCCTTAAAACACATTAAAACACCAATCATTTTTGATGGTTAAAGTTAAACATCCCCATTTTTGGATGGCAAAACACACATCTTTTTTTGGATACTGGGCACTTTTTTTTTGATCCCATCCAGCAACGTCACAAAAGGAGGCCGGACTGCGGGTGATCATTGCCTGCCGCAACGAGCTTTTGGCAAAACAGGCAGCTGCCACATTGGGCTGTGAATATGAAATCTTGGATGCTTGGATATGCTTGGGCTGTGGAAAGTGTGGGAAACAGGCGAAATGGGATGCTCTTGTGGGTTATATAAGTTATATATTTTCATCTTATGGATTATCTGTAGACATTTCCCAGTAGTGTTGGGCTGCGATAGCAGCTTGGACTGTGAAAGTTCATGACCAAAGGGTTAAAATTATTGCCCCTTTCTCGTTGCGACCTCTAGATACCTTTGGTCCATGTTCACAAGATGTCATATTGTGACCCCAAATTCAATGTCAAACTCCTGGGCCAGTTGACCTCAAGATCACCCCAAAAAACCAGATGCCTGAACAGCGCCATGATATCCGCATGATCGGACAGTTACGCGTATCCACAATAATTCCGTAAGTATCTCCATCTTTTCCCATGATGTTCATGAAATCCCCAACTATCCCCAACTTATTTCCATTCTCAGCCCATTTTTTTTCCCTTTGCCCTTCGACTCACCAAGGATTTGGCATCAGATGCTTCAATCGATGCCTTTGCCAAGCAGATGGAGACGAAGTATGCGCAACTGGATGTGCTGGTGAACAACGCCGCCATCGCCTTTAAGGTCCCTGGAAAGACAGGACTTCGACGTTGAACAGATGTTAGATGTCAACAATGTGTCAACAAAAATAATATTTGATATGTATTATATATATAATTACATATGTTGATAATTAAGATGTGTTATATCTGAAATGTTATTATCATATGTTTTTCAAAAAATGTTTTCCGTACCTCCATCATGAGATATGACAACATGTATACATGTACACATAGATACGTATATGTGTATTACATACATATATATATATATAACGATAATAGATGCACACACACACACAGAGACACGTAATTACGCGCACTCCACCAAGCCTCCACTCAAAAGCTGCAATGTCTGACGGGACTCGCACTCCGCGATCCGTCTTCGCAGTCACCTAAAATCTTTGCGCCGGAGCGAGGACGTTCTCACAGTCCTCGGTGTGTCCAGCCTGGCACACCCCCCGGACCCCCACCCCCTACGCCTCCGGATATCTCACCCCATATCCAGTTTTTGGCGCCCGTGACACCGCCGGAGTTATTGGACCAATCACCAGGCACACCAGACAGCCAATAGCAACCAATGTCTTTCAGGAAAAAAGGACAACATTAGATGGTAATACTTTCAATACAACGTCAATACATTCCTGTTCCTATCTATTCTGTAAGACACTTGTCTTTCTGGTGTTTTTTTCTGTGGCACATGCAGCGCTCGCATGTTAAGACCTGAACGCCTATTCCCAGAGAAAGCGAAAAGAAGCCCAAACTGCGGGTCATCGGGGGGGCGGTGAGCACACACACACACATATATATACAGATACACATCAACACAAATCATGATATAAAATGATATAAATGGTATATGACCTGTACATATTCTATTTCATTTTTCATGTTGTTCAAACCAATCCCAGACAGCCATCGGAGCCCAGACTTCGACAGGCCGCGGATCCCACGCCCTTCAAGGATCAGACCGTGCCAACGTGGCGCGGCCGGAAGTAGTTTTAACCCATATAGAGCGCATATATATAATATATTAATTATTTTTCATAGTACATAATAATAATGATTTTTGTTTATTTATTTATTTTTTTTAAAACTGTTATTATAATCGTTATTGTCATCCCGAAGTAAATAGAATATGGAATTTTCGAACATATTTCCGTTTTTATGAGGATTGTTTGGACATCCCATATTCTATCTACTCCAAGATGACCATATAATATAACATGCAGAAACGCATTGGCTTCGCGGCTGCTGCAGGTTTGTATCTACCAGGTTGTCACGGCATTGGGAAGTTAGCCACTTCAACTGCGATGCACCCTGCAGTCCTGTCAGCCCCAGATGAATAAACCTTGAAAAACCCTGAGGCTATCTGCCATCAGTATCTGACACCCTTCAAAAACAACACCCAGGGGCGATGCCGGGTTGACATGATCTCGTTTGAACAGGGGGGCCTGCGGATCAACCCCAGAAATTCACGGATCATATGCAGTATTGCATGACATTTTTCTTGCCTGCATGATGCTAGAGCCTAACATAGATCCTTGACTCCTTCACATACTTCAAAATAATCTGGACTTTGGCAGGGGTGCCCATTCAAAAGTTGTTCACTCCCCGCGAGGACACGTCATCCCACCACTCCTGGGATTCCTGGTCAGCTGCAGGTTGGCGATCAACTTCTTCGCCACCATGCGCCTCACGGACCGTCCTAACTTGGCGACGTTTCTTCGAAGGGTTGAAGGGTTACCTTCTGAGAAAACTAACAGATAGTTACGGAAACTATGGAAACCATGGCCCTTTGATAGTTAAATTTTACCTATTAAAGATGGTGATTTTCCATAGCTATGTTAGTTTACCAGAGGGTATATGAATAATGTTAGTGATTTTCCAGTTCGCAAACTGTTCAATTCAGTTCATTGGTCGCCCCACAGGACCGGCTCCTACCTTTGCTTCGTGCTTCTGCCATGAAAGGCGGCCGCCCGAAGATTGTGAATGTGGCCTCCATGGCCGGAAAACTACGGCAACTGAGTCAGAAACTGAAGGTCTTGGAATGTTTGGGAAAACTTTGATTTGCTTGGTTTAGATTGGTTTATATAGATATATAATTAATTATAATTATATACATATACATATACATATACATATATTTGGATTCACATTTGAACAGCAAGTGAAAGGAATTTCAAACATAGTATCATGTATTAACATATTATATGTATATATTTATAAATACACCTATATACATTTACATATCATATATGATCAATTACTATCATAGATTATCATACCACTTGTATCATCGATTATCATGGATCTGAGGCCCAGCCCTGCAGGCGCAGTTTGCTTCGGACACCTTGGATCGCAACAGGTGGGGGGGGTTCTTTTTCGAAGGTTGACTCAGCAAGGTCGTTTTTGTAGGTTCTCATACTTTGTAACCCATGACGGATCCATGGTATGGTATATGTGCTAACATGAATGGGGTATATTGATGGTAAATGATACCATATATACCATACATGGATCCTATGGGTAATGGCTTTGAATCGGTTTCAAACGAATCTTCCATGGAATTTAATATGATTTCGATGGGTCTCCATGAATTTACATGGACTTACATGTTTTGATGGGGGATGTTGGCCGAAAAATGGGAAAACGAAGGGGGAAAAACAGCGCAATGTTTTTCCGCGGAGTTTCGCAGCAGATCTCGTCATCTCCGCTGCCATCAGATTGGTGTCTCTCGTTGAGAACTTCGTGGCAGCAGTGCAATCTGGACGGCACAAAGAGATGGGCGAAGCTGGCGAGTTATTTGTGGGGTATAACCCCAAGTTGTGGCCATGTGATAGGAAAAACGATGAGAACCCATCAAATTTGGTTCTTTCAATGTGGACAATATGAAAAGAATTATGATAGCCCAGAAATTTTGGGGGTACCCGAACCAATTCCAACACCTTTGAAGCTAAGGTCTGATTCCCTTATGAAGTAACAAACCTGTAGGTTGAGCCTCCAGCCGCAGTTGTATGTATATATTTATACAAAGGATATTTTTTGTGCATTGGCACCTTCGTGGTCGGTTCATGTCCGCACTTGGTACTGGTACCTCAAAATGTTGGTGATCTTGTGACATTGTGGGACCTGTGCTCGCGACAGGATGGAGCAATTCCAACTATGGCATGTGGGCACCTGAGATCGATGGTGGTTGATGGTTTTGTCTCGGACCGATGATGCTTCAGAGACTCTTGACAACAAGAGGTGCAATGAAGTGAAACCATGTTGCAGGTTAGTCATGACTATATAGTCAATGTAGGCGTGTCCAAAAATGGGATATTCCGCCCAAGACAATGATTTTTGATGTCTGGGTGGAATCTGCGGATGCAGCAAATCCCAGGATTTTTGCATCTGCCATGGACTAACACTGTGAGTGTTGGTACGGCTCATGCATACATCTCTTGCCATGATTGTTGCAAAACCATGCAAAATCTGTTTATTTCTGAAAACAGGGTACAATTTATACAATGACGAGAATTCATTGGACGAAATATGAGGGTATTAGTTGGGGTAACATATAAATATATATATATATTATATATACATGGTAATTATTCTCAGTGCTGACCAAACTTGAAAACCATCACCAATTGAACTGTACAAATTTATAACGAAGACACTTGTATAATACACTTCAATCGACCAATATAAGCCACCAATTAGTGATTTACTTGTATAAGCCACTTATATTTATATATATATATATAAATAGTTTATACCATTACCAAGTGGCTAACCCTTGGGTAATTGTTCAGCTATGGGATTCTTATATCCCAAAAAGACACTCTACCAGGTCGAAACTGGCCTTAATCGCCTTCACGCGCTTGGTGGCGCGAGAGGAGCCGACAATTCAGGCGAAAGATTTCAGCTGTAACAATGTGGGTATGTTATCCAGAAAAGATGGTTTGGTGATGTTTGGTGATGTTTGTTGATGATGATTTGATCTTAGTTTAGGAATTCTTTCGGATACAAAGTTGCTCCCGGGGTCGAGATTGATAGACCATTCCCGCTGTTCACGTGCCGAAATGGGATTGGACTCTGAAGTTGGACAATGTAAGCCTTGCACCAGGATTTAATAGCAATCCAGCGAATTTTGAGCTATATATGAAGTCACAGTATTGAAACGCAGCAGAGTCACAGATATGTTTTGAGTGCCCCACATGGAAAGGTCAATCAACTCGTACCGCTCAGGTGAATGCGTGCTGCCCAGGTTACTGCCGGACTGACATGTGGCCAGCTTAGAATTCATCGGTGTCTTTGCTTTCAGGAAATCTGACCCACCAGTTCTACCTCAATCTTTGCAGTAGGGGTCCTGGCCAAACCCTGAAACAGCAAAACATTCAAGCGACACACAGCACCTTGAAATAGGATGAAATGGGAGTGTTGTGTACTAATACAAAAACTGACCATTCGTGACCAATACCAGCGTCGTCGTCATCATGAGGTTTCATCCCTCTTTTTGTCGACTCCTTTGCTGCTTATCTTGCCGTTTATTTGGGTGGTCTCAAGGTCCTCGAATCGCGGTGGTCAGGACCCAAGCGTTGGGGCGCGCACGGTAGCGCTGTGTGCGCTGCTGTCGCCGAGCGCTCCCAGTGGTGCCTTCTTTGAGAACCAACAAATCTCTGCGTGGTGAGAAAAGATCCCAACACCTCTACGTGAGAGGTCGCAGGATTGATGGTATTGATTGGGGGCATTCCTTTTTTGAACTACTGGTATTTTGGGAAGAAAACAAGAGATGGGAAGAAGAAGAAGGAGAAGAAGGAGAAGAAGAAGAATAAGAAGAAGAAGAATAAAAGAAGAAGAAGAATATGAAGAAGAAGATGAAGAAGATGAAGAAGAAGAAGAAGAAGTAGGATTGATGGCCATCAACAACAGTGCAGCAACTATTTCAGCATCCAGACTGTACCACATATTTGATGGTAATGATTATGATATAACTCAAACGGGATATGGCTGCTCCACTTCTCAACCATCAAACACTGGGATGAAGGGGTTCGAGGGACACACCAAGATGTTCTTAATTTGCAGCTTAATGAGGAATGAGGATCAGAATGATTTTCTCAGCGCAGGAAGTGTGGTATGAAATCACAGTAAGCCTTGCCAATCGATTAGAAATGCCAGTGGACACGGCTGCAAAAAGGAACTGCATCAGTTGTAAAGAGCCAACGCCCCCATGCATGCTTTAAACCCAATAGCCCATATTTTACTTTACCCCGTTAGGGTTAGTGACAACCATACTGTACCACGCAGGTCCAAGATGCTGAAGCAAAAGAGACCGCAGAGGCCAAAGGTGAGGCAACAAGCAAAGCCAAGAGGCGGCCGGGGAACAGCTTGCTGAACTCCTGCTTGGGGGGCAGTTGGGATGGAAAAACTGGATATAAGTATGGCAATCACCCCTGTAAGTTTGGGAATATGGTTAAACATCCAGATTCTGGATGGCAAAGAGAGATAGGACAGTTGGTAGACGATGAACCATCATGGTGGTTGCATGGTGCAATTCCACGATTTTGGCAAATGATGTAGATAGTAGATGCAACCTGTGGAAACTGGACTTGGTTTCGGAAGATCACATACGGAGCTCCGTGATCATGACTTTTCGGCTCGCAAGTGGGTGGGATGTGGGCCTCAAATCTTCCCCAGAACATGTGAAAGCAATCTCTTGCTATTTGGACATCCTGCAATGAAAATACTGAAGTCACTTGCACACATCTTTGAAAAGAGACTAAGAAAAATATAAGCAAAATCAATTGAATTATCTTGCAGCTACATGGTGAATTGAATCCCAAGCACAACCCGACATTAAAGGACACTGAATTCCTAGGCCCTAGGCAGGATGCTCGCCCGTGCCGCCAAGCGTCGGCGCACGAGCCAACCAGAGCTGGACTACTATCAGATTCTGGGGCTACGCCGTGATGCAAAGCACCAGGACATCATCCGGGCCTACCACCGGGAAGCGAAGCAAACCCACCCAGATCGGCCTGGAGGCAGAGCCTTGGACAATCTTTGGTCAATCTTTGGACAGTCTTTGGACAATCTTTGGACAATAGAAAGTCAGAATAGATGCCAGGTAGAATGCCAGAATAGAATGTCAGATAGAATGCCAGACAGAATGCCAGAGAAAATGTCAGAATAGATGCCCGATAGAATGTCAAAATAGATGCCAGATTGCCAGATAGAATGTCAGAATAGAATGTCAGAATAAAATGCCAGAATAGAATGTCAGATAGAATGCCAGACAGAATGCCAGAGAAAATGTCAGAATAGATGCCCGATAGGATGTCAGAATAGATGCCAGATTGCCAGATAGAATGTCAGAATAGAATGTCAGAATAGATGCCAGAATAGAATGTCAGATAGAATGCCAGACAGAATGCCAGAGAAAATGTTAGAATAGATGCGCGATAGGATGTCAGAATAGATGCCAGATTGCCAGATAGAATGCCAGAATAGAATGTCAGAATAGAATGCCAGAATAGAATGTCAGAAAATATATGCCGTATATACGTCCAGATGAGATGTCAGAAACTATGACAAAATAAGGTCACGGTGGGTATCACTCGAAGTAAAGTATTTTTTTGGTGGGTCTTTCTTTCTGGGAAGTTCATGCGAATACCTCGTTTCCCATTTCGAATTTCTCTTGAGTGCGTGGGTATAAGTCCTTGAAGGAAGACAACTCTTGTGAGGCAAAGAGGCGTTCCAAACCTTGGCCCATGCTTACGAAGTGCTCGCTGACGATGCGAAGCGACAAGCCTACAACGCCAGCATAGTGGAGCGAGGCAGCTGTGATGGGGCTGCGGCCACCCATGATCCAAAGCCAAGGTGTGAAAGGCACATCTTGGCCGAGCATCCTGAGGCCTTCGTGAAGCTTCTTCTTAGCTGCAAAATGGCGCTGTGGGCGCGGCTGCTCAGAGGTTTGACAGGAGCGCAACTGCAGAAGCTTCTTGATTGCTTGCACTTTGAGGAGAATGGGCAGAGGTTATTGACCCGCAGACAAGCTGGGGTGTCCTACTCTCAAGATCTCCGGCGACCTTGCTATTTGTATGCAGGTGCGGGGAACAGCTTTTGGGCAGAGGTCCTCATTCACGGCATATGTTTCGCCACCCCTCGTACTACGTCCAGGGCAGTGGCAGCCTACTACCATTCCGCGGTAGTGGAGCTGAAGCGATTGGTTCAAGAAGGCATATCGGCAAATCCTTTCGGCAGTCTTGAAGATGCAATTATCCGTGGGCTTTCAGGCCTGGACACCCAAGGCTTGACTTGCCCACTTTTGTTTTCTGTGCGTATTACTAGTAGAAGGTTTGGAAATAAGGATTTCCGAAGCAGCACTGTGGATGACATCCATGTGGCTCTGACGATGAGACAAGAATCATACAATGCTGCCAGCGCCAAAGCGTTGAAGAAGCTGAAGGAGAAATGGGCGCAGATGGCAGGTGACGGGGCTGAAAAGGCTCAGGGCTTAAGGCCAGGCACTGTTCGGAAAAGGAATTGTGGGGGAAGGGGAAGCTTGTGAAGACAAGGCCAGCTGTGCCGATCCTGAATTTGTTTATTTGATGTTGCCTTTATTCGCATACAGACGAAACTGGCCGAACAGTTACCTGTAAACACTGTAGCTTATTTGCATGTTGCAGGGTTTGGTTTACTTTTCGGCACGTCCTTCTCAAAGCCTGCCAGGCAAAAGACCGCATCGCGGCTCGCAGGCTACATCTTGGCGCAGCAAGAGGCCAGAAAAGACGCTCCTTTGGCCCGGGTTCGCAGATCCTTCAAGCAGCCGGCAGATGTCGTGGTCCAGGCACAGCTCAAAACGCGGCTAGTACTAGTACTGGCAAACCACTCCGTTTGCCGTTTGCCGCGCCGTGTCGATGACGTGTCGGAACATCAAAAAACGCTGTGTTTTGTGGGACAAAATGCACATGTCCATGATAATGGCTTTCATCTTGCAACGCACAGCTTAGCAACCTGTGCGTTGAATGTTACATCATCATCATCATCATCATCACCACCATCGTCGTCGTCGTCCTCCTCCTCCTCCTCCTCCTCCTCCTCGTCCTCATCATCGTCATCATCGTCATCATCATCATCATCATCATCATCATCATCATCATCATCGTCATCGTCATCGTCATCGTCATCGTCATCGTCATCATCATCATCGTCGTCGTCATCATCATCATCATCAGCACCACCACCACCACCACCACCATCATCATCATCATCATCACTATCATCATTATCATCAACAGTATCAACCCTGAACCCAAAACCCTAAACTCCTTGAATTTTCTCTCGAATATAAAGTTCAACGGGGGTGGGGATTTCATGATGCCCTAGAATTTCTTTTGAAACATCTTTAAGATTCCCGTGAATCAATATCCTTTGATGTGGCCGAACCGGGGGGTTTGCACGTACTAGTACCAAGAGTATTAAGCGACAGTAGACGTTCATTGAAAGTCAGGGTTTGGCGAAGGGATTTCCATCATCCCAGAGCCATCCGATCCCAAAACATGGAGGAAGTAGTGTTGATATTGGCCTTCAAGTGTTTTTGCAAATTTCTTCCAGAGTCAAGTTTGCATCCTGCCACCATTTCACCAGGTTCCCTTTCTTGGTCATTGGGCCTCAACGCTTGGACTTGGACCAGATCAGCTCCGAAATCGCCTCAGCTCATTGGAGGGCCAACAAGCCCTAAAGGACTTCTTTGCACGGCATCCTTTCGCACTTGAGGATACGAAGTCCACCAAACTTCCCAGAGAAGTGTTCGGTTTCATTGGCCTTGTGTCTTGGTCTGGCCCATATTTTTTGTCAGACATTTGACTTGAGAAAGGGGATGACCCTGTCATAAGGGGTACGTGGCGGGAGGGCTTGATGAATTTGATTGACGACTTTCCACAGCATTCATCTTGCACATAGTCTTTTGATGTTTGTCTTTCCACATACGACTGTGAGGTGGATCTTTGCCAGCTCTTGGTGCTGAACAAGGAGTACTGTGAAATGGGGAAGGAGCAGATCAAGACCAGATGCCAGGGCACCTTCACCCCATCTACCCAGGACTTTGGAAATGAATGTCAGCACCTCATTGAATTTGTGAACTGGGGATTCCTACAGCAAACCCGCCTCATTGATTTGCGACACCTTCCGGCTGAAGCACGCAGTGATTTCCTGTGGGCTGTGCTTTGTACATTGGAAAAGCTGGAGCGTGTGCTAGTGACGCACGCGACGCAGGTTCCATGTTTGAAGTCCAGGCAATTTGCAGTGGAAGTCTCTTTGCTGGCCTCGGCCTGATAGCCAATGCCCATGTCCTCTGATGTCCTTTGGTTCCAATGCCCCCTGAAAATGGTCCGGTTCAGCGGCACTTGGGAGTTGCGATTTGAAACCGAAGGAGAGGGGAGCTGCTTCGAAGCCGACCTGCTATCTTCTCCGACACATGCACATTGCCAACACAATCGTAGAGAATTTGGGGTAGATGGTGATTGATGATCTGATTGGTCGTTCACAACACGATGGAATTTGAAGATGACGACCGGAGCTGCAGCAACATGATTGCAATTTATTTTGTAACGTACTACTAGTATAGTATAAAGAAGTAAATGTGGGTAACCATGTGTAGATTACGTGTTGCTGATGCCTTTGCTGCCTCACTTCACAGCCAGCTCAGCTAGCTCCACCAGCGCCAGGAAAAAGAAACGGAAAACGAAGAAAGACGAAGGTCAGAAGGAAACTGAGGTTGAGGCTGAGGCACAGGGGCCTGATGGGTGATGTGGTTGGATTGTCATCTAGGAAAAACAATGAGATATTTTTCGGGCTTACTGGGTGGAGGCCCTGAAATTATAAGGTTGGTTTTATAAGATACATGTGTGACAACCGCCCGCACTGGAGTGTTAGCTCCGAAGTTCCAATGAAACCATGTATATCCTATGTTGGGCTTTTGTAGGGCTCCTGTTGGGGGTATGTTGGGCACATGTTGGCTCTATGTTAGGCCGATGTTGGGCCATCTTGGGCCTATGTTGCGCCCATGTTGGGCCTATACTGGCTCGGTGAGCCATGTTGGGGGCCATGTTGGGGCCAAGTTGGGCCCATGTTGGGCCTATGTTGGGCCCATCTCGTGGGCCATGTTGAGCCCAAGTTTGGCAATTTAGCCGATTTTAGGTCCCTTTAAAAAACAGAATTCTAGAGCGATAAAAATCCCCCCAAGCTAAAGCTTAATAACTATTGCAATTGGTTCTGGTTAATGCGTGCACACAAAAAACGCATCGGCATCTTCGGCGCGGGCGGATTTGGCCTTCACTGCCTGTTGGTTCTCATTTTTGTTGTGTTATTTTCAAGATTGCCCATCCAAAGTGCATTTCCCATTCCCATCAGCCAGGCGCCAAACAGCGACATTCTGGCGGCTTTGAACATGGACTCCGCCGAGGTAGTCAAACTCATGGGGGGTTCAATGGGAAAATCTGGGAAAATCCGGAGGGTTGATTAAATCCCGGTGCATCCCAGCAATGTTTGGGGCGAAGATATACTCATTTGTCGGATACAGTAGAAATATACATACAGACATACATACATACATCCATGCATGCATGCATGCATGCATGCATGCATACATAGATAGATAGATAGATAGATAGATACATAGATACATAGATACATAGATACATAGATACATAATAGGTAAATGAAATCTGCAAGCGATATTGGATCACTATGAATGGATGCAGCCAAGTTGTGTTTGGTGTCAGTATCGGGGTAAGCCGCGACACATCACTGAGTCACAACGAATTTTGGCAGACCCCAAAGCAATGCTGATAGACACTTCCAAAGAGAACCAACAACATGGGATTCCATTATTTTGATTGTGCTCATACGTTGCAGTCACTTACTTAGTTCTGTTATATGTTGTCCCAGTAGGAGTTTGGCGTTCCAAGTCGCAGAGAACAATGCATCATCGGCTCCAGCAAGTTCCCGGACCACTTCTCTTTGACCCAGTTGTAAAATCAGTTCCACGAGGCGCTTGAACAACGAGAGCTGGTTCGCACGGTGCGCCCTGCCAGGGGAAACGGTTCTGGGGGTTGGATTTCATTTCAGAAAATAGAATTCTGGGGTTGTTTACCCTTTCCACATATTTTTTCCCGGGAATATTCTTTTCTATGTTGAAACAAGCAAGATTTCCATCATTTCTCAGACAGAGGGACAGGGTGTCCAAAGTAGATCTTATTGGCCAGCATTTTTTGTTGCCAAAGATCAATCGCTTTTCCCCAAATCGGTCGATTTCAGAATGACACCTCCATACACAAGGTGCATAGTTTTTAGTGGGTGTTAGCATGGCTGCCCGGCTCATTCTGCAGTTTTACAGACGAATCCGCGGCCTCTGCGCCGGGGCCTGAAAAAAAACATGCGCGAAATGGATGGCCCGGATGGCGATGTTCTGCCAATGGCAGGGAGCCTAAAGAGGGTTGCGTGGTGATCCAGCATTGGCAAATTTGGTGAGGTATTTCACAGACTTGTTCTCAACATAGTTTTGTTTTTTGTCAAACCATTAACAATATCCTTCTGAAATCTTTTAAACACATCCCAATCATATCATCCGAGTAGCCATCTATCATAGTGGTCTTGCTACATAGCTTAGCTGCAGAGCTGCAGTGGCAAGTTTTGAGAGATGTATAGCATTCCCCAAAAAGATGGAAAAGTAAAATCCAATCCTGAAATAGCGATGAATTACCTTCGTATCTTTATTCATTCTTTTAGGGGGTTACAAGAAAGTGTCAAAATGTGTCAAAGATGTGATTCGAAATGTTCTGATCACCCCAAGAGAAGGTCTCATATAGAGTCCCCTGCTTGTGAGTCCTTCGGGATCTTTGCTTTGTATTTTATTTTTGGAAAGATGATGTCAATCCCTGGTCGTTAACTGGAGGGTTACCCGGTTACAGTCATAGCCAAGGCTAGAAAGCCATGGTACCTCCCCATTTAACAAACCAACGGTTTATGAATCCGGGGTTGACATAGTCATAGTAATGATAATCAAAGGAAGTTTAGTGGGAGAAACTTCCGTGTTACGGACTTTTAGAATGTCAGGGAAAGAGTTAGTCAAAGAAAGAGTTAGTCAAAGAAAGAGTTAGTCAAAGAAACAGTTAGTCAAAGAAAGAGTTAGTCAAAGAAAGAGTTAGTCAAAAGAGTTAGTCAAAGAAACAGTTAGTCAAAAAAGTTAGTCAAAGAAAGAGTTAGTCAAAGAAAGAGTTAGTCAAAGAAACAGTTAGTCAAAGAAAGAGTTAGTCAAAGAAAGAGTTAGTCAAAGAAAGAGTTAGTCAAAGAAACAGTTAGTCAAAGAAAGAGTTCGTCAAAGAAAGAGTTCAAAGAAACAGTTAGTCAAAGAAACAGTTAGTCAAAGAAACAGTTAGTCAAAGAAAGAGTTCGTCAAAGAAAGAGTTCGTCAAAGAAAGAGTTAGTCAAAGAAAGAGTTAGTCAAAGAAAGAGTTAGTCAAAGAAAGAGTTAGTCAAAGAAACAGTTAGTCAAAGAAAGAGTTAGTCAAAGAAAGAGTTAGTCAAAGAAAGAGTTCGTCAAAGAAACAGTTAGTCAAAGAAAGAGTTAGTCAAAGAGTTAGTCAAAGAAAGAGTTAGTCAAAGAAAGAGTTAGTCAAAGAAAGAGTTAGTCAGGGAAAGAGTTAGTCAAAGAAAGAGTTAGTCAAAGAAAGAGTTAGTCAAAGAAAGAGTTAGTCAAAGAAACAGTTAGTCAAAGAAAGAGTTAGTCAAAGAAAGAGTTAGTCAAAGAAAGAAAGAGTTCGTCGAAGAAAGAGTTCGTCGAAGAAACAGGTAGTCAAAGAAACAGTTAGTCAAAGAAACAGTTAAAAGAAAGAGTTCGTCGAAGAAAGAGTTCGTCGAAGGTTCGTCAGGGAAAGGGTTAGTTAAAGCAAGAGTTAGTTAGGGCATTGATTGTTCCCGCAATGCAAATGGGATTGCAAGTGGTGCTGCCGGATGAGTTGCCGATGGAGTTTTGAAGGAAGTCTCGCACGAAATGCGTTTTTGAGAGATAACAGATGCACGAAACCCTATGTTTTTCCATACAAAGTCCGTCCCCGAACCTCGATGATCTACCTCTGCGGTGCGACGGGTGCGAGACGGTCTCGTGTGTGGTCGGATCATCCTCGGATTGGTCTCGGATCGGTTCCGCATTGTAAATGGGGTTTCAACTGTTTTTCGTGCATGTGTGGTTGACAGAATTCCATTGTGATTTGCAACTGTAGGATCGTTCCCGCATTGTAAATGGGATTGCAAGTGGTGCTGGTGGATGAGTTGCCGATGGAGTTTTGGAGGAAGTCTCGCACGAAATGCGTTTTTGAGAGATAGCAGATGCAGGAAACCCTATGTTTTTCCATACAAAGTCTGTCCCCGAACCTCGATGATCTACCTCTGCGGTGCGACTGGTGCGAGACGGTCTCGTGTGTGGTCGGATCATCCTCGGATCATCCTCGGATTGGTCTCGGATCGGTCTCGGATCGGTTCCGCATTGTAAATGGGGTTTCAACTGTTTTTCGTGCATGTGTGGTCGACAGAATTCCATTGTGATTTGGCAACTGTAGGAATCGTTCCCGCATTGTAAATCATGGGGTTGCATGGTGCTGGTGGATGAGTTTGCCGATGGAGTTTTTGGAGGAAGTCTCGCCGAAATGCGTTTTTTGAGAGAATCAGAATGCCGGAAACCCTATGTTTCTTCCTACAAAGTTTCCCGGTCCCCGCAACCGAAACCTCGATGATCTACCCTGCGGTGCACGGTCGCGAGAACGCTCGTGTTTGGTCGGATCATCCTCGGTCATCCTCCTGATGTCTGGATCGGTCTCGGATTCGGTCCGCATTGTAAATGAGGTTTCAACTGTTTTTCGTGCATGTGTGGTCCGAACAGAATTCCATTGTGATTTGCAACTGTAGGATCGTTCCCGCATTGTAAATGGGGTTGCAAGTGGTGCTGGTGGATGAGTTTCTGATGGAGTTCCATTGTGATTTGCAACTCTAGGATCGTTCCCTCACTGTAAATGGGATTGCAAGTGGTGCTGGTGGATGAGTTGCCGATGGAATTCCATTGTGATTTGCAAGTCTAGGATCGTTCCCTCCCTCCCTGTAAATGGTTGCGTCAAGGTTCCTTCGTGCTGTGGCTGCATTGGTAATACTATTGTCTTTTGCAGCTGGACTTCGCAAATCGTATTGGAGTGGCTGCATGAAGGCTGCCACAGTGATTTGTTGGCAGATTTTCTCCATTTTGGCGCTAGTGAATTTCCTTCTAAAAATTCTTTTAAAAAGTGCTTCAAAATCGTCTTTTTTTCGCTCTGGCGTCGAGATCCGGTTTTGGAGCTACAATTTCCGACGCCGTTGTGCGTAGTTTTATTGTGTTTTGCAACTCAGTCTCTGCAGATCGCATTGTAATGGCTGCGTCAAGGTTGCTTCGTGCTGTGGCTGCATTCGTAATACTATTGTCTTTTGCAGCTGGATCTCGTAAATCGTATTGGAGTGGCTGCATGAAGGCTGCGTCAGTGATTTGTCAGCAGATTTTCTCCATTTTGGCGCTAGTGATTTTCCTTCTAAAAATCCTTTTAAAAAGTGCTTCAAAATCGTCTTTTTTTCGCTCTGGCATCGAGATCCGGTTTTGGAGCTGCAATTTCCGACGCCGTTGCGCGTAGTTCTATTGTGTTTTGCAACTCAGTCTCTGCAGATCGCATTGTAATGGCTGCGTCAAGGTTGCTTCTTGCCACGGCTGCATGCGTAATACTATTGTCTTTTGCAGCTGGACTTCGTAAATCGTATTGGAGTGGCTGCATGAAGGGTGCGACATTGATTTGTTAGCAGATTTTCTCCATTTTGGCGCCAGTGATTTTCTTTTTAAAAATTCTTTTAAAAAGTGCTTCAAAATCGTCTTTTTTTCGCTCTGGCGTCGAGATCCGGTTTTGGAGCTACAATTTCCGACGCCGTTGTGCGTAGTTCTATTGTGTTTTGCAACTCAGTCTCTGCAGATCGCATTGTAATGGCTGCGTCAAGGTTGCTTGGTGCCGCGGCTGCATGCGCAATACTATTGTCTTTTGCAACTGGACTTCGTAAATCGTATTGGAGTAGGTGCATCAAGGGTTCGACAGTGATTAGTAGTAGTGCTGGGAATTGATGAATGAAAGCTTAATAGATGACATATGAGAAGGGACGAAATGAGAAGAGATGAGCTGGGATAAGGTGAGAAGAGCTCAGATGAGATGAACTGTGGAGTGTGAAGAGTGTAGTGTGAAATGTGGGGCGTGAAGAGTGCAGTGTGAAGTGTGAAGTGTGAAGGAAGCAGTGAGAAGTGAGAAGTGAGAAGTTTGGAGTGTGAAGTGTGAAGTTTGGAGTGCAAAGAGTGCAGTGTGAAGTGTGGAGTGTGAAGAGTGCAGTGTGAAGTGTACAGTGTGAAGGAAGCAGTGGGAAGTGAGAAGTGTGGAGTGTGAAGTTTAAGTTTGGAGTGCGAAGAGTGAGTGTGAAGTGTGAAGTGTGAGGTTTGGAGTGTGAAGGCAGCAGTGAGAAGTGAGAAGTGTGAAGTGTGGACTGTGAAGTGTGGAGTGTGAAGTGCGAAGTGAGAAGTGTGAAGTTTGGAGTGTGAAGGAAGCAGTGAGAAGTGTGAAGTGCGAAGTGAGAAGTGTGAAGCTTGGAGTGTGAAGTTTGGAGTGGGAAGGAAGCAGTGAGAAGTGAGAAGTGTGAAGTGTGGACTGTGAAGTGTGGAGTGTGAAGTGCGAAGTGAGAAGTGTGAAGTTTGGAGTGTGAAGGAAGCGGTGAGAAGTGTGAAGTGAGAAGTGTGAAGTGTGGACTGTGAAGTGTGGAGTGCGAAGAGCGCAGCGTGAAGTGTGAAGTGTGAAGTGTGAGGTTTGGAGTGTGAAGGAAGCAGTGAGAAGTGTGAAGTGTGGACTGTGAAGGGTGAAGTGTGAGTGAAGTGTGGAGTGTGAAGTGCGAAGTGAGAAGTGTGAAGTGTGAAGTTTGGAGTGTGAAGTTTGGAGTGGGAAGGAAGCAGTGAGAAGTCAGAAGTGTGAAGTGTGGACTGTGAAGTGTGGAGTGTGAAGTGCGAAGTGAGAAGTGTGAAGTTTGGAGTGTGAAGGAAGCAGTGAGAAGTGAGAAGTGTGAAGTGTGGAGTGTGAAGTGTGAAGTGTGAAGTTTTGAGTGTGAAGGAAGCAGTGAGAAGTGAGAAGTGTGAAATGTGGAGTGTGAAGTGTGAAGTGTGAAGTGCGAAGTGAGAAGTGAGAAGTCTGGACTGTGAAGTGTGAAGTGTGAAGTGTGGACTGTGAAGTGTGAAGTGTGAAGTGTGGACTGTGAAGTGTGAAGTGTGCAGTGTGAAGTGTGAAGTGTGAGGGTTGGAGTGTGAAGGAAGCAGTGAGAAGTGAGAAGTGTGGAGTGTGAAGTGTGGAGTGTGAAGTTTGAAGTTTGGAGTGCGAAGAGTGCAGTGTGCAGTGTGCAGTGTGAGGTGTGGAGTGTCGAGGGAAGGACACGGTCGGGACAGGTTGTCTTTGAACTATAGGTCATTTATGTTTGGGAAACTTCCGCCGCCGGCTTGCCCGGGTCTATGTTAATAATGAAATGATGATGATAGTCATTACCGGCTTCAGTAGTAACCATTATTTTCTGGTGATAATTGGGTATGGGTCAAAATTGGGTACCTCAAGAATTAGAGGGTTAATACTGAACATGACTCCTAAAAATTGTCGTCCCTTCCGGGGCTTAAATTTTGACACCCAACTGAAGTTTGATTCCCTTGGTATCTCCGCCTTAGGATGTGCCTGCCTCCGACAGTGAGTTGGAGATGGAGGTCCGGCGAGAAAAAGACCACCAGCCGTGGTTATGGGTGGTAGTTATTGATATTGCCCTAGTTATTGTATCACCACCCTTGTCGTGACGTACACAAAATGTACTGTAAGCTACAGTTTTGACCCCCTCGGAAAAAAACCCGAGGGGGACGGCTCTTTGTATGTTAGACCCCCTCTAGGTCCAAAAACAAGCACGCACGGACTTACATTTTGAGGGGGGGTCGAAAGTCCGTAATAGATACGTCACCCCGTACCCCTCCCCATTCCTCCCCCACTCTACGGATAGGGGGGAGAGGTAAAAATTATTATATAAATGTCCGCAAGCAGTGTGTTAATTTTTTGTGAGGTGTCTTTGTGGGGATGTAATCAACCCATGTTTGAGGTCCATAGTTCCTTGCAGAAAGTGTTCGAAAAAGAAGATAAAGCTAAGATAGAAAAATGTAACCATCCTACACCTGAGGCCTACAATTTCTGGCAGAAAGTGCTTTAAAAAGAAGGTAGAGACGAGAAAAAAAAAGTAACCATCCTACACCTGAGGTCCTTAATTCCTTTCAGAAAGTGCTCAAAAAAGAAGGTAAAGCTAAGATAGAAAAATGTAACCATCCTACACCTCAGGTTCCATAATTCCTTTCAGAATCAATATGACACATGTCTAGATCGTTATTTGATTATGGTTGGAGGGTCACAAGGGGGGCTAGATAGGAACCGTGGCAGAAGGGTGTTTAAGTTTGATCATGTAGGTACATAAAGGGCCTTCAACATCTCATTTTACAGTTTTTTGAAGTTCAAGGATTTTCCAGTAATTTGCAAGGAATGATATACCTCCTATACCTCTATGTTACATGTGAAAATGATCAAAAAAGTGTAGAAAAAAGTGTAGAATTTATTGGAAATACCAAGCAGTTCGGGGTCCTACAATTTTTTAGTTTACATTTTTGTTTTTCTGCAATTCTGAAGCTATTTGCAGACCTTTAGACTATCATTTTACATTTTTTTACCTTCTTACATTTTGTTTTAAAACATACAAGCTTACATTTTGAACGTCCCCCTAGGTGTTTTAGGACATTGCGGAAAAAGGGGGGCCTACTAAAATGAAAGTTTGCAATTAGAACGTACTTTGAAAAATAAATGAAAGTCAACAATTATTACGTCCCCCTCCTTTAAATACGTCTAAAATGTAGCTTACATTCAGGGTACGTCCCCTTATATTAAAAGGGTAGTGATGTCATTATACCAGTAGTACCGCACAAGGCGGTGGCGGAAGTTTCAGAATAGGAAACCTATAGGAGACGTTGGTTGTTGTGAATCACGGATGGCAGAGCGAATCCACTGATTGACCGAAAGGTGGTTGGAGTTGTGTTTGCTGGAATGGTTGGAATGGTTGCAGTGGTCACCTCACCCACAACTGCTGGATGTAGTGTGATGTACTGCAACTGTAGTTGTAGTTGTAGTGTAGTGGAGTTGTAGTTGTGGTGTAATGTAATTAGTGTAGTGTAGTTGCAGTCATATAGTTGTAGCTGTAGTTGTTTTGTAGTTGTAGTTGTTGTAGTTGTAGTAGTAGTAGTAGTAGTAGTAGTTGTTGTTGTAGTAGTTGTAGCTGTAGTTGTTGTGTAGTTGTAGTTGTTGTGTAGTTGTAGTTGTTGTTGTAGTTGTTGTTGTTGTAGTAGTTGTTGTTGTTGTTGTAGTTGTTGTTGTTGTTGCTGTTGTTGTTGTTGTAGCTGTAGTTGTTGTAGCTGTAGTTGTTGTAGTTGTAGTTCTAGTAGTTGTGTAGTTGTGTAGTTGTAGTTGTAGTTGTAGTAGTAGTAGTAGTTGTTGTTGTTGCTGTTGTTGTTGCTGTTGCTGTTGTCGTCGAAGTTAGGGTAGTTGAGTTAGTGAAGTTAGTTAAGTTAGTCAAGTTAGTTAAGTTAGTCAAGTTAGTTAAGTTAATCAGTGTCTACTTTTTCGACATCTTAACGTCAAAAAAGGCTCAAACCCCTCAGTTTTTTACACTTTTGACTTCGAAATGTGCTTCGCGCCACAACGGCGTGCACTTTTTCGACACTTTTTCGACATCTGAACCTCCCAAAGTGGTCCGAGACCGTCAGTTTTTAACACTTTTGACTTGGAAATGTGCTTCGCGCCACAACGGCGTGCACTTTTTCAACATCTCAACTTCCAAAAGTGGTCCGGACCTGGTGTGTTTTGTGTGTTTTGTACATTTTGACTTGGAAATGTGCTTCGCGCCACAACGGCGTGCAATTTTTCATCTCTCGTCTGGCCAGCTGACTCCGCACCCGCCGCTTTAGCAAGCCTACTTTTCGACCCTCCGGAGCCACAAATCATTGGAAAAACACAGTGTTTCGCGAGCGACTTTCCTACCTTTTCGCGCATCTGCATCTTCTTTCTTCTTACTCTTTCTCTTCTGATCTTCTCTCTTCTAATCTTCCTCTTCTCTCTGCCTCTGCCCTGCTCTGCTTTTCATCTGTCCATATTGTCGGAAGTTTGACTTCTAAACTTCCTTCGATGATTATCCAGATGGAGATGGGATATGGGTATATCATAGATTTAGATAACTTGAACCCAGATTGAACGATTGAACCAAGATTCACCCATATAACAACAAATCAACGCGGGACTCAACCGAGCTTTTGATGGGATCTATTGGGGATATGTATAATCAGAATATAACAATATCAGACAATATCTATATGCTGAGGGTTTTTCATACCCCCAAAATTTATGGCCCTTGAACCGGGAATACAATGATTAACCAGTGGAGTTTTTTGGGTTTTATTTTCAGACAAGCCCATATAATCCATATATATATATATATATATATTTTTTTTCTGTGTTGTAGTCCCAAACAACAACCATTGAACATGTCTCTGGTAAAAGAATCTAATTATTTTGGTGCCACAATCCAAAATAGCAATAACTACTGTAGATAGCGTTGTGATGGGAGTTAATTACAACCGAAACAATGAGTTAGAACTACTTGCATCATTTTGCATCTACATACCAACAACTGGGGCCCTTCCCAAGTCTTTCCGATTTTTCAAGCCTGCAGTAGTAGATATCACATAATGTATTTATTGGCTTCTCCAAAAACCCTTATATAGAACGACAGCAATCAGATGGTACGGAGAGCAAACTCACTCATTGTGACATCCCTGTCATGCTCACACCTGGTCTATTCGAAGTATGAGACTTACAATTGATGCCAGAAGGGAAAATGTGCAGCGGATGACATGATGATGAGTAGTTGATCGTGGAAACATTTTGAGACAACATGAGAAATTTTCTTCACAAAAAACAACACATGAACACAGCACCACGTGAGACTATTGATAGTTCTAACAGGTCGGACCACACTACAAAACAAAATACACATATACACACATACTCACCTTGAAGTAGATAGAATATCAACACGCCAATCATATTCCAATTTTGTTTTGTTTTTTTTTGAAAAACATATTCTACCTAGGGATGACACCCAAAAAAATCTGGTGGCACATCATCAGAAGGGTTTTCTGCCCAGGAGGAAGCAGAGTGGAGACGTTTGCGCACCCCATCACCAGAGCCTGGGCCCTGGCGTCATCATGTTGGGGAGACGGGATACACAAGTGGGTTTGTCTGAAAATAGTGTACCCCTACACCCAATGGTTAATGATCATTATCCCTACTAAATGGCTATAATTGGGTGTATATACCCCATTTTCAGACATACCCAAGTAACGGTATGATACCCTATGGTTATTTAACATAGCCATGGTATAGATGGCCCATTTATAGATGGTTTACCTATTAAAAATGGTGATTTTCCATGGCAAACTGTTAGTCATAACCAGAGGGTACAGGGTTTGGTTTTGTCCCAAAACATTTCCGCTCCAGATTTGCAAACGGCCATCCTCATTCACTCCCTGTCCATAAATAAACGGCCTTTTGTCCAAAATAGGGGACCCCATGGGACCCCATAATCTCACTGTTCATCATCATTCCACCATAATTATATACTTTCGAGTGATCCCCGCCCTTACACACTATTCTGACATAGTTTCTGATATAACATCTGGAAGTATTTATGGCGTATATATTCTAACATTCTATCTGACGTTCTTTCTGGCATATACTCTGACATTTCATCTGACATTCTTTCTGACATTCTATCTGGCATCTATTCTGACATTCTTTTTGGTATTCTATCTGGCATCTCTTCTGACATTCTTTCTGGCATCCATTCTGACGTTCTTTCTGGCATCTATTCAGGCATTCTATCTGGCATCTATTCTGACATTCTCTCTGACATGGGCAGTGCCCACTGAGATCTGGAGTTCGCTGTTGGGGGAAGGAGGGAGGCAGGAAGGCAGGAAGGCAGGAAGGAAGGCAGGACGGATGGAAGGAAGGAAGGAAGAAGTAACTCTGATTTCATCTAGAGACGCTCACCTGGCAGGTGGGGGAAAATTGTCATTTTGCAAGACCAGATGGCTAGCGCATTTGGCTTGATGATGCAGTGTCTACCCAATGCGGATACACTCTGTAAGTGGGTCAAGTCTTCTTACTGTCCTGAACATCACAAACACGAAGAAACAAGGCTATAAACACAATGAACATTTGGGAATGTTCATCTAGGATATCACAACATATTACAAAATATTACATTCTAAAAATATTTATATCTGTAATGTTGTTGTAATATTATAAGATATGCGATATTTGAATACTTTTCAACACAGTACTGCCGTACTGCAGTTTGGGTTTATCCAGCATCACCCCTCTGAGGCCACGCAACCGCTCATACGAACTGCCGGAGGCGGTGAGATTTATCAGAAAATCACCCTGAGATCACGCAACAAACCTAGAGGAAACCATTTTTTTTCCCATGACATGGGGTTTCCATGGTTTCTCGTAAATTTTCCCTTGAAACAATTTTTTTTGGACATGGGTTGAGTTCGCGGTGGGCGAAAGCGTCAGCCCTATGGCCCTATGGAGCCGTTTGAAGATGAAATATTGCTTGATTCAATGACAACAATACACCATCTCAAAGCATGGTTAGTTCGTGCACATTTCGAAAAATCATGCAGTTCTTGGAAGATAAGATGCTGTAAAACAGCATTTGAAAATCATTTGAAACTTTGAATGGTTCAGCTGATGTCCTTTTGAGACATTGTGGTCCATGGTTGCCTTCCACACTAACAAAACTGGCATGAACTAAGAGATGTCAATTCCTGGACCTGCTGGGATTTGGTCAAGCCGACCCAGCAGGTTTGGTCCAAGTGAACATCTTGAACTGGGGTATACAGTAAAAAAAAAATATATACATATGTCTATGTATAATCAATTTTATCTCGATGTATGGATGGATAGATGGATGGATAGATAGATAGATAGGCAGATAGATAATGATAGATAATTTCCACTGCTTAGATACTTCTTTGGAGACCATGCAGCTTCCCTGGTACATGGAAAATCACAGCCATCATGCTGAGTAAATTGAGAATTGAAGAGCAACGATCAGAGACACCAACTGTTTCTATGGATAGATATGGATAGTATTTTCTGATATCCGAACAATTTTGACACACAACATTTTGAGGGTTGGATCTATAGCTGGTGGCTTGGCTTTTCACCAGGCATTTTGTGTCAAGTCGGTATTGCTGGCCACTCCGACTGGTTTTGCTGCGCGAATGAGAGAAGCAGCCGGGAAGGTGCCGATGAATTAATCGGTTTGCCCAAGAATGGGATATACCCGAAACCCATCCACATCTACTTGTAAATAGCAGACACATCCAAATCATGTCTTTTCCTCTATAAAACATATAAGGCTGTTCATGAAATCTGGAATGACGCACTGCTAGCCGCTGATATTTTGATAGCTTGTGCAGCACAAAATCGACAAGTTTTGATTGATCGACTCCCCAATGATGGGTTGGATCCTCGACTTTTCCCCATCCAAAAACAAAAAGGGCTCTCTGGAGAATGTTCCGTTTGATTCTGAGAGACATGGATGACATGGCCCAAGTCAGCTACAAAATGTAGAAAGTAACCCCCAGTAAAGCTAGAAAGGTTCAATTTAACGTACTTTATCATGATTTTAGGATGGGCTGTTACCATTTTTTTTTGGGGGGAATGTTTTCGGATGCCAGGCAACAGAACCTGCTGCTCCGTGCCTGCCGGAAACCCAGAGGAATCTGGTAATCCCATCCCCAAATTTTCGGATTCATCAGGCTTACCCTCTGGTAAACTAACATAACTATGGAAAATCACCATTCTTAATGGGAAAACTCACTATAAATGGCCATTTTCAATAGCTATGTTAAATTACCAGAGGGTAACAGTCCAACGCAGATTAAGATAGCCAATACGATACTGAATAATATTTTTTCGATACCCACCCATGGGACCCTAAAATGAGCAGGTACTTAGAGCAGGGTTCCTGGAGCAACTGGGAACCCCGTGATTGGCACTGGGACTGTCACCTCGAGGAATCGTCCTCGAGGAATCGTGAGAATCCCATGTGGTCCGTTCCATCTCACGAGTTTTCCACAGGTTATCGTGAGATACACATACCAGGGTCACACCCGTTGCGATTAACACAACTTTAAACAAATAAAAAGCAGGTGTGTAGTGTATAGCTATATATGTTGTTTTCTTAAAAAACAAATCTGGGCAAAGGGTTCTGGTGGTTCCATGTTTGTTTAGTTGGAGGGGTTAAACGAGGAAAAACCGCTGGGCGCGCAAATAAATATGAACTTCCAGGACCCCTGTTGTGGGGGCTCCTGCGGGGGTCTACGTTTAAACACCAAAAAGTATCCGCAGCTCCTGCGGCTGTGAGGGTGATGGTCGTTTTCCACATTGTCCGCCCCAGTTCCATTCATCTTTTTTGCTTCCCAGATCTTCCCAGAACCATTTTTAGGGTGTAAGTATAGCCCCTTCCCCCTAAAGCTTTCTGGATCGAATATCAAACACCCCCTCGGAAATAATGCTTTCAAGTCCGGGCTGTTGGCCTTGGCTAGCACATCGGAATGGTGGAAACCAATGCAAACAACTTGGATCATGTAGGTAATCAAGTGGAGGAAAACAACAGAGTGAGATCCTTATTGAATGAGACGGCGTGCTTGTATTTGGGTCGAGGATAGCAGGCGGCATGAGTCTATCCTGCCTGTGAATCCGAGGCCTAGTCAAATCCTGCAATCGCCTTGGGCTCAGTGGGTTGGGGCAATCAGGAAGATGCACAATATATGATTGTACACAACTGCTGCTGAGTATAAGCACTGTGTATGTATATGTATGTATATATATATATAATATATATATATATAATATTTCGTATGTACCCTTAGGTAATTTACCACTGCAACAGAAAAGCCACCATTTCTAGGTGATTTCGGAATTGGGGTCTTCCAGTCTCCATGAAGTTCAAGGCAAAGAGAGATGGCCATGCCATTGAAGGAGATTGCCTGGGAAGGGAAACACCGCCATCCCAAGCAATAATAGCAGTACATTGGCAGGATGAATTCTGACAGCGTGAAAAAACTTGCTGCATCATCGGTTTGTCTGAAAATAGTGTAGACCCCCAAAGTGGCAATTTTGTCGGAAAATGAAGATTGGCCCATGGATTTAGGGCACTCTATTTTTGACAAACCCTCATGGTTCTTGGGGATTCTGCAAAGACCCAACCAGATGTGCACCGAAGCGATCGGGCTGCAGGACCCTTCGTCTCCTACGTGCGATCCTTATATGAGAGCAGCCTATGCTCTAGTGGGACGACACCCCGATAGGTTTAGGAATATGGTGGGATAGCAGGAGGATGCAGCAGGGGTATACTGAAATTCAATGCAGAGGTTTTAGTGACAATTAGGACATTCTCATTTTGACAGCCAAATTGATCGGGTTTTCCTGCACATTTTCCCTCCAGATCTATCCCGCATTGACCTCCAGTGACCTGGACATGCTGGGTTTGCCCCCAGTTTTTGAATGGCTGATCATCATGAATCGTCATTTTCACTAAGATTTGGCTTTTTCTGGGTATCCCCTATTTTGAGACAAACATTTTTTTTTTCCGGTGAAAATTTCCGTTCGCTGCGCGCCTGAGGCTCTGCAATGTTGCTGGCTCGTCGCCGTCCTTCACATCCGCTACGTGGCGGCGCCCAGAAATGCGATGCTGATCCCGACTGACCACCGTTTCCATAAATGGTGTGTACCCCACTAGCTGGATGGTTTATGATATTGGAAAATCCAACTAAAATTTGGATGATTTGGGGGTCACCCTATTTTGCGAAACATCTATATCACAGAAAATTTTACCGAACTTCACCTGACATAATTTTTGATGTAAGACATAAGATTGCATGAACTTACATTACATTATATGACTTATAGAATGACTTATAGATAGGATAGATAGCTTGAAAGCACATCATGACTGGACCTTTGATCTCCAAAAAACAGGTGGCGTGGGCTGGGCCAAATGCCAAGCGTGGGACAGCAGGTGCTACCATCCATCACGAGCCTGCTATGGGGGTTGGAAAGGTTGGAAGACTGCGCAGTCATGGAAAAAGTCAGCTATGGGGGTTGGAAAGGTTGGAAGACTGCGCAGTCATGGAAAAAGTCAACTATGAATTGAGGGTCAAAAATGGTCAAAGTGTGTCAAACTGTGAAATTGGGGATGGTACTTGGGTTACCTTCCTGGTTGAGGATGCCATTCTACAATTTCTTGGAACATGATTGTGGCTGTCTGAGTCAGGCTATGCTGGTTGTGGGGCTTGATCAGTCCAAGGAACATGACGGGGGGGACGGGTTGGTCTGGATGAACATGAGGTCCCAAAAGATGTTTTTGACACTTTCAGAATGGATTATGTGTGGTATATCATGGGTATATCATGGTATATCAATGGATTATGTAAGTATGTCATATTTGTTGATGCCATTAAAGAATGGATCAACGTGAATATTTCTTGAACTTACTTTTTCAAAATTGGATAGTTCAATACCACAGAAACGAAGAAACACATCTGGTCCCTTTACTGCTCAAATTACTTTACTTCGTGTGATCCCCACCATGACATTTATACATTTTGTTACTGGCAAATCTTCTGGCATTCTATCTGACATATTTTCTGGCATTCGATCTGGCATTCTATCTGGCATATCTTCTGGCATTCTACCTGGCATATCTTCTGGCAGATGTTCTGGCATATCTTCTGGCAGATGTTCTGGCATATCTTCTGGCATATCTTCTGGCATATGGCATTCTCTGGCATCTGGCATCTTCTGGCATTCCATCTTCTGGCATTCTATTCTGGCATATCTTCTGGCATATTATCTGGCAAATCTGCTGGCATTCTATCTGGCAAACATTCTGGCATTTATCTGGCATATCTTCTGGCATTCTAGCTGGGCATTCTAATTTCTGGCATTCTATCTGGCATATCTTCTATTCTATCTGGCATATCTTCTGGCACTCTATGTGCCATATCTTTTGGCGTGGATACTCGCGGTTGAGGTCCGGCAGGGAACACTGGGCGTGGATGGTCGTGGTTGAGGTCCGGCAGGGAACACTGGGCGTGGATACTCGCGGTTGAGGTCCGCCAGGGAACACTGGGCGTGGATGGTCGTGGTTGAGGTCCGGCAGGGAACACTGGGCGGGGATGGTCGTGGTTGAGGTCCGGCAGGGAACACTGGGCGCGGATACTCGCGGTTGAGGTCTGGCAGGGCACACTGACGTGGATGGTCGAGGTTGAGTGTCCCGGCAGGGAACACTGAGCATGGATGGTCGTGGTTGAGGTCCGACAGAGAACACTGTGGATCGCGGGTCGCAGTTGGACGAGGAGGACGAGGAGGACGACGAGGAGGAGGAGGAGGAGGAGGAGGAGGAGGATGAGGAGGAGATGAGGAGGAGAGGAGAGGAGCAGGCAACTGACATAAAATCTAACAACCCTCACCTGGCAGGTGGGGAAAAAACACCAGAACCTGAGGGTTTGACCGACCTGGGATGCACTTCATATCAAATCAGCTGGTGGATCTGGGCATTATTGGACGTGTCTCCATCAGACATTTGAGTTACCTTTCCTCCCCGGTTTTCTTTGTATATACCAGAAGGGGCAAAAACTGTCATTATATTTGACACCTCGAAGTGGCTTTAACATGCTTTAACTAGTCGAATGTTGCAGATGAATGCAGATGATTCCTTCCACTCGTATCATAGATCACTTGGAACAAACTTTCCATTAGTTCTACTTGATCTATTCCCATCTTCTGCATCCCAGAATTTCAGCCGCACCAGTCTTCCAGAGGCCAAGAGCAAGGGAAGCTCCTCCTACAAGGATCTTGCCGGCCTTTCATGCCAGTCACTTCCTACTGGCGATTGAAGATGATTAAAGCAACCATTTGACGCGGATTTATTGGGAACATACTGGGATATTTAAAAGCTAGTTCTAGTCGCTTCGCGACGAGCACCGCCCGCACCCCGATTATTTGAAAGGCTACGGGCTGGAAGCGGGACGGGTTACTATGCGGGTCAGGGACGGCTTTTCGAAGTTGAATAGTATGGGTAGCAGGGGACGCGGGGTGAAGGACACGGGCCTACTTGGCCCAACCTAAGCCGACTGGGGTCAAACTTGGCCGTGTGGGCGCAAGTCGTGTCTAACATGACGCAACCTGGTCCTGTGTGGGGGCAACGGCCGCACAAGTTGGGCCCAACACAGGCCCAACATGGGGAACATGTCCCAACAATGCCCAGTACGAACTCTTGTTGTCCAAAGTTGAATTCAAGTTGAGCCCATGCTGCGGACATGTAGGTCCAAAACGATGTTGTACTGACATGAAAAAGGTGTATATAAATTACTACAGTTTTGGCACTGTTTGGCGGTCTGTCCGGGCGAACATTGCCCCCGCCAGCTGAAGCTGCACCATGAAACATTTGTTTCACTCGTTGGTCAGACCTTGAACTACCACGCCTCGGCACCTTGAATGCAAGCGGATTGTATGATCTGGGATATATTGGCTGTGTTTGAAAATGGAGCCTACCCATCAAAATGGTAATTTTTGATAGGACAACAAATTTGGTCAAACGATGGACTTATATAATTAATAATTGTCAGATACATCCAGTTTCGTGCTTCGTGCAGTTTTCCCTCCATTCTTGAGCACTCCATTTCGCCACATACCATAAAATTAAAGATCATTTCTCAAAGTGCAAGTGGGTTGTCACGCTTGATGGTGGTTGATAGTTGGGAACCCTTTCCGCTCCTCATGATTCGCGCCAGAGTCATCTTGATTTCTGTGCAGGATGGCCCGTTCTCCGACACTTGGCCCCCTGTTGCAGCCTCTCCAATCGCGAGTGGCATGACAAGCAGGAAGACAACAGCCAGTTCATTCACTCAGGCCTGCAAGCAGATCATGGTTTGGACGTGGGTGCTTCAAAGTAATCCACATTTGTCTCCACTTTGCGAACTGACAAAACACACTTGTTGGAAACACTGTTTTGTTTTAAATCCTGGAAATTGGGTTATTACTGAAGTCTTTTGAATCTGGTTCTGCGTTCTGCCCTCTAAAATGCTCCGGCTCCGATCCTATTCGGCCAACCACTTCGGTGCACAGGGCCACGTACAAGGCCAAATATGGCTGATACTGTAAAGAACCATCCTGCACCATCCTGCACCAACTCACGATTTCAAGGCTTGCATAGATAGGTATTTTATGGTATTTTTGAAGGACACCTGCGATGGTGACACCTGTATCATCAAGGACTGCTAAGTCACTGGTCACGGACATTCAGAGACGTTTAGAATAAGAACTGCAAGAGTGTGCAAGGCCAACAAAAACATCGCATTGACCCCGAAACTGATAGCATGCCATATCTGCAGGTGGAGTTTTTTCCGGAGGATGTACCGTTCTACCAGGATCGACTGTGAAGTGGGGGGCAACTTGAAATGGGTATGTCGTGTCATGGACCTGCAGCCAGAGATATTGGAGTGAACCTTCCACACATTGGGTACTATTGGGTACCCACTTTCGACAGCCACTCCAGGGGCCATCCATTGGGTCCTGTCTCCGCAACGCAACTTGTTGGGTGACGAGTCACCAGCCGATCAGATCCACGCAACACAAGTTAGAGCTTTTGGCAATTTCAGCATATATATATATAACTGGTTGGTGTTTTGGAACATGGCTTTTATTATCCCCAATAGTTGGAATAATGATCCCAACTGACTAATATTTTTCAGGGGGTTGAAACCACCAATTAGATCCAATTAGATAAGTTATATAAGCGATCCTCAATTTATGACCATAAATGGATAAATATAAACCATCCCCGGTCTGTTTATGATTGGGGTTCTATTGGGTTTACCACACACACACACACTACTGTTGATAAGTACAACGAATCATCTTCGTACAGGTGTTTCGACTCCACCTGATGCAGGCTTCAATGGATGCTGTGAGCGGAATTGTAACCATCACAGGACGGAGCGGCGATCGTTCTTGGGGATTTATCACCGCAATGGTTTGCAAAAACATCTAAGTGCAAAAGGCAGCGGCCTTCCTTGTAGACTTTAAAGGAGAAGTTTGGGTATATACTGAGACTCAAGGATGGTGATGTGGTGGTGCCGTTTCTTTACGCAGCAGTCTAGATGACACGCCACCTGGACTTTTTTTTTAAGCACGGGGTAGCTGAGGTAGCAAGAGGTAGCCAATTTCAGACAAACCGACATTGTTTCCTGGGGAATGGTGTCTCAAGCGTCATTCTGGACGGCGCGAAACTCCCAAAAGACTGATGGATTTCTTTGGGATGCTCCACCCTTGTTGGATCGGGATATTGCCACAGCCTGGAAAGAAGTTTCTTAGCACCACTGGTGCTGAAGTGGAGGTTTCCTAAAATGGGGGCACTCCCAAATCATCCATTCTAACAGGATTTTCCATCGCAATATTAAATATTATTAACCATCCAGCTATTGGGGTACCCTCATGGAACCCCCCAAGTGATCGATGAAGAAAAAACGAGGGTCGACGGGGGTGCAGGAGTTGAGACAATGAGACCTTCTCGAGGTGCCAGACTGGGAAAACCAATGTGGTGTTCAAATTTGTGAATCTCCATTCTAAAGACTAAAGACATCTTAAGAGAACCAATTCTTGGAGTGTTGGGATGTCTTGGTTTTTTTTTTGATGTTTTTTTTGGGCATGCCTGTCCAGTGAAAGGGATTTGGATGACTCGACTATTCATCGGTGGGGTGTGCTGATTTGGAGCAACATGCTGATTCATGTCATAGATGATTTGGCGATGAAAAACCATCAAAAAACGAGGCTTTTTTAGATGGTTCAAGTGGTTTCACGGTTACAACTTGTGTACCTGTGAAGCATAGCCGTTCGCAAAGACCCCGGACAAGAGACTTTGGGAGATGAGAGGCGCAAATGTTACATACATCGCACGAGCAGTGGGGGTTTCCAATCCATGGGGGTACCCCAATAGCTGGCTTATAATGGAAATTCCAACTAGTGTGGATGATTTGGGGGTCCCATTTCGGGAAACCTCCATACATACATAATTATATTTGTCTAATATCATAATATTTACCACATGTGAATTGCATGGATAAATGCGTGGATACTTGCCAAAGAAAACCATGGAAGACGCAGTCATCTATGATTTGCGCACAAAAAATCAGCACGACCGAAGGAAGTGAAGGTCATCCTCACAACTGCCAAGCTGCGTGCAAATATGTGCCTCAGATGCAGCCCACCAGGTGGGTGCTTGAAACTTCTGGGTACAAAGTCATGTCCTAACTTTGTATAAATCTGTACTAAGTCCTTGAGTTTGTTTGATCCAGCAAAACTCAGGAAATTTAGTTTCAATCCCATATTATATACGTATGTATAGAGAAATGTGCGTATACATGTATTATACAATATATAATTATATGATACATGTATTATACAATATACATGTAGTATACAATATTATACATATGTATTATACATGTATTATACATTATATATATATATATGTCAGGTCAAAAGCATGAGGCTCCGTCCTTAAATGACCTTTTTCAATCATCCTTGTTGCCTTTCACTGCTGAGGTTCGCAAAGCTCGTGGATGCAAGGCTGGCGGAGAGATCTCACAGGGGATATAGGTTCAATGTGCAGATTGAGGAGGTGTTATGGGATAATATGGGATAATATATCCCATATGCTCCATGTATGGTATATTTATGTATATTTCCCTACATTTGGGTGATTTTTAGGGCAAATGTAGGTAAATATACCATACATGGAGCATATGGGTATGGAGGTTTCCTAAACTGGTGGACCCAAAATCATCCAAAATTGGCCACTATCAATGGGAAAACCAAAGGTCTGGGGTAGCCATATTTTAGGAAACCCATGGTGCCATGGGAGGGATTGGTCATCAATCCATTTTCATAGGGATTTAGATACCCATTGTGTTGGGATTCCCAACATGAGATGGGTGACCACAACCCATATGCCATATTCTGACCATGGCACATATGGGATATATATGGATATATAAATACACACGTATATATATATATATGCACACACACATATATATATATATATATAAATTATGTCATACTATCATATAAAACTTTCTGGAATATGTAATGGCATATAACTGGATATGATATGGGATATGTAACCAACCATACAATTTTCCGGTGTGTCTACACATGGGGTATAACCCCAACTATGGCCGTTTAGTACCATCCTATTTTTGGACGGACTCTAATTGGGTAGACTGAGCGATCATCGCAGCATGACCTTATCAAACGGTTGACATATTATTCCATAGAGTTTGACAGACTTTTCACATGGCAGTGGCAGTGGACTTTTCGAAGTAATTGGACAGGATTGCGTGGGGGATCCCCCCATCTGCCTCGATTGTTTGGCTTGAAAAGTCATGACAGAAACCAAGCGAACCAAGACATATGGCTCCTACACAGCCCAGACACCCTGACAGGATGGTGATAACTGTGCACACTGCAACTTAGCTGTGACTGCTGATAGCCTCAGGGTCCTAGCAGGAATCTGTGCCTTAATTCCTGAGCAGTGGTTCTTCTGGGCTGCACGAAGATTCTAGGTTGATAGACTTTAAGATGTATTCTTACACATGCATAATCACACACATTGTATATGTATATATATATGTATGTATGTAATGTAATGTAATGTAATGTAATGTAATGTAATGTAATGTAATGTAATGTAATATATGTATGTATATATATATGTCATATATATATACATATATATGTCATATGTGTATATATATAAATACATGTATACATATATATATATATGTATACATATGGTATTACCAGCCAGAGAGTGATTTTCCAACCGTTTGCGGATTCAATTTCCTTCAACGTTCCCAGAGTGATTACATTCCATTATCTAGGTTTATCCGGAAATGCTGAAAAAAACCCCAAAATTGCCATCAAGAAATGAAAAAGGATGAAAAAGGGCGTAAAAACTATAGCTGAAACTAAAGTACCATATAGAGCTGAAATTAGTACCACTAATGTGAAATTTACCACTAAAAAAGTACCACGAATGTATGACTTCAACAACGATGGCAACCAGTGGATTTTGGGAAACCTCCAGCGGATTTTGTTTTTTGATGATCGACTGATCGAGGTCACCTGTGTATTTGGAAAAGTTCCACGAAGCAGACCGCAAAGCGCCGCTGCGGCAAGGTGGCAAGGCGACTTGGGTGGGGAATGACCCCATGGGCGGTACTTGACAGTTACCCTACCCAAAAAACCGGAGGGGTACATGGGGTACTGTAAGTTACTCAGTGAATGTATCTAACCTTACTGGATGTTAAGGACACCGGGACACCAGTTGCTAAAACCATTGATTTTTTTGAACATATTCGTCAGTAAATGGGGTTTGTCCAAAAAATTAGGCACCAGAAAAGCATTTTCCAAATGACAATGGCAATTTTGGAAACAGGTGAATTTGTCGGTGCCTTCTCAACTGCTGCAACTTTAAAAGAAGAACTGGTTGTCACTGCTGCTGTTGCTGCTGCCGCCGTTCACTTGTCCATCTGCTGGGTTCCAAGGCCCTTGAGTCTTCCATTGACGTGACGTGAAGCCATGTTTTCACGGCACAGCCGTGACCGATTCAGCTGAAAGCTGTTGCCAATGTGGAAAATGACTGATGATTCTTTGGGCTTATGCTATCCAATATGTGTTATTTTGTATTATCACAATATCACAATACGTGCGTGAAACAAGTCCTGTAAACGAATTTGCTCTGTGATGTCTCGTAGTTCCGTCGAACCGGACAAACTTTTCGTAGTCACTGTTGACATTTTCACACTCTCATGCGTCATCTGGCGCAGGGATATAAGGCATCGCGGGTTGCTCCTCCCATTTTAAGTAGTGGGAGATTGATCCAGCGATTTCAATGGACAGTGCGCAGATGTGCGTAGTATAGCTCCCATTTTAAGTAGTGGGAGATTGATCCAGCGATTTCAATGGACAGTGCGCAGATGTGCGTAGTATAGCTCCCATTTTAAGTAGTGGGAGATTGATCCAGCGATTTCAATGGACGCGCAGATGTGCGTAATAAGTATAACGAGTATAATGTGTTTTCAAGGATCTCTGCTGAGGCGTGGTGTGGTCCTTGGAAATGGAACCTTCGCCTTCGCTTCGTTTCGACTTCGGCAGTTCCCAGCAAGATTGATGGAAATCATGGAAATCATCGTCTTCCATGAAGAGTAGATATTGAAAAACACCAAGAAGACGGATTCATTTCCCAACTTACATGGCCAAGAATGGCAAATTATGGGATTTACCCTCTGGTTATGTCAAAATAGCTATTGAAAATGACCATAGAAATAGTGGATTTTCCCATGAAAAATGGTGATTTTCAATAGCTATTTTGACATAACCAGAGGGTAATTGATTTAATAGTTTGTTGCTGACCCATCAGTTTGCGAAGGGACCTGCATTGGATGTTTATAATTTATATTGTCAAAATTCCCGTAGAGGTGTCGAACAACATGCAACCATCATGACAACTATTCCTAGTCTGGGGAACCGGGTCGATTAGCTTACATACATACTATTGTCAGTCGCTTGTAACCGCTTGTACCCACTTTTGAAAGTTTGAACAACTTGTAAGCGGAGAAGAAATTAACATTTCAATAGGTACGAAAAGCATATATCAAGAAATTTGAGGCACAGGGCACAACTGTCTAGGGAAATATGTGAGATCGAATTCGGTGTTTTGTTCGCAGCTTTGTTTCATTCGCTGTCCAGAAGTTGGTGATTGCCGGCTCTGACTCACGTGGGAGAAACGAGGCAGCCGCGATTCATTTGAATCAAATGGTTGTGGCTGGCTTGACACAATCATGCCCAACCATACCCAACCGTTTGTTCGCAAATTCGAATGCTATTTGCAGGCTGTAAGTTGGTCATGGCTGAGGTTTTTTTTTTTTAACAGGTGGATGGGTAAAACGCGAATCGAGATGGAGCAGCAAACCGAAGCACGGGGTTTGGAGTTTTGAACTAAAGGCTTGCAGATTGCCATAGGGCTGTGTGTATATATATACATATAAATATACATGATGTGTAATGTGTATGTGTTTCATCCAAAAATCGAATATAAACATGTTCATCTCTCTCCCTCTCTCTCTCTCTATATCTCCATATATTTGAGTTGTTATACTGGAGTACATTGCATTGATTTTCATGTTTTTTTCTCTAAATTACGCCAGCGATACCAGTACCCAAGCTTCATAGCGCACACCGCACTCTGACAGCAGCACCCTGTAGCAGAACCCAAGTTCCTAAGATGCAGACAGCCCTTTGACAGTAGTACCCTGCACCCGTACCCTGCAGCAGCACCAGCAAGTCAGCTCCAAAGCGCACACAGCACTCTGACAGCAGCACCCTGAAGAAGCATAAACTCTGCAGCGACACCCTGCAACGGCACCCTGCGGAACCGGTAGGCAAGCTCCACAGCACCCTGAACCAGCACTTTGCAGCGGCACCCTGCAGCACCACTAGCACGCAAGCTCCAAAGCGCACACACCACTCTGACGAGGTGCGAATTATTCTAATTTGGCCAGATGGCCTCTGTTGAAGAGTCATCGTGTTGTCTGCCAGAATACTGTTTTCTTTTCAAGGAAACCAGCAGCTTTGCACTGATATTTTTTTGTTTCAAACAAGACTACTTCCTTGTCAATTCTCAAGTTTTGAGAGGAAGGCTACTTTTTCAATGTTTATTCGTCATGGCGGGCGCAATGTTTTGTGAAAACTTATTACATGTGCAACTCCGGACCCTCTTGTCGCGTGGGTCGCTCAGGCAGCTCTCGTTGTGGCGCGGTGGGAATTGCGAGGTCGCCCGTGCACCCCTGTAGTCGTTTCGTTCGCATCGGATCGCTTTCGCTGTTTGTGATTTGAGATCGCCCACGCAACCCTTTCTTCACTTTGGGCCTGTCAGATCGCTCTCGCTGTGGCGTACTTCGAATTTTGACATTGCTCGCGCCATCCTCTCGTCACGTTGGGTCTGTCAGATCGCTCTCGCTGTGGCGCGGTGCTCATTTTGATCGTCAAGGAGATCTTGTGCAGAGATTTTGACAAGGAAGTCTCTTATAGAGGGTTTTTGCAGAGATCTCGTACAGGGATTTCTTGTAGAGATCTTGCACAGAGATCTTGCCAAGAGGCCTCTTACAGAGATCTTGCCAAACGAGCTTTTACAGAGATCTTGTATAGTACAGAGACATTGCGTAGAGATATGTTGCAGAGATCTTGTCAAGAGGCGCCTTACAGATATCTTGCCTACAGGGAGTTCGAGATCTTGTACAGAGATCTTGTCAAAAGGTATCTTACAGAGATCTTGCCAAAAGAGCTCTGGTATAAAGTTTGTACAGAGATCTCTTCAAGAGTCTTGCCGAGACAACATCTATTTTTAAAACAATACACAAAGATCTTGCCAGGACACCTGTTTTGGAGATTTTGTACAGATACACTGCATACGGATCCGCTGCAGTGATTTTGCCAAGAGGCTTTTTACGTAAATCTTGCTAAGAGAATTCTGCTAGACAGAGATTTCATAGGGGGTTTCGTACAGAGACACTTCATAGAGATGTGTTGAGATCTTGCCAACAGTCTCTTTACAGAGATCTTGCTTACAGAGAGCTCTTCTAGAGATCTTGTACAGACATTTTGCCAGGACACCTCTTAAGGAGACCTTGTACAGAGACATCGTATAGAGGTCTGTTGCAGAGATTTTGCCAAGAGCTCCTTCCATATAATTCCTGTCAAGAGAGCTTTTATAGGGAGTTTGTACAGAGGTCTCAGAAAGAGATCTTACCAAGAGATCTTTTATAGAATATGTGAATATCTTGTCCAGAGGTTTTGCCAAGAGACTTTTTGTAGAAATGTGTGCAGAGATCTTGCCAAGAGATCTCTTACAGAGATTTTGCCCATATAGAGCTCGTACAGAGATCATGTACAGAGATCTTGCGGGGAGACCTTTTTAGATATCTTGTGTAGAGATCTGGTGAGGTGAGCAGAGTTTTTGATCGGAGCTCGTCTATAGATCTTTGAACAGAAATCTTACTTTGAGATGCCTTACAGTTTTTTTCTGTAGAAATCTCTTATAGAAACTTAGTGTAGATAGTCATAGGCTTACACAGGGATTTTACATAGTTCTTTTTACAGAGAATCTGTCAAGGAGATCTTGCGCAAGATCTTAGACATAGGTCTTCAGAAAGGGAACCTGTAGAATTCAACCTGGTATCTTTTTCCAGAGAGCAACCTCAATGAACACCATGCTGTCGCTACTAGTGTCTTTCTTGTGCTAGCTTGCAGCCACTGATGACTTTAGTTTTTTTCCTATCTTTTCGTTTTAATCCTAACTATGCATTGTTTGGGGTCTCTTGCCGGGATAAGCCGCAGTGTTTATTCCGGTGATGCTGATTAGGCTTGATGGACGCAGTGGACGCTCCTGATTTTCTGCCTTTTCCGGAGCCAAGACGTCATGATGACATGACTGCAGGGTGGGGTGGGGCTAATGATATTCCTGTGCTTTGCGTTATGGGTATGATGCTACGCTAACAAGGGGCGGGGTGGGGTGCGGTGGGTTGGGGCCGGGGTGAGCTAATAACGGTCCTGTCCTCTGCGTAATGAGTAACCGTTATGATATGTTTTGATGCTACGCAAAGCATTGTAGTTTTGGTTATAGCAGAAGTTCCATGCTACGGTAAAAGATCTGGTGCTACGCTTGCGCATACCTGAGATGCTACGCTAACACATGTTCCATGCTACGGACACAGATCTTTTGCTACGCTCTGAGATGCTACGCTAACATATGTTCCATGCTACGGAAACAGATCTGTTGCTACGCTTGCCCATACCTTAGGTGCTACGCTAACAAATGGTCCATGCTACAGTATAACAGGTCTGTTGCTACGCTTGCACATACCTGAGATGATACGCTAACATATGTTCCGTGCTACAGTATAACAGGTCTGTTGCTACACTTGCACATACCTGAGATGCTACGCTAACAAATGTTCCATGCTACGGAAACAGGTCTGTTGCGACGCTTGCACATACCTTATCGAAGGAAGTTTAGAAGTCAAACTTCCGACAATATGGACAGATGGAAAAGCAGAGCTGGGAAGAGTCAGAGAGCAGAAGAGCAGAAGAGAGAAGATCTGAGAAGAGAAAGAGTGAGAAGAAAGAAGATGCAGGTGCGAGAAAAAAAGTTTGGAACAAAACGCACCATGTTCGGACCACTTTTCGAAGTTGAGATGTCGAAAACGTGTACGCCGTTGTGGCGCGAAGCACATTTCCAAGTCAAAATGTACAAAACACACCATTCCCGGACCACTTTTGGGAGTTGAGATGTCGAAAAAGTGCACGCCGTTGTGCGGCGAAGCACATTTCCAAGTCAAAATGTTAAAAGCACCGCATGTTCGGACCAATTTTGGACGTTCAGATGTCGTTTCGCGTGGCAGGCGCAAGGGATTGCACCTGGTCAAAAATCAGCAAAACGTGAGGGTTTTGTAGCAGTTCCAACTACAACCGCTGCACTACACTACACTCCACTCCACTGCACTACACTACACTACACTCAATTACACTACCCTCAATTACACTACACTACACTACACTACACTCCACTAGGCTACACTACACTACACTACACCACACCACACTACACTACACAAGCTACGGTACACTCCACTACACTTCAGTCCAGTACACTACACTCCTCTCAACTACACTACACTCAATTACACTACACTACACTACACTGCACTACACGACACGACACTACACTAATTACACCACACCACACTACAATACACTACACTACACTACACAAGCTACACCTACACTACACTACACTCCACTACACAAACACTACGCTACACTCCATTGCACTTCAGCCCAATACACTCCACTCCACTACACTGCGCTCAATTACACAACACTACACTACGCTACACTACACTACACTACACCACACTACACTAGCTACAGCTACAGCTACAGCTACAGCTACAGCTACAGCTACAGCTACACTACGCTACCCTACGCTACGCTACACTAACTACAACTACACTACAGCTACAACTACGCTACTTTACACTACACTACACTAGACCCACCACACTACCCAACATTACACTACACTACACTCATTACACCACCACAAATGCAACTGCAACTGCACTACACTAATTACACTACACCACAACTATAACTCCACTACGACTACAGCTGCACTAGACCACACTACATCCAGCAGTTGTGGGTGATTGATTATAACCGCCCCAAAAACGCACCTCCAACCACCTTTCAGTCCATCAGTGGATTCGCCCTGCCATCCGTGATTCACAACAGCCTCTCCTATAGGTTTCCTATTTTTGAAACTTCCCCCGCCGCCTTGTGCGGTACTACTGGTAGATGCTACGCTAACAAATGTTCCATGCTACAGTATAACAGGTCTGTTGCTACGCTTGCACATACCTGAGATGCTACGCTAACAAATGTTCCATGCTACGGTAACAGGTCTGTTGCGACGCTTGTGCGTACCTTAGATGCTGAGCTAACATATGCTCCATGCTGGTAGCAGATTTGGTGCTACGTTTGCACAGCATACATTGTGGCAGGGGTGAGAACAGAGGATTTTACCTCCGTTCTGGCATGTGATGTGTTGCATCAACACGCATGTCCAAACTTTTTTCTCCAAACAGGGTATCCGCACTGAGGGGTTCTTACGGTAAGTGTAAAGGCCGGTGATGGCCGGTGCTTGATCAGGGTGCTCCATCTGTTCCCCCGCATTCCCTGAATTCTCGCACAGAATGGCCCCCGTGACGTGTCCATGCATTTCGACTGCGCATGCTCCCACAACGTCTGCCCCGCGACTTTGGGCGGCGGTCTTTTTCCTGTAAATTATCGCATAAAATGGCTCTTGTGACATGTCCATGTGCCTTTCGACATACAATGAAAATGCCGCAGGCCCAGAGCTTGCGCAGTCGAAATGCGCATGGATATCTCACAAGAGCAATTATCATGCAAGAATTCACAGGGAAAATGCCGCCGCCCAAAGTCGTGGGGCAGACTTGGCGCGAGACTGCGCAATCGAAATGCACGTGGACATGTCGCAAGAGCCAATTTAATTATATAGTTTCCGCGAGAATCTACAACAAGAAAAAGACCGCCGCCCAAAGTCGCGGGGCAGACTTGCAAGCCTGAGCAGCGGCAGGTCCTTTTATGACGATATCTTGTGAGTTTCTCTTCGGGGTCCTGGCGTGAAGATCTTGCCCAAGGTCTTTTACAATTCCTTGTGCGAAGATCTTCTGGGGATCCTAGTGAAATGCTGTCAGAGGCCTGTGCATGATCTTGTATACAGGTCCTTGTGAGAAGCTCTTGAAGAGGTCCTGGTGAAATCATCGCGGTGCCTTACATGATCTTGCGCAAGTCCTTGCGAAGATCTTGTGGAGATCCTGTTGAAATCCTCTTCAAGAGGTCCTTGCAGTAAGACCTTGAAGATCCTCTGCGTTGGTGCTTGTATGACAGTTCTTCTGTGATGCTCATAGGAAGTTCTCCTATGAAGATCTTGTGAGCTCCTCTACATAGATCTACATAGAAGGTCCTGCTCCTGCAGCTGCAATAATGTTTAACAACGTTTAACCGTTTAACCTCATCTGTTACTGTTGCATACTTGTATCTGGTACATTGACTTCCTACCCCCCACACTGTTTGGCCTCTCTTGCCGGTGTAACTGGGGATGTGATCAAAAAATGTTAGTTTCGCCTCAACGAAATACCATATCGTTCATTTTGAATTGGCCCACGCAGTACAAAATGATGGTCCTTAAATGATTCCCCAAACTGAAAAACGCAAAACAAACACATGCGTTTTAAAATTTAACATTTGATCTTGAAGATCGCCAAAAAAAATGCCGACAGTTCCAGGGCGGCAACCGGCACATCCAATTCCCTTGTTTATTTTTGGTTCTTGCTGTTATTGAGCATTTTGCCACAGCCTGAAGAACACCAAAAAACAAACAAATTACTTTACTTCGTGTGATCCCCACCATGACATTTATACATTTTGTTACTGGCAAATCTTCTGGCATTCTATCTGACATATTTTCTGGCATTCGATCTGGCATTCTATCTGGCATATCTTCTGGCATTCTACCTGGCATATCTTCTGGCAGATGTTCTGGCATATCTTCTGGCAGATGTTCTGGCATATCTTCTGGCATATCTTCTGGCATATGTTCTGGCATATCTTCTGGCATTCCATCTGGCATTCTATCTGGCATATCTTCTGGCATATTATCTGGCAAATTTTCTGGCATCTCCATTCCATCTGGCATTCTATCTAGCATATCTTCTGGCATATTATCTGGCAAATCTGCTGGCATTCTATCTGGCAAACATTCTGGCACTTTATCTGGCATATCTTCTGGCATTCTATCTGACATTCTATCTGGCATTCTATCTGGCATACCTTCTGGCATTCTATTTGGCATATCTTCTAACATTCTATCTGGCATATCTTCTGGCACTCTATGTGGCATATCTTTTGGCGTGGATACTCGCGGTTGAGGTCCGGCAGGGAACACTGGGTGTGGATGGTCGTGGTTGAGGTCCGGCAGGGAACACTGGGCACGAATACTCGCGGTTGAGGTCCGGCAGGGAACACTGGGCGTGGATGGTCGTGGTTGAGGTCCGGCAGGGAACACTGGGCACGAATACTCGCGGTTGAGGTCCGGCAGGGAACACTGGGCGGGGATGGTCGTGGTTCAGGTCCGGCAGGGCACACTGGGCGTGGGTCGTGGTTGAAGTCCGGCAGGGAGCAGGAGGAGAGGAGACGAGGAGAGGAGACGAGGAGAGGAGAGGAGAGGAGAGGAGGAGGAGGAGAAGGAGGACGAGAAGGAGGACGAGAAGGAGGAGGACGAGGAGGAGGAGGACGAGGAGGAAGCAACTGACATAAAATCTAACAACCCTCACCTGGCAGGTGGGGAACAACATTTTTCGGAGAATGTTTGGTATGAAATTCATGTTTGGTTGTCTAGTTTTGCCTTAGTTTTTTTTGTTTTGACGTGTGAAAAAAACGAAAACGATTTTTGTGTTGGTACAATAGTGGAATTCCAAGTGTGAAAAAAACGCATTTTTTGTTTCGGATGCTTATGGCTTTAATTTTTTCCACAACCCAGAACTTCAAAGGACACCAAAAACTCACCCGGTCACAACGCCTAGGTTTAACCTAGCTTCTGTGAAGCTGGGCAATTTTGATGAAATTACAACTTATTATGATAAATGTGAAAAGGCCGTGAAAAGCCCGTGAAAAGTCAGTGAAAAGGCCGTGAAAAACCCGTGAAAATATAGTTCTAGTTCTTGATGTTTTCCATAGTTTCCTGTAATTTGGGTAAATTGTAGCCTTTTAGTCAAACCTGTCTTTTGTGATCCGGACTTAGTAAACCTATCCTTTGGAAGCATTGGGAAATGTGGAGTGAACAAATCAAAACATGTTCTTTAGTTTTTTTTTCACAATTTGAATTCCACGTTGGTATTCCAAAAACCATGCAATGCCACACCATAAATTACCACAAAAACACTGGCAAATTTCAGGGGCACCATACAGCACAACACTATATATTTCCTTCTGTTATCTTATATGTCTTACAAAATTTTTGTGTGTTTCCTAAATATTGTAACAGTCAGTAAAGGGTTTCCTTGCTAAACACCCCCCAAACAGGAGCACCATAAAATCAAGTTTTTTTTCTTCAAGGATTGTTGGGCCTGGGGACATGTTCATTTTTTTGCTTAAGGATTATTTCAAAGTGGGACCATGGTTCAAGAATTGGGAAACAAAGCCCGTCCATTCTGCTCAATGTAGACATGTGGTGGCTTGCACACATCAGATCAGGAGAAAGAGGACGTGGGAATCACTTCTCAAAACCATCTGGGATTGGGAATCACAACCATATCAAGTATCAAACATGAATCATGCACTATCCAAACTTCCCACCAAACTTCACCTACCAGTTTGCCAGGTTTGCTGCCGTGCTGAGCAAGAACTATTATTATTGCAGTTTTTTTTCTCGGCTTGTGTCTTCTAGGAAATTGTTGCTGGTGGTTTCTCTGCAATGTTTGCAACCTTCACGGTATTGACTATTGGTAGTGGTACTGACAAAACTTCAGGATTGCTACTTGTATTTTGCATTTATTTCTTCGTGCACCAAATGGTGCTAAAAAGTGTGCTTTTCCTAATAATATAAGTTTAAATAGAAGAAGCAACAAAGATACCACCATTTAGCGCACCATATTTTCCTTTCAGAAATAAACTGCTTCGAACACATGTGAAATCAATCGAAACTGGATGTCCAGTGAATTGTTTCCTCTGTCGTGCACCAAATCGTGCTCCAATGCGTGCTTTTTTTTTGCGGTTTGTCGTGCGCCAAATCGTGCTCCAATGCTTGTTTTTTTTTGCGGTTTGTCGTGCACCAAATTGGGCTCCAATGCGTGTTTTTTTTCGCGGTTTGTCGCGCACCAAATCGTGCTCCAGTCCAATGCGTGTTTTTTTTTCACGGCTTGTCGTGCACCAAATCGTGCTCCAATGCGAGTTTTTTTTGGCAGCTTGTCGTGCACCAAGTAGTGCTCCAATGCGTGCTTTTATTTGCGGTTTATCGTGCGCCAAATCGTGCTGTATGGTCTCAATTATGTTGAAAGTCTGTGCTCTTGTTATTATTTTAGTCGTGCTCTGAAAATGAAAAAAGTGCGGTAAAACCAAAAACTGGCGCTTTGTATTGTTTTCCTCTTCGGAGCTTAGGCCAGGATCTGGCCGGAGCTAAGCCAGCCTCCAGAATATTGAATACTGAATAATTACTAATTATATTGAATATTGAATACTATACATACTTCTAGATCCAATTACAAAGCATATCATATTGGCACATCGGAGATTTATATACTTGATTTCGGTTATTTTTATCGTGCTCCAAATGCTGCCCCATTTCGTGCCACTGTTACAATATTTAGGCCATACGCAAACAATATCATATATAATATATATTATTATATTATATACACAGATTCTTGCATTTATGTTTTGCTATGTCTACTTTTGTATCCATTTGTATGTATCTGTTCACATTCTGGGGCGCCACCTCCTGCTTGCCGGACATCACCCGGAAAGTCCATAAACATTTAGTCGTAGCCCAAAGATCCACTATGCCATGGTCCATATGATAGTTGGGAAACCACTTGATGTTTGACGAGCCTCCGTTTTTGAACATACCCTTCAACAAACGGGGTCGTTTGTGGACCATTGGTGGTTCCTTAAGCAACAAAAGTCGGAAAGTAAGTCTTTGACCCTCAATTCAAATCCCAACATCCTTGAACATCTTTTTTGTTTTTTTAAACAACTAAAGACCGCCCTCTTGATTGGTTACTATAGGGGGGCTATCAACCAACAAGGTATTTTCGGCCCAGCAGGAACTTCCACACAGGGCGTGGAAACTCATCTCACCTGGTGGCTCCCGCTCTAGAGGACCAGGAGGGCCTGAAAGTGGCCTGACGGACAATAGGCCTGGTATTTCCAAGGCACAAAGGCAGAAAACTGGAGGTTGTGATCACCAAGAATAGACAAGTGGATACATATGATTAAATACAGAAATAAATATATCTATCCATAATGCGCAGATCAAAAAAAATACACACACATACACGGAAGGAATATATAATGTAATTATGTATGTATGTAATGTGATGTGATGTGATGTGATGATATGTATGCAATGCAATGTAATGCAATGTAATGTGATGTAATGTAATGTAATGTAATGTAATGTAATGTAATGTATGTAATGTATGTATGTATGTAATGTAATGTAATGTAATGTTATGTAATGTAATGTAATGTAATGTAATGTATGTATGTACATATGTATGTATGTATGTATGTATGTATGTATGTATGTATGTATGTATGTATGTATGTATGTAATATATGTATGTATGTATGCATGTATGTATGTATGTATGTATGAATGCATGTATGTATGTACGTACGTAGGTATGAATGTCTGGATGTAATGTATGTAATGTATGTATGCATGCATGCATGTATGTATGTGTGTATGTATGTATGTAATGTATGTAATGTATGTATGTATGTAATGTAATGTAATGTAATGTAATGTAATGTATGTATGTAATGTAATGTAATGTAAGGTAAGGTAAGGTAAGGTAAGTATGTATGTATGTATGTATGTGTGTATGTATGTATGTATGTATGTAATGTATGTATGTATGTATGTAATGTATGTATGTATGTATGTATGTATGTATGTATGTATGTAATGTATGTAATCTATGTAATGTATGTAATGTAATGTATTTATGTATGTATGTATGTTTGTATGTGTATAATTATGTGTGTATGTAATGTAATGTAATGTAATGTAATGTAATGTAATGTATGTATGTATGGATGCATGCATGCATGCATGTATGTATGTATGTATTTATGTTATGTTATGTTATGTTATGTATGTATGTTATGTATGTATGTTATGTATCTTTTTTGTATGTAATGTAATGTAATGCAATGTAATGTAATGTAATGTATTGTAATGTACTGTAATGTAATGTAATGTATGGTAATGTATGGCAATGTAATGTAATGTAATGTAATGTAATGTATGGTAATGTATGGTAATGTATGGTAACGTATGGTAATGTAATGTAATATATGTTTATGTATGGTAATGTAATGTAATGTATGGTAATGTATGGTAGTGCATGGTAATGTATGGTAATGTATGGTAATGTATGGTAATGTATGGTAATGTATGGTAATGTATGGTAATGTATGGCAATGTATGGTAATGTATGGTAATGTATGGTAATGTATGGTAATGTATGGTAATGTATGGTAATGTTTGGTAATGTATGTAATGTATGCATTGTATTGTATTGGATTGGAGTGGATTGGATTGTATTTGATTGGATTGGAGTGGATCGGATTGGTGGATCGGATTGGATTGGACTGTATTGTAATGTAATGTAACGTAATTAATGTATGTATATATACACAGAAACAGATTCCGCGATAACAAGACATCGCCCAATCTTAGTGGATATGCCAAATGTTGCTACCATGGTCAAGTTGGACGTCTCGCATAGCATGGCATGCGATTCACAACCTCCTTGTTGATTTCCCTTTTTTTGGCGCCTTGAGAGGGCTCTACCGGACCAGACGAGCGAAGACTCCAATTGGTCCTTTCGGCTTTCCCGGTGTTTAAAAAAGTGGCCCTGAATACAGCGCACTTTTTTGCAAGTGATTGAATGGTGGCATGTGGCAGCTGAAGGTGCAAGTTGTTCCTGATGGAACCGTCTATTTTTTGAATGGTTTTGAGGGCACACAGCTGCTGCGAAGAATATCCACTGCTCTCGGGACCGCCATTGTTGCTTTAGCCATTGTTGCTTTATGTTACCATTTTTTGAACATGTCCAAAAACAAAGATCAGGGATCTGGGTATCAGTCAAGACCATGGACCCTGCGGTTCATCAATGGCAAAACAGGTCCTCCACTTTGCGATCAATTGCTGTAGTCACACAATCCTTCGGAGGTGAAATGACGGGTGACAGTGGCTGCTCGGCATCTAAAAATGAGCCGCCTGAGCGGCCTGAGCACATGTCCACAAAAATTGCAACTCGTGGCGTTCACCACATGATGTCGTCATTGCAAACCTGGTGCCCTTAAAAGTCTTAAAGCCTTTGTTGTTGCAAAAAAGTTTAGATGGAACAAGTAGCTCTCCATGTTGTTTTCAATGAGGAACTGTATTGTTTTGTCCTAATATTTACATATATCGCGTATATATATATACACATCACACACACAAATATATAATATGATGTGTATATATATATATACATGGGAAAAAAATATATATATATATATGGGATATATATATATATGGGATATATATATATATATGGGATATATATATATATGGGATATATATATATGGGACATATATATATATATGGGATATATATATATATATGGGATATATATATATGGGATATATATATATATATGGGATATATAACTATATATGGGATATACATATATATATGTATAATATAAATATATAATATGTATATGTGTATAAATATTTATTTATATGTATATATGTATACATATGTGTATATATATATATACGTACATATATAAGTACACACACATATATATATATATGTATAGGTATACATATGCATATATATATACACATTTAATATATGTGTTTATACATATAATATATGTGTATATATATATATTTGTATACATACATACATATATATATATAATTTAATTTATTTGTCTTGGACAGAACTATATATATAATATGTAATATACGTATCTCTGCCAATCGCCAACTGTTGCAACAAAGTCTCGCAATCAACTCTAGTGGGCATTTGCACCCTGCCCCGTTGCTCATGTTCGAGGGCATCTGAGGCCGATGTGATTCCTCTAGTGAAATCGACCTCGTGGAATTCAAGCCCAAAAAACTCTGGTCATCGCGTGTCAGCTCTGTGGGCTACCTTGGTGTAGCTGCTGTTGAGTCATCCACCAGTTGAGCACGAACATCACTGGGTCATCCTGGCCGCCTTTTTCGGTCAGCTTAGGGGATTTTAAGTCGACGCAGAAGGATGACTGGAGTTGCCAGGGCTTTACCCAAAGGAAACTAAGGATGCTCGAACCTGAATTCTCGTTGATGATTTTCCGAAGAAAAAAGGTGGCTCTTGCCAATCATGGGCTTCCGAACCATGTTTGCCCGTCATTGCCCTCTTGGTTTCCGAGTGGGTACGTCTTCGCCTTGAAGTGTTTTTTGACGAGTTACTGCACAGTTCCTCCTGGCGGGCAAAATCTGTACCGGGTGAGACCTGCGAGCCACTGTGCACATGGTGTAAAGCTCTTGACCCTCCAGGTTTACCATGGTTTATCATCGTTCAATGCAAGACATGGCCACTTTTCTGGGTCCTTTGTGAAACCACTCCTTTTCGCCGCTCCCAAGGTTTCAACGTCATTCCTCTCAACATGTTTTTTCCGGCAAACTGCTTTCTTAGGTTTGGGAATAATTTATATAAGGGCTGGCATGGCGGGGCTGGTGGAAAGCCTGGTTGGTTACTTGAGCCTGAGGGCATGCAAAGTATTCAAATTGACCTGTGCAGTCATATAGACCAAGAACATGAAACACTCTTATCAAATAAACACAAATAAACCTCAGCTCACTCAGAAAGGGCAAAACACTAGCCTTCGATGATACTGGCACCATGCCTGTTTCAATCTCTCCGAATGACCAATCAACATGTCTAAGACAATATTGCTTGCATGCAGATTCATGTCAAAGATCACTTAGCGCTGATTTGAGCCCATTCCTGATGACGGACATGGAACATGTATACAGCTTTGTGTTTCAAGTCCTGGTAGTTTTCGGATGGTGAGTTTAGCACCAGATCACACAGCTGGTAGGCTTTTGTGGAAGGAAACCAGATGCAGGACTTCGAGGTGCTGCCTTCCCGGGTTTGGGAAGATCACTGGGGATCACATGTTTGGACCTGGCGAAGTTCTCCCATTTGGTTTCTTTTATCTTTTGCGCAGCACCTTCAGATCTTTGGTGCTGATGAATCTGCCGAAATTTGGGTGAATTCAAGCTGTCTTCATGATTGGTTACAACTTACAACGGCTGCGGACATAGGGGATCCCAGGGCACCGTCTTTTTTTTGACTTTTGGATCAGACAATGAGGTCTTTTAACCTCAACACATGGGTCAATCAAAGCTGCAAACAAACTAGGTGTGTCTGGCACTGGAAGTGTCAAATCTATTCGCTCCAAAAAAACTTCCTTGGCAAATTCTCATTTTTCTTCATGACATATTCAATATATTCAATTTTCTGCTGAAACAACCGGTTGTTGCTTGGCAAGGCTGAACTGGAAATGGCCGAACGAGAGGAGGAGGCGGGCCCGGCTGGACATCAGGATCAAGGGTCAGGCCGCGGATGGTGTGCATGAACATGGGGCATATCATCCTTGGTAAACCTGCTTGGTTGCAAGTCATTATGACATATCATGAACATATCATGAACGATGATGAAGTAGTGGACTCGGGGTACAATATTTTGAGGCAAAGCCAATCATTTTTGGAACGGGTGAACTTTTGCCACATGGTGCACTGACCTGAGATGGCCGAAGTCATAGCTGTTCCCATCTACCATAACTCTTGCAAGGCTCCTTTGGAATGGGTTGCTCAACCAGCCAGTAATGAGAATCATCATCGCTATTCATAGTGAATGCCCATGGCGAGGAGAAGAAAGAAGACTCGGGAGAGCTCCCGGGGTGGGGGTCGGGTCCGCAGTCAGTGCCAGGTGTTTTTTTTTTTTGTTTCAACTCAAAGACAGGACCAAAAGGTGGACGATTGGCATTTGATAGCATCTCAACTTTGATGAATCAGTGACAAGAGTTTTTTCATCATGTATAGAGGCACTTTTTGCTTCTAAGGTTTCTCAACCAGTCTCACTAGGCAGTAAGCTTTCTGTACTCCATCAATCAATCATTGGGCTGACGATGTCAGATCACGAGGAGTGTTTGGTGATGTACCTCACAAAATGCTGGGAGCAAGCCAAGCTGTTTCAAACGTTACTCAAATAGGTGGGTCACAAATTTAAGACCTAGCCTAGAGGATCTATTTTTTTTTGCAAGCTTCAGTATTCGCTCCATGCATTTTTGTGTGTAAAACCCCTGATAAAAATCGATCAACTCCCCAAGGATCGCTGATATCTCTCATTTTCTGGTCAAATTCAATCTTGTCATATCTTATCATTGTCCAATCTCGATGTTTTTTCACAGCCTCTTGTCTTTTTCTAGATTTTTCGAGGGACCCAATTGTTTATTTCCGGTTTCCCAAATTTCTTTTGGTTCCACGTCTTAGGTCTTGGGCTGGCGAAGGGGCGCCAAAGCCCAAGCCGAGGCACTGCCCAGTGTGGGGATTTCACCAAATTTCACCTAAGCCCGGCGATTTCAACCAACGATTTTTATGGATTTTTGATGGCGATTTATGAGAATATCATTGGAGAAGATTGGATTTATGTAACTTATGTATACTGTAAATTACTGTAATGTAAGCAACAATATGTATAATATGATAGTTGGGTGGGTCTGGAAATAGGATATTTACCTCCAACATATTGGCATTTTTAAAGGAACTACATCATGATGGGCTGGCTTCAATGGGATTTGGTTTATTTGATTTTCCAAATATTCCAATCATTTTCAGACACACCTAAATTATGATTTGAACCTGTCAAAATCTTAACACAAACCTAAACATCGCAAACTTTTGGTACCAGTAGGTGAGCATGCCAACTCAGACGTTTTGGACGGGTTTTGACCCACGCCCATACATCAATCGGGGTATTTTCATGCCAGCTTTCATCAGGCTGCAGCCCAAAGCCAAGGCAAAGGAAGAACCAAGGCCTAGAGATGATGGGACCATGTGTAAAAAAGGATGATTGGCTTGCGGCAAGAGTGTGTTCGCACTGGGTTTCAACATGTTTCAACTGCTTTTCCTTTGCAATCTGAGGCATCTGATATGGTTAAACAATGTGAAAAACGCCAGCACATATTTTATTTTGAGACGGTCGCAGTGGTGTGACAGCTGGAAGGAAGCCCAAACCCAGCCATTTCAGCAGCTTGGCTGCGCAGTTGCAAGGCTGGTGTAGGTTCAGGCTCTCTGGTATAATTTGGGCTTAGTGAGGCTTAGTGCCTTTGGGAACCTTCTCAAACCCCCCCCAAAGTTCTGGGACTCACGGGATGGAAGCCGATTTCCTGACATCTATTCATCCAAGCCTGTGAAAGCCATTGTCAGTTTGACCGAGGATCAGGACCCAGAAGCCTTTCACCTTTCACCCCTTTCACCCCATGGTCAAGAATATGTCCATCCATATTTCTCCAGCGAAAGCGGGGTGAAACAAAGCATCAAATCGAGGTGTTTATGACGGCAAAATGGAAGCTTCCAAATACTTCGTGGATCAGGCTGATCGGTTGTGCTCCGTTGTGATCCTTCAGAACCTTGCTGGAGTCCAGGACCTTTGTTTTGATAGGACAGTTTCAGAAAAAACTAAACGATGAAGACAGATACTGCAATGGCTTAAATTGTCACCCCCCATAATTGGATGGTTTACTAAAGACACGGAAGCGTTTAGGTCAGTGTCACCCCGTTGTTGGTCGAGCCGCTCCCACACCTGGTGCAGCTTCCGTATGGTGTCAAGAATCCTGCACAGTACAACCAGGACGGCAGCCAGGGATATCAGTGCCCTTGGTTGGAAATCGCCATAGATGCAGAGAATCTACTGCATTTGCATGATAATCTGTGAACTTGAGCAGCTGGCACTAGAATTGACACCTATTAGATTGTATTTATTGAAAACTACCATATTTTATGATATTGTGTAAACCCATCAGCTTTTATCATTTTTTATCAACATTATATAATTCTATATATATATAATTCTATATATATATAATTCTATATATATATATAATTCTATATATATATATATGACCATTTGTCAAAAATAGTGTTTAGAAGTTTAGTATTGGTTGTTGATAATTCATCTGGGTCTACTGTTTTTTCCTCTTCGTTATGAGGCGGCACGCAACTAAATTCAGCAATTCTGCAAGGCAGCGCTAGCAAACCCGCTAGGTTTGCGCTAGGTTTGATGACAGCCATGGCCTCCATGTCGTGAATGTCTTGCCAGCTTTTCTTACAAGTCACTTCAGTTTCCACATATTCCCAAATTTTCGTTTTTTTTTTACGTATTTTACGCGCTAGATCCCCGCTAGCAACGCGCTAGCGAAAATTGCAAATACATGCCCCGGTCCACCCACAGCCCATTCAGAGGCACAGCCATGTTCATGCTTTGGTAGCTTACAGTAAGGAAACAGCGTTGATCAGGAGGCATGTCAAGAAGCATATTGCGTTCAGAGAGGCACACACACACACAGAGACACACAGTTCAGGAGATAGCACCAGCGACAGCGAATGAAAACCGACGTGCGTTAGCCGATTCCTGTGGTTTTAGAAAGGTTTCCAAAGGTAACGAAGAATTTCTACGTTTTCACGTCATCAAGGTAGGTCATGTTTTTTAAAGGCAAACATGAGGCGGCACGCATGGAATTGCGATTTATCAACAAAACCGGGAACATACATTTTGACAAACCGTCATATAATTCTATATATATAATTATATATATATATATCTAAAGTAATCGACCTGGTTTCCACACTGATGACACAACACTGAGCCTGTCGACTTCCTGCCGTTTTTCAACAGGAGCTACGGATGCCAACGGGCCCTGAGTGGAATGTGGCTTTCTCAGATGGCTGCTTTGAAGTAGAAAACAACCCAGGATAGTGGGGAGAACTATCCCAAAGTAGCCAAACTCTTCAGGTTCCTGAAGTATTGACATATTTATTAATGATATATATATATATAGTTTTTGTATAATTATATAATCAATTTATCATTAATTATCCAGAATATAAAGCTATATTATTAATCATATATATTTCTGGATATTAATTTATTGTTTATCCAGAAATATGGAGAATCCCTGAAATCCACCAGAATGGTCAAGTCTCAGAGAGTACGAGGCCGCCTGGCTGAGGCATTACCTGCACATTTGCAGCGCATCAAGCCCAAGTTCTTCAGCAAGGCGCCAGCACCTGCAGTGATGATAGATATATTAAACTGAGGAAAAACAATATATTTTATTTAACTACAATATATATATATATAAATAATAAAAATAAAACAAAAATAACAATGATAATTTTTGATAATAACGATAATAACGATAATAATGATAATAATGATAATAATGATAATAATGATAACAATGATAATAATGATAATAATGATAATAATGATAAACTAATAATAACAATGATGATAATAATAACAACAATAATAGTAATAATTAATGATAATAATAACAAATAATAATTAATAGTAATAATTAATAATAATAATTGATAATAATTAATAATAATAATTAATAATAATAATTAATAATAATATAATAATAACAATATATATATAATACATATAACATATATATATACATATGTAATCATTAATATACATGTTTGACACCCTTTGATATGTTCATACACACCTTTGACACATGGTTCTCTTGGGGACTTCTGAAACATCATGTGCGTACTGCATATTAATGATATATCATGATATATCTACATATTCCATATCAATAACTGCATACACACTGCATGTAAGTTGATTTATCATTATGGGAGATTACAATCTCTAGCAACCAAACTATTGAACCAACCAAACCATTGAGCCTGGAAACTCATACTCTTGGCCTTTTCAACAGGTTCAAATGAGGGTACAACTTGACAGTACAATCTACCTGCGAATTTTGCCCGCAAGGATTTCCCATGCTGCCCATCGTTTCTGGTGTCCTATGCGGAAACCACAACAGACTGCACAGAAATCTCGATGTGTTTGGCTTTGATCATCAACGGGGGGTTTTTGGATGTCCTGTACTGGATGAGATGATTGATATTTGAGGGTCTGTGGGGGCTTCGTTTTAGCCATGAACACATTGCAAATGATATACCCTCTGATAAGTGTTACTAATTGAACAGTTTGCTATGGAACATCGCCATTAAAATGATCGGTAAATCGTCTAATTGCGTGTAAATAGACCGTGGCTTCCAGTTCGCAAACTGTTAAATTAACAGAGGCTATGGGATATGTCATTCGGCAGGTTGGTGCGGCAAAGTACTTGGATGTGCATCCCACGTAGTACTAATACATAAGTCATATATAGCTGGGGATAGTTCACATGCAACTGGTGGTATAGCCCATAGAACCCATTTACTAAGTGGGATGCAGCCCCCAAGTAGTTCTTGTGGCCGTGAACGGCCGCATTCTAAATTGCCAGGTGGGAACCATCGTGCCACCTTTGCAGTTGGTGAAACACCTGCCAAAGGAGTCACAAGCAGGCCCGTTCCGATCACTGGGGATCTTGGCATCTGGTTTTGGTGAATCCCTGGGGATTTCATGGTGATTTCCATGGCTAAAAACAGCTACAACGAAGTCGTTGGATGCCGCCTGGGATAGGGTGATAAAAACCCGGCCCTAGGCGAAACTTTTTTGGATGTGGAGAAGCCAAGGGGAAAGCTCTTGTGAAAATGATCTACACTTTCATGGTGGTTTCTCCACATCTACATGGTGAATCATCATATTTGGGATATTTTGGGATATTTTTTCGCGTTTTTTATGCGCAATCACTTTTGGTTGGTGGTTTCAATCAGTTTTTCCAAGGGATGATCCACCATTGGCGGATCTGCCTTGATTCGATGGTGTTGAAAGCCTTGTAATTGGGTGAACAGCCAAATAGCTGGTAAATGGAGTACCCTCTGGTTATGACTAACATAGCCATGGTATAGATGGCCCATTAAAATAGATGGTTTACCTATTAATAGCATGGTGATTTTCCATGGCTATGTTAAATAACCAGATGGTAAATGAATCTTCATTCCCTTATATCTGGTATTGATTGGTATTGTAGATTTTGGAAGATCACATGTTTTTTGTCGGCGTTCGGAGAGGTCAGCTTTAAAAAGTCACCTGTGATATTGGCGATATTGGCTGAATCCGGCTGCACAGGTATCATTGACACGTGGTCAGCCAAAAAGCGGCCCACGCGACTGAAAGCCCGGATTTAAGAGCTGACCGGAAATCACGTCTGAAATGCTGCACTGGTCTATTTGTATTTGTAGCATTTGTTTACGTGCCACCCAATCTTAACCTAAAGCCTAATGAGGTGGGCACCTTCAAACTTGTGGACCAAGATTCATGCGAGTCACGAATCAACTTGCCTAGGCAGAATCGTATGCAGTCGAAGATCTGTTGATGAGTCTATTGTCAGTGTTCATATCAGAAGCTCACGTTTGTCTCACCTTTAGGGTTTTAGGACCTAGTTTGCCACCATCATTGGCGGATGAAAAGTCTCTGTTGCATCAGATTTTGCCATGGAAATTGATCAAGGAGTCTACAATGCTGCTGGGGTGCAACGTTTTTACTGTGGACTTCTGAGCTTCCTGCCTCTGAATTGTCATTACGCTTTGCTCAAGTGGTCAGAGCCACTGCTGTTGCCATGGTAGGAAGATGTCCAGACGAACTATGGTCATGCAAGTACTGGCAAGTATTGCTACAAAGTTCTTATCCACCGAACTTCGATGCTTTAAGACTATCCACAGCCATCCAGTTGTGGGTCCTACGATGCACTCCATCACTTGACATGCAGCATCCTATACCCTCCAGTAAATTAACATAGACCCTAGCAGATAGGGGTTGGAAGATTAATTCCCACTCTATAAGAATGTTTTTTCAGGGTCTGTGTTAATTTACCAGAGGGTAAAATGGAAGGGGAGACAACAATCAAGCAAGGTTGACGCTGTTGTACCACATTTGCCAACGATGGCATTTCTATGGCTAGAACCAACACCGCCCCATTGCATTCCAGCAGCCAAAATAAGTAGGTTCCATCGTCTTCACTCCCAAAAAGTCTGGATTTGACATGATTTAACAGGATAAAAAAAGTCAGAAAACCGCAGGAATCCAAGCAGCAACACCGAAAACGCACCAAGTTGGATACTGTTGGATACTGTTGGATACCAAGTTGGATACCAAGTTGGATACCAAGTTGGATACCAAGTTGGATACCAAGTTGGGAAGTTTTTTCAAAGCTCCAGTCATCTCCAGTCATCACCACTCGCATCATGGCGTAATGGTTGAGGAGTGGCCTGACTTGCTGCATTTGCAGGTCTTACGGCACTTGGGCTCCCCACAGGAGGCGGGAAAGGGATGGAAAAGGTGACTTTAACAGCCCGCTGTTCACCCAATGGAGGCAACATGGTGACTGTAACCCGTAACCCGTACCCCCAAAAAAAATGCCGAAAAGTAGATCATCAATGATCATCATCTATTTCAGTGGGATTTTATTTTTCGTATCTTTTTGAAATCTACTACTATATTGTATGTTTTTGACCCATTCCCCTTGTATACCTTGCTGTTTTTTGCGGAGGGAGCAGGGTACCAGGGTAGCAGAGCATTTTGCCACCAACTGTCCACTCAGCAGCTATGAATAGATGTCTACTAGATGTATTAATTGACCATATTTTGTCATTTGAACACGTTGCACTAGACACGTCGAAAATGTCGAAAATGCCATTTGCTAATGAAGTACTAAGTAATTTCTTGATGTTCTCAAGTCAGCAACTTTCCCACTGTTGCAGTGGGACAATGGATTTGAAGGTCCCTCGGAAAATGTAAAAAACCCATCATTTTTCCATCGTGCCAACATGGTATTTGATGGTAGTAGATGTTATTTAAATGGTTAAAGCGTCATATAAGTCATATAGTATAATTATAAACCTTACATACTTGTCCATCATTTTCGTATTCCTCAGGAATACTCACCACTCCAGCATACTTCTTACTCATAAACTCATCATTTTGGGTGATCAAACCATGTGGGTTTCGCCATCACTTTCGCCATCATGTGGCCTGCTTGGCCTGTGAGGTTTGGGGATATCTACCCTACGGCAGCCTGTGTCGCAGCTGCCGCTCTGCCACGCAGCTGCCATGCCTCTGGCGTCGCTTGGGGAATTTTTTTTTGGGGAGGAACGCAGCTGGATTGGTGATTTCATTGGGATTTCATTTGATTTATATATTTTTCCAAGAGGCACAATGGAGCTTCGCGCTGCGGCCTATCTCATGTTCGATGAATTCGAAAAACAAAATCCGACCAGCTATCTTTGTACGTAGTCAGCTCCAATGCCCTCACCATATGCAGTGACATGCATGCGTTTGCATGTGTCTAAGAAATCTGCTGGTGGTTCAGTTGCTCCATTGATGACCGGTCGGTCACAAGTGGCCTGAAAAAGAGCATGAGCTACTGCTTTGCACATCGCTGGCGGATACTCCTTCAACACAGCCGTGTTCCAGTTGCCAGATTGGTCCTTGCCAATCGTAGCAGCCCTGGGGATTTCACATCTTACCCGATTGGCGTGGAGACACGACAAAAGCTGTGGAAGGTTCAAAAGGAGAAGATGGGTGGGCTTGTGCGATTTTGCGCCCATCAGTCCCTGGGAAAATCGGGGCAATTCAATGGTAGGAAGTTGCATGATGGCCTTGACGAGCGGGAGCCTCCAGATCGAAGCCGCGTGAGGGAGATCTTCAGGCTCGGCAGGGTGTTCAACCATGCCTTGACCGTCAGCAAGCGCCATTTCCAGGAGCGCCAAAAGCGTAAATCCAAGCAGTGCATTTCCAACTTGAAGTTGCTCAAGCTCACGGATGGTGACGCATTCCAGCCCCCACAAGTGCTGGATGTCGCGTATGATGCGCGGTCCGCATCGCTGCACCAAACCAGTGAACTCTGACGTGCCATGTAGCGGGACTCCCCTGGCTCTCGACCAGGATTCGCACGGAGGTCCTGCAAGCATTGCAATGATGTAGCCACTCCTGATGGAGTTCAACCAAAAATCGCATGTGTCTGCACGCATGGCGTCACCGTAGATCTTGTCAATCACGATGTCGAGGGAAACGATGTGCAAATGAAATTGGGTCTGACTGCTGGACAGCCGGTCGAAGTAGTACTGCACGTCCCCTCTTCTGCGTCTGCCAGAATACAAATGCAAAATCACTCTGTGTCTTCCCAATGGCCTTGGAACAACAGCGAGAGCTCCTTGCGCCAGATATCGCCTCACTTGATCGCAATGATCTTCCAGTGTTGCCAAATCTGCGTCTCTACTGTGGTCCACAAAATCTTGTTGCAGAAAGGGCCATTGCTCAGGATCAGCCAGTCTGCGCAGAAGCTGTTTGATCGTCTCCACCTCAATGTGCAGGATCGCGTTGTCCTCCGGGGTCAGCGTGTCCTCGAGGAAGATCAATGTGCTTCGCAAACGTGTCCATGAGATAGCACGATCCGAGATGATGTCCGCCATGGAGGTGTAGAGGTCATGGATTGCATGTGCATCTGCTATCAGGTCAATCAATTTGTCATAGAGCTCCCCATCCATGTCTGGCCGTTGCCTCCTTCTGGTCTCAGGTGGTTGTGGCCCTTCACATTGAATGGGAGGTAGAAGTCGATCGTGTGTCAATTCTCGCTCAGCATCGTCAGTCGATCCACATCCAGGAACCAGAGGGCAGTCCATGTTGCGACCATCCAATGTTTCTCTGCATCTGGCTGAATGACGTACATGTCCTTTCAGCTTCTGCATCGTGTGGAAGTGCTTCAAACAGCAAGGGCAAGTAGGATGATCGCATAGCATGCGCAACCTGGAGACTTGCCCATGTCTTTTGAAGAGGTGTGCATCCTCTCCTGCCTTGCTCTTGCATCTCAGCCTGCATTGCGTGCATCCAAACACCGCAGGAATCTGCTGCTTCCCAACTTCCGGTTGGAGATGCTCTGGCAGGAATCTCCAAAGGAGCTGCAGCGCACGGCAATGGAGGTTGCGAACGTGCAAAATCCGCTGGCGCTGTTGCATGCAGTGCTCGCATGCCCTCTTGACGAGGTTTTTCCAGTGCTTGGGGCAGGTCTGAACGACCAAGAACCACTGTGGGTAGTGCTCCCTTGGATCTTTCAACTCTGACGTGTGGTAAAGCTGTTTCCACATCCAAACCATGTCTTCTTCCAGAAGTTGTCGCCAAGCACTGTCACGGGCCAAAAGTGTCCATGCGTCCTCGTGCTCGGCCTTGACAAGTGTGACAAAGTATCTCAACCTCGCTCGTCGTAGTAGCTCAGACGGGCTTGGGAGGTGCACTTTGGTCAAGATCTCATCATCAGTGAGGTGGTCGTAGTCCGCCTTGACTCTGGCCAGCCTCTTGTAGAGCTTCATGACCGTCACGTGGAAGTTCTGCTGCGTTGCATTGTCCATTGCAACCCAGGAGTCAGCCCCATACAGGAACTTGGATAGGATGAGCATCTGGAACAGTTCATTTCGCTTGGCAAAGGGGACTGCGCTATTGTGAAAGATAAGCTTTCTGTGCTTGGTGAAGGTCTGGTGCGCAATCGCCGCTCTTTGCTTCAGCTCTTGCCTCTGATCTCCTGAATGGTGGCAAACTCCTCCTAAGTGCTTGTACTTTGAGACAACGCGAAGTGCTTGTGTGGAGTGTTCGCAGACTGGTGGAAGGACTCCATCACTCTTCGGCCCGTAAAACTGTGTAATTATATCAATATATATATATATATGATTATATATAGGTATATATAATAACGTTCTAACAGAATGGGGATTTACCATCAAAATTTATAGTATGGTGCTGATTTATCCATCAAATTTTGGTGATAAACATGGTGCCGATTGGCATGTGAAAATCGGAGAACTGGCGATTTAACCATCAAAATTTGGTGATTTTTCACTGGGGACAATGTGGATTTTTTCTTGATGGGATATGCCCCGGCTGGTAATCTTATTAGGGAACATAGGTGAACCATGGAAAATTTAACTGGGGATCTCAATTTCAATGGATTTCCTGGGAAACTCATGGGGATTTGTTGGGATATCATTGGGATATGCTATGGGAGAGTAGTGACAGCTTGGGGTAATTACTTCACTACATCTTCTGGAATAAATGCTATACATGGAAACACACTCAGTGCTGACCAGCAAAAAAAACATGCATGGTCATGGTATCTAAGAATAGCCATGGTTCATGATCATGGCCACTTGCCAGTTATTCACATCGTGCACTGTGGATGAATCACCCTTCACACGACACAGAAATTATTTGCATGCAAAAGATGGGGATTCATGTGACGCATTCGAATGAATTTCTCACATGTTCGTCGCCTTGCATTGACATTTGATGATTAGTCAGCAGCAGACTTATCAAAGTGAGGATGGTTTACTGTCCAAGCTTGATTTGTACATGAAGTCCTGCTTATCAAGTTTATTGGCTTATGGTTTATCCTGCTTATCATAGCTAAATCCTGCTTATCAAGACACTTCAAGTATTTTGACCATGGCATGCTTTAGTTATTTGCATTCATGACCTTGCCATGCCTTAGCCTCGATCAGCCATTTGCACAAAGCTTGGAAGACCCCACATTTTGTAGGATACTTGGATCCCAATTTTTTTTTTTCCCCATATGGGTGTGTCTGAAACTGGGGTATACCCCAAATGGCGATTTTGATGGAAAAATTGATGATAAGCCATCAACTGTTAGGGTACCCTCCGCATCCCAAATGTGCCTCAACTTCGTCATGCTTCGCTCACAGGCCACCTAGACTTTACAGACGCTCCTCTGGAAGAACCCTGGCGTCTCCTGTCGGGTCATCCCGAGGCGCTGCGAATGACGAATGATGGTAGGGTTCCAGTGACTGGCCCACTTCAGAGATCTACTATACCCGGCCTGGTAAACATACAAAGAGTTATTGAAAATGACCATAGAAATAGTGGATTTTCCCAGCTAGAAAATGGTGGATCTTTCCAGTTCGTTATGTAAACGTTTACCATTTCGGGTAGGTACCAACATGGCTTGAAGGGAGAATCTACAGGAAAGGTACCAATATTTAAGGAGGTCAAATCCATGGTTTCCGGTAGATTTTCCCACCAATCCATGTTTTGTACAGGTCAAAATCAGGGCATCGTGTCACCGTACACTGGAATTATCATTCCAAAAACTGGATGGTATCCTCACCATCTGCTTGAAAAAATAGATTCAGAACAGAATAGATTGAATAGATCCCCATAAAATGGTTGGTCCTCGAGCCTGGGCTGCTTTTCTAATTTTCTTGGTCATTGGAACATGAGTTTCCCCTCAAAAATTGCAACATTTTAAGAAATAAATCGCATTGAATCACTAACTTTCCGATTTAATAGGAATAAATAACATCACTAATTGATTATTCAGACATAAATCACCAGATATATGTAGATCTCAGCAGATCTTATTATCTATTTCTATGTTACATATTTCATATTTAGTATATTCATATAATATCATATACTATCATGTACTATCATATAATATAACATCATATCATACAAATTCATAAAATCTAATACACATATATATATACAATATATACTATTCATTTATTTTCAGACATCACCAGATCAATCCTTGATTTACCAGGTGATCCAACTCGTCCTGCGCGGCCTTTCGATTGAGGATTCCACGCTCCAGGCGGGGGGCCATAACACAACTTGACGATATGGAGCACTATGAAAGACCATATATTGATAGTGATACTTATTAAGATATATATATATATCTATAGTGATACTTATATATAACTCGACATTTTTGTATTATATGTGTATAGATCATATATCTTATACAGACTCGGCTACACGCTCATATGTACAGGATGGTACCTGCACGTCATTACGCTTTCATGGAGATTATGATGAACCCGGGATGCGAATCCAGACAGTAAGCCGCCAGCTGTTGTTCCATTGCATGGATACCCACTTTTTGATTCCATGCGTATCATGATCCATTGTTTGGTGGTGTTATTCCCATTTATTGGCGGGTTTCATTTTTTTTTCATGACGTTTCCGGCAATTCCAATGATATTTGGCTACTTTCTCCATTTTTTTCCATCCATTTTTGATATTTTCCACCGTTGGGAAAGCCAAGGAGCTGCTGTTGCGACTCCCACGGCTACAAGTCCTGGATGTGGGCCGATGTTCCTGGGCTCTTCAAAATTGTGTTAAAAACATGGCTTTTTTTTTGGAAACTGACATCAACTTGAACAGTATTTTGGTATGTTTTAGTATATTTTAATTGGATCGGTTTTTTTTGAGGCAACGGTTGAAGTCGTTGAAGTCGTTGTCGAACCATCCTCCTGGAAGGTGGCGACCTGACGCCCAACGCGCTCACGAGCGCCTGCTCGCTGACGCAGCTGCAGTCGCTGTCGCTGGATGGGATGGCCGCTTTGGAGGAGTCGTTTCTTCGCATTGGATGTTGTGTAATAAGACATTCATGTAAGTTATGATTTATGATATCTCCCCAAAAAAGTTATTATGAATAATTATTATATGTAAGTAAAGTATAATCTGATATAGATAATAATTCAAGAACTATCGTAATATCGCAATAGGACAATAGAATTCCAAAGAATTGAGCCATCTTAAACTTGGAATGATGATGACAGTTGCTACTGAAATTCGGGCCAACCCGTGTTTAACACAAGCCGTTTCGGTGGGTTTATGGGACAGTGGCATGGCCACCAAAGCAAATGTTTCATGCCGCTTCACCATTTTTCAAGGGATTCTTAGGGCTTATAGAAGGGCATAGTTATTGCACCATATTACTGTGGTAATCAGTTATGGATCCACCAATGGCTGGTTGATGTATTTTGGCACAACCCCCCAACAAAAACAGAAGAGTGATTACTTCATCTTACCAAAGAGGAGGAAATAACGTGACTTTTCTCTTTTTTTTGGGGGGCTTAGAATTCATCCCATGCTTCGTCGTTTTTTGTCAGGACTCCCAGGTACAGGACCTTTGCGAGTCCGGAACTTGGAGTTTTTCAAGCAGTGGCTCCATTCAAATAGCCATGACTTGGGGATACTTGGGGTATACCCCGTAATCAGACACACCCAATTGGATAGATAGTTCTATATGTTTAATGGTAGATGATAGGTAGCTCTAGTGGTAAATGTTCAAGAGCCTGCTGTGGTCTGTAGCTCTAGTGGTTGATAGCAGTTTTTGGACCACAGCTCTGGTCCAAAAATGGTCCATCTTGATGTCCCCTTACTGGCCATGAGCTAATAATTTCATGCCCAGCCAAAAAAAAAATGAATGCTATCAAGGATGGGCAATACCCTTTGGTAAGCAAACATAGCTTGCTGGAAAACACCCCATTTAGCGATGACTTTCCCAGCAAACTAAGCCTCCATTTAGTTCGGGGATTTCCCAGCCATGTTTGATGACACCAAGGAGTAAACCAGACTGCCCACTGTTGTTAAATCCCATGAAATCCAATTAAAACCCACTCAATCCCATTTAATCCCATTTAATCCCAATGGAAACTCCTTCTCCAAACACCAGCGTCCTTCAAGGAGCTGTTTGAGCCTGAACCATCTGGACCTTCGCTTCTGCGAGCGCCTCGCTGATGTTGGGCTGCCCAAAAAAATCTGGAGATGGGTGGCCAGGGCTCCAACTACCAACGGAGCCACTGAACAAAAAAAAAAATCGTAGAGATTCCTGGGAATGACGATTATTTACCCTCTGGTAATTTAACGTAGCTATTGAAAATCACCATTTATAATAGTGGATTTTCCCATTAAAAATGGTGATTTTCCATAGTTATGTTAGTTTACCAGAGGGTAAGCGCTTTAAACATCCATTTTTAGATATTTACAAGTAGGTATCAACTCTTGGGATTTGCTGTATAAGTGATTTACACATCCCATTTGGGTCGGGTTGAGTTGCGAGCCATTCTCAAGTCCTGAACACGATTTTGCTGTTGGAGATAGTGGCATGTTCGGCTTCTAGATCAAACCCAGGGGTGGTGATCTTTTCTCTGCGAAAAGGGGAGCTAGAGAGGTCCGCTCAACATTTTGATCTGGGGCTTCTCTGGGGACTCATCAAGCATCAACCCAAAACATGAAACGCGGCTAAGAATGTTGTGAGGCAACACGCCAGTTGTGTGAGTTGGGCATGTCCAAAAATAGGATCCGCCGATGTTCGCTGGCGAATCATGATTTTTCATTCAAGTTGCCATTTTCGAGGTGTATTCAGTGTATTCCATTTTCTGACAAACCCGTTCAAACCCGTTTATCCCATTGTTTTTTTGCTGGGGTTTGGAAGACGTTCTGAACTCTTTGTCTCATGGCAGTGCTTAGGTCAGTTGCTTCCTAAAATCAGCCGACCGATGGCAATCACTTCAGCATGGTGACCCCAGGAATGTGGCTGCGGTTGGTAGTTTGCTATGTTGGTGCACAGTCCCTTTCCCATCCCATTATAAGGGTTGGTAAACAGATATGTAAATAGGTATCAAAGGTTATCGGCAATAAGAACTAAGAACCCCCAATAAACAAGGTAGTCTAAGCCCATGTATCAACCCATCAACGGTTTACTGTTTCTTGGGCATGAAGGACTTGGCCAGAGCCATTAGGGGTGCTGCCACCTTCGCGATAATGTTGCTCTTGGCCGAGTTCTGGAAGAGACAAAACCAGCATGACAGACAGGAACAGAGCAGGTCTTCCAAGTAGTGATCAACTTGAGGTGTGATGCTGCAGTGAAGATAAAGCGCAGAAAACGGTCTCCTCACTTCCGATTTATAAAGATGCCTCGAGGATTCTGTCTCTAAGCCACCACTTTTATAAAGAGTCATTTTCTGGTCCCTCCATTCCCAAAGTTGCTACAAGATCCCATGGCGATAAGGGGTGATCTGTCTTGTTAGAAACGCATCACCACTCCTTAGATACATCCGTAGCATTCTGCAGAATCTGCAGAATTCCTGGACACATCTCCGACTGTGCTGCCGCGGGCTGCCATGGATTCTTCCGACGTGTCCCTGGCCATCCGCCGTGCTCGTCGTAACAATGCCAAGAGTCGGGAAGCTCATTTGCATCATCAATGGTCACCCTCTGTTTCCTGCTGTTTCTTTCATATCTTTCATATCTTTCATGTTCATCAAGACGCTAAGGTGAACATGTAGCCCTCCCGCATTTTCCAGCATTTCCCCAGATCTTAACTTAAGATCCATCTGAATCTGCAAAATTCAGGGGGTTGTCCTTTAAAAGACACCATGTCTAGCCATTGACCCATGGACCCATGGCCCTCAAGGCCTGGATCTGAGCCGCAGGGGCTTGAGAACCTGGCCTGTGGAGCTGTTTAATCTACGGCAGTTGGAATCTCTAGACCTCAGTGGGGGAACCGCAGTTGGGTCCTGGGAGCTGGGTATTTTTCGGGGTATTTTTCCGGGGATGGGCGTAGCCTCGCCACGTTGGATTACCGGAGGGTCCCAGGGTGCCTTGGCGAAGTTGCAGTTTGGTTTGGACACCTGGAAAAAAAATGGATTCGAAATGATTCGAAATGGTTTAATGTGAACATAGCATCCTAGAATGCACTGTATGGTTATCATATGTTATCATACACTTTTATTATTTTGCATTCCTTTTGGGTGCCTCTAGACTCTGCAGAAACTATTCTATCTGCATGCGTGAGGTCCTATCCACCTTGTGTGATGCATGGTCTCATGGGTTTCGCGGTTTCGCTGCTCTTTGCTTTATCGTTTCAATCAAGCAACTGCCAGAGTTCCTATGACCACGCACATGAAATGCTGCCAGTAGACCCAGGTAGACACATGCTGTCGATATCTGTCGATCATCCATGCCAGCTGCCATCTGAATGTCATGTCGACACATCGCAAAAGATCAAGAGGTGATAGCCCGCAGCCGGGGTTTGTCCGTTGGGAATTGCTTCATCGCCGTGATGGCCTGGGGCCCAGCGGATGTGATCAACCCAAGAGACTTAAACAAAAATTGAGGCTATGGCGGAATGGAGGTTACAACATTATACAGAACATTAACAGTGGTAAGGTAAGATTGGGTAAATCAAGGATGGTTTAGCTGTTTAGCTATTGGAATCTATTGGATTAAATGCCCACATGAGTGGATCAAGATTTGTATCAAACCTTGTTTGATGATGGGTTATTATCATTAATCATTATCATTTTGCAACATTCAGACTGGCATGCATCGTACAGCATGGGCCGCTGGGGCAACCTTTTCATAGTTACACTTATTTGATATATTTGATGTTGTTCGGTTGTTTCGCACTGCTCATCTGAAAGACGCCAACCCATCCCCCATGCGGATGCTGCTCAGAATGTCGAATCGGATGCTCTGCTGCTAAAAAGATTGCCACTGAATACTTGAGCAACACCAATTCATTGGTGGTTATACTTCTAGCATCTCCGAACTAGATAGTGGCACTTAGTTTTCTTGATCCTATCGCTGGCCACCGAGTCCCCGTTGTTCTGTGCTTTATCTTGACCTCATTTGGATTTGGCTTTAATTATTTGCCTCCCCCCCCCACAATGGATGATTTGAAATAATTTAAGACGCAAAATGGATGGTTAAGGTGTTTCTCAAATCTTGATTGCCATCTCCATGTGTTCAGGTCATTCAGATCTTGATTCAGCCTGAATTAGTCAGCCTGCAAGGCTGATGAGCAGCCCAATGGTCCACGTTGGAAACCAGAGTTCGGAGGACAGAGCCACTTGGCAGGTTGGTTTGCGCCTGCAAAAGATTTGGATATCACCAGGAAAAAGTATGGCGTAGATGGCATGTGGTTTTTAAAATGAAGAAATCCATGGTTTTTTGAGCACCCGATACAACGATCATTACGGAATATTACGGAACTCATTTGGATATGGGGAATCATGGGGCCAACCACATTGGATTCATGTCCTGTTTAACAGATGTGAGGTTTTTTAGTTATATTCAGGCCAGGCCAAGCACATTATCATTTATCCAATAAGCTCTTAATACATTTGGGACTATGGATATTCTATCAATTTCTATCATATTCTATCTACATCAGATTCAGGATGACTATGTCATGGGATACAACCAGCGTTCAGCGAGCTTGGGGATCACCCGAAAACAAAAGCTGCCTTGACCCTAACTCCCATCAAAAAGGAGAAGTAGAATCTGTAAGTACAGCAATGACATAAACCACTAAAATAAACCACTACAAAGTTTTTTTTTTATGGCTTATAGCCACTTGTAGCCACAATGCTGAAATTGTGGATGGTTTATGATATGGTTTATGATGGTATTGCTTTACTAATCTTTACTCAGCCATTAGTGAACTCCCTTCGATTGGAATCGTGGCTTTCCACCCGCCCAAGGTCACTTAAGTCACCCAAGTGGCTCTTTACCTGGAGATTGGAATGCTGGCGTGCACGCTGTGCCCCGTGGGAACCTAAGACTAAGATGACTAAGATGAGATAGTTGTAGCACGTTGAAGCATGTTGTAGCAGTTTTTTCTGCTGTGGTGTTTTGCTACTTTTCCATACTTTTCCTATATCTGTTCCTCCAGCTACCGTTTACTTACTAGTTTTTTAATTGTTGCATTCGTACTTGATGCCGCCTTTCGAATAAACGACTAAGACTAAACATGAGTCGTTTGCATTTTAAAACTAGCCTCTGGTGATTTTTTAAGTAGATATATGGGAGATCACCTTATTTTTTTTAAAGAGATAAATCATCTATTTCGATTAGGGCCATCTATACCATAGCTACGTTAGTCATGGTCCCCATAGGTCCCCATGGGGCCCCCCCATGGGGTCCACGGAATCACCAGGTGAAGAGTCGGACTCGAGGCCAAAGGTGGTCTCCAAGGAACGGCCGGAGGTAACCCTCGGAGTATTTGTTGAAGCAACCGTTTTTTGAGATGGGATAGGTGAGTTGATAGGTGTATCTTATGGTATTTTTGCATGGGGTGTTTTTTGTTAATCAAGTAGGATATTTGGGTTCACGGCTTTGTAGGAAATTATGTGGACTTCTCCAGCATGGATAGCTTTTTTTATTCACCAGCAAAAAGGAAAACAGGGGCAGCCCCTGTTTTGGGACCCTTGGTCCACAGCGGCATTCCCATTGAGATTTGTCATTTACATACCTGGAGAGATCTGAGAGGATCCCGACCCTCGAGTACCCTCTGGTAAACTAACATAGCTATTGACCATGGCTATTTATAGTGGATTTACCCATTAAAAATGGTGATTTTCCATAGTTATGTTAGTTTACCAGAGGGTAACTGAAGCCTGTGAGTCGTCACACTTTGGGAGAATCTCTCTGGGAACATCTGGGACCATCTGGGAACCTGGCAGGACTTTCAAGCTATCTTGGATTCCTTGGTGGCGCGACACCTACACGAAGTTGCAGAGGCAAAAATGGACAAAGACGGTCTGGAAATCCAAAAAGGTTGTAAGTTGGAAGATGTTGGAAGCCATGGGGTGTCAGACTGTCATGAGGTGTCTATATTTTTGCATATTTTTGTAGGATTCTGGATGGGGAATACCTTGGAATCGCCTCCAGATCCCACCAAAATCCCATCAAATCCGGGTCCTATCGCTAGGGTTTTGCTCACCAAGTCGCCATTTTGCCAGATTCAAGCAGAAAATGCAGACCTGCGCGTCAAGACCTCGGCTCAAACTGGAGAAAGACTGGGGTCTGGGTGCTTCGAGAAACATGGGACTTGCTTTTGATATCTTTTGATCATGCCATTCCTCAGGAAAATTACTACACTTGAACTTGAACAGGGGCAGATATATTTCAACTCAGTGGACGTGGCAAACCGGGCTTGGGAGATGTCTCTCTCAAGTGATAGTAGTTGGGCCATACTTCGGTACTGAGATGGTGCAAAGCTATTGACCACAGCAAGGGATGGTTCAGAAGAACTGGTAGACAAATGAAGGCGAACAGAAGAAAGAGTCGTCACAGAAATTGCGGTGGAAGGGCCTTAACATGCCCTTTCTGGGCCTCTGTGGCTGGACCTTATAATCAACAAATCAGAAACAGGGATTGCTAGATATCCGATGGCTATCCATCACATGAATCAGCATATCCCAATGGATCCCAATGGCCATGGCCAGGGAAACTGATTCAATCAAGAGATTTTATGGCTACTGGTCTCTAAGGCCCGGTTTTTGGAGACAAAGCCCATCAAGGTGCTGCGCACTCGTTTCATCTCATTTCTCCACGGTCTGTGAAGACTATCATGAAATATAGTGAATTCATGGTGATTCAGGGTGATTCAATGGTAGTTTCATGGGAAGATATATTATGGAGATATGAGATAGAATGGAGGTATAATGGGATATCTAATCACATTGATATGATTTTGGGATATTTTGGATGTATCTGAAATTGGGGTATACTATCCATCAAAAAGCATTTTAATGAGAACAATGATGATAAACCATGGGATTTAGGGTGCCCTGTTTTCAGACAAACCCACGTGGAACTCATCCAAAGAACATGGGGCTTTTGGAACTTTGGAAGATGATGTTACCAGTCAGAATCCATGCAAACATGTAGGAACAGGGGTTTTGAACATGTTATTTTTTGACTAAACATTGAACACATAGGAGGGCGCATGTTTGATTAGGAGGGCGCATGTTTGATCCTTTCGGCATACTATACCAGTCAGGCTTGGGATATTTAGGCAACAACGATCTTCACTCTGTGCCTCCCATAGGTTTGGTTGATCTGTGTTGATCTGTTTCCTTTGTGAGCTGAAATTGATATAAAGAACTTGTTTTGTCAATCCTCCAATTTAGTTTTTGCAAGCTTGCTTCTCAACTGGCCGTATGTGTCCCGATGGATTTTTGATCAATGTAACAAGATTTTTGGCAAACGCGACACATAAACCCTTTTGGTGGTGAGACTTGCATAGATTTTCCCGTTCGAGCACGAAATGATTATAGGCAACCATGATTTGTCAGTTCCACCCACGGACTGTCCGTTTATCTGTCCAACCTTTGTCACCGCACTCGCAACTGACTCATTTGCATAGAGCTTCAATTGAACATGGAGGGCTGCATGGACCTTTTATTGCCATCTTGCATCGCAGGTAATTCCGAGTCAAAGAACACGTACATTTTCCAGGTGGGTAGCCTCTGGTAAACTCAAAATGGGCCATTTTCAATAGCTATGGTTAAATTACCAGAGGGTATGGGCCGACTGCCAGGATTAGTCTGCAGGATTCGATCCCATCTTCTATCCCCCGAATGTTTGTTATATCCTCAACTTCCAAAAGTAGGGGACCCCACAATGGATCCAACCAGGGTTTGCTACAGTGCGGTATTTCACATGAGGGGATAGCAGGAACAGATTGCAAATTAATAATAGTAATGACAATAGTAATATCAATAATAATAATAATGGCCATGAGTATGTGGGTAAACCTTCACACATAGATTTGAGTCGGCCTTGGGCACATTTCCAGGTAGTTAGCAGCAAAATGCAGCGTCAAGTTAGCCTACCAGTCAGCTTGTGAGATGGTGACAAGATGTGACAAGTTTCAGAGAGAGAGCCCTGAGAATGCGCAGGGCCAGTGTAGGGAAGGCACTGAAAGTGATGTTTGCGTCAGTGCCAATTGATGGAGATTAGTGATGCAACGCGTAGCTACATTACTGTAGAGTGGGGTTATGATTTACGCGATAGTAACAGATGCAATAGTACGTATATTTATAATCCTTATAGAACTAATTCAAAACAGAAACGTCTTTCTTGGAGCGCTCAGAAGTGGATCACAAACAGCAGATGTTCCTTCTTGCAATGCTGCTGCAGAATGGACTTTTGGTAGAGGAATAGTAGAAGAACATACCCTCTTGTAAACTGTTACATAACTATGAACTCACTTGAACTCACCATTTTTAATAGGTAAAGTCGGTAAAGTTGGTAAATCAACGAACTCAATGGCCATTTTCTAAGTCGCAAACTGTTGGTGTTTACTCGTCCTTTTGCCCTTCACCGGTGTCCCAGGGGAGGACGAGACGGAGAAAGTCTCTGACGCATTGGACACATCAAAGGTACTCAGTCGCTTCTTGGGCAGGGAATTTACCTGGAGACATGGCCGGAGCCGGTTGGACACCCAAACCCATTGGCTTTCCAAGTGAGCAAAAGAGACCAGTTTAGGGCCACCTGTGGCCACAGAGCCCGACAGGTCGAGCCTGATTTTGGCCACAGGCACTAAGAAAAACAAGCTTTGAAAAGATCACACTAGATTATTCGGAAGCAAAAGGCATCCAATTTTGCAGGAAGCGTTCGAGGGAATTGGTTACATCCATCAGTTCGGACATAGCTGGATGATCAGAGAAAAATCATGCCCTGATGGAAATGGCCCAAAAATTAGCTGGGAACATTCAAAGAAAATCCACGCTATCTCAGTGGTTACTGTATCAGAAACAATCCATCCAGATGGGGGTACCCCCAAATTATCCAAAATTCGACCCTTGTATTATTGAAACCTATTGTTTAGGGGACCCCCAATTTCAGAACCAATCCAGATGTTCCATAATACGATCTTTTTTTCATCAATGTCAATAACCCTGCATAGATCACATCCCGACATAACAAAAACATCCAAAAACTACCCTCTGGTAAACTGTTACACAACTATGGGAACATCAGCATTTTTCATGGGTAAAGTTGGTAAATCAACGAACTTTCTATGGCAATTTTCTATGTCGAAATCTGTTAGTTTACCAGAGGGTATGGCCCATCAAACCCATTACAATCCCATAAACTTTCCATTAAATCACCATTTTCATAGGGTTTTCCAGAGGCTTTCGTCGAAAAAACATGTCTCCAAGGGCTCTCGAAGCTGACCAACGAGTCGGAGAAGGTCAATGAAAAACCGGAACTCACCAACTTCCAACGCTTGCAGCTCTTCCTTCAGTCGAGCACCTTTGACGCGAGCCTTGGGTCAACGTGGCGAGCTACCGGTAACTGTAGCGGTAGGGCAAAGAAGTGCTGGAATGGCATCAGATAAAATTCGTTCACATTGGGCATATGGGTTTACATAATTTGGATTAATTTGGTTTATATATGTTTATATTGTTTCATATTGCTCTGTTGGAAAACAAACACTGTCTGTAAAGTCTGTTATCAAAGGCAAAAGGGGTTCGGGTTAGCTCCTACCGGGTACTGAGTCGTCGCCACCGGAAGTGGCCATGGATGCCACATGATGGCCGTAAAAAACCTTGGAGTCTTGCTTAAAATGGACTGTGTACGCACAGAAGTTACAACAATGATCAGCCATGTGTGTATATGTGCACATATTCTTTATATACACTGGATGAGAAAAGACTAAACAGGTTGGTACAGAGCCGCTGAATTGAGAGGTTTGTGAACAACATGTCCCAACCATGGTACGCGTTCCAGGACATTCAACCCATCACTATTCATCACTGAGGATTATTTCCGCAGTCCTCTTCACCAATGTCATGTTATTGGGTTTGCAGCTTCAGTTTGAAGGCTCTCGCATAGGCGGGAGGGATCGAACTGGAAAATCCTGGAAAGACGATTCATGATTTACATTCCTTTATGGGACCGCCACCATCTGTTTCACCAAAAGCATGACAGGAACATCACCAAAAGGATCCAAAAGGATCCAAAACCTGAGAAAATGCGAAGCTTCCAGTCGCTTGGATGTACCGCCGCAGGCTATTCCATTGCCTATTATCCTGAGAAAGTTCCTGCTGACCGGGACTGGCCTGGTATTCAGGAGGCGGTATCCTGCTGTGGCCACAGCAGTTTCATGAGAGGTTTAGTGACTTAGTGCACTGTGACACTTTGTGGTATCCCATTTTGTTGGCATTCAGCGATATTAAGAGTGTGTGCCAGCCACCAGATGATCCACGCTTTCCGACCGTCCAGGGGTTGCACATTGCCGACCACCTGTTTACAGCTGCTTGACTTGAGATTCTAGTGCCGAAATTGTGATGTCAGGTGACTGGTGGTAATTTTAGAGGAGTACCATCTGGTTATGACTAACATAGCCATGGAAAATCACAATTTTTAATAGGTAAACCGGTAAACCATCTATAAATTTGTCATTTCCCATGGCTATGTTAGTCATAACCAGAGGAGTATCCTATCCTATGCCATTCCTATGCCGAAATTCAACAGCAATTTCCTCTGTCTTGGGATATCCTAGGATCTTCTCCTGGAGATGTGTCAAGACTTGGAGACAGTACCATTGGATTCACAAAAGATGCCGTGGAGTATGAAACCATCCATTTGGTGAAGACTATCATATCTATATATTAATATATCTATCATTTTCTGGGCAGCAGATCCGAAAAAAATGGTTGCTGTATCCCTATATATATATATATGCAACATAATGATACCACATATATATATATATATACATATACGGAGAAAATACCAAAATGCCACTATGAGCATTTTATCGCCATAATCTTCCAAGATGTATCCCGTAGAAAACGCGCGTTCCACCATTTCTACCAACCATTTTGTTGTAGGCCATACCCACCTTTCTGAGGTGATCTTCACCGCAGATGTGTCACTGACCTAAAATTTGCCAGTGGATGTTGCTGGGGGAGAAAAATGGTGGCATGTCACCGATTAAAATTGTGGTTTAAGAATCAACATGGGGATCAAAATTTGGTGAGTTAAGAAACAACCATGGTCGTCGAACCATCAAGAATGGTGGCTTAAGCATCAGGACTGGCGGTATAACTGTCAATACTGGTGGTTTGACCAATAGACATGGTGATTTAACTATCAAGAATGATGGTTTACCATCAATGATGGGGAGTTAGGCCACAAGAATCAGGCTTGTTGTAACCTACAAGTTAGGTGATGTTTTGCCCTTTGTTCATTTTTCAAGGTATCTGGGGTGTTGGAGGAAGCCTGAAGAGGTATCGTATTCTAACAGACCGAGCCGTGCGTTCAAATTAATATGTGTTCTTTTTTATGTGTATCCTACGTGTCTTGTCTGCCTTATGCTTTAGAGTTATGATTTATGGTATATATATAATATAATTTATAGATCCATATAATAGATCCGTACAATTCCATCTGAGATGCAGCCAAAAAACTCCGCAACACCTATAGCTTTTTATGAGTTTTCCAGTGCCAAGCGCCGCATCCCGACTCACCGTAAAAAGCCGTCGTTCAGGGTGCTACGTATCGCGTGTTTGAAGTGCAGCTTTTGGAAGAGCCCCATGAACTGGATCCTTGGCTGGACGTAACTTGCTGGTAACTCCCAGTAACAAAGTTCGGTCCAAGTTATTTTCCAATAGGATTTGCGTATCTTTCTGGAAGTAGCTATAGTTATTTTTATTAGTTTGAAGTTGAATCACTGGTGTCATTTTGACAAGTCTTCTGGCCATGAAACACGTTGACATCTTTAATGGCATGGGTTGTTCATCATCCGAACGGAAGAGAAACACCGTCTAGCCCGACATGGCGCCCGTGACTCGGACAATTTCACTGCAGTGCAGAATATTAGCATCTTTTTTCTGGTGACAAACAAAATCGTGCACATTTGTGGGAATCATGAACCATTTGTGACCGGTACGGTTAAACACATACCCTCTGGTAAACTAACATAGCTATATGGAAAATCACCATTTTTAATGGGAAAATCTACTATTAATGGCCATTTTCAATAGCTACGTTAAATTACCGGAGGGTATTTTTTCTGTGTTTTCCCTCCATTTTTAAGTTGGTATCCCAACTTTGATCCCGTGCTGTTTTTCGAAAAACCCCCTGAGGATTGATACCGGGGTGGTCGTTTTGACGCTCGCCACCGTCTTCCTTGACATGTGGCGATGCGAAGAACGGGGCGGTTGGGCTGCCTCAAGAAATGGCTACAGATTGACTAATTATACTTCTAATATCTCCCAAAAGTATAATTTCATTTCTTTGGAATATTTTGACTGTACATACTGTGTATTGACTATCCCAAAATATCCCAAAGAAATGTAATTAGAATACTAAATTGTACTGTACTTCCAGTATTTTCCAGTTCATTTCAGCCATCGGATGGTCCTGGATGGTAAGACCAACAGATTGTTCTGTAGGAGAGACCACTTCAGATTGACACATCTAGCCAGCTGAATATACATCTGGTTGGTGGTTTGGAGCAGTTTTTACTTTTCCATATATTGGGAGTAATCATCCCAACTGACTAATATTTTTCAGACGGGTTGAACCACCAACCAGACATGTATTGGGGGAGCCAAGAATAATTATGGAGATATGGAATTCCAGACGGAATGTTGGCCAAACACATCTCGCAAACCTACACTCATTTTGAGGATAGATGGCATGATGGTCGCGTGGCATAGACACTCAGAACAAAAACAGAATACTACAACGCAAAAGTCCGTTGTTATGCAAATTTCAGTCTGCAGAACAAGATCCAAGGTTCGGTTTTGCAAAACGAGCCACTGTTAATTTTAATACCATTATCATGGTTTGCTTTAGCTCAAAAAAAAATCAGACTCTTTGTCGGGTGTGAGTCTGACATGTGACATGTAAGAAATCAATGGAAATATCTTCTTTTAGCTATGGGGGCATCTGCTGGCTGGATATTGCATCTCCAATTGCATGGTAATCAACGTCCGATTCTAGAGATGACCATGGGGTTTCACCCTCTGCTTTGGCATTTCAGAACTTATATGGTTTCCAGGTTGTGACCAGCTTGGTTTGTTGGCAAATGGAGGATGGACAGGATGATACAATGATGCATGATGATAAATAATGACATCACGTAGCTAATGGAACGTGATCTATAGCTGATTTATGATGATTTATCTTTACCATAGCTAGTATAAACATGTAATAATGGTGATTGAATCAAGATAATCAAGAAACACAATGAATCTCATTTTTCATCAACATAAATCAACCATTACCCCTATATATATATATAGAATGGGACCCAGACATTATATATAACCATCATTAGCCATAAGAAACGGTGATGGATTCCAGTCCCACTTGCCACCAAGGTCCAGCCTTCCCATCGATCCGATCTTTCTGAGGCTGTTGCTGGATACCATGGATACCATGGATATCCATGGATCGAGGGCCGTTGGTTTGCGCGTTTCGCAAAAGGCACCCTCTGGTAATTCAACATAACTATGGAAAATCTCCATTTTTCATGGGAAAATTCACTATAAATGGTGATTTTCCATAGTTATGTTGAATTACCAGAGGGTAAAAGGTTGGTTTATGAAATTTACGCTAACATGGCACATTCGGGTAAACCCACCGATTCAAATGCCATCATCTTTTTTGTGGACATTCGCTCGAAATGCCATCTTTTCGTGGACCCCTATAGCATCATCTAACATCATCAAAGATAATCCAATATCATCCAACATCATCTAGCATCATCTAACTATAGAATACTATAGATAACTATAACTGAACCTAGCCCATCCCCCTAATATTAAACACCCCTCCGGAAACCATGGTGAAAATTAGGGGATTTAACAGAATACTTGGGACAATTTGCGAGGTGTTAAATATTAGGGCGATGGGATTAAACCCATCCAACTATAGATAACATAATGAATTATAAGAATCTAGTGGTTAGGAGGGAGCGGTTCGGATCTAGGGGTATCCATCTTGCCTAAATGGGGAACGCCTCACAATGTCACATCGATAGGATTTGATGGTTCTCAAATTTGGGGATCCCCAAAATGGGTTTCAATACTTAAATGGTCTTAGTTTGAATGATTTAAAAAATTTTGGGTAACCGCATGACTTAGGAAACCTATGGAAACCTCCATATGAAGCAACTTCACCAACTAGGGCACCTGGCTTCAGCTTAGCAGATCTTTTTTCACCATCCACGCCCAGGTTACGCTTGGGTAAACTCGCCAGGGCCTTTCGAATGATCATTCTCTCAGGAGTCGCGGGACTTATCCATCCAGGAGGCTTCCTAAAGGTACGGTACCCCAATCATCGATTTTTTTTGAGAATTTCCATACAAGGTGGTGCCCCCAAGTTATGTTTGTTGGTTTATAATCCCATTAGCTATAGATATATCAGCTATAAACGATAGTTATTGGAGTTATAAACCAACTTAGCTATCTAGGGGGCACCACCTTGTAGGATTTTCCATGAAATAATCCATCCAGCTATTGGGGTACCCCCGTGACCATGGAAACCATCATGTGGATGATCTCCAAAAGCCGTAGGTTGGTTGATTATATAGGGTAACAACTGAGTCCATCAGCAATGATGGGAGAATTCTGGGATATCATGCGATATAAAGATTACTTTGGTACCTTAGTACATGGGTACACCCAACGACTATCCAATATGTGGATGATCTCCTTATCAGCTATTAGAATATCATATATGTATAATTATATTATATATACATATTGTATATTATATATACATATTATATATGATAAATATACATAATATAAGCATATATGATATGTATATATGATTTATATATATATAACAACATGTGTAAGTCCCGGAGGACTCCACTGGTAGCACCCAGAATTCCTTGTCCTCAAGGAAAAGTCTTTGAAGGAAGATCCCTGATGTTCCAAATGATGTTTAGTGTAGACCTGGAATGAGACCTGGATGGTGGCCTCACCGGCAATGTTATATGGCGTTCCCAAGGCGCTATCCCTTTTTCCACAGCTCCGAAAAAAAGTTCGGCTCTTCAGCCAAATCCGGCATATTGCGGATGGCTCGAATCCCCTGACAATCGAATGGAAGCGGTCCAGCAAGTGCCTTAAAATTCACAATTATGTATATATATATATATTATATAGATATATCTATTATAATATATAGATATATCTATTATAATATATTAGGCCTGCCACGCTGCAGCAGGACGTCTTGAGTCGTTTGGTCTTCTCTTGAAATGCGTATTGGCCTCTGTCACGATGCTGGGCTATGCCACACTGGTGTTGATCTTCGTGCAGTGCGTTTGCGGTATCTTTCGACTGGAACTGGTGAACTGCAGTATTTTTATATTACTGTATATATATATATATATAAACTGTTCTGTTTTTTCAAAAGACTCTGGTGTTGGGAAATAGAGTATGTACCTGTGTATGCCACTGTGGTGTTTTCCAAGTTTTGTTGGGGGGCTTTGCATGTGCCAAAGTGAGGAAGGTCTCTACAAGGGATCTGGAATGATCTGGATATGTCTTGGCAGTGCCTTCTATGATCCATTTTGAGGTCATAGAATCCTGTTGATTTAGGGGACAGGAAGCGGTCCCCAAATCATCTCTGACCCATACCCATCATTCCCCACCTCCAAGGATTCTTTTAAGGCCCCTGCCATGGACGCTTCCCAGGTATGATCATCAGCACGTTGGTGTCGCGATATCTTGAAGATCCGGCCATGGATGCAGAGGGCCGCAGGCCGAGCCCAGGATGGGAACTCTCTTCTGGCAGAATGTGTATACTGTATACATGTGAGGCCGTGAGGCACTTGAAAGGAATCAGGAATGGTTCCATGATGTTCTATGCAAGTAAGATCAAGTAAGTGGCTTGGTAGGTATACTGTATTGATATGCACAGAGGATTGGACAGTCGAAATTCATCTGATTTGTTCGGCATCGGTATTGGTGATACTTGGCATGCACCATACGCATACATGCCTTTACATGTCCAGTACACATGCACACACCATGACACAACACACAACGGAAACACACTGGCGACTGGCGCGCAGAGGAGTGTACAGGCCAGGGTAAGGTGCTAATTTTAACAATACGAATAAATGGTAAATGATTCTTGGATAACCACCCAATCAGGGTCACTGTTGATTAAACCGGAGGTTGACATTGTTTCGCATAGATAGCATTTGTATCTCGGATACACAGGCCTTGTGGCTTTATAGGTGATTTGCTTCCGATGTCAGCAGAATTTCCCTCCCACTGGAAGACTTGTCTCCGCAAGGCATGTCTTCCAGTACTGGGGAACCTTCACAAGGACCTTCCTGACGATGTTTGAGGCACGGCTGCATGTTTCAATGACATCCCAGTTGGTAAGCAGTGGTAAGCAGTCCGCATGTACCCCTACATGGGGGGTGAGCTGGTTAACCCTCCTTTACACTTTACACTCGACTAAAATCTCAGATGCTGGAATTAAAGCTATGAACTGCAGTTGCAACAAACATGTTTTTTTTTCCTGCACCGGAAAACACCTTGAGGGCCCAGAAACCGCCCATTTCGGATTCTTCATCATCATCTTCCTCATCCCAGTATAGGTCTTGTTCGCAAACTGGGCTCCATCTTGCCGTGCCCTCGTGGACAATGTGAGCGAATGGTTTACTCTGATCTTTGTGGCCTATAGGCCAGGGATGGCCAGGGCTTCCGGCCTGCTTTTCTGGGACATGGGAAGATGAGTCGCGACACGGGGTTCGTTATTTCTGGGAAAATTCTCAAGATATTTTGCAAGCTACCCTCTGGTGAACTAACATAGCAATTGAAAATGGCCATTGAAATAGTGGATTTTCCCATTAAAAATGGTGATTTTCCATTGCCATGTTAGTTCACCAGAGGGTAAACCTTGCTGATCCTTGCTGATCCTTGGTAGGGATTAGGAGCAGATCAGTTGAGAGGGGCAAAAGTGATGTTGGGACTCTTGGACTGCCCTGAAACCTCAGATGTGTCGATGGGATAGCGATCTGCAGTTAAGACTGACATGCTAAAAGTCTGATCTAATGATATATGATATATATATATATAATATGTATATAATTATATATATAATTGTATATATATAATAGAGTACCACATGGTACCACCAAGATTGACCAGTTCATGGGGAAAATCATGAACCATGAGATTCTGGGGCCCTGCAACACATGAGATGTCCGACAATGTCCCAGGAAAGGCTGCAGTGAAGGGAAAGTGGACCAAAAAAAACATAACCATCTGCGATATTCTGCGAATAGAACTTTCACACCAAAATCAGGCTTCTCTTTACATCTCTGTAATTGATATAGGACATTGTTGGTGGGGGACCAGCCGATGATAGCTTATGCTTATTTCTTTTGTTCCATGAATGGAGCTATTGAATTACTAGGGTTTGTGGCCTTGGTTTCACATTCCGCAGATTTCCGCGGTTGGCAGGTGTATCGTGGGCTTTGCACTTCTGAAGCTACGACTTTGCTTAATTGCTTCTCTGATTTTGCTGCCCATGCTGCAACCACCTTTCTGTTGGGAGTGTCATGATTCGTGCTCACTTTTGCCGCATCCCGAAGCAGGATGACTCATCAGCCAAGGAACGTCGTTAATAGCGTGTTCGTCTCCCAGCTGCCTGGCTTACAGGGGTTTGCCATGGGGTCAGCGCACGGTTGTTCATGCGGAGACCATTTGTGAAAAGCGCTAGTTACCGGTTAACAGATGCTGACCACAGTGTTTAAGGATGTTTCGGGTACAGGATGGTACATGGCTTCAAGGTAAGATGCCGGAAGGTTCCGGAGCATTTTGGGGCACAGGGTTCCAGAGGGTTCCGCTGAGGCTTCAAAGTCAGGTCCCAGAGGATTCTGGTATGGTTTCAAGTCAGGTACAAGTTCGCGGAACGGGTGTTCTCCGAAAAAAGTGATGAACCATTCTTTGCTGTTGGGGATACCACCCGAGTCTATTATTGTTGTCGCATTGCGTGAGTGAGAGATTTCAACAGCAGAAATCTTGCCAAAGCTCCTTCCCCAATCCTGCTCCCGAGGGTCTTGAAATATAGCCCGCTATAAAGAGCAGAAGCTTTGCCAAAACATGCCAAAACAAGGGTTTCCGGAAGTTTTAAAATAAAGCTAACCCAGAGTTTTCGAAGAGCAGAAATGTTCGCCAAAACAGATTCCGGGGGCTCTGGGCCGTGGGAACCTGCAGGGGTTCTGAAGAGTAGAAACCTCGCCAAAACTGGTTTCACGGAGTTTTGACAGATAGCCAACCAAAAACCGTGAAACAATCTTGATCCGTGCTTTTTTTCTTAAGGCCCCCTGACCAAGCATTTCTGGGAGCTTTCTTTGCTCACTCACTACAATCACTACAACTGACAATGAAGATGTTGTGTTGATCTTTGTAATCTTTCCCAGAACTCCTGCAAAGCATTTCCGGCAGTTTCCCTCGTGCCGCGGGTTCTTCCACGCACTAAACAAGCAGTCCTGATCCTTGTCATTTTTCTTCAGAACCCGAATAAGATCGAATAAGCACTTCTGGTAGCTTCCCTTGTGTCCGGCGTTCTGGTCCCGTCACCAAAAGAGAAACATCATGTTATATAGATCAGTATTCATTGATGGATTCCCTTGTGTCCAGGCAAAGAAACTGGGGTACGCCGGGATGCCCCAAAGGTCACATGCATTGTAAAGTGACAGGAATGCTTCAGACTGCTGTGACTGTTCAAATTAAAGGCTTAATCTGTTCATATTTTTCTCTTGGGTTCTGAAACGGAATTATGAAAATTAAGCCAGACTGCAGTTTGTTCGGATTGGGCACTAACTTGACGGATTTTTGATGAGCCCAGGACGCTCAAGATCGCGGATTCCGATGAGGAATATCTGATCAAGCTACGCCAGAATCTCGGTTATCAACTCGCGAGTTCGTTCGGGACTTGAATCGAGGAACATTCAAACTATAGAACAGTTAAGCCATGGATCCAAAGCAGTAGGGTATGATTTTGGGGTTCAAGAACCGGACTTGGATCCTTTTTTGGCCTATAGTGAAGAACGAGTATTAATAAATGAGTGTTAGTGGTTTGATTCACATACAGAAGTTATGTTGACTGTTAGGATCACAAGTTCCGGTGCTGTTTGATCACAGCAAGTTGGGTCCAGGCTTCGACCTTTCAAGGTGGCAAGGTTTTCCCCAAAAAAAACAGATGGAGAAATACACAATTGGAGGTTTCCTTCAATGGGGGTACCCCAAACTGGATGGGTTGTGATGGAAAATCCCATTGAAAATGGATGATTTGGGGGTACCCCCATTCAGGAACCCCTCAATTGCAATTGGATTCTTGTGCCATGCATTGAAGCCCTACTTTTGATCCAAAAATATCAAAATCGGTATGGTAAGTGTTCAAGAATCGGAGCAAGATGGTGATCAAATTCGGACCCTTCCTGGCCGTTCCGTGAAAGCGTCATCTCTCAGGAAGCATCAAGACCAATATCGAAAGAAGCTGGAAACCTTATTTAAGGCGGCTGATGTGACCAATGATGGCTTCTTGGAATTAGTATCTCGGCATATCTCATATCTCGGCAGAGCTTTCCTAAGTTAAGGCATGGGGGTACCCCCAGTTCTTATGCATTTTTCATGGTGTTTGGAATTGTTCATTCGAAACCATCCATTCTAAAAGGGGTCGAAACCTCCAAAGCACCTGGCAGAAATCTTGGCACGCTGAGGACGAGTTCATGCGACTCCTGGAGGATGAAAAGATGCATCTCTGGCTGTCGCAGTTGCAACTTGAATACCATGATCCTTGTCTCTGATCTGTGCCGTTGTGGTGTAGCTTATGCAAGGTGTCAAAAGACCATCATGAGCAGCTGTACAAGCGATGAATATGCAAAGTGATTGGGATGCACAATGATCAAATGATATCAAATGATCATTAGCATAGCAAGTACATTTGGATGAATTTTTTCTATGTCAAATTACAAGAGTGAAAATGAATGGAATGAGATATTATATGTTATTATTATACTGCATCATGTACACATGTGCTATGGTGAAAAGCTGGAGTGTATACCCGGTACCTTTTTTTGGGTGGTGATCAATCCATTCATCGTGATAAAAATATCGAGTACCCTAAATATATTCCCCATATATTGCTTGGACGAGCATAATCCATATGCTATGTTTTCACCCTAACACATCTGTCTGATGGGACTGGGTCCAAAATGTCAAAATTTGCATCATTAGGTGGAGATAAGCATACAAAATACAAATTCCCTCAGAACTCACGAAAGCTTAGCAGCCAGCAATAGCCGCATTTGCCAAGTGCGTGATTTTTCATATAAAACCCCCATACCCTCTGCACCCCGACCTGGCGGCATACAATCTAGGGCCTACGCCGTAGGCTCAAAAGGCTTCCCAAAAATCCCATGATTCATGGAATTTCATTCCCCGAAATCCCCAGCGAAATCCCCAGCGAAATCCCATGTTTACCTTTTGCCTTTCCATTGGATGAAACCTCCCAGGATTTGATGGAGCTTTTCCAGATGATCGACTCAGGAGATGGCCACCTGGTCACTGTTCGGTTTTTTTTTTGGGGGTTACTATAGCCCATATGCTCCATGTATGGTATATTTACCTACATTTGCCCTAAAAATCACCCAAATGTAGGTAAATATACATAAATATACCATACATGGAGCATATGGGTAGTTATCCACAATTGTTTCAGTGTTGTTTTCATATTTTACTTAAGTGATTTAAGTGCATCTATAGCAAGAGTCTCCTGTAAGAACACACCAGGTATATTTTGTTATATTTTGTCATATTTTGTCATTTGCTTTTATTTTTATTTTATTGACATGATTAATCGACGGACAAAATTGTTGTAATGCTAATTTAGTCTTGCTTCGCCTTCGGCTTGCTGAGGGGTGTGCAAAGCCTTCATTACCGATAGGGGACGACCGCAATTTGCGTATGGCATGAATCATATGAACAAGTAATTTATTTTGTCCGCCATTTATAAAATTATATATAGATATCACCTAATGATGACCTAATGATTGTGAACTTATATAACTTATCATCCGGACTCAGCTTGTATATAATCCATCATCAGAGATAATCTATATTTATAATATACATATTTGGGGCTTTACATATATCATATACCACTTGGGCACATCTCTTGAGGATGCCCCGCCCGTGCTGAGGTCGAATCGACTGGAAAGAGTTTATGGAGGGAGCCGGTCGCTTGAAGGGCCAAGCGAAGAGTATGGAGACTTGCCCAACTCATAGAGTATGCTGGTGAGGATTTTTCCAGGAATCCTAAGTGGTTTACCATTCCAAGTCATATTTCATGATAGATGGGATAACACATGTTATAGCATCTATAGATGGGATATGTTAATTGTAAGTGGTTTTTGTACCGATTTACATACATTTTAGAGTAACCAGCAGCATAGTCATGATCCATTTATAGATGGGATAACACTTACGAAAAAAGGGAACCTGTTGTAACCAGGGTTTTCTGAAAATCACTTGGCCACGAGTAACCTAGGATGATCCTCCAGGCACTGGTTGCAAGGTAAACCCTGGGGCAGTCCTTTGAGAAACTGCTTTTTTTGGGCCGTAAAAAGGGGATCTAAGCAACAAAGATATGGAGATCTAATATAATTTAATGATCTAAACTGCAGATATTTGATGGGTATGTAACCAATGACTTCTGGTTGCTGGTTTCAGATATTCAGTATTGGTCCAGTTTTTAATAGTTTTTAGCCCAAAAAGTCAGGTACTATCCCCCCAACTATGGCACGCAATGTGGCTGATGTCCATTTGGTTGATGAAAAAGGAGCTGTAATTGAAAAAAACGAAGTAACACCCTAGTTTTGAACACCAAAAAACACATTAAATATAGTATATAGTGACTTGCCAAACTGACCCCTCAACTTTCATTTGAGGACATCATTGTTGCCGATGGCTGGCTGACACTGCGGACCCAATGGATTAAAACATATCAAAGCATAGGGACGTAGCGAATGACTTGCATGAAATTGATGACATGAAATTTAGGTATGTCCAAACGCACGGAGTGGCCTGGAGAGTCCATTTTCCTGTTCCCAAATTAGACAATTTTGGGAATTTTGGAGGCCTGCAAGTCCGCAAGTATCGGGCATGTCCAACCTATTTGTTGGTTCAATTGGAACCCAATAGTGGCTGAAGTCAGTTTTCCAGTTTTCCATGTTTTGCCAGTCACTTCAGGTGATTTGAGTTAAGTTTTGAACAGGCTGATTTTCTTCCCTTTGGATTTGGAGTATTCAACCATTCCATTCCAGTGAAGGTATTCGGACAAGCTGAAGCTGGCTTGCTCTACTTGGATCATCATGATACTTCAACGTATCAAGGGGCGATACGTTCCCTCAGCTACAAGCCGATATCTTGCTACAGTATGCTACAGTGGGACACTGTTTTTCTGCGGTTTGTATCCTTATTGCATTTGTTTGGGATCTGACTGCATGGTTGTATTTGGGTTTCGTCTAACAATAGGGTACCCCAAGATTTGGTCGTTAATGATCATTTTCACATTAAAACGCCATACATTGGGTATACTATGGTATACTCTCTTTTCAGACAAACCATTCGGTAAATTCCCATGAAACATGCTGGTTTCACCACCATTTTCATTCAGTTCCAAGCACAACGTCGAAAGAACCCTGGCAGCTTGCCTTCAGGACGTGTTTCGCCTGGAGACGAAGATAGATGCTGTGATGAAGAGCCTGAATGATAAGGATGGTTCCAAGCAGCGCTGGAAACGAAACATCTCTCTGGATTCCTCCTAGCACACCTGAGTTGGAAACAGCCATGGCAGCCATGGTGACAGTTAACTCAGTTGACGGCTATGGCTGAATTTGGGTCCAAACAAGTCATGGTCACTTTTTCAATTGGAACACGATTTTCAAAACCGCTGGAAAATCAGGGGTCCCCTATTTTCAGACAAAGCCATCAGGGGGGTCAATGTCATAAAAGTACTGAAATGATGCAAACAGGATTTGTTGCATCAGATCGTCAGCTTGTGTCAGCTTCTTCACCCCTCTTTACCGAACTTCGGTCGATCCTCAGCCTCTCGGGTTGGGATGCCAACGGCTCGCCGAACGGAGCCCGCTCCAAACGGAGCCCGGGCAGTGGGCCTTTGGTAGGGGACTTTCACCGCCATGACTTGCCAGCAAGGCCTTATTGCTTGTCGAAAAGCTTGCCGACTGGGAGAGGAGTCAGAGTCACCATGCTTCGTTGTCACAACTGTTGCTGAAAAGGGGCTGTTGATTCGACCCCTTTCTTAGTCTTTCTTACAGGGTTGGCGGTTCAGAAACCCTGTGAAAAGCGGTGTGAAACCCTGGTGTTCCTTTGCGATGGGATCATGAGATGGATCCTGAAGTGGGCTCCTGACTCCTTACCTAACCAGTAGGAGCTGGCTGAGGTGGCAATGAGCTTAGCTCAGCAGATCCCAACTTGACGCAGCTGGAAGCGCTGGAAGAGTTAGACCTTTCAGGTGCAGTGCAGCGGTCCCCAGTGATGCGCCTGGTGGTAAAGCCCATGAAGGCCCATGAAGGCCCATGAAGGCCCATGAAGGCCCATGAAGGCCCTAGAGTTAAGCCATAGAACTATTGTCAAGCAGAAACAGTAAGTCAACCCCGGATTAGTAATTGTGAAGCGACAGGTCAGTCGGTCGGAGTGCGCAGGGTCTCTTTTTCTTGAGCCATGAATGTCCAAGGGATTTGTGTGTGTCATCCTTGGCAAAGGTGGCCATGCTGCAACAAATGAATGCGCAGGGGCCATGCTATTCTTCTCAACTCCAAAAGAAAACTTGTTGCACTTCTCGATTTCAAGTGTAGGACGACTGTTCCATCCACACTCCCCCTTGCTGTTCCACAGCAACCAAGCAAGTGCCAAGTCGGCCTATGGCCAAAAGGAGTGCCAGGAAAATTCCATTGGCTGCTTCGAGCCATTCCAAAAAAGAGAGCTAGGAGCGGCTCACATGTCGGCTGATTCATCTTCCGGGCTCGGAACATCAGCATGTTGATGTTGATCAGTGACCACGGAGAAGCTGCCATCGCTGGTCTCCTCCTCGGATTCCACGGCCTCCTCGTAGTACTGGTCCTCATCAGTTCCCCCTTCCACAGTAGCTCCATGGAGGAAGTCCCAGAGCATCCCATCGCTGACATCCGAGCGGTTTGATCGCAGATATCGGGTTCTGCGGCCCGTTGGATCCTCTCGAGGACGTCCAGGGTGAAGGTCTGGAGGAAGTGGTGCCTGCAAGGCCCGAAGTGTGGCTTCCCGGACAGACTCTCCTTCGCGGACGCTCAATGTCGGCCCATCATTCCACCGATTCACCGGGGCTGGTGTCCGTTGGTACACCTGAGTCCCTGGGGGAAAAACGGTGCGCCTCAAAGATCACCCTTGACTGGCCTGGGTTCATGTTCCCTCAGACCCTTTCTTTTTTCGACAGCCTGCTCTGTGGGTGTCCCTTCCCGCAGGTCTGCCGTGGGGCGCCCAATGGCCTTTGGCCCGGCTTTTTTGGGATCTCTTTCACCTCCTATCCATGGGGTGCATTTCACAGCTAAGTGAGCTACCAAGGCCGTGATGGCCATCAACCTAGCTACCTTGGCCGTTTCACATGTCGGCTCCCAAGCTGCCAAACCTACCAAGCCACTGACTGCAGCTATCGTGCTAGCTAAACCACTACGAGTAGAGCTCTTTGGCTCCACTCCATCATCCTCCAGCTTTTGACCAGCATTGACCACCATGCCCATGAAGTCATAGAACTTCTGCCAAGCCGAAGGTGAAGTGACCGGCTTCGTCAGCAGGTCTGAGGCCAGCTCGCTGCCAGGAAGATGCCGCGCCTTCCAAAGACCCCATTGAAGACGTTCACGGAGAACATAGCTTCTAAGGCGAAGATGTCGGGTACGCCACGGCCCATCAGGAGCCTCCAGGAGCTTCAAGCCCGACATGCTGTCCCCATACAGGACTCGTTCACCTTTTTCACACAGCTGGTTGTTCTCCAAGATCTCCACGATTGATGAAATTGATTCACCAAGCACCAAACCATCGCAGTAGCCCAAAAGCTCAGACTCCGTTGTACTGAGCACACAAAATGGCTGTTGCCGCGAATCCCACTGCACCGGTGAACCTCCATAGACCGCCACCAAGCCTTGATGACCACGTTGGCACTGAGCACCCATAGCCGCATCGCTGAAGACCTCCAAGGTGAGCATGTTGCGCTGGAAGGCCAAACTACCCCCAGAGCCAAAACCACCTTCACATCGGTTGTAGGCCAAGCTCATATCGGCTGTTGCACTCAGATACCCCAGAGTGTGACGGCCCAAAGAGTGCACCCTACGAGGGCACCTTGTAACATGCCTGCCCAGCCATGACGTTGCAAAGCTCAAGTCAGGTCTGGATCTACAAGCGGCCCAAAGGAGTTCTCCTACCAAAGTCTGAGCTGCACGGACATCAGAGATCTGGACATTCTCCTCAGGCGTCTCATCCAAAGTGCCTGGAAGTGGCGTTGATTTCGGCACCAAGTCCTCATAGCGACTGAGCAAATCCCTGATGTAAGACCTCTGAGACAAAAGGATAGCGTTCTCCTTCTTGGTGAACTCGTACCCGCAAAACTTGGACCACTCACCCTCCTTCACCCATTCTGGACTGGAGCACTTCCATGTTCGCTGAACCTCCTCCAAGAACCCAGTCATGACCCCGACCTCGCCAACAGCCAGGACGTCGTCCACATAGAGGGCCACAAAGCCATAGGCTCGATCCAGATCCTCATAGGACTGTTTGACCATTGAGTTCTCCTTAAGGACCACCTTCCACAGGTTCGGCTCAGGCGTTTGGATCAGTTGATATCCAACCCCTTCCAGATTCCACTGAAGCTTGGACAACACCGAATTTCGGTAGTGCCCCCAATCCGACGGCGAGGAAGTGAGTCCATACATTGCATGCTGGATCTGCCAAAGCTCGTCACCCACAAATTCCAGCATCGACTAAAACCTTCGGCGGCTTCATCACCAGAAGCTGACGTTCTGATTCCCGCCTTGGTGCCAACAAAAAGGCTGTAGCCACATCTAAGCTGGCCACACCCCAGTCCTCACAGGATGCCTTTTTGACCAGGCACCGCAGCAATGCTCCATCAGCCCCCCCGGCATATGTGCTGTAAGGCGAAGTGGAAGGTTGGGGACCATCAGCAGCCGGACCTTCATCACCAGGACCAACTCGCTCAAGACGATTTCCACACACCACCACCCGTGCCTTCTTGCGTCCATTTGGGGCCTTGATTGTTGGAACAAGCATCGCTGGGGCCAACTCCATTGTGTGATACAGAGGATTTTTGCGAAGCTCTGCGTCCGTTGTTGGGCGGATTGCCCCCGTTCCCGTCAGAGAACCATATTCTGCCTTCAAGGCAGGCACCCAAGCATCCAAATCTCGTTTGACCTGCTGCAAGGGGACCGTATAGGTTTGAAGAACTGGTTGAGGAAGCTCTGCAGGAGGCCCATCGGTTGAAGGTGTTGGCAAAGACAATGATGCCAACCGATGTTGATGAAGACAAAGATGCTGCTCCTCCAGGTGGGCTTCTCGGATCACCAGCTCCGTCTCAAGCTCCTCTAAGACCCGGCCCTGCATCATCCCTTCATCTTCACCAACAGCCACCTTCCGAAGCTCCTCCATCCATAGAGACTTCAACGCCCCATGCTCCTCCACCTCAATCTCATGGAACAACTCAGCCTCGGCCCAAGAGCAGTGTTGAAGAGGCTGAGTGTGCTCCCCCGGAACTACCATCTCTCCAGGAAAGCCCAACTCCAACCGCTCTCCACAGAAACCACATTTGCCACCACGTTCATCATCATCGGAGTATTCAACCACCCCGACATTCTCAGACACTGCAAAGGGTTTTTGGACCTCCACATTCTTTGAAGCGTCGAACCCCTCAGAAACCTTCAAGGCCTTCACAGCGGCCTCATCCACAATCTCGTAGTCCCCAAAATGCCCACATTGAAGCGGTTGGCGAAGACCACAGTTTGAACACTCCACCATGCCACAGTCAGAGCCACTCGAAGGGGACGCAGTTGAGGAAGACAAGGAGGATTTTGGGTCAAAAACTTTTTCTTTTTCTTTTTGATTTTCACCTCCAATAGTCTCCCCCCCTGCCCGCATCTTGATAAGGGCAGGTCCAGCTAGCTCTGCACGAGGCTGCTCAAACAACAGCGGCATAGCTCCTTGAAGAGGATGAGGATCATTGGACTGTTTTCCAACCAATCTCCTCCCCCGATTTCCGCGACCACCACCAGCATCAATTTGACGAAGCTCCAGCTGTGCCTCATCACCATCAGGATCCGGGATAATGGCCGTCCGGACATGCATCACATTGTGCTTGTCCTTGGTGATCCATCCAGTTGACATAAAAGGTGATGGACCAAGAAGCTGCATCGACCTGAAAGGATTGGACAAAGGTTGGCCCCGGCGATGCCATCTTTTCACCTTCACCGCTACTTGAGCACCAAACCTCAGCATTGGCTTCATTCATCGACAGCCCAAGACGTTGAACTTGAAGACGGAACCTCTCTTCGGCCGCATGTCGAGCCGCACATGGCCACAGTACAGCATCTACACCAGACTCATGAAGCATCAGCCTCAAGCGTTTTTTCAGCTGTCCAACCTCAACCTCGCACCTGCCGTTGGCAGCCGGGTCATCACCGGACGTCATCGTCTGGACCAATTGGCGCTGCTCGCACCACCGCTGCACTTTGGCATGAAGAAAAGACTTTTCGCGGTCTGTGTGCAGCCGCATGACATTGACCCCCAACATCCGGTATTTGGCATGAAGTTTGGACATCGCTGCAACCAGATGGTCCACATGTCGAGATTGGACCGGTTCCATCAGCGTCACATTTTGAACCGATGCAGGTTCAGCCATCTCCTCAATGTTCGCCATCTCATTCAAGGCGTTCACCACGTCCTGCTCCACATCCTCCACCGGCTCCTCTGGTTCTTCTTCTTCTGGATGTTCAGGAGCCTCTTCAACATCTTCTGGCTGAAGATCAGGGATTTCATGTGCCACCGGAAGTTCATGTAGTACTGGAATTGGAACAACCGCCACCATCATGTACCTGCAAGACTTCCCGGTTCCCAGATCTCGCCCAACTTGGTATGGCCCTGCCAAATCCAGAGACATAGTGAAGGATGAAGAAGCATTGTGGCTTCTTCGATGAGGATGTGAAGTGCCCATTGATTCCAGGCACACCCTGCAGTCCTTCCTGAAAGGAACATGCTGCTGTCGAACATGCTTCCGCCATGATGCCATCTGATCGAACTTCAGCTCCATGGGCATCCAACATGTCCAGATACATCTTGAGGGACTCCTTGACCGCAGCCACCAAACCTGGACTCCATTCCGCCCATGACTTTGATGCCAAAATCCTTTCACCGAGCCCACCATGAATCGCAGTTGTGACATCTCCACCTCTAAGTCCTGCCAGTTGAGACATCTCCGGCAAGTTGGTGACAATGCCAGTTGGCTTCCTCCTGCGATGCCCGGTTTGACCTTGGTCGAAGGCAAAGTAGATCAGGCCCTCCTTCCCGACGAACTGCTGGACCTCCTTGAAGTTGAAGCTCGGACAAATCTTGGCTTCCTCCTCATCCTCCAAGTAGTCCTTGGGATCCTCGGGGGACTCCATGAAAAAAACAGTTGGCTCCATCGGCAGAGTCCGGCATTCATTTGACTTCACCCACAGCGCCATGTGCTTCAACATCAGCGCGCTGTCGCTGTTGACAAGCTCCAACTCGAAGGGATCCAGGTGATCCAGGTGCCACCGCTCATCATCTCTTCCACGGAGACGCCTGGGTCCCGGAGGTCCACGATTTCTCAATATCGGCTTGTGGTCCTGCAAGGTGGGCCACCGATCACTGCCTTGATGAAGCCACCCTCTGCAAGCTTCCACAAGTAGGCCCACACTCCAGGATGGTGTATGTTGAATTGGGAACCCATCGCCGTGTCTACACAGATGCACTGGTAGCTCCCCCAGTTCTCCTTGGTCCAAACCGATGGATCCGCCCCAGAGAACAAGTGCACCACCACGCCCTTTCCTTGACGATGTCCCCGACGCTGCCTTCTATTCCAAGGGCATGTCCACACCATTGGATCCTCCCCCTGACCCACCATATGTCGAAGCACCTCTTCTGGGACTTCCGGAAAGTGCTCCTTCCACCAGATGCGCTCCGTCTCCTTGAGGTACATGCCCAGCTTCTCCTCCGTCTCAAAGCGATGCAACATTTCCAGTGCTTCCGCTCTTGGCATAACTGGACACCCTTGTCTCATGGAGCAATTCACCTGGCCATACGTTGGATGGGAAATGCGACAGCCTTCCGTTTTCCACACCGCCCTGTAGCCCTTTGACACCAGCAAGTGAAGAGGAAGAATTGGTTCCACCTCATGCAAAGACAACAAAGTTTGATGATCCTTGGAGCGATACAGAGTTGTAGAACCACTGGCAAGCTCCACCTCGACTGCCACAAGGCCCTCAAGCTCATCCACCCGAGCTCGGCGAAGTGCGTGAGTGGCACCACCATCCAGTAGTGCCCATTGGCCCACACCAGAATTCTCGTCCAAGATCACCTGCTTCAGCTTGATCGATTTGACGCTCCTCAAAGACTTGAGAAGGCTTGCAGCCTCCTTCATCAGATCTGCCGCCGTCTCCTTGGGAGCTTCTTGAACTTGAGCAGGAGCAACAGACACCGGAACCTGCACAGGCTCTTTTTCAGCTGCAACCCCATCCGTTGATGCGCCTTTGATCTGATCCTGTGCAACCACCTTGGCGACCTTCTCCCCCTGAGCTGCACCAGGACTACCCTTCTCCGGAGTCATCTTTTCCTTGATCTTACTGACCCTTCTCGGCGTTTTGGTATCGCCGCCGTTGATGCCACCCAAAGCTGTTTTGTGAGGACAATCCTTTTTGAGGTGACTTGAGCCCCCACATGACCAACACCGGCCACGCATTCCTTCCATGTCATGCTGAAAGGTGCAAGCCGCACCCCGTTTGCAACCCTCATCGGTTTTCCAGTGTCTACATGGACCCTTTGTGCTGGCTGGTTGATGCCGGCAAAGTTGAAGAACCATCCTGACCGGCCACTTGAAGAGCCTTCAAAACTGGAGCAGCCGTTGATGCCGTAGAGAACATCTTTGAGTTCGTCACCAGCACCAACTCCTCAGCTTCTGCCTGCAGGACCTCAGCATAGTCCCTCACCGCTTCCATAGTCGGCCGGGTGTCCACCATGAGCTCCTGCCTCACCGCTGAGATGCGATAGCCCACCTGAAGACCACCAACCTTGGCCAAGGCGTCCGCCATGCGACCCAGCACCGACGAAAGCACCACAGGATCAGGAAGAGCCAAACGTAGCTCTGCAGCCCGACCCAACAGCCTCCTCCACTGACGAAGCCCTCCAAGAAGGTCCACCACTGACGACCCGATCTTTGGCTCAGTCACCTGCTTGAGAAGTGCTGCCTTTTCCACTCCACCACCAGGCTGATACACCGTGAACATCCGAAAAAGGATTCCAGTTGATGTCAAAGTTCTGGAAGCCACCAAGTCTCGCTTGATCATCTCAGGACAAGCCGCCAGAAGCATAGACACCCCACGCTGTTCAACCCGCTGGAAATCCACAGGAAGAAGAACATCCCCAGGACGTAGACGTAGTCGATCCACTGGGCCAGCGACCAACCACCTCTCATAGAACGTCTCCACCTGCTGCAAGACAAAGAGCCACCAATCCCTTGAAGTCGCTCCGATGTCCGACATTTGTGGACCGGCAAGTGCAAGCCAGTCTCCAAAGGCCAGTGAGGCCCCTTCCGAACCAGGTACAGGTAGAGGAGGAAGCTCGTAACTCTTCAACGACTCCCCATGTCCACCTTGAACACCACCTTGAAGAAATCCCCGTTGATCCAAGCCCGGAGGAGAAACCACTCCTTGAAGACCCTGACCCGGAGTTCCATTCACTGCAGCTCCACCATGAATTGGAGTTGCCATCGAAGCCAAGCCCACGCGATCCCCTCTGGACGGTGTTGTACTCGACCCCAAACCCGCTCGATCACCTTGAGCCGCATGAGGAGCTCCTTGATCACCACCAGACGAAGCCGAGTGATAGGACCTTGAATCCGTCCCACCTTCACCCTTCAGCTTTCTGATCTCCATCTTGAAGTTCTCCTCAGCCTCACGTAGGACCCTCTGTCTGATCCTTTCCAACTCACCTTCATCCAAGTCCAGGCCAGACCGGCCACTCCCCGCAGCATCCATCACCGGTTGCAAGCTACGAGCAAGGTTGACGTCACTTGGAAGACGTCCTTGACCAGAAGCGAACACATCTTTCTTCGCCTCTGAGCTCCAGAAGGGATTCACATCACCGGTCCCCCTTCTCACCGTTGTTTGACCGTCCAAGGCTAGTAGACGATTTCCTTGATCGCCTCGTTGCACTTGGTCAGAACGTCCATGTTGAAGTTCACCAGCCAGTAGAGCTCGATGTCCAACACTTCCCGGACCTTGAAGTACATCTTGAAAAAGTGGCGCCAACATCCCAGAAGGTGCAGGAGGAACTGGACCAAGCTCCAAAGGAAGACTCACCGGCCTGGTCATGTCACGACCCCGGCTCCCATCTCCTTCAGCTTCAGCTCTTCTCCCACCAGCAGCCAGCGTTGCACCCCCTGCTCGTCCAGTCTCATCTCGACGACCATCCGGAGCTGATGCCGCTGCCGCCTCATTCCCTTCAGGGACCATTTTCAGCCTTCTCATCTCAGGCTGCCGCTCCTCTACAGGAGGTGAAGACTTCGCCCTCTTCTCCATGGCTATCAGTCTCTCCAACCTCTCATCTGCGCTTTCGGCTCGATGGTGCCGTCGCCGATGCATCGACATGGCACCCAAGAGCCTCAAAAGACCCTTGGGCTCATAACCTGTGAAGCGACAGGTCAGTCGGTCGGAGTGCGCAGGGTCTCTTTTTCTTGAGCCATGAATGTCCAAGGGATTTGTGTGTGTCATCCTTGGCAAAGGTGGCCATGCTGCAACAAATGAATGCGCAGGGGCCATGCTATTCTTCTCAACTCCAAAAGAAAACTTGTTACACTTCTCGATTTCAAGTGTAGGACGACTGTTCCATCCACAGTAATAAACCATGGTCTATTACTTAGGGGGGGTACTCCTACAACAGTCATAATCTGACACCTGGATGGCACACCACCAATTAAACAGCCTAGGGGTTTATTAATCCGGAGTTGACATTATAACGGAGTGGTAATAGAAAAGATACAAACCATAGTTAAACAATGGTGATAAGTATCATAAACCCTAGTTTATGAAGTGATATTCCCCGCACGCTTGTTCGTTTTTGTCATTGGAACCAACTCCAAGACCCTTCAGATCTACGGTAGTTATAAGTACCATAAACCATAGTTATTGAAGTTATGTTTACCACCTTGGCTATCCTTTGGCCTGACTTTTTCTAGGGCTGGGAAGGCTGGGAAGGCTGGGAAGGCTGGGAAGGCTGGGATAGAAAACTGGTGAAGATGAGGAAGGAGGATTTACTATGGATTTACTGTAAAGATCTGTAAAGATATTTGTTCTGTGCTAGGGGAAATGGTGATTTATCATCAAAGATCCGGATTTCATGGGAGCATGGGGATATTTTTTTGGGTATATTGATGATGGGGATTGACAACAAAACATCGAATTGAAGTGAGTAAACTAACCCTTTTATAGTGATTTATGGGGAATATAATGGGATAGGTATATTTATATATATATATATTTAATGTATATATATTATATCATATACACCTACATTTATAGTTATATGATTTTGGGTGTGTCTGACAATGGCAGACCATCATAAATTGGTCATTTTGATAGGGGTAATAGGGAAGATATGGGAAGATGATGACAATATGTTGGATCGGTTTCTTTTTGGAAGATGTCATGGTGAGTTACTCTCCGGTAATCAACCATGGCTGGAAAACCCACCATTTATAGAGGATTCTTCGATTAAACCTCCATTTATGAGGTATTTTCCATTGCTACGTTTGATTACTGGAGGGTATCAAACATCATCAACCGCTGATTCTTGATGATGCTCACTTTGAAGGACCCAATTTGATAGAATCACAATTAAGTCGGTCTATTTGATTTTGCCATTTCAAAAACATGCCCATCAGGTAGATCTTACACTGTCCTACACATTGTTTTAACAAATGGCAGGCAACAAGCTGGAGAGCCTTCCTTCTCATCTAGCGACTTGGTGCGTTTCCCGATGTGGTGTGACATCGGTAGCTTCACAATAGGCTTCATGGTTGATGATGGTTGATGTGTCTTTTGGAAGATTCCTGCCACTCATCAACCTGGGAGAATGACCCACAACGACTGATAGAACTTGACCTGGGAAGTTCGAGACTTCCAGCATGATGGATAGCTAATGATAGGTATAAAATGGTATAAACAAGTGCTTAGATATCATTCAGTGGTCGTTCTCAGCACTACGGATTGGATAGAAAAATGACTCCTTGTTATGTGATCGATCATGATCCCGGCCATGCGGCCATTCTTTGATATCTCAAATCAGGACTCAGAGAGTGCCTGGTTGCCCCCAGGAAAACAATCGCTAGTCATGATCTTACCAATTCTGGTTTGCAAAAAATTGGCCCAGAATTGCAATGTTTATACAGGGGAATTGACATTGAAAAGCCATTGAGGTTGCGACCCTGCGGAGTCTTCGGTCCTTGGTCCTGGACGGCAATCCCTGCGTTGCGGCGCTGTCAGCGGCACAACTGAGGCGGCCAAAAAATGCGATGGTGATCTCGTGGGGATTGTTGAACGGAGATCTCCAGGGATTATGGTGATACCTCAAATGAGAACTACATACTACCATCTGGTTATTTAGCCATGGAAAATCACCATTTTTGATAGGTAAACCATCTATAAAATTGTCATTTCCCATGGCTATGTTAAATAACCAGAGGGTACATCATATTACATATGAGTAACCGAGAAATTTCTATATTAATTTCGTCTTGCTTCGCCGGCTGGCCTTTCTGAGGTTGCACAAAAGCTTCATAACCGATAGGTCCGATAGGGGACGACGATCCCCCATTTGTGATACCTGGAGAAGTGAAATCCTCACAACCACATGGGGAACCCATCCCCCCTATCATCGTGGTGCCCCTGTAGTTATGTGTTTGGGCCAGGCAACTGGCAAGACCTGGTCGCGTAGCTGGTCAAAGTCCGGCGCAAGTGATTGCTGGTTGCTTGGCAGTGGAATCCACTGGAGTCCAATGATCCTGTCGCCTTAGTTGGCATATTCTTGGGCAATTACCCTCTGGTAAACAGCCACATAACTATGGACAATCACCATTTTTAATGGGAAAATCCACTATAAATAGCCATTTTCAATAGCTACGTTAAATTACCAGAGGGTAGTTGGGCAACTCAACCAGTCCTGAGTCTCAGATTTCTGGGGCAAGTCATGGCAAGTCACCCAACTTTTTGGTGAGTTTCTGGAGCCACACGGGCGTGATTGAAAATAGGTTACGGTACAACACTGGTTCATCATCAATGTCCTTTTTCCAATAGACATTTGGGCCACATCCATTTTCAGACACAGCCTGATATCCTATTGTTGCTTATCTCTCCTATTATATCCCCATCACATGTTTTAATTATTTATCCCATGATATGTCCCATCATTGTCCCCATTTAAATCTTCATTTTTTTCAGTGTAATCCCATTTTGATTGCTTAAAATCCGATGATATCCCTATCATGCCCTCATTTTTCCCAGCCTAATCCCAACCATGTTGCAGGTTACTTGAACCCCGCAGCTGCACCAGCGCCACCTCGTGCTGACGCGGTGAAACCTTGCCGGGTCAGCCACTTTGATGACGACGATGATGTGGCACCTGTGGCACCACCACCACCTCCACCGCCGGCGGAGGACAGCCATGCGGCATGGGGCATGAGAGATTTGAGCTAATTTTTGAAAGTCGGAGTAGTGCTTGGAGGTATGAAGCCTGTATCCATATTTCTTTCAATAGAGGTTGACTGCTGCATTTTGTAGGGTGAGGTCACTCTGTAGAAAGCCTGTGTAGACTGGTACAAGGTGACTGATGGACAATAACCAGCAAAAGCAACAGATTTACTCATAATCAAATGGCCAGACACAGCAAATATGGCTACTTTCATCTACTCTTTGTCTTTTAATTTGACAGTACTTTAGTATTAATTATTGTACGTATATATTCACGTCGCTTCGCGACGGCAACCGCCCGCACCGCATCGTTGGGCAGCCGCTCGTAACTGCCAATGATGTCGGCCATTGAGACCAAAAACATCCGAAAGTACTGATTGTCGGAAAAAAAACGCGAAGAATTTGATAGCCATGTATAGCGGACCAACGCAGTTCAAAAAATAACGAAAAACATGAAAAAACGGCGAAATTGCTGTTATTTACAGTGTTTTTGCGCGGTGAGAAACAGAAACCACTGCAAATACCATGGTTTTTGAAGGTCAGGTGGCCAAAAACACTGTAATTTACAGTGTTTTTTTAACCAACGTCAAAAATCACTGGTATTTACGATGTTTTAATTCACACCGTAACATAAAACAGCGTAATTTACGAGGTCTTTGGAAGTTTTGAAGCTAGCCGTCAAGCATGCAGAAAACAGAAAAACACTGTAAAAACCAGTGTTTCTGCTATCACAAAACGACGAAAATCAGTCCGAAAACGGGTCCAAAAAGTCAAAAATCCGCCTCCGGGCCCGGCCACCTGCGGAACCGCAAAAAAAAGATGTTGCAAACCAAAAAATTGAGGTCAAAAAGTTGAAAAACACGGGTTTTTTTCACTTTTCGCTTGCCGATTTTGGACGGGCGCGTTCACGAACAGGTGTCTTCCGTACTGTTTTTTACAGTGTTTTTTGAAGGCGAGCGTCACGACCTATCAAAAACAGGAGGTTTTGGCCGAAAAATGGGACCCCCCCCCAGGTAAACCTGTAACCTTTTACGAGTGCCATCCGGAAGATCACGCCCCAGCACCTTCGGTGCGGGCGGATTTCATTGATCAAAACAGGCTGGAATGGCAGTGTTCTGTTACCTAGAGGGAGAGAATTCATATAACATCCAACCAGCTGTGGGTCTAATGCAGTTTTTGGTGTGAAAGCAGTGATCTGATTTTCCTAGGTAGATGATTTCGAGCCATACCCAGATGGTCTGATGGTTATGGGGGAAAATGGTGAAACGACTTGTCTGATTTCAATTTCAAGGACTATCGAAAATTTGTTGGTATAAGATGGGTATGTTGATGTTTGATAGACACCCAGATATTTGCAGGGTGACTTCCTTCTGCGGCAGCAATATATATCATTCATCAAATCAAGGAAAGCCAGACATCAAAATCATCAATGCACTATCCCATCGTGGCTGGAGGAGTAAGAACCAAGTTCAGAAACTGCCAACAATTCATGTTCAACATTATATACTGATTGTCAACAATGTATACAATGTGGCAACATCAGTTTAAGATTGTAGATCGTTATCATTTATTCAAGAGTTTGGCCACTGACCACTGCTAAGAATATCCAGTCAGCCAATTGAACCTTGGACAACATTCAGTTGCACCTGCAGGACCGCAGCCCGCCTGCTGAGGTGCAGGGGGATAAAAAGAGCACATGTGAAGTCAATGAATTGCTGATCAATTACCCTCTGGTTATTTAACATAGCCATGGAAAATCCCTCATAAATGGAGGTTTATAGCTGGGAACATCATCTATAAATGGGCCATTTTCCATGGCTATGTTAAATAACCAGATGGTAACATTCACAGAGTTTTTTTGCATATGCTTTCAGATCTATGTACACCAATGATCATTGATGTACACCGAAAGCACAAGGGATGATACTCGGAATTTCATTGCATGGGAAATTTTATCTTCAACTTCGCATTTTCAAAAGTATATCCTGCAGTATAATTAACCCAACGCATTTTGCATAGCTGAATCCTGAAGCAACTCATGCAACTCACACAACTGGATCCTTGGCAGCAACCCGACAGCAACCAGGGACTACGCTTTGCGCAGACTGCCAGTCCAAGCCTGGAGACCGGTGCAGGCCAGCCTTTGGTTTTTCTTAACGCCATAGAAGCCATGGCCCATTCAGTTCGAAACCATGGAGTTTCCATAGCTATGTTGGTTCACTGGAGGGTACATGGGGATATAAATCTATGATAGTGGGATTTAATGGACCACAAATCGGGAACCATTCAATAGATTCTGCAGAGATTCCGCGCCCGATAGTTTCATGACTATCCATTGAATATGGATGAATATGGAGGATATGGACCTGAACCCACTAATCACTGAATCAGTAATTTCTTAACAACTGAATCGGTATCCACGTTCAAACATAAAGCCAGATTCAATTGAGGTGGTCATCCCAAACCTGGGACTAGTTTGGTACAATTTGCTGCATTGCCATGCGCTGCCACTACAAATCAACAAACCTAAATGTTCAGGGTATAACATGCTATGCCTCATTGGCAGACACACCGGCCATGACATATTTGGTTACTTTAAGATACTTTAAGTACCAGTAATGTTAAATGTTCAGGTGTCAAAATCATCCAACTTGACAGGCTTCAGACCAGCGATTTTAGGGTTCACCAGGGTACCAGGGTATTGACCTGCAGCCATATCATATATTGTCTGATATACATTCTCCCACTATATATATATATATACACACACACCAATAAATCACCACAAAATGGTTGGTTAAATCCCATATATATTTATTTGTCAAATCCCAATTTGGGAACGATTCCCCTTTCTTCATCAAACAATTTTTTCGATGGCTTTCCCTCCCAACCATGTTTGACTACCGGAGGGCAAATGGATCCGAATCCTTATTCTGAAGATTTCTTAAGTCCAATCAAATCCCAGAAAATCCCATCAGAATCCAGTAAAACCCATCTAATTCCACTAAATCTTACTATAAATCTCATGAAATTTCACTTAAATCCCAGTAAATCCCATTAAATCCCATTAAAATCCCATGAAATCCCATTAGAATCCCAGTAAATCCCATTAGAATCCCAGTAGATCCGCTTGAAAATCTCTGGACCCCTACAGGCGCTTCGAAACCGTCGTGGCTCTCGGACCGCGGCAGTCTGGCCGCCACCTTGCCCTCGCGCCGCGGGATGGGAGCCTTAAACCAGGAGGACGAGGCCGGCGCTGGAAATGGGGGGAGGATTTTTTTTTTGGGTCGATGATTGTGAACATATAATAGATCATAACCCATAGGATCCATGTATGCTATATATGGTAACATTTACCATCAATATACCCCCAATGTTAGCATATATACCATACATGGATCCTATGGGTAATAGAACATGATTGTAATAGAACATATACCCTCTGGTAAATTAACATAGACCCTGAAAATGACCAATTTATAGTGGTTTCACTAGTCTTCCAACCCCTATCTGGCAGGGTCGTCATGTTAATTTACCAAAGGGTAATAGATCATAATAGAACATGATTATATATGATGAATGTTTTGGGGTAATCTATGATTGTAATGAATATATATATATTATATATTATATATTATATATATACTATGATGATAGTATTGTTGATAATCTATTATTATTAGGGATTATGATCATCTATGATTATGATGATAAATAATCGTATAGATAATCATTAGATAATAGATAACAATAGATGATACTATAACATGATTATGATTGTCATTGGGGATTATGATAATAGATAATATTAGATGATAGTATTACTAAGATTTCTATTATCATTGAGGATTATGATTGTCTATGGTTGTTTTTGATGATTATAATAAAGCATATAATAGATAATAGCAGAACATGATTATAATGATTGTTTTGGGGTTGATGATTATCATTGGGGACTATGATAATAAATAATAGTATAGATAATCATTAGATAGTAGATAACAATATATATATATAGATGATAATAGAACACAATTATAGTAGTCATTAGACAATCATTGGGAATTATGATAATCCACGATTTTTTTCCTGGTTGATGACTATCATTGGGGATGATAATAATATATAATTTTGAATGATAACAATAGATAATAATAGATCTTTATGATAGATAATCCCAGTTATGAGAATAGAACGTATAATAGATCGTAATAGAACATGATTGTAACTATTTTTTTGGGCGTTGATGGTAGTATTATTGAGATTTCTATTATCATTAGGGATTATGACCATCTATGATTATTTTTGGTGATTATAATATATGTTTATGATATTTTTTTTGTGAATTGATAATTCGAGAATGTGCGGGCGGCAGCAAGGGGACAACCCTTTCAGGCATGGAATGAAAATAAAACATATGATAATAAATAACAATCACCGGGAATTATGATAATTATTGGATAATGGATAATAGACGTCGTTTGGGCTGATGATTCTAACAGATAATAATAGATCTTTGTTGTAGTTAATAGATATCCCAATTGATGTTCTATTAGGTCATAATAGAACATGATTATAATATACTAAAATGTTTTTTTTTGGGTTGATGATCGTATTATTGATAATTAATATTTTATCATTGGAGTATGATTATCTATTGTTATTTTGTCCCAATTGATGATTATCATTGGGGATTATGATAATAGATAATATTGGACGATTGTGATAATCCCATTTTTTAATGGAACATCAGATCTTAATATTGGCAATATCATGGCAATGATCATATTTGTTTAAGGCCAATCATATTTTTTGGAAATTGTTTTATAATAGATGATTGGTTGTTGTCAACCAAACCGATCAAAACCCCCAAAGCAATTGATGGTGATAATCCAACAGCATTAGCTGCTAGCATAAGCTAGCATAACCCTTTTTATTGGGTGGGATCATCCTATATGTATATTATATATATATATATATTTGTGGGTTGCATCATCATTCATAACCCCATTCTTCAAAACCCCTGTTGGTTGATGATTAGTTTCGGTGGTTATACTACCCTTTACACAATTAATTATTATGATAAAACCTCATAAAACAAACATGTTGTGATGGTTTTCACCATCAAAGAATTGGAATTGACAAATGATGGTTGATTGATGATTAGGGGGTTGTACTATCCATTATAGAAATATTGGGGATTATCATAATCGATGAACTGGGAATCCCTATTAACCAAGCAGTATAAAGGGACGAACTTTTGAGACATAGGTGGATTTTTCAAACATTTGGATTTTGAAAAGGATAAAGGAAAAATTCAGATTTAATTGAACCAGTGAACCTGGGCCTATGAAAGGGACATTTGACCAATAACATTGGGAGTTTAAAGTTGCACATGGGAATTTCTGCATTAAACATGATCAAATGTGGGGATTTTGCCACCAAAAATTGTATATAGCTCAACCAGGAAGAATGATCTTACAAACATGGTTTTTACGTTTTACCATCAAAACTGGGTAGATGGTGTATTAATATGTATCAATATCTAAGCATCTTTGGGATGTTGGGATCGGGCCGATGAACAGATCACCCATGTCAACCAACTATTTTGGTTTTGTTTGCGACAAGGGTGATATGATGCCCATGATATTGGGATAGAAGTTGCAACAACATGAAGAACATGGATGTTGGGGAATGGACACATCGGACGACAATGATTTTTTAATGCGTTCGGAAGACCGTGTTGATGGGGATGAAATTGCGTACAAAACTAGGGAATGGAGAGGGAAGCCAAAAAACAACCCATACTGTAACACTGTATGCATATTTTTCAAACCACCAGAATTTGGCCATGGGGATATAGAATACAAAGACTGGTACAAAACAAAACACATGAGGCTTTTCCGCATTCAGAATCTGGCTATCTTCAGCACAGCAACTGATGTGTAGGGTCGAATTTGGGGATCCGACCAGCCTGGCTGGTATTTTGTTGGTTCCCCGTATGAATATGATGATACTTGATACATACATGATGAAGCATACGTAATTATCTATAGAGTTATGCTAGTTATACTAGTTACTGATTTACTGTATACTATATTTACATACGGTGGTATAAGAAAATAATATACATAATTAAAAATACATACATGTCGTGCATGTACACACAATCTAATTCAGCATCGGACACAGCAACTCCCCAGGCTTCCGATCTGAAGAATCAGTTGAAGGAGGAGCAGCGTCGAAGCAAGCGCCTGGAGCAACAAGTGTGACTCGCCTCGGTGCGTAACGTAACAATCGTTGAGGCTGTTCTTTTTTAATGGTGGCACACCCGATATTTAAGGATCATAAGAATTGTTTCTGGTAAGTTGTCCCTGAAATTGATCCATTGAAGGCTCTATTAAGGCTTGGAAACGAACTTGTAAAAATGGGACATTCACGGAAATTCAATCGATGTTATTCGATGTTGATGTATGTATATATACACATCATGTTCAAACAACACTTGGTGTATTACAGGCATTTGCACACATATAGTTCGACTACTTCAAATTCATGTGTTAAAAGGGGAACCTCGTTTTGGGGCCCAGTTTTTCCGCGTCAAACAAAGTCTTTGGTGAATGGAACAAAGCACATTGCAACACACCCAAAAAATGGTCTGAATAATATGCACCCAAAACTTCCATAATTTCCATGACTTATGGCCATTCTTGGGTCTCCAGGTCCCATTAGGGCGGAGCCCGCCAGGGAACGTTTGGGGGAGAGACTTCGAGAACAAAGTATGACCGGCTCCTCAAAGGGATCGTTGCCGCATTTCGCACCTTGCTGGCCTTGCGTGGGATTGGCTGATTCACAAGTTGATTAGGCTGATATGGAGGTTTCCATCAATGGGGGGTTACCCCAATAGCTGGTTTATTTCATGGAAATCCATCTATAAATGGATGATTTGGGGTACCCCTATTTTCGGATGGTTATGTCCAACCACCTCCATTTTGAGAATATCACGTCGTCACAGAAAGCTCTGAACGATGACAGTTGACGATGTAAGGATGATCAGATAGAAGAGACTTTCATCGGCACATCACGGCACATCTAGTCTGTCGTTACCTGTATAGACCTCTTTCTACTGAGCAAGCTTGGCCTTGAGTCGATTCTGGTTGTCCCTGTCCCTCAGGAGATGGTTGAGGTCCAACTGGGAGAGATCCTGAACCAGGGTGGCTTCAGTGTGGTCCACAAAGGAAGTTGGCACGGGACCAAGGCCAGCCTCGTGGGGTTTTTCCCTACTGAAATGGACCTTGTTTTGGGCTGATTCTGGGGTACCAAGCGGCCAAGTGGTACTAGCACCTCCCGGAAAAGAGCCATATTATGACATATTACAACACCTTGAAATTTATCAATAAATCAACATGATCAGCATAACAGGGATAACTATAGTAACTATGACATACATTTACATACTGTTTCACTAGAAAATCGCAGGAGATCCCCAGTGCTAGGTGGCCGTGAAGAAGCTCTTTGATCCCAACATCAGCCACGAGTTGCTGGCAGAATTCGATAACGAGGTGCAGAAGTTGGAGATGCTCAGGCTGGGAGCATTGGGAGCAATCAGACACCTACAGAATCCGGACACATAGATATGGGATGATACTGTATGGTTTTTTCCATAAATCTGGGTAAATTATAAGGACCTCACTGTGACCTCACTGGAATCATGGTTAGTAAGGGGAATCATCTCCAAATGGCCTTAATTCAAGTTAGTGACATATTATAATTCACCCAGATAAATGGGGGTACAATGTACAATAGCTAGATGGTTGATTTAATGGAAAAGATCATTAAAACGGGTGATTTGGATGTACCACTATGATAGGAAATTTCCATAGATAACAGCCTCCAAGGAGATCAAGAAGCCGCTTGTCACTGAATGAGGATTTCACAAAATTCTATTTTTTTTTGGATGCTAGATGTAACTGGTGGTATATCATAGTGTACTATATATATATTTATAATGTGTACTATAGGTATACGGTATGCTCCGAACAGGCGGAGATAGTTGCAGAAATGATGAAACGTGCCACAAATGCTGATGACTATGTGTTAGACTTGGCATATCATTGGCTTCCTGCGCAGTACATTGATGTTGCGAACCTAAACACCAAATAAACAATTAATGAAACCTGAACATTCTTGGGCTTAAAGGACTACTTTACGAGTGGATGTGGTCCTTTGTTCGTTTCCGCGCTTGTGTCCTTGAACACTGGGGACCCAACAATGCACCCAACTAGCAGACACAAGTGTGGTATTCTTCTGGTTCTCTCAAACAGACACGTGTGGGTTTGTCCCAAAATAGGGTACCCCCAAAATCCAACGGGTTATCATTCCCCATCAAACAACACCAGCGTTCTAAATTCCCTTTTGCTTGTTTAGTACTTAGTATCGGGCTGGCATAATTTCCATCAAGTCATAAGACTTTCCTTGGGTTTCGTAAGCAGTGCGAAAGGTTTGACGCAAGCATTGGTCACAAACATGTTGCCGTAAGCCATTCGGAAGTCCATGTCGGGCCATGAGAGCTGGGGCTCAAATAAGGTTGTGTGCTTTGTTAGGTGCATGCTTTTGAATGTTGTTGATGATGATGATGATGATGAGGATGACGATGACGATGATGACGACGACGACGACGACGAGGAGGAGGAGGAGGATGATGATGATGATGATGCCATTGCATGTAGAGAAAGCAAGGGCTGTGCACATCCTTTCACACTCCCCCCAACCTGCTGGCTTCACCTTGGCAGCAGGTTGCACTAGAGATGATTTTTCTCTGCCAAGGTCGCTTGTTTCTTTGTTGCTTGCCCGGCTGCAGCAACTTGCAGGTTCTTGTATGAGAAATCTCCTTTTCATCCCCGGCTGCAAAGCCCGGCGTCCCCAGTCCCTGGCTACGCAAACCTTCCCCTTAGTTCAGCCCTTCACCTGGCGTTAGCCAAGGCTTCTGGCCCTACCAAGGTTTATATATCAGAATCATTACATATCCCCAATGCTGGTTTGCCGTAAGAGATGCGTAAGCTAGTTCTTTGATGTTCTTTGAAGTTGTTGTGTCGTAAGCAAAACCTTGAAAACGTAAGCAAACGTAAGCTCCTACGTAAGCTTTGAATTCTCGGTCAAGAGACCAAAAGGAATTTTGAACACAGGCGTTGGCGTCTCCGCCCCAGGCACCCCAATATCCTGCAGCCATTGGCCTTGCATCGGAAACCACCTGCACTGTTGCGTGGCGATCGAAGCTGTTCATGGTCCATTGGGTGGATCGAAAGATTGGGGGAAACATGTGATGGACAGTTCATTTACCAAAGGTACCAAAGGCGACAGCAGTTCGGGAGACTGAAGAGTCTCGCAGATCAATGCTTCTCTCAGGGTTTGTGACACGCAGTTTCTGTTTCTTAGGGACAATTGGATAACTGCAGTGAAAACCTTCTTCTCTGGAGCTTCAACAGACTTGATCTGCGAAGGCAATGATTGTCTCCTACCCAGAAGCAACGTTGTGGAAGTTGTTTGAAGCAGGACTACAGGCCCAAGATATCCCAAGATTGTTTTCTCCTTCACAATCTTCACACCCTTGCAGTCTCCAGCCCCAGGTGTTTGATTATGGAACTGCTGGAGGGAGGCTCATACTATCAGCTGCTGCATGCCCCGCACCAGTTCTGTTCGGCCATTGGGCCCGTCTCTTTGGGATTTCCAGAGATGCTTGGCGCGTGCCACGGGACCCACAACTGAACACTGTTCAGATCCAATTAATGGTGGTTAATGAATGATTCTGATAGGTCTAGTGATCAAATTCTGGAGCTTCCAAAATGTCGGATGGCTTGCTCAAGAAACATCTCCAACATCTCTTGTGTTCGAGTTCATCAGAATCCCACATGGGGATGGGTCAAAACCTTGTACCCTGGTGAACATCAAAATAGCTGGTAAATGGATGTTCATCCCACTAAAAATGGTATCAATAGGTATTGATCCATAGCCACATGTGAATACATGTGACCCATCCTCACTAAGAAAAGGCGCCAACCCTGCACCAAGGAACATGAACATCTTGGACCCCGCAGCAACTGCCTTGGCCTTTCTTCATGCCAGAGGCATTGCTCATCGGGACATCAAGTCGCACAACGTGCTGCTGTCACCGCATATGGAGGTGTGGAGAAACATGGAGAAACTGTGGTTGGTATGTCCAGTCTGTGAGTCCCATAGCCCAGGATTTCAATAATCTCTCTGATGATATAACATAGCTTTGGTTAGATGATGTTAGATGGCCCATTTATAGCTGATTTATGAGGATGTACCTACTAGAAAATTAGAAATGGTGATTCTTTCCATGGCTACGTTAATTTACCAGAGAGTATACACATTATAATTAGTTACATGAATATGCAGATACAGAATGTGGATTTCACAAACATGGGTACTAACCCTCGATCTTGGTCAACTTCCCTGTTTTTGGTTGGTTTACTACCCTTCGTTTGATGATACTTTTTTGTTGGTGCTTTGAATCTCAATTGTTGATTCAATTTCCAAATGGCTTTGTCTGCCAATGGCCTACCCTCGATTCCGATATGAGTTATCATGATTTTCTCCAAATACTTATCTATAGACTATAGCAACTTTTCCCTATTTTCAGACGTTTTTTGACACCCCAAAGAAAACTGACTTGTTGCATCCCAGCTTCGAAAATGCCGTGGCAGGTGAAGATTTGCGACTTCGGATTGTCACGCTTGAAGTCGGAATTGATGACAGGGACCATGCAGCTACTCGGGCAGTTCCCGAAGGTTGTGACCGTGTCTCAAACATGGGAGTGTTGACCTAAGCCGTGATGGTGAACCATGGGATATTGAATAATATTGACATGCCATATTGATGGATTCATAAACCCATTTTATGGGTTTAGACACCCAATTACCCAATTTGTTTATTTTTTTGGGAGAGACATCCTTTCTATTGATTCTATTGGGGGTCATCAACTCTTTTCGGGGTCAACAGCTTTCGCAACAAATTCTAGATGCTATTGGAGCTTCATGGAAGCGACCGGCCGCCACTGGTAACCGATTTGCCGTTCATGAGTTCCTAACCGATTTGCCGTTCATGAGTTCCTTCCGAAAGTTGTGCGAAAGTTGTGGATGTGATATATGATATGTGAATGAACAAGGTCTGAATTTTGGATTTTGGAAGGACAATTTGATCCAAGTCATTTGCACTGTGCACGTTGGCAACGTGGTGTTTGTTCCAAGACCCGGCATCAAAACTTGAGACGTTCAGCAGTGCCCCAAAAATAGCTGTTTGTTTAAGCGGTTTCGGACGGTTCTACGGTTTTTTTTCAGGGGATTGGTGCATTCCATTGCATTCTATGGATGAATATGGATGAATATGGATGATATTTGTTTGTTTCTGATCAACCGATCAACCGTAGCCAATGATTGACTGGTGCCATACGGTATGGTGCTTTGGAATCGGATCCCCATATAGATCCCCCATAGATCCAGCGTCAGGTTTGCCGGGACCCCCAGCTACATGGCTCCTGAAGTCTTCCGCAATGCCAAGTACACTGTGACCTGGCGTGGAAATGGGAAAACCATGGATAACCCCCAGAAAATCCTATGGTTTTGATCCTCCCCATGAGACACCCCGGATCAACATGGATCAACCCGGTGTGTCAAAAAACCCTATCATTCTTTGGAGACCTTGGAACGCCTTCCCTTTCCATGGGTTTTCGGTTTCTGAAGATGTTCAGGTTCTGATTTTTGGGAGAACCTTGTTTTGAATGTTTTGGAACCTAATTCGACCATATTTGACACATTTACCCTCTGGTAAACTAACATAACTATGGAAAATCACCATTTTTAATGGGAAAATTCACTATAATTAGGGTATTTTCAATAGCTATGTTAAATTACCAGAGGGTAGCCATATTTAACCCCTGAATCGACCAGGGGCTGTATACTGTATATACTGTAGTGGGAGACGTGCATAACTCTAACCCGGACTGTAACTTGTGCCCCCTGGATTCTCATTCTTTAGGCATCATAATCATCATAGATAGCATCCAGGGGGTCGAGTTAGACACTGAATTCAACGGGGGATGGTTTATCCTCTTTTTTCCTCCTAAATATCATTAGTTTGGGAGTATACCCATTTTCAGACACACCCAAAACATCCCAAAACATACAACCATTGCTATATTCCCACTATCTCCCCAATCGGAATAGCTGCCTATAACATCGTCGGTTTCATTCATTTTTTCTTGTTAAACATATCATTTTCCCCCTAATTAAGTCCCTATTTTTCATAATTTTCCCTGGTTAAGTCACTAATTATTTTTCATAGTACATCACTTAGTACATCTCAATTTTCCCTAGTTAAGTCATGTCAAGTCACTATTTTTCATGGAATTTATCCCAATTTTCATCAATTACATCCCAGTTTCCCCCAGTGAAATCCCGATTCTCCCCACTTACCCTCTGGTAATTTAACATAGCTATTGAAAATACCACATTTATAGTTGACTTACCTATTCAAAATGGTGATTTTCTATAGCTTTTTGTATGTTTACCAGAGGGTAAATACCTTTTTTTGGCGGTGAATTTCCCCAGTGAACCCATAACGTCGCATCTTTGCCTCCCCAGGAGAGTGTGGATGTCTTCGCCTTTGGCACCTTGATGTGGGAAGCCATGGCCAATGACATCCCCTTTGTCGCATGGCGGATCACCGGTAAAATTGGAGTCATGGGGGTACCCCACTGGATGGTTTATAAGATTCATAAATAATGGAACATGCCAACTACAAAATTATAAATGGATGATTTCGGGGGAGCCACATTTTAGGACACCTCCAGCTTTAGCTAGGTCGATAAGATAAAACGATAGATAGACATGATTCTAAAAAGGGTATAGAGATAAGAGAGAGAGAGAGATAGAGATAGATAGAGATAAATAGAGAGAGATAGAGATAGATAGAGATAAATAGAGATATAGATAGAGATATATAGAGAGATAGAGAGGTAGAGATACAGATAGATAGACAGATAGATAGATAGATAGATTAGATAAGATAAGATTAGATTAGACTAGATTAGATTAGATTAGATTAAGTTTAATTAGATTAGATCAGATTAGATTAGATAGATAGATAGATAGATAGATAACTAAATAAATAGAAAGAAAGAAAGGTAGATAGATAGATCGATAGATCCATAGATCGATAGAGATATAGAAAGAGAGATAGATAGAGAGATAGATAGAGAGACAGACAGACAGACAGACAGACAGACAGACAGATAGATAGATAGATAGATAGATAGATAGATACATAGATAGACAGATGGACAGATTGACAGACAGACAAATAGATAGATAGATAGATAGATAGATAGATAGATAGATAGATAGATAGATAGATAGAGATACAGCTAAATAAGAAAGATAGATAGATAGATAGATAGATAGATAGATAGATAGGTAGATAGGTAGATAGGTAGATAGGTAGATAGATAGACAGATAGATAGATAGATAGATAATTAGATAGATAATTAGATAGATAGGCAGATATAGAGAGATAGAGAAAGATAGATGGGTGGAGATAGGTAGAGATAGACAGAGATAGATAGAGACAGATAGATAGAGATAGAGATAGATAGAGATAGAAAGAGATAGATGGAGATAGATAGATAGATAGATAGATAGATAAATAGATAGATAGATAGATAGAGATAAATAGATAGATAGATAGATAGATAGATAGAGATAAATAGATAGATAGATAGATAGATAGCTAAGATAGATAGATAGATAGATAGATAGATAGATAGATCGATAGACAGATGGACAGATAGACAGATAGACAGACAAATATATAGATAGATAGAGATACAGCTAAATAGAAAGATAGATAGATAGATAGATCGATAGATCGATAGAGATATAGAAAGAGAGATAGATAGAGAGAGAGAGAGAGAGAGAGAGATAGATAGATAGATAGATAGATAGATAGATAGAGAGAGAGAGAGAGAGATAGATAGATAGATAGATAGAGAGAGATAGATAGATAGATAGATAGATAGATAGATAGATAGATAGATAGATAGATAGATAGATAGATAGATAGATAGATAGATAGTTTGATAGGTAGATAGATAGGTAGATAGATAGATAGATTAGACAGTTCCTAGGAGGTAGAAAAGTGATGTAGTTGTTACAAATGCAGTAACTCCCCATGGTGATAGGATACGATGTAAGCGTTTATGATGTCAACCAGAGGCAGTCCCATGTTTGACTGATTTGCTCCTGATGTCCGGCTAGACCCGAGAAGCACACCTTTTCACTTGGGTGGCTGAGGATACTCTCTGCAGATAGCATAGGAACTATTAGTGGCACTTTGGAGCAATAGGAGCCAATTTCAACATATTTCACCAGTGGACAGTACGAATGGACAGCAGTCAGACACAGTGGATTCTTGCGCTAAAGATTTTTCCCCGCAGAAAGTGGCGATGCTTCCATGTATGATTAAAGATACAGTAACTTATACGGTACCTTGTTGTCAAAGGGAACTGAATTTGAGTGCCATATGAAATGAACTTACAATTGGCTACTAGTTTCCAATCAATCGACACCAAAGGGGAACATGTTTACTCGCTTGGTACACCATCCAGTTTTATACCTTTGAGATATGTTTCAGTCTCTTCTTCAGAAGAGATATGACGGAGATAGAGGACGAGAACATACCGAAACTGGCCTATGGCGTACGCTCAAGAAAGTTGGTTCTCTGGTTTCCCATCCAAATTATTGCAAGATATTGCACGCGTCACCTTTGGGTTTGGTTGAATCCCATTTCAATTGATTAAATCCTGTTATATCCCCATTTTCCCCAATTAAATCCATATATACCATATGTTTCGTTAATCACCATCTTTCCTAGTTCAGTCCCTACTTTTCATAGCAACTTTCAATTTTCCGCAGTTATATAATCCCATTGTCCTTAAAATGTTAAGAAGTGACCTATTGTCATCGTGCTCTTTCCGCGCAGGCAAACCTGGATCCCGCTGACATCCGCGAGCGAGTGGTTGAAGGCGGTGCATGGAACCTGTTGGAATCCATGTGCATTACATGTGTACAGTGTACATATACACATTATACTATATATTACTATGTATCTGTGTATATATATATATACATGATGAATGACTATGTATGTTTATATATAACTATAATATGTAATTATATATGCATACATGGTATATACATTAATAGTATCAATCGACTTCTATTCGTCTATACTTGTGACCCTGTCATTGTCTCTGAACATTGCATGACACGTTCTTATCGCCACATAGGTGCAGGGGCACGTTGCGATGTTGTTGGAATCAGATTGATTAGCGAGCCTTTGAACAGAGCACCCAAAAATCCTTTCAACGTAATTTTTGATCACCCTATGTATACATATATCTGTATAGATAAGTAAGTATACACATATGTATGCTACCACCCCCCCCGAAACCTACCGGTTTCGATTGTTGATTGTGTTTTACAGTGATGTTTGCTTGTTTTGCCTTCAAAAGCAGCCAGCATTTTTTCCTTCATTTGAAGACTTTGGATGCTTGAGTGTGATGAGTCATGATGCTTCATGTGTAGATACAATGACATATTTTGATGGTATTTGCAGCGTTTTCGACTACCATATTGTGCTCCCAATAAAGGGTTTCAATTCAAACATTGACAGAATGGGCACGGCGCTGTGGCCAAATGTCAATTTTGAGCTTTACATTAGTTTTTACAATGTTTTTGTTCCTTCTTTTGGCACATGAATTTTGGATTTTGGACACCTTCAGATCTTGCAGACCTATTATTTGATGATCAATATGGATCAACCTGGTAGATATTTTTTGGCCTTTTCTTCCTCACTATGTAGCTTCTGTCTCTTGTTGTACTACTGCAGTGGCTCAATACTTTGGATGATGTGTGGGTCTTAGGAGGTCCTAGGACCTCTTAGTTCATACCCCTTCCAAACTATGTCTTAAGTATCATTTACGTACCTCCAAGTACCTCCACCTCTCTGCAAAGTTTCCCTTAAGTAATGATTCAACGCACATGAAAAGGATCATTCAACTTTGGGTCTTTTCCCCAAACCTGAAGCAGGCAGTGAAAACACTGTAAATGACTACAAGAGACGATGAAACATGCATCCTTCTCTTGAAGAACCAATTCTAATTAACAAGAGCAGGCTTTACAAACAGACACTTTCATTCAAAGGTTGTAGCATTCTGTAAGCAAAAATAGTATTCCTTTTCAATAGGTTGCATTCCTTTGCAGAAAGCCACTTCTCTTGAAAATATATATCTCTTCATTTCGATTAGGTAGTTTTTTTCCAACATGTAAATATGCATTCCTTAATTCACAGACCCATTTCATAACGTACTAGGTACAATACTTCTGGAAGGAAGAAACACGTTGCACAAAAAGTCCCTGCAACATACAAGGCATTTTTCAATCAAATGCAGTATCTCTTCAAATCAAATAAGACTATCTTCAGAAATGTAGCCATTACTTTGAAGAACATACATGTTTTTCTCTAAGTGACACTATATGTGTTGAAAAAGAAGTTGGATGTTTAAAAGAAAATGCTGCACATGTGGCACAAGTACAAGCTACATTGTGCTTTCTAGAGTCAGCATGCACTATTTTTTTGACAGTAATTGTAGTAATTGTGTATACTTGAAATGAACATATGTGGGCCGTCTTTGCTTAAACAAAAAACTCACAAATGCTACCTCTGTGAGATTGACAGTGACCCTTCTGAAGAAAAGTGGTTTGAAAGGGCACAGCATTACTTCAATAAGAAAGCTCTCTTAGTCTATGCAGTATTCACTGGAAACAATACTATATGTCGAAAACACTTGTAGTGTAGCATTACTTGTTTGCAACTTTCCATTGACAAGAATGATACATTCCTTAAACATGGCGGGGCATTCCTGCAAGAAAATGCAACATTGCTTTGGCACAGTGTGTTCATTGATTTTTCAGGCTCGAGGAAAAGACCCAAAGTTGAAACTTTTTCATGGTAGCTACATCAATCCCATCTACTTAAGGGAAACCCAAGATGGATGCATTTCCACAGGAATGCGTTCAGAATGCATTCTTCCCCCAATCTAAGATCTAAGATCTAAGATCTGCTCAGGAGTCTTTGGGGAATCTTAGATTTAGCAGAGAATGCATTCTGAATGCATTCTTCCCAGAAATGCATTCTTCCCAGAATGCTATCATTGAAGTTAAGTTGAATCAGTCTAAATAGCATGCTTACTACACTACTATGTATATATATATACAATATAATACCCACTCTTGAAACTATTGCCAAAATTTCCTCCAAATAGGCGTGTATGTAAGGTAACCCTCCTTTTAACTCAACCATGTGATGAATATGTAAAAACGGTAGGTTTCAGGGGGGTTACCATATATATATATATACAAATATATATATATACACATTATATAGATATTATATACACATACTATAGAGAGGATAGTCCGAGGAGATCTCCACTGGCATCCTCCAGGTCGGATGCTGGAGATCCCCAGCACAGCGCCGAAGGAAATGCAGCAGCTGATCCGCGGCTGCTGGACCTCGGACTACAAGGCGCCGGCCAGGGCGAGTGACGTTTTGATGTGGTGGAAAGGTGTGGAAGGGTGGTCACCACGGGGTTGGTGGAAAGTTGAGTTAATGTTAGTTAATGTTAGTTAATGTTAGTTAATGTTGGTTCATGTGAATGTTAATGTTAGTTTGTTAATGTTATATATACCACTGATTGAAAAAGGATTTATAAATAGAAGATTCCACGGGGGCTTACGAACTATATTTTTTCAAATCACTTACTAAGTGGCATGATTCTCTAAGACTCTAAGTATTTGCCAAAAAGGAAAGACAAATTTGGAACCACGGAGCTACTATAGGAAGTGAGTTTGCCAACCACATCATTGTTGGTTTTTGCTGTTGGATATGTTTTCAGATTGGATGGCAGGGGCGTAATCGGTGATTGTGTTGCGGTGATGATGACAATAGTATGTAAGAATAGTAATGGGGAATGTCATGTCTGAGCCAAAATGAGTTTCCAGAGGGAAAACGTTGATGAACTTATATGTAACAGTCTAGGGTCTAGGGTCCAAACATTGTTTGTAAGCGTCGCTTATCAAGAGCAAACAAGTGGCTGTGCCCTGCATTATTGTTATTTTTTTTTAATTTGTCCAAAATCAGTGACTTGCAGCGTGTTTGGTATGTTGAATACCAACCGCCGGCTAGTTGACTCTAATATGTTCAATTTCTGTTTCTGCTCCCCTTTTTCGACAGCAGGATGCAAATAGCAAGTCATTCTTAGAGTCCTCCGGAAACAACCAACGCACTGCCTGCAACAACGTGGAATGTGGATGCATGATGCAGAGGTAGATCCTGCGAATGAATCTTTCAAATGTGTACATATTTTGTCTCTCAAAATCCTGGTTCGGCAAGGGGTTACCCAATAATTAGTGTTGGTGTTCTCAGCCCATCAAACTGCGGTTCGATTCACCATGAACCCTAGTTGACCTAGGCAAATGACCCATTTGATCAATCAAAAATCAGCTATATCAACCATAAATCCACATTTTCTCTTGGTTCCAGCCCCATTTTTGTTGTGACACATGGGTTTTCGCAGCTTGCGAACCAGCTCCAGGTTCGACCCTTGATGTCTGAAGTCCTGAAACAGCTGCGCTCCTTGAAGGAGGGTGCGCGTCGTCCCAAGACCGCCAGTGGTCGGCCGGGGCGCTGAACAAAAACAAATGGGAAAGGATGGTGAAACATGTTGGCATGTTGGTTGATAGTTAATAACTACTGAGTAAATTATAACGACCTCACTGCGACCTCACTGGAATAATGGTTAGTATTGGAAATCATCCCCAAATGGCCTTAATTCAGGTTAGTGAAATATTATAATTTACCCAGATAACTAGTAGATGGTGAAACACCTAATAGTAGATAGTTAATCAAACATATGTTGGTTGATAGTTGTTAATTACTGGTTGGTGGTTCGGAACATGATTTTTTTGACTTTCCATCTATTGGGAATGTCATCATCCCAACTGACTTTCATATTTTTCAGAGGGGTTGAAACCACCAATTAGTATTGTTTGATAATGATAGTCATGAACAACATAATTATATTGATCAACATAGTATTGATAATAATAGTATATATATTGGTAATGATATAGATTATTAGATTGACATTTTAAAAACTATATCCGATTAAGTTATGTTTCATTATAAATGGATGTAGACATGTCCATGATACTGTATTCCATGAACATCCTTTCTACTATAGATAAACAACAGGATTATAATTGGATAAACAATTTAAATGGCAACTGGTGCAGGATTTCTTCCATCCACAGTAGTACCAGATATGAAGCATATATATATATTATATAGGGAACACTATATAAGTATATATAAATATCACTTTTATTCATGGTTGTTACATGATGAAACTAGACTGCAGTTATAGGATATGAATGATATGAAACAACTAGTGGCTAATAGTGGTCGATAATGGTTGATAATGGGAACATATTGAAATGTAATGAATTATATTGGATCACCCCAGGAATCGTCAGTGGGTTATAACATGTTATAACGGTTATAGCTTAACCTCAGTTCATCCAGTTAAGTAGGGGCAATGTTCAGTTATAACTAACTTGGGTTCAACTATTTATGATTCCTAGGGTGAACCACCAAGTGGGGAATCAAAGATAAACTTTCAGCAGACCCAACTTGTTCAGTAGATGTTTGGTTTGTCCAAATTGGAAAAGAAAAATGTGAAGCTGATGCAATCGGGAAAAAGTCTACTATACCACTCAATGACCCTGATTGGTATCAGGTTCCTTGCCATATACCATAAAAAGGCTGTTCGGTTACCATCTGGTTATGACTAACAGTTCGCCATGAAAGTCACCCATTTTTGATGGGAAAACTATGGAACACTCACTATTTCAATGGCCATTTTCCATGGCAAACTATGAAATAACCAGAGGTTACCACTGATTCCTCGGCACAAACTGATCGATGAATACCATTGGATCAGTGCTGAGACGGACGCTTTCGACTCCACGGGAAGTCCACGGAGTCGCGGTCCCCCCGGTTTTTTCACTCGGAAAAGGCGAGACAATCATGTTGTATGATGTAAGAAAAAGGTCTAGTTTTTATGTAGTTTATCTGATAAATCTTGAAATCTGAAAACTATGCTGAGAGATTGTGAAAGTCAACCCGTTGAACTTCTATCTGTGTAGAACGTAGAAGCGTTGACGTGTATCCAAAGGTCATGTGGCGGAAAGGGGGGCTATGACTCGAATTCGATCAATGACATGCATGCTGCATCATTTTGACAAAAAAAATGAGTCATATTTTCGCGACAGCTGCTGCTGACAGTTGCTGGGCAACGATGCACCGTTGGATTTGACCGGGCGATGGTTTATTGATTCTGCGCTGGCTATGGAGATCATGATTCCCATTGAGGCCAGTTTTACAAACCGTTTCTTCTGGGACAAATATCTATCATGGACTCATCAACATTTTGCAGCGGTAGATTCAATTGATTTGCGAAGGTGCAAAAACGAGGCATCTGAAGCATGACCAAAAAACTTCATGAATCAACAACTGCGTCCCACCGCCCACCGCAACTGGAATGATGCGTTGAGTAGTTATATAAGAACTTGTCTGGCGTGGTAAATGCTTCAAGCGTGGGATGTACCATCTAGATATATCTACATCCATTTATCAAATCACTGTTACCATTTATGGATATAGATATATTACCATCTGGATATATTATCGCAATCTATCATCATCAACAAACCATCTGGATATTTTCACATTTACCATTTAACATCTAGATATACCCATATGCTCCATGTATGGTATATTTACCTACTTTTGCCCTAACACCCAAATGTAGGTAAATATACCATACATGGAGCATATGGGATATTACCATCTGTTTATCATGGATAAGTGAGTTTTCCTAGTGAATGATCACTAGTCCCCCTAAGGGATCAGGCCCAGCTTTGAGGTTCGACGGCTGCTTTCGTTTGGATGCCACCCGGCTTCTGGAGGATCAATGGGCCCTGGGCAGTTTTGGGACCAAACAAAGAGGTATGATTGGAGAAGTATCCAATGTTTTAACGGAAACTTCTGTCAACTATTTTTTGGCAAATGATCATATATATAGTGTATATACAGACTATTAAAGTCATCATCATAGGGAAACCTATGGGGAAACATCAACGGAAGCATCGTGTGTGTCGCCACCTTAGGAACTGCATGATTCGAGGGTCCCCGCCATGCGGATCTTACAATGATAATTTAATAACTACAATATTACATGCGTATGTATAATATATATATATATATACATATATATAATTATATATATACTGATACTGTATATACAGAGCATGTCAATTTTGGTAATCACATATCAAAAAACGACGTGGTGGGTTCCAACATGGTTCCATCCAAGATTTGTGGCTGCAACATTTAGGTGCCCACTTTGAAGTCCTGAGTTAGGAACTCGAAAAGCTACCCCCTGGTAATTTAAAGATATTTGAAGTATTGCTTTGGACAACCGCCCTTTTATACATAAATCAGATGTAAATGGGTAATGTTCCATAGCTATGTTAGTCATCACCAGAGGGTGATCCAACATTTTTCCAACTATGACATAAAACTGCATCCAACATATTACCAATCGTTTACCAACCATATCTGACATAGGTGCAAAATACATGTTTTCAGTACACCACTCATATTTCATCTGGGCAGTGCGCCAACGTCTTCTCGTCCCTGGAAGAGTTGAGTCTGGATGGAGAGATGTTGGAGGCCGCAGATGCCTTGGTGACAGCATGACTCACTGTTTTTTTTACCGAACATTCACAGAAAACCATGTTTTGTTTTAATGGTTGTAATGTGGTTAAAACAATAATAAACCATCCCCAAAATCACCATAAATGGGTGGTATAAACCATTCCCAAATGGGTGGTTTATATTGTTTTAACCACATTACATGGTTTTATCATGTTTACTATCACAAAACAAGAGGTTTTCCCCTAGGATTTACCCAGTAAACAGTTTTGAAATTATGTAAGTAACACGACTGAAACTACTAGGTGACATCAGCCACCAGCAATCGTCATATGGGGTGGAACCAGCATTCAGGGAATATATATGCAAATATCTGGGTAAATTATAACGACCTCACTGCGACCTCACTGGAATCATGGTTAGTAAGGGGAATCATCCCCAAATGGCCTTAATTCAGGTTAGTGAAATGTCATAATTTACCCAGATATATGCAAATTGTATATAAATGTATATGATTATATATGTATGACCAGCCTTTTTGTGACAAGATCAGCAGCAATCCTTGGGAAATGACCATCGCAAACTCCTAGTCACTCATTTGCCAAAAAATGCAAACTAATAATACCATGGCGGAAATCGGTTCATACACTCTTGAGTTGTTTGTCTTTTGTGGGCCCTTCTATGTTCGAGCCCGTGTTTGCTTCTTCACCCAAGTAGTAAATGATTCCTACATCTGGATAGATGATAGATATTATAGCCGTGCGCTTGGATTTGTGGTGTTTTTTGCGTTCAGCTTCGGATTTAAAACACAATCCACTAGTTATTCAAACCAACTTAGCAGGGGATACATAGATATGTTCCCGCGAAAGCAGTGAGGTGTTTGTTTCCACACTTCAATAAATGAAATGTGAGAAGTTTTCATTTTTTAAATTGGGATATCTCTTAAGCACTTTCCCATTTTGATGACCCATCCCATGATTTCGCATGTCCATTTTTTGAAAGTAGATCATTCGACCATAACATGCATCAGTTTTCAGCCCCAGAGTGTCAGCCACAATTTGGATGTCATTAGATATTTGGTCCCTAACATGATATATATATATATATATATACCAGCTTCTTCAAAGTGACCTCGATATGCATTTTGATATCAAAGGCTCTTAAATAGGTCACTTATGCCCCTTGAATATCAAAATTATCAAAGGGTCACTTAGGAGAAGCTGGAAAGGGTCACTTAGGTAGTATATGGTAGTTAAGATGTGATTATAATCTATAACAGTTATATGGGGTTAGTTGTCACTTAGGTAGTATATGGGGTTAGTTAAGATGTGATTATCTATGATAGTTATATGGGGTTAGTTGTCACTTAGGTAGTATATGGGGTTAGTTAAGATGTGATTATCTATGATAGTTATATGGGGTTAGTATGGGTTAGTTGTCACTTTGGTAGTAGTATATATGGGGTTAGTTAAGATGTGACTATCTATGATATTTGTTTGGTGTTAATAAAGGAATCAACCAACCACCTGTCCCATCCCTCCCACGGAAGAACACCTATGTAGCATTAATCAATGTGACTTAAGTGACTTAAGTTAGAAGTTGTTAAGACCTTTGGGGGCTATATATGCAACATAGGTGTTCTTCCGTTGTCATCATCTCCGCCATTTGCACTGGCGACCATTGTGGAGTGTGTCAACTTGCTCAGCAAGTCCACAGAGGCCAGCATCTGCTGGAATGGTGGTGGGAAACAGGTCGATAGTATTATAAAGTAGTAAGCACCCATTGGCACCATTTCTATAAACATATCAAAACATATCAAAACATCACACATCTACCACTCTTCCATTTGCCTCATCCAGCGAACTGCTACGAAACTTGCATAGCGTTGTAAGACCTGGCGCCCTAACAAGCGTGGGTGACATTTGCTCGCTGAAGACTTTATTTTTCCCACCTTAGCTGGTCAGCCCATGCAAGTGCGTGCTAGGTTGGATTAAAACAAACACATATGCACACATGACTGTGAACAGTATGCACACAGCAGTGCAGCCCAATCACCATATCTTCGTCCCCATAGCACGAACACCAAAATGGTGATATCCGTGCAGAAACATCATAAACGATATGGTCCAGCCTGAATCCCATAAGTGGCAGCACCAAAAACAGCTTCTACAAAACTAGTGCTACTAGGAAACTTGTGTGCCTTTGGTCTCAACTTCCAGAGAAGTTTGTTTTGGGAGATTGCCTCTGAGGCCAGCCCTTGGTGCCAAAAAGATACCAACATCACCAGAAACAACTGTTCAAAGAATTTAATCATGTATGAACAGGTGCAATCACCTAGGACCTAAGCCAAGAATCAGTTGAGAGCGCTATGGAACAGATAGTTGGCAGTCTCAAGCTTTTGCCTGTTGGCATCAGTCAGCAAAGGTCCTTGACGTAGGGTCACTGCATCCCGCATACCACACATGTTGACGAACACTGCTGCACGTAGCCTCGGGATGGTCAAACGATATATGGGAAAACACTTGACATGTGTGCTATGTATACACTTGCAGCTGCTGCACTTAAAAATGCCATGATACTGGCTATGCATATTGTCAGGCTCTTTTGCTGCTAAACCGACGGTGACTCCCATCAACCATTTGGCCAATATGCCCGATTCCTTAAAACCAATTCGTTGCACACATGTTTTGCACACAATCTGTTGCTTGAGCTGTAAAGACACCATGCTAGAAGCTCAGGTCAGGTCAGCGCCATTGAAGTGTTTCTGAGCGATAGTCGGATATGACCGCGCATTTTTGACCAGATGCTTCCTGCATGTGGGCCAGAGCAATGGCTTTAATATATGCTTGATGTTTATGGCGCATTATACTTGCTCCCAAGGAACATGCAATAAAATAGTCCCCGGTTTCCTGAGCATTGTTTTTCGACCACCAAATGATTCACAGACTTTTATAACCACTGATCACAGTGCATGAGACATACACACACACACAAAAAAAAAACATGCTGGGAAACTGATTTTGTGCTGTTTGCATAGCTCACGGAATTCCACATAGGCAGCTCGCAAGCGATCATCCATATTTGAACCTGCCCATAAGAAACGTTGCAACCAAATAAACTTGGGTTATGCAATGCATAGCACAATATAATACATATTAATACATGGCATATGACTCATGGATTGCACCTGGCCAAACATCTGCACCTTGTTCACAAATTTCAATAAGTGCCTAGTGGTGGAAGCACAAGTGTTGACCCATATGATATATATTACAAACTATGTACCAAACAAAATATGTGCAGTTTTGTTGCAGATGCCGAAGCATCTGGAATCAGCGACAAATCCAGCACATGGAGCCAGTCATATGTCACCATTGAGGGGTGAAAACCAGGCACTCTGACCCAAGGGTTGGAATTGCACCGGTCAGTCACAAAGTCGTAGAGGCTAAGCATGGTTGTTCGGTGCAATGCGTTTTTTCCAAACCCTGTGTACAGCAACTCGGAATCTGAACGCCGGGATGCTCGACAAGTGAAGCATACCTCCTCACTCACCCAGGTTGTTTTCACGTGAAAGCTCTTGGCGAGAGCTTTCTCGTCCCCCCTGTGTGCAAACAGTATACCCTTCCAACCATCAGCAATTGGCATTCCTGCTTTGGATTTCCGTAGCCCCATCACCTCCCCCCATGGAGAGTGCTCCAAGAAACGTCCAGCACCTAGTTCAGTAAACGACCATGCCAACCATGTGTCCAAGGTGTCATAGGTGTTGTCACAGCTCTTCGCATTGTCAGTGCAGTATAGTACAAAGCGACAATCCCAAGGAGATTTGTGGACTACTGCTGACCCAAATGAGCTGATCATGAATGATCTTCTTCTGTGGGCCTCTCCATCATCGCAGTGAAATACCAATGGAACGCATCTAGAAAGGTCTGTGTCCTTAATGCCAATTCTAAAACCATTTAGTCCAAGTCTCACCACAGAACATGTATACTTTGTTTAGCCAGGTAGCTGGGTCTTGTAGGACAGGGTGGTTTTGAAACCATTCGGTATGTTTCTGATGCTCCCAAAACTCATCAATGGCCTTACTGCCGAAATCTGTCGAACAAAAAAGTAAAACAAAACTGAACAGTAGGTTGATGTGTGTTGATCCTTGCTAAAGGAATTTACTTTCCAAACATTTCAGTCGAGTAACTCCAGGTGGACCCAGGAAACGCTCAGCGAACAACTTCTTGTCATAGTGATAGATGCTCCCAAACCTTGTGCTTGAGCAAAACCCAAGCTTCAACTCCCACCCAACACACACACACAACCCCTCCTGCATGCAATACCCTGCTGCCCAACCATTGCCAAGCAACACCTCTGATGGCAAAAAAATGTGCCAAGAGCCAATGTAGAACGGGTCCTTCATCGACTTGTCTTCCAGGACTGTGTTGACCCTCAGAGGGCACAATGGATGGCACTTTAAGCCTAATATGTGTCATGCTATATATAACATTGCAACATACTGCAACACACATATCATATGTGCCAGGGTGCTCAAGTAGACGAGGAAGCATTTTCCGCCATGGTTGTCTCTCTAGCCAGTTCCAAAAATTGCGTGGTCCATTTCGTCCAGTGCCAGATTGAGTACGAACTAAATCTTGCATATTGCTCCTAGGATGATGTTCCAGGATCACAGGGATTTATTATGTTTAGTGCGCCTGTTGAAAAACAAAATAAACATATATAAACATATTTTGACAAGGTTCGGTAAGAGTCTTCGAGGAAATCTCCGTTTGATCACATCTAGCATCTTCATCAATGTGCTCACACTAACCTAAGGAGTGGTATTGAAATCCAAAGGCCAAGGTACAGTAAGCTAACCACCAGCACCACCTTTGCAGCCAGGCAACTTGTCGACCAAGTTCAATGAACTCCTCCACGACGTCCATGGTGTCAGCAGGTGTGAGAGAACGGCAGTTGGGAATGGCAGGAAACAATGGTCCATTGGTGGCTCACCATATTTTTTTTCGGGTGTAGAG